TCGGCGGCTCCTACCGTCCTAGTGCCCAGATGAGGACTTATGTAACTAGATTACTTAGTGGACGTTAATAATAAAACAAACAAAACAAACAAACAAACAATCGTACGGGTGAGCAAGCTCACGCTGGATTTTGGCTGCCATCAGTAAATGCTTTTTTGAAGTAGAAATGATCTGATGTAAATATGATGGATACGACAAAGAGTCACGAAGCTTATCGATTACCATCTGATGTTCTGGCTAATTGACTGAACTACGACGAAGGAGTATGGATAACGAGGACCTTGACCGCTATCTTGCTTATTACCAATTAAATGGGCATGATAACGATTACTGCAAAGAATTCCTACTTCATATGGCATGATGAAATTGGGGACTGCTGCTCTAATGCATTATAGCATTGATACCAAATGCAAATACTTTGGCCTCGCTGTGGGGGTTGTTTTATTATGAAGAGGTCGGTAAAGCTGCAATAGCTAGGTCAGAGGAATGTCACGCCCCAGCCTTTGGTTCAAAACGCAGAATCAATCCGTAGCTTCACCTGAGCGACCACAGCCGACTAAGTCAAACCTCAAAGATTCAGGAGACAAAGTATGACCGTTGATTTCACTATACTGTCTTCAATGCAGTTGCAATGTTATAGCAGCAAGACCCAGGTAGGAGATTAGTAGAAGGAATGTACTACTAGTCAATGTGAGTAGTGTACTTAGGCTGTCATGAAGCTGATGAAAAGCGACTTGGATATTTTCTTGGTAAAGCAAAAAACGAGAGAATTGGCAGCAAATATGGATTCTTTAATGTAGATACACTGCGCGCCCAGCTGTTTAATTCCTTTGGAGATCATGCTATTATAGTATGGTCCACATGAGAAGCTCGGGGAAATTCTGTACTGTGGCATGATAACCGATGTGTGATATAACAAGGCAGTGGCGACTTGAGGCTACCGAGAAGCCAATAAAGAGGGATCTAGCCCTCTTTTTAATGAGCCAAGTTAGATTTACAGGAGTTCGTGTTTCACTTATCTCCAACCAATGCCCCTATTGGGTCAAAGATAAAGCCGCTACTCTAATCGAGTTCTACTCGGGAAAGGACAGGGTTGCATTTGTTATATTCCCAGGCCTCGCCTCTGCCAAGGAGCTTGATTTTGCTTTTAAAAATGTACAAACACCATTGACTCACGTGGTTCAAACAACATCGCTCCTGATTTTACTTTCACAGATATTTACAAAGGGATCGTCGCGTCTGCGATGAAATAGTATAGGATATATGTACGTGGGAAAGCCCACATCGTGCTGACAATATAACTTCAGAACAACAGCAACGTAAATCAGTGTGCGTGGCTATGGTAGTCCAAATCTTGAGCGATTTGCCATATAGTTTAGTTCTTAGATATTGCTTTTGAAAGATCCCAGCCGAAGCTGCCGCAGGGGGTTTCATAAAGGCCAGTCATCTTTGTTCGATTTAGCTATTATAAATCCCGATGTCATCCTAGGGCCTATGATGCATCTATTCAGTGGTTAACAATCGATGAACGAATCAAATGTTTCAGCATCTCAAATGTCCTTGGTGGGACTGACACAAAGACAGATGACGTTGAATATTCATTCTATAACGTTGTATGTGTTTCAGCTACTACGCCGCATATGCATCCTTACTTCCTAGTAGTAGGTTGATGTAAGCTCTGATGAGTCCCGAAGCAGGGGAAGGCGTACTACGCTTGTTTTTGAATTACACCACACTTGGTTAAAATATTATTTGAGAAAGCGTTCCGGCTATCAAATGCAGAGTTAATGATATAATGGGCTGTTTCAAGGATCAATCAATTATGCCGAAAGCTAAATAAACTTTCAGATAGGGATAGGAAGGCAACTTCAGAAGTTATTAAACAAATCACAAGTGTGGGAATCTGCAATGTCAGACCGAAGGACCTTATTTTGACTAGCTCCTACATAACTGTTCTCTATGTATTTGTAGTTCCATTGATCTGTCTTTTCCTCTCATTGTTTTGCTCTGTTTTTCCAACATATGAAAAACAGAGCCACCTGGCCTTACAGTTTCCGGCTTTAGTTGATGTTGGTGAGCATGAAGCTAGCGCCTTCAGCTGAAATGCATTGGCGAGAGTTGGACAACGAGTTGGTACTGAATGCCCCGGTGCAGTCGCCATTCCGGAAGGCCCGGATACCCAGATTGCGGCCAAAGAAACTCTGGGCAATGTTGTGTTGGACATAAAAGTTGAATGCTTCATGAGCAGGGTGGCATTCTCCAATATTTCCAATTGTGAAGGATTGGAAAGCAGTATCTTGACAACTGCCGGCGTGGAGATCAATGGTTAAAGTGTCGGCACTGACAAGGCCAACAGCGAGAGTAAGGATAGCCAAAATAGACTTCATGTTGAGAGTGCTGATAATGAGTAAATGTGTAAAACAGTGAATAATGTTTGACTTGTTTGCGATGGTTGTTATTCAAGAGTTCAATTTACAATGAGAAAGTCGTCTTTATATATAATTCGCCCTCGCACCAAGGCAGAGGAGATGTTTGCTATGAAGATATAACTGGTGGAATCCCAACCTCCATCGGCTCCTCGGGAAACGATTAGGCCACGGAGACTTCGAAGAAATTACTACAAGAGGTTTGGGTATAGCGCCTGCGCCCGCTGCAAGTGCGCCATGTTGAGAACACAAGGATTGCATTGTCGAATGCCATATGATCTGTCTCTTTCTCCACGAAATACTGGCTAAAGAGTATACGAACAATAGTGGACACCTAGGCTACCTAACGTATCAGACCATCAGGAGCACACCAAGTTTCAGAAACTACATGTAGTGGAGAACACAACATTTTACAACACTCTTCTTTCCCAAACTCCCCGACTCCCTAGGTAAGTATACAGGCAGCCTAAATAAAGTCCGCTCTTGTTTATTTACAAACACATAGTAAAAGCAGAACCTATTACCAGCAGCTCTTACTATACCCAGATGTAAGTTAATAACCTAGATTATGTAATAGTCGTTAATAATACAATAAGCAAACAAATAACTGGTGGAAATTTTATCCAAAAAAACAAGCATGGCTCGGCTTACTGTAAGCTGATTGCTGTTGCATTAAGGCGGAGTACATTAGATCTTCAACACGATTTTATTACCATTTAGAGTAATTTACACTCAAAACGCAAGCATGGCTTAGCGTATTGTATGGTCCTTTACTCTCATCCTCGTTTATTCCTGGTTATATATTATACTGTAATTAATTGCTATTGAGATATCATGACAAATAGTAACAAACTTACTCACTAGTTGACTAAAAACTGTCATAATATTCAACATAAGACTTCTACTAGAGAATATATTCCGTAGGGAGGGTATCCCTTACCCTCAAGAACAAAAGCCTTAATATCCAACAAACAGGACCTTGCATTCCCTGAGAATATTTGAGCTGCTCAACTACTAGTTATGGAAATTGGTGGAACTAGAGCAAAATGAATAATAGCCAATTTTAAGTGAGGCCGTATGGATTCGCTTCTGGCATTCACAAGGGAGTAAGAAATAACTCATCTGTGCCAAGTGCCTATATTGTGGTCCACAGAGAAAGAAGACTCTGGCTATTACTGCTACCACTAGTATAGGCTTTAATTTATGTATAGCTCCGGAGTTACAATACTTCCCATCTCATTTTCCGCAACTAGCTATACAATAGCGCAATAGGTGCAGGGGTCTTGCATTGGCTGATAAGTAATCAAAGTATGGGGTTAGGGAAATAAGCGATGGAGATAATATTATAGTGATACCATGCTAGTATTTTATATTCTAAATACGGAACAGGGTTATTAATCTCTCCGATCCCCTCCCCCTTATTTCCCCCTTACCTACTCCGTACACCCTTCCTTTTCTCCAAAAGTTATTATAGACTTAGTATAGTACCGGCAATACTAACTGCAACTTGTATAAAAAGTTTAGAACCCTGGCCTTGAATAAATATAGCGCCAACACTAATACATTATTAAGCTGTAGCAACATAGATTTATAAATGGTATGTTACATTGCATCCGCCCTCAAAGTATTTTGCGAAGGGGCGGCGCGTAAACTCGTGTCATTACCATATGTATGCCGAGGATAAGAGAAATCAAGATTCATAACTATTACTAATACCAAATGGGGATTGGGTATGATATATACAATTTGAAGATAACTTTTACTTCCGAAGTCTATTCTCATGAGCTTTACCACTGTGACAATAACATAAATTTGGAAAGAAGCATTAGCTGCAGTCAATATCAACTACGATAATTCTGCCCCTACTCACAATATTGACAAGACATAACTACTATCACTTCATGGTCTTACGTCGGATTCCGTCGGCATTCAGGGTCCACCCAGTCTTCTATCTGCGCTGCAGGGTTATACAAGATATACAAGGTCATTGAGCATGACATGTGTTCGATCGCCGTCAAGAATATTCGTATTGCTGATGTGCAATTTGTATCAGGGAGCCTCATACCTACTTGACCTCAAGGCTGTCATGGAGCTATTTTAAAGGTCGTCTGACATGCACTTTGTATCAGCAGCCTGCTCCTGTGCACGTCTTCCAGCAACATTAGTTCACGCGCCACAGCGACAAGCACTTTGTTGCCGGGAAGCATAGTAGAATTTGATCACCTGCTTCATCTGGGCTGAATATGACCTGAAGTATAGAGAGAATCGCGTAGGCTAATCCGTGGGTCATGGATAGCAGTTTATTCTTAGCCAGCACATCAGCCAAATCTTTCAGATCAGAGTATTATACATTAGTCATTTGTATTTATGTCTAGGTTGATGAGGCGAGGACTTTACCATTTTGTTTCATGGGCGTAACAATAGTGCGCAATACGCTCAGGATCCACCAGTTCTAACACCACTCTCTACATCTGTGATCCCACGACGCTATCTTATGCCAGGGAATGGGGGCTCTAGCCCATCCTCGCGCGGCAGGTTCGCATACATGGACAGGAAGCTCAGCGCCCTCTTAGTGCACCTCAGGCGCAGTCTACCGGCCCAAGTCCAACAGAAACGCTTCAAGAGTAGCTTGGAGCCCCTGGTTATTCTGCACCTTCTCACCGTCAGTCTTGGGGTCTCCACGTCGCCCCCGGCGCAGGCGGAGGCAGCCAAGTAAAAAGATTGGACCTGCGCACAAACAGACAGTGCCGTAGCGTCACAATGTAGTTCAGTTGTGATAGCCGAGGCAAATTGAGACGGAAGTGGTGAAGATTTTCTGCTCAATCTCATCTTGTCGGAATCAGCTGACGCAGGCATATTGGCCAGCCTCTGAGAGGAACCCGGAGTCATTTGAACTGGAATCCGAAGGGTGAATATGGGTTGAAAAAGCATATGATGTGTTCAATAATGTCGAACACCAAAAGGACGGGCGCACTGATAATTCAGCCGAATAGGCCGACAAATGTTTTGAGCCCAGGTTGCAGCCGATGATGGTTGTGTTGGTATCTCATAGTAGACGCTCAGCTCCCATGTACCCATCGATGTGATTCAAACCTTAGCCGCCTGTGGCCTAGGAGTAGTACTAAACTGAATGCTGCGTTGATGGGTCCGACTCTCGGTCGGGCTTTCACTTATTAATACACAGGCAAGGAGCTGACATGTATGAACCTGTCCCTGAAGGGTGTGTTATTACAAAGTAGATCAACTAGTTATGAGACTATCAAAATACTCAAATAACGAGAGAAATAATCCATTAGCAAGGATACCACGCTTGATTTCGTAACTACAGCCCGCCGAATGCTCTGTTTCTCTTAATCTGGCTCTCAACAGACCGTGCCGATGGTTCAAATGGAGTATAAGGTCCATCATGATTACGTTGTATAATGCATCGTATTGCGTATGCTCTTGCTGATATATATCAACTAAGTGTTAAATGACATAGAACTGAATAAAGTTCCCTCGCTCACGTTGAATTGCTAGACATACGTTGGCATGTCTTTGAAGCTTGTTAAGCACTTACCCAGTAGAGGTGATAACACGACATTTATTCCCTCTGTATTGCGATCTATTTTACAAATGACAAACATACTCGGCAATGACACTAGCTATTAAATTTATGAGAAGAAAACGATCGATGGTAAGAGATCTATGACTTACGGGTATGGGGAGCTGGTGTAGGTGTTCGCCAACAGCTGCAGTAAGATATTTTAGCAACAGCATCAATATCATAATCACTGTTTATGATATTATAGTGGTTAGAACAACTGGTGGGAAATTATTAATTGGAGTGCTCCAAAGTTATGTGTGCAAAAGGAATGTCCAGAAGGATTTCATATCTGCACAAAAATTATATTCAGCTGACAATTTTAGTCTGTTCATCAACCGGTGGGTTTTGAAGCCTATCCTATAACACCTATATCAATATCCCCTAATTCGTACGTAATCTTTAGCTAGCTAAAGGCTGCTGTTCCTTACTCGTGTCTGATAGGCCGCACAAGTCTTGTGTAACACTACCTCCATGTAGTACTACCAAACCAAAACAGCTCTGTAACGGATCTTACCAGTAGTAAGCTTTTCGATCCCAGCCGCGATGCCCTCGTTGCTGAAGGGAAATTTCTCAATAACAGGGTGTATGTTGTTGCGCGCAGCAAACTCTAACATTTCCCGATGAGCCTTACGGGAGGACACCAGATTCGTGACAATATTATAGCCGTTGAAAAACGTTGGCATAAAGCTAAATAGAACTTCATTAGTTCAGCTCAGTCGATGCGGTTTAGATATTGGTCATCCACCGAGTCTTACGGAATTTCGAAAGTAGGCCCTGTGAAGCCAATTGCAACAATAGATGCGCCTCGGGCGAGGACTTCCTTTTCCATAAATCTGGAGTCCAGTTCAGTAACTATGAATGAAGTTATCATGTGAAGAGTCAAAAAAAAGTTTACCTATTCCAGTCCGGAGTCTTACTGCCCGTCAGAAGAAGGAGGTCGACAGCTTGCTGGATCTGCTCCTTTTCTTGGCCGAGGACAACAAAGTGATGAGCTCCAAACTGTCTGGCCTCTTGTTCTTTCGAAGCCGTAGTGCTAAAGACAGTAACATGTGCCCCAAGTTTGCTGGCGAACTGAATTGCCAAGTGGCCCAAGCCGCCGATGCCCAGGATGCCGATGCGCATACCATGTTTGTAGTATTGGATCAAGGCACTGTAGACTGTAGAACCAGCACACTGAAGAGGGGCTGCCTCTTCGGATGGTATTTCCTCTGGGATAGGATAGACATAGCCCTCATGGGCAATGAAATGGTGACCCAGAGTGCCATTGTTGAAGTCACCCTCGCCGAAAATGTTACGGCTGTAGCAAAGAATGTCCTGGCCTGAGGTGCAGTAACTGCAATTGCCACAGCTCTATCCAAAACCTGTTAACTCGTATGTTCATGAAGACTGACTGCTTCAGAGAGATCTTGGAGAAGAGAAAAATTAACATACGCTACGCAAATAACCCCCTCCCACCCGGTCCCCGATGTTGAGATCAGTAACCTCACTTCCAACTTTTTCGACAATACCAACGCCTTCGTGGCCAAGAACACAGCCGTATTGAAGATAGGCGAGATCACTGGCACAGAGTCCGCTGTGTGTGATTTTTATCAGAACTTCTTTTGGCTGAAGGTCTCTAGGCGGGTTGGCAGAAAAGAGGACTTTTCCATCAACGCCCCGCATCGACTGATTGACGGCCATGACTGGTTCAAAAGAAATTCAGAGGATAGGTAGCTTGATAGTGGAAGCTTCAATGTTTTTTGGTACTCCTTCTTGATGGTAGTGCTAATAGCTTGAGGGCAACCATTCAATGATATTTCCGACAAAGTCTTGTTCAAAATTAGCGTGCAGCTAGAGAAAATGTTCTGATCAGATACTGGTAACTGATGTTTAGTAGCGGGTGCTTGTTTATATACTTGAGAGTTTTTCGTTGGATTTTGTCTCTCTCCAGGGTCCTCTCTTGCCTTACCGCCACAAAATGCTATGGGCCATGTTAGCCTCTAACTTGGCGAGGCTCGCGGGCGAAATCGAAGTGGATGTCATGCAATCTATCACACAGTGTTGGCGGGCTTTGGCTGGGATATAGTGAGATACTCTACGTCAAAATTCTATTCAAAAGCGACACCACAGCGTCTGGTTTTTTTCGTAGTCGCCGATTCGGGCCGTGTCAAGGGCAGTGTGGGAGGATCATGTGCATGTACATTGTAGTTTATGGGAAACGTGGCGTTGGACTCCTCACTTCTCGGGCGAGAAGCACCTGGGCATTACAGTCTTGGACTCCCTTACCACTGTTACCGGGCAATGTTGTAACTTGTCTGGAGACCTGAGACAAGTCCATATGAATCGCAAGCACAGTAGTTAGACCACGAGTGATAATGCCTTCCGGTCTTGTTAGCTGAGATAAGTTGTATGGAGTAAGAGCTAATGGCTAGCTTCGCCCCTAACATCAGCGTCGACCGATTCCCTGCCATTATTGTGAAAGCTAATTTTCATTGGCGGCTGCATCTTGGAGCTCCGCAGTGTCCAACCGGACAACTTAGTTGAGAACCTTTGCACATCCTTCGAGTTCCGTAGCTCTCCTATGACGAATGAAATCTCGATTCCAATCGATGAATAGTAATCAACGAGGGGGAGTATTAAATCCCCATGAGGCCCGCTCACCCTCTAAGCCCACAGCTGCGTCGGCCGATGCATCTTCGCCATTATATTGATTAACCAGATTTGTTTCCCATGTCGGCGCCAGTTCCGCTTACGCTAAAGGCACAACGGCCTTGTCGTTACTGTGCAAGCCGCAAACAAGGCTGCGATCGGTTGCTACCCAAGTGTTCTCGATGCGCCTCGTAAGCTTTTCCTCAATATCGCGTATGTACCCATTCGACGTTCATTTTATTCTGACAGAATGTTGCTATCACAGAAAATCTCTTGGGTGTAATTACAGTGCCCTACGAGATGGACATGCGGTAACTTTGCAGATCGAGGCGACTGAACGAAATAATGACCTGGTGGAATTTCGCGGTTCTTGTTCTCCTGACCTCTCCACCAAGGCCGAATCGTTATTGCTTCGCTTAGCGTGTGACGGTGACAGGGAGGCTGCAGAGTACGACGGACCCAGCATGGCCGAGCTGCTCTTTCGAATACTTGGCGCTTTCAAGGTTGATATTCCAAATTTGTTGGACAGCTACATTACGAGCGTCCACCGGTGGCTGCCCATTCTCAAGGAAGAAAATATCCGTCAAAAATGTGCCCATTTTGAGAATAGAAATGATGGTAACGTTGCACGTTTGCTGCTTACTTTGCATATTGTCGTTCAATTACCATGCAGCCATGCAGGCCATTCAATGAATACTCGACTTTACCGTACTATGAAACGGCTCTTTGTCATTGCCCATTCATCGCCCGGTATTAAAGATCTTGATTTATTGCAATACGGGCTCTTATTTGGAGCTTATGAATGTTCACAAGGTCTGGAATCCGCTTATAACACATTGAATCTCTGTGTATCACTAGCCCGTATAGTCGAAATTCAGAGTTATAAATCCAGGGGCCAGGATTCAAAACGCTCTGAAGAGAGCCTTTTGTGCGGTTATGCGCTAGTAGTCTTGGATCGGTGAGTCACGACTGTCTGGATGAGAGTGGAAACATCCGCCGCTGACCAAGAATTGATCAGCCTCATCGCACTCTCCAGCCTGGACTATTGTTTGCCATTGCTGCTTCCGGACGAGCAATCCTTTCCCCTGATAGAGGAGCACGGCCTTGAATTGGACGAAAACCTGAAGGCTTATGGCTACACGGGAAGAATGAGAATCACAGCCACCGTAGCACGATTAGTTAGCGATACCCTGGCGTACTTACGCTGTTGCCAGCTCGGGAGAACACCACAAGCAGATTACGTAGCCGTGGACAGCTCTGCGCAGGCTTCACTTGGCAAATTATTGCGCCTTTCTCAAGAAAAGGCCTTCTTGAACTGCGAACCGACGTCGATGGCGATCAGGTAAGGCCAATCTAAGTTTGTGATATCTAGAGCTCCCAACTTATACTTCATCTATCCCTAGTACTCTCATAGCACTCCGAAGCTGCCATGACAGACGCAGGAGCGGCTCCAGAAACTCCAAAGACGCCACTGCATTGTGGTCAGTAGCGAGTATGACTTTGGAAATGTGTCTCTCGGCTTCCGACTTCATTCGATACCACGGCATTGAGAACTTATCCTTTATTGGTCTTTGTTGTGTATGGCGAGCAGCGTTACCTCTAGTGAGCCTCATGGAATTTCCAATTTCGGCCCAAGAGTTGGAGACACTTAGAAATGAGCTGCAGCGTTTTAGCAGATGTTGGGCAATAGGTGGTATGTATATGTCGTGTTATATTCCTGATGAAACATCGAAACCAGTGTTAATAGCGGTAGTCACCCTTTTGCAACATTTTGACCAGCTGGTCTACCTAAGAAACCTTTGAATATCGAAGCAACCATCAAATTAAGTGACTACTAGGGAGGTGGGGAAGGGGAGTTCTAGATGTCTTCACGGGAGAAAAGGCTTCTGCGACGCGGTTTTTCTCAAGTTCATTCAAAGCAGTTCTCGATAACCTGCGGGTCATCGTCAAAACAGAACAAGCCAACTGCCCGTGAATTCTCGATTTGATAGACTTCCTGTTTATAGTTTAGGGAAAAATTTTAATCTTAGCAATCTCATCACGCGGGAAGAAGAGTTGAAACTAGTGTTTGGCTGGAATCGGATTAACGACTTATCTAGGCCATCTTATGAATGAAGTGCTCGTGATTCATATAACCCAAATGGTCCTTCTAAATTGCTCCGTGATCTAATCTAGCTAGTGATGATTTGACATCATGTGTCGCCGCTGTCCATTCTGCTATTCATCTAACTGCTTATTAATCGTGTTGACTCATGTCCAGCTTGCATCCAAAAAGTCTTCGCTGACAGGATAGTCGATGTATCCTACAGGAGTTTTCTTAGTATAAAAGCTATCTCGTTTGTAGGGACTGAGAGCAACCCCATGTTGAAGGCGAAATACCAAGTCGGGATTGGAAATAAAATATCTTCCAAATGCAACAGCAACATCCCACTTAGAGTACAGGTTATCCACGGCAGGGAAGACGTTCTCTGCAGTATAGCCACCAGCAATGATGACAGGCGACCAATTGTCCCATTCCTCCAGCAGGTACTGGAGTGTGTTTTGCCTATATGCCTTGTGTTGGCCAAGGTCCTCTTCTTTCTTGTGCAGCCAAGTGACCGGGTCGCCGGTTGCTTCTACCAGGTGAATGTAGCCGAGGTTCAGGTTAAGCCGCTTGAACTCGCGCAGCATGTAGAGAAACTGAGCCTGTGGATCAGATGATGTGGCGCCTTGGAACGTCGCCCAAGGGCTAAGGCGAATAGCCGTACGCTCTGCCCCGACAGCAGCAGCAACGGCCTTGACAGCCTCAATGGCAAAGCGTGCCCTGTTCTCAACTGAGCCACCCCATTTGTCGGTTCTCTTGTTGATAGATTCTCGAGTGAACTGATCAATTAAGTAACCGTGAGCGCCATGCAGCTCAACGCCATCCGCCCCTGCCGCAATGGCTGCTTTCGCAGCTTGGGCAAAACCGTCAATTTTGACCCAGATCTCCTCCTCAGTAAGTTCCTCAGGCGTTATGTCAGACCCCTCCATAGGACTTGCGCTGCTGGATGCATACTTGATGCCCTTGGAGCGCGCAAATTGTGCGTCGCCTGCGCGGCCTAGGCTCCATATCTGCTGTATAAAATAGCTACCCCTGGCATGTACGGCGCTGATTATGCGCTTCCACTGGGTAATCTCCTTGTCACTCCAGATACCAGGACCATTGGGATCAGTCTCATCGTCTTGAGATATTGCTGTTGCTTCGCTTATGATGAGCGTCCCAGGGACGGTCGCTCGGTCGGAGTAGTACTCGACTGCCATATCCAGAGGCACGTGGTCATCGCTGTTGCGATATCGCGAAAGCGGTGCCATCACTATGCGATGAGGCAGCGTAATTCTACCGACCTTGAGAGGCTGGAATATTTTGGATGTCGCCGGTATTTTCTGTGCTGGCATGGTTATCTAATTTGACGAAGATCTGTAATTGGTGAAGCTGCTGATAACTGGAATAGGGATCGTCTGATGGGTTTTCAGGTAAGTATTCAGCGATTTCAAGATGATCTGGACCTCCTTGAAGGGGCTGGTTGCTACAAGATATATATTGCATTTATCTTTGCAGTGTATGATGCATCAGTTCTAGTTGGGTTGCCATACTTACCGATGTCCACTCCGACTGAGATTTACTAAAGGCATGTGAAATATGCAAGCACTATGGATTAATTCCAAATTTTGATAGCATTGCGGACATGGGAACTCGCAAACCGCCGAACATGTCTCCGTAACTCACATGATTGCTTGATAATTCACAAACAGCAATGACTCAGGACAGAAATTGAAGGCCGACGACCTTAATCAGCTGTACTTCTTCGGAGCATGGGTTAGCGGTATTACAGTGTCCGCGGGTTAAACTGAAAGGTACTTGCGGCTTTTCCTTTGATACAGAGAATTTAAAATGTGCTCTGCTGGAAGCCGTTGATTATTCATGCCGAGCATATCCACGTAGCCTCGTACCCAACTCTTACTGACGTGATTTGCCATAGTAAGATTGTTAAACGATTTTCCTCACTGACTCGAGTTTGTAACTTTCGGGGCGGCGGGAAGGGTGTGGAGTATCGGCACCCACATGTCGGAACCTGCATATCGGCAGCTGCATTAGCTCAAACCCCTGGAGCGAAGTTACAAAGTACCTAAAAGCTGAACTAATCAGCCATTGACGGAGCACATAAGAACGAACTGTATATGCGACTAGAATAGGGTAGAGAGGTCCGAATACTTCAGTGCGGAACAATGATACTACTAAAAAGAAGCCTAACAATCGAGCGATCTATACCCATGAGTGATGGCCGTAAATTGTGGGCTTTTCCAAGCGAGGGGTCTTGACAAGGAAATGCCAAGAGAATCCAATAAGCAAAGCGGCAGGTGGGTTACGCGTTATATTTTTATTGCGAATGGAATTCAATTTGACATCTGCCAAGTGGTGCGATTAGAACACATTCACTTCACCTAGCGAAGGGGGAACTATTGTATAATGACTGGGGCAATAATAAGGCTGCTGCGTGTCTACCGCATTCCGTTTGATTCACATACCCTGCTCATGTGTTAAACCATATGACATGATTCGCTTTCATTACCATCAGTTATCATTTGACATAATACGAATCCAGCAAGCAGACAAGTATACGAAAACTATAGTAACTACGATCAGAGAATAGTCCTCTGAGACTTTGCGTTTACATCACTACTGGCAATGTTTCGGTGGCACTGTTGTTGCGTCATGTAATTGGGGTCCTTGTATATAAAGTGTTTAAAGCCGTTCCGTCTGTGTTAGCTAGGACTGGATGCTTGCTGTATCGCATAGCATTTGAGCTAGAAAATCGTGTGAGACTGGGACTGGACTGAAATCTGAAATAAAAACTGAAAACGACAACCCGGTGTTTCCGACCGTGGCTCTAATAGTGAGAAAAGAGGATTGGTGGTTACTAAAGCCACTTGGAATCTATGAGGACCATGTGCTAGTAAGCTTGGGATTCAGACAAGAAGCCGTTTCGCTCAGTGGAGTAGACGCCGGGCGAAAACGTAACCCATTTTAACCATCATGAGGCTTCGGAGATGGGTGGCTACATAGAAGATGGGTCTGATATTACCGCTGACAAATGAGCATTAGTTCTGGAAAGCCCGGGCATCGTGTGCTTCGAGTGTGAGCCCAATGCAACAATCTGAATGCAAGCCCTGAGCTGACTGGATAGATGGAATTAATTTAGAGTTCCATGGGCAATCTTAGCCACCATTGCTCCACTGTACCATTTAGGAAAACGGTGGGTCAGCAGTGTGGATGCAAAATTGTTTGCGAAGGGATGCATGCAAAAGAAACAAAGTCTAGTAACATTTGCCCGCTATTAACAGTGGACGCGGAATTAACTGTGAATATTCGAAATCCACTCATGTAGGCATTTAGCTCTAGGGACAGTCATCAACAGCACATATTGGAAACTTCTATTGTAACAATTGGATAATGGTAGAATGTTATTGAGAAATACTTAAAGGCTGCTGTGTCATTGTTTAAACTACTTGTATATGACAAATTGCATATTATTTCCGGTCAACGAAGTGCCCAATCGAAATATTAAAATACAACGAGTACGTTAATAGCGGGCATAACACACACATACACCTCTAATTATATTTACATTATCCAACTGGACAAGTCTCACCCAGGCCTCACTATGTCAATGTTCAAAAAAATCGTCCTCATTGGCGCCACGGGCTCCATCGGTAGCGTTGTCCTGGCTGCCCTGGAGAAGGAGCCCAGCTTTACCATTACCCTCATACAACGTGCCTCTTCCAAGGCCAAGTTGCCTGCGCACCTCAAGGCAATCACAGTCCCTGACTCGTACCCTACGGACGAGCTGATTCCTGCATTTCAAGGTCAGGATGTTGTTATAAACTGCATGACCTCGTTATCGGTGGCCGATCAGTTTCGCATCATTGACGCGGCCATTGCGGCGGGCATACGTCGCTATGTGCCTAGCGAGTATGGTCTCAACAACATGAGACATGACGCCCAAGCACTGAACCTGGTCTTTCACGATAAAGGTAAGATTCAAGAGTACCTCCGAGCCAAAGCTCAAGAAGGGGTTATTGAGTGGATGAGCATATCGTGCGGCATGTGGATTCGTTGGTCTATGGCAAATGACTTCCTTGGTATGCACATTGGCCAGCGACGATTTGTCTTTTGGGATGATGGCGAAGGATACTTCTCTTGCACAACCGAGGAGAACTCAGCTCAGGGCTTAGTTAACGCTTTGCTTGCCGCTGGTACTGATCGCGATGTCTGGAAGAATACCAATATCTATCTGAGCGACTTCGCTATCACTCAAAAGCAACTTCTTGAAGCCATCGAGCGTATCCAAGGTGTCAAGTACGCCACAGAGAGCATCGATAGCAAGAGTTTCATTGAGGAGAAGCAGGCTTCCGTGGCTGCCGGAGATGTCAAGGCCACCTTTGCCCTTATAGAGACCGGATTTGTCACAGGGCGTTATGGTGGCCACCTCGAGAAAGAGGGCGGGATCCAGAATGACAAGCTTCATTTGCCTAAAAGGACGCTGGATGAGGTGGTCGAGGCTGCATTGAAGGCATACGGTGCTACTTGAAGGGGGTTTAAACAGAGCAGACAGTTTATGGAGGATTACTATATAAACTTAGTACGAAAAGTAATTGTGACCGCCAGACGTCGGAAGCAGAAATTCCAGTCCTATGAGGCACCCAGCTCATTATTGAGAGACAATACAAAATCACAACAGAATGTTCTGAGATCCTTTGATATAGACGTTACAATTCTAGTGAATTCTTGATAACAGAAGGCGTTGCACATCAATTTCTTTCATGCTACCGACAGTACATCGGTGGAGTAGCATTAAGTGGTTATGCCAATACTATAATTGTATTGTGCTCAACATGTAAACTTTATTCGGGTTATTCCAGTTAAAAATATAATTTTAGAGAAGCATTTAGTTTTGAAACCCCAGTAGCAGCGTGGGGAGCTAAAATAGGCTTATAGATAACTGGTGATTTATAGGATATCTCTTGAAGAATAAATGACCTAAGACTTCATATCATTATTCAATACATACATCTTACCTTCAAGGCCCCTTTATATAGTCCTATTTCTGTGATAGTGAGTCGCCGAACTCTTTCCATCAGAAGCATAACGAAAACTACATATCTCTAATAAACTTGAACTAAATACAAGTTAAATACAAGTTAAAATGTGTTTATTATGTTGAAATACTACTCAAATTGAGCTTTTCGTTATGCTACCTATGCATCATAGAACATTACATACACGTACATAAACCCTAGGAAGAAAAGGCCACTCAACTTGAACATTTTATCAGCGTTATCGGTGCTTCCTTTGAAAAGCTGAATACAATCCACTAGGCTAGGGACAATACATATAATCAAAAACAAATAGATAATAGATACTATATATTGTAGGTTAGTGAAGCTGCTTCCTCCCTGACGTGTTCACTTTTTCTCTTCGTAAATGTATTATACATAAGTATAACTTTAGTGGGCTCTTACCTCCTGGCGGTAAACCAAATAAATCTTTGTTTGCTTTTGTGGTCTCATTTTCAGGGATTAGATGAGTTGCAGTCTTTGATACGGATGGTTTGTTGTTTATATGATAGTACAGGAGTGCTCCAACTTCGGCGCTAAAAAATTGTCGAAACGTTGCAACATCATAATGGTTTAGTTCATGGCCTCGTCCGTAGCGTTAGCTAGAAACTAATTCCTTAGCATCTCTCACAGGTACATTGTAAGAAAAGTGAAGGACATTGGCGAGATATTCACGGACGGCGGGCAGTTGTGTATTATGCCCGGGGTACGTAACCGGTTTGGATCCACTATAGAGAATAAGGTATGTGTTGATTTGCAGGCGCAATTACAAGAAGAGACAACACAGATTGAAATGCAGCGCATGGGCGACTTAATTAATAGGCGAGTGTCGCCAAGCCGGTTCAGTGATGCCGGCTCTCGGAGATTGATCCTTTTTCGAGCAGACCGAGAATCCTCCTGAGGAGAACAAAATATAATACCACCTATATTTATTTCTGTGTTAAACTCTTTTTGGGGGAAAATTAGTCACATAAAACGACATTTGAACAAATGGGTTATTGAAAGAAAGATATAAAAGGATAAATCCCGCTGTTGGTTTCTCTCTGACATAAAGTTCAGTGTCATCGTCCTATATAATTATTTAGCCTGCAAGATCAAAAAGGGGTGCATTTGCATTCGCAACTCTGTTGTTACTGATGAGCGGGGTTGAACTGAATTCGGGGCATTGGCACCGTCCTTGGACCAGTGGTTGGTGGTGCTTTCGCAGAATCGAATGCCATATGGCGATGGGCTTTTTATATGAACCTCTATGTAGCGGCACTTTTCGCGCCCGTTTCTATTTGGATTTCCCTCGTTCAAGCCACGAGGTGGTTTCAGATTTGCCATTCTGCTTTGCGAATGTGACTCCATAGGTACCATCCTAATCCTAAGTGTTGATGCCACCATGTCCCTTTTCATGGCCATCAACTTCGGTGGTGCGCCGTATGCATGGTGAAGTGGCCAAACAATTGCCCTATTCGTCACCTCGATCGTATTGTTTCTTGGCTTCGGCATTCAGCAGCATCTGTCACTGTCCAGCGGTGTGACTGCTAGGATATTCCCTTGCTATTTTCTGGGCAATTTTAATGCCGTGCTCTTATATATCTGTGCGTCGGCAATCAACACCTCCGCATTTGTCTCAATTTATGATATCCCTCTCTACTTTCAATTTACTCATGATGATGACGCTATGCCTTATTGCCGAGATAAGCACCCACGAGACACTGCGAATGATACACATATAAATTCAGTTCCTGGGTGTCGGGCCTATGCGTCCTTCAAGCTTTGTCCATGTCTGGTTATTTGTCGATTTGCACATCTCTGTGTGCTTATACCAGAGTAATCTCCACGTAATTTCTGATTGACTGGTGTTTGTAACACTATTTATACTATGATGATTCATATATAGAGTGATATCATTTACTTCCTAAACCCAGCCTACAACTTCTGCATAGCGAGAACATCAGAAGACTGAACATACTCCTCGAAATCCTGAATTTGCTCCTGAAGTTCATCAGTAGACACCTTGTCATCTTCAACAACTAAATTGATCTGCAGCTTCTTGATACCGAAACCAATAGCGACTAGCTTAGATTGACCCCATACCAAACCATCCTTCTTAATACCACGAACGGCCGTCTCGAGGGCAACCATGTTGGTCTCGTCATCTGCAAATCTAGTTAGTTCATATAGCATTAAAATCCCGTTTAAAACCATAATCTCTATGAGCAGGTAACACTCGAAGAGCTGAATACAGGTCTGGATGTGACGTACCCCAGGGCTTCACGTCCAGAGTAACAAGAGACTTGGCTGCGGGCTTGACTTTTCCCTCTTTCCTCTTGCGGTACTCGGCGAGACGTTCCTCGCGGATACGAACCGCCTCTTCATTCTCCTCCTCATCGTCACTGCCGAAGAAATCGACGTCATCATTATCCTCATCAGGGGCAAGGACCATAGAGTGGTCCATATTGATCTCTGCGACTTCTGGGCCATAGGCAGTATAGGGTTTGGTAGCATCTCCAATAAGAGTAGAGAATTCGTCTTCAAAGGTGGCAATGTGTGTGTACCATCGAGCGGCTTGAGGGTACCTGACAATATCGGGAGAACTCTTGAGAGCCTTGAAACAGATAACATCGGCTTGTGTGGGAGCAAGGCTATTCGTGGTAATTAGAATATAATGGAACAGGGGCCAGTGTGGAGTTGTAGTGCAGGTTTGATGTATGGTGATGGTCAAAGAGAGTATATATCAGCCAGCGGCTTATACATATTGTATGATAAAGGAAGCGTACAATTCTGTCCAAAAGCTTAAGGACATTCATTGCATAGCCTTTATATCGTTGATACACGTTGGATTTGTCGAGAATAATTAGAAGAAATTAAACATACCCGGTGATATAAGAACGAGTCAACAACCAGTTATCAAGCACTGAATCGCTGTCAGCAAAGCAGAATGCATTTATGGTAGACATTTCCGGCTTATGAAGCGGCTTACCAGTAACGCCAGTATCAGTAGAGAGGTTAGTAAACCCCATAATGTCGTCAACGCAGGTGTAGCGATCAAGGGGATCAAGGGGTTAACAACGGACAAGAGGGGACGATTTAAGTTCCGAGCAAAGGAAGGTGGAAGACTTGGTCCCTATTTAAGGAATAGAGATTGCGCCTACCCCCAGCCTGTCTTTTCCAACCGGCGAACCCCACCGCTACAAACCTATGAGTCACAGGTATCAACCCCAATGACTCTACCATAGTATACAATCACTGGGTGTTTAATGTTATCTTATACAAGGTCTTTAATTATCATTTGGATTGAAGCAGCTCTAATCCTGATTCCGTAATACTTTTTATCTTACTTAATCCAACGTATCCAGTTTGTCTAGCACTGCGGACGACTCGACTGCCTAAGATATAGATGTCAAAGGGGATTCACTTCCTTCGCTCTTAGATACAGAAGGCCGACGAGCAATCGCTAGGGTTGAGTTACTTGTAGCACCATTGCGCATCTCGGCCTGTTTTAAATAGCCCAAACGAATATTTGCGGAACTATAACCCGACACACTGGCAGCTGCCTTATCTTGACGGAAAAAGGCGTATATGGAGCGTGAGATGGAGACATTTGCGGCAATGATGCCTAAGAAAAGTTCAAGGTTGGACCAAATTGCTGATACTGTGTAATCCCCTGCCGTTTGTTCTGTTAGGTGGGTTGATATAGAAGGTCCCAGTGCTTTAAGGGAGATGATGTACATACAACTAAGATCAATGGTCACCAGGCCAAGAGAAGCGGCCCTAACTACACCAAACGCTGTAGCGCTGCCACACACAATTTAGCTATTATTATGAATCATGATTGACGCTCCGGGGTTGTCACAATAGGCTTACAGCAGGCCAAGGCTCATTAAGCCACACACGGCAACTTTAGTATGCATCTTGATACCAACGCCCCACACAACATACAAAGGAAGCAACGAACAGAGGATGTCGGTTGCGACTGAATATGCTATTGCGAAGTAAATAAGATGTTAGCGGCTTCTACCAGTATTACGAAGTCCCCTTCAACTTTACCTATAGTAAGATATATAGCATAAATGCGAATCCTTGTATCCCAACACTTCCCACCTTGTTGGGTCCAGTACATGGATGGAGGAGAGCATTCTGCGACGAGAATGAAAATGGAACCAAAGTTGGTGGCGAAGAGACCTATAACCACGGCGAAAAGGGTTCGGCGGACCTTGGTTTCATCCCTAAGACGTACAATCAAGAATAAAATGGAGGACTTCAAGAAACACACGCTAGCAAAGAGGAGAATTTGTGCGTACCACCCTAACATATTGTTAGTGATGTAGTCGGACTCGCTAATATACCAACGGTGGCGACCGTTGTTATAGATTGTAACTTGGACCACTTGAATGGCCATTCGAGCAAGTGCTAACACACTGACGATAATGATGCAGTAGTCATCCAAGCCCTGCGCATCGAGAGAAAAGCGAGTGTAAATCCTCAGGCCAGTCGTTAGAAGCATAAAGCCGGTTAGAATGCTTGTAACGACAATGAGTGTAATCCCGATGTCCCGGTTCGGTGGAAGGGGACCAGGTGGTGGTGTGCGAGCCATGGTGACTGATCTTATCACACTCGCAGAAGTTAAGCATATAAAAATGTAGAGCAGTATTTATGGTCATATGTGCACCTCATCAATCGACGGACAGCGCATATGAAAGAGAACGAACTTTAGTACCCCCTGAACGATCCTCGCCGGCCAAGGTGCCCTGGAGATTCTTTGTCTTAGTTGAATTGGATCAATTAAATGGTACAGGGAAGCTTGCGACATAGCCCATTCCGCTAAAGGCGATTGGCCTTATGTCTAAAAGCGACTTCAACTACTCGTATGTAGGCAATCTGTGACCAGGGGGCTTGAGGTAAGGTGTCGTTGCTGTTGGTTGCAAATTCTTCGCGTCACTTTCTTCATGGACGCAAGAGATTGGGGTCGTTGGCCCGTTGCTAATATGCAATCCACGCTTGAAACACATGGGAGACATGTACAGGCTCATATGGCGGAAGGATTCATGGTGAAGAGACTGCATGGCCTTGCGATTCCGGATCCCCCGATCCTTGTTCCGTAGTAGCGAAGGTGACACACGATTCCCTCCAGTTTTTAAGGCTGTTGGTTGACCCATGTTACCTCTGGACCCATGACAAGGGTTCTTAACCAGTGTGCATCTCCAGACCCTGGTCTCGGGGCCAAGATGTCCCTTTCGATCGCAGGGTTCACTTCGGTTAGAATGGCGAAATCAGAAGAGTCCAGCGCCGAATACGAGTAAAGGAGCGTGATTCTTTCTCCTCTACGGGGTAGGCCTAGAACTGTCAAGATCCGAAATTGCCCGGTGCTGTTGGTCGATTCTAAACGGCACATTTAGGCAATATGCAATGAGCTTTTTGTGTCTGTTGTCCGAATGTAACGCAAAGGCGGTGTAGTGTTTCGTTATAGGCTTTTGCACCTATTGCAGCGCAGATTATGAAGAATGCAGATATCCTGCGGTGGGTTTTGTGGGCTACCGGGAGATTGCATATATCTGTGAGTGCTGAAGCTGTTACTATTCTCCTCTTCTTGCTCCAATCTCCCTCAGGCTCGATTAGGCTCAACCACATTGTGAATCAAGAGAATGGCACGATCGATCTTTACAGCCTGGCTCGTAGCAGCTGTGGCCGCCCCAATTGCCACCGCTGGTTCCAATTCTGTCCAACTTCAAGTTTATGACTATGTATGTTCAGTGCTAATTCGAAAAGTCTTCATCTTCAAGTAGACTCGTCATAAACCTGAATTGTAGCCACTAACGCTTTATTACAGGTGGTAGTGGGAGGAGGCACAGCTGGCTCAGCACTGGCGACTAGGCTAAGCCAAGGCCTGCCAGATAGAACCATCCTATTGATCGAGGCCGGCCCTGAAGCGTTGGACGAAGATCGCATAAATATTCCCGGCATGAAGGGGTCGACACTCGGCACTTTGTATGATTGGAACTTTACTACTGTGCCGCAAATTGGGCTCAATGGTCGAGTTCTCGGAGCCAATAGAGGCAAAGTGCTTGGTGGAAGCTCAGCATTGAACTTGATGACATGGGATCGATCCGCCTCTGAGGAATACGACGGCTGGGAGCAACTGGGTAATCCCTCTTGGAACTGGAAGAACATGATCGCCGCAATGAAGGAAGTGGAGACATTCACAGGTATCAATTCATCCGACTATGGCGACCAAGGAGTTGGCACCAGTGGACCAATCCATACCATAATAAATAGGGTTATACCCGCACAGCAGGAGCTATGGTTGCAATCTATGGCTGGTTTGGGGATCCCGCATAACTTAAATTCCTTGGGTGGCAATCCTATCGGATATATGAACCAGCCTAGCAACATCGACTCGCGAACATGGACGAGGTCCTACGCCGCTAACTCTTATATCCCAGAATCAGGGAGCAACTTACATCTGCTACTAGAGACACGCGTAGCCAAAGTGAATTTACGGAAGGGTCGAAATTCACACACTGCGACCGGTGTTACGCTGCAAGACGGCACTATTATCGGCGCTAGAAGGGAGGTTATTCTATCCTGCGGCGCTATCCAAAGCCCTGGCCTGCTAGAACTGTCCGGCATAGGTAGCAAGGCGGTGCTATCTAGGGCTGGTATAGATCAGATTATTAATCTTGAGGGTGTAGGAGAGAATTTGCAAGACCACGTTCGGTACCAAGCATCATACCAATTGAAGGACAATTTTACCTCATTTGATATACTCAAGTACAACACCACATATGCGGCCACACAGCTGGCATTATGGCATGCAAACCAGACTTCTTTATATGATTATACTGGTAGTGGGTACAGCTATCTGGACTGGTACCAGGTGGTAGGCAATATGGCTACGAAGCTCAATTCTCTGGCCCAAGACGTGGTACTTTCTCTTGGGTCGGTTGTCGATAAGAAAAAGCTACAGTATATTGGATCACCTTTATCACCCCAAGTGGAAGTTATTTTTTCAGATGGCTACACTGGAGTCAAAGGATACCCCACTGTCGGTTCACCTCTGTACGGAAAGGGCTTCTTCACGCTTATTGGCGTCGTGATGCATCCTCTCAGCCGCGGCACCATTCATATAACTTCTGCTGATGTCGATACGAAACCGCAAATTGACCCACAATACCTTTCTAACGAGTACGATGTACAAGCCGCTATCGAGGCTATTAAGTACTGCCGCAAGATTGCAAACTCGTCGCCTCTCTCTTCAGCATGGGTATCTGAGTTTGAACCGGGGATGGCTGTGCAGACGGATGAGGACTGGCGTCAGTACGTTCTCAACACTACACTTTCTATATATCATCCTGTAGGAACATGCGCAATGCTCCCCAAGAAAGATGGTGGAGTGGTAAACCCACAGCTGATCGTTTACGGCACCAACAATCTGCGTATTGTGGACGCAAGCATCATACCTGTTCTTCCGTCTGCACATATTCAAACGGCAGTATACGGCATCGCCGAGCGTGCGGCTCGATTTATTATTCATAAATCATAGCTTTACCAGACAGTATCGTCATGAACAGGTTCGGATGGGTGTGAAACTGTACATCGAATATATATACTGCATCAATCTGTAATATAGTGTTGAGTCTATGTTTGGAATGGTAACCACTATGTAACACTACTCACCTTTGAAATATAGATATAGTAGCCAAATTAAATTGAGATGAAACGTATATATAACCACTGCTCCCAACCGTCAATATAAGATACACCAGAGTCGAGATCTCGAGGAACGTCAGTAGTTCCCCTGCATCACACAGCATACCTCAATTGATATAATGTATTTAACCCCCAAAAAGGGCATTGAATACTTCAAAAATTATCATTTTATTTACAAGCGTTGTAGAATTCATTCAATGTGAGCCAAATGTTGTTGCCGAAAGAAGGCTCCATTGCCTCGCTTTTGGAGAAGCTTAGTGACGGATCTCTGTGTTATAATCTGACTAGAATCCAAGACTATCACACGATCACAATCTGCAATAGATAGGAGGCGATAGGCGATGGTTCAAACGGTTATTTTCATCTGCAATATTCGATAGCAGCCCTGCCTGAATAAAAACATCTGTGGCAAGATCAATGAGCTCTGTGGCCGCTTCGTCTAGAGTGAGGATCCGAGAGCACGGAGCAGTTCCCACGCGATGCACGCCAAGCGTTGTTGACCCATTGATACGGGCGCAGCTGGACGGTCTAGATCTCCAGAGGGGATAGATTGGGAGAACTGTAGTCTTTGTAAAACATCCCCAAGATTATCGTCAACGGATCCAGGTTATCGCGCAATCTGCCTCCAAAAAGAATAGGATCTTGCAGTACCACAGTTACTGCCCATCGTCAACACACCAAGTTTAATGGGGCAATACTTCCACCATCAAGAGTGATGCGGCCAACGACAGCCTCAAGTGCTCGAATCAGGGCCAGCGCCAATGTTCTTTTGCCCGCCCCGGTACGCCCGACCACCGTTATTCGTTGTCCAATATGGATAACGATCTTTGAATCAATTATAGCTGGACTGATATCCGGAGTATATGGTGCAAGTATGTCCTTGGAAACGTATATGATTGTGAATAGGCCACTAGTAGAGAAATGTCGTAGAATGATGGATCGAGTGGTTCACTCGGCTCGGGCTTGATCTCTATGTATTATACAAGCCGCTCAACTAAGTTTAAGCTGTGCTAAACTAATGCCTATAACTAGACAAACCAAAGCACATTATGCTGAAAGTGGCAGCGTAGGTGAGTACAAGGCCAGCAATTCCTGCACCCACGGCTCCTCTACCCTAAGCAAGAGACTTTTTCCATTAGCCAAGAAATTAGAACGCTCAGAGAAGCGATGCGTAATGTCAGCTATTCTTCAGCCGCATAGATCAGAACGTAAGTCTGATTGTATCTACAGCTTACTATATGAGCTGATGCCCGCTAAGGCGTTCATAGGGGTGAGCAAAGCTGCTGCATTGATCATGGTCTTCCAGTTCGAGGCCGCCTAGATAGATTGCGGTCACCCCGTTCGATCAAGGTTATCGCTATCTATTATCGCTATCTAGAAGGGGAATTGAGTTGATACCCTCCGGGGGCGCCTGCAGCGGGCTTTGCCTGCGGCGTTTTATGGGAGCCCGATAGTAGTGTTTGGTATGTACAGAGAGCTGCTTCTCTCTATTTTCAAACAAAATATGTCATATTATAATTAAACATTATTTGAATACGCTGTATGTAGATTAACATCTAGGTGTGCTGTAGAGTTCGCTGTAACGTGATATGTGGGGAGGTGTGGTAGGAACATCGCGATACAGCATTTGCAAACGCAACAACACCAAAAAAAAAAGTAAACTATACATAGCGGGCGGTCATAAATGGCACAAAAACGCGGATCTGTCCAATTGCCAGTCAGTATTTCAGTTTCTGGCTAGTGATTGTGGTGGCTTGTTGGTTTTTTTTTCCACATTAATAAAGCAAATCTGGAAGCAGCTTTTCACTGAGTTTCCAACTTCGCAAAGCTGCTTCGCAGCTTTGCTCAATCAATTTATGCTTGGCAATTATTTCAGATGTATTAAGCACACATTTCTCTTCATGAAAGATGTTAAGTTTGGGTTTACTCATATGGTAAGTATAATAGTCAATTTGCATCTCAACCTTTATCTATTATGATTTATGCGCTTCAGCCAATGATAGCTTAATTTCTAAAGTTGAACTTGATCAGTTGTTCCCGATTACATTAAGAGGAGATTTGATGTTGAATGTAGTGCCAAGAGCTGAGACGGGACCATTTACTGGATTGGCCATTATAGCGCTTTATCCATTGGTCTTACAGCGAATATGATTTCTATAAAACACCCAATATATTTGCTATGAAGTTGATGAAACTTAGTATTTACAATGACCTTATTCTCTTGCTACTAATTTCTTCTGCAGTCTTCTTAGGGGCTATCAACTTGCGCATTCACAATGTCTAATTAATATTTTCCCTCCTTTCCTCCCTTCCTTCTTTCTTTCTTTCTTTGACTCTATTCCCAGTTGGCTTACGAAGGGTGGAGCCAACGGGCAGTGTTGCATTTTTAAAGAACGCTTCTGCTGATGACGCAAGGTTAATGATATACATTATATGACTTTTTACTACATACTATGTAGTGAGGAGCTATGTTCAAACCCAAGCTTGAAAGATATCCGCAATACCATAAATAAATAGCATAGTGGCTTCACTAGACAGGCGGTAGAATATATATAGGAGAACAGGGTCCTGGACTAACAAGTATGATGCATAGTTTAAGCAGAGACACAAAATTCTTTAGCTTGTGTTTTACCTCCGACGTGAATCGTAGTTCGCTTCAAGGATCTTATAGACGAGGGGGAATACCTTGGACACGGATGGAGGGGGCGCGAGATAAAATATACTTTTAAAGCAACGATGAACAGGTAACATGTGGCAGATTGGATGTAACTAAGCTGTTCTATCCCTTCGAGTGCCGTATGGCCCAAGTAAAGTACCAGTATCCACTTTTCATCGACGCAGAAAAACTACTTCAGAGAACTTTATTGATCAGCAAAAGAGCCACAAATTACTACACAGAATACCTAAGCCATGTGACTCCTTGTAGCGGGCTAAATCGCGGGACTTTTATTGTTAGCTGATTATAGCGGGCAGTCGATGTATCTTAATTTGGGACGATTTAATTGGCTACCTAGTACCTCATCATCCCAGAAAGATACGTTGGTTGGGCTATACGGCAGTTAATAAAGGGATGCAGGCTCAAATAGTAGATATATCTACCGGTACTCCCTTGTTCCTGAATATGCAATGCTACACCATAGTTGCGTCGGATTGGATCGCATAAACCCAAGCTTCAACGCTAAAAGTGTGCCACTTATACGCTCATTCACCAGGGTAATACGCTCATTTAACGTCTCGTTTGCGCAGCCAGGTAGCGTGTAGCTATTCTGGTATTCCGAATTGTGGGTCACATTTACTCGGTAGTTCATTTGTCCTTTACCCTGACAAGCCTGACATCACTATACTCATAGAAGGGAGAAATGGCATTCTAGCTCATTCAGTTCAGTAAGATGGAAGATGCTTTTCAACGGTGTAGTCTCGTAAGCTGGCGCACGTTTTATAAACACTTGATTAAGACAGGAGTTTTATGCAGGATGTGGTATCTTTTTCTACCTCTCTCACCAAGACACAGTATTTGAGTCTGAGAACCGCAACCCTGAAAGTGTACTAACAGGATTCTTTCAACGACGATTTCTTGTTAGGCAGCCGGCTCGGAACTCCCGATCGAGTAAACAAAATCCTTCAGCGGGGATGATCATCAGGCTATACTAGGATAGGAAGCTATGACAAAATTGAAGCAGGTTTAAGCATTCAATGGGGTAAATGTCCATGTTCGCAGTCTTAGGCTTTCTTGGCTGTAAGTTTCCTTGCTCGAGATATAAAAAGTACCTGTGTCCCCGACAATTCTGACGATGGCTATAGTTATATCAACGTGTCCAGCAGTAGTCCGCTATTTATATTCCAAGAATGTTTTACCCAAGGATATTTCTACCATTACTCATTTCTATCGGAGTTCTAGGTAACCCTGTCAGTCTCGATCAACGATCACCCGGCGTCGTGGCTCAGGCTGGCTCGCCCATTGTTATTGACACAAATGGAGGATATGTTCGGGCAAGCAAAGCCAACAATGGGGGCTTGATTGCAGGTTATACCGCTCATGAGAACAATCAGAGCATTCTTAGGCTTGCTGGCTCCAGCGATGGCGGTACTTCATGGCACTTCGTTGGCGAAGTCTACCGTGCTGATTCAACTGCCTATGATGTTGATAACGCTATGCCCCTGCAGCTTCCTAGTGGACGTATCGTATACGCATATCGAAACCATGATCGCTCAGGAGGCTCTTACACATATTACCGAATTACGCTTTCGTATTCCGATGATGGTGGCGCTAGCTTTCTTTACCTATCAACCGTGGAGCAGCAAGCAGCCACCCCGGGTACCCTTAATGGCCTCTGGGAACCTTTTCTCCGTCTTGCTGCAGACGGTTCGCTGCAGTGCTACTATTCTGCTGAGAACAATAGTAATGATCAGGACGGCTTTATGAAGCGTTCCACTGATGGAGGGTTGACTTGGTCGAACTGGATCCCGGTCTCTGGAGGTGATCGCACATCGCGCGATGGGATGATTGGTGTCGCGAATATCAACAACTCTGGTAATTTGATGTGAGCTTACACTGTCATCTATTCACAACGATACTGTTTTAAACTAATGCTTATTCGTGTAATCAGTGCCGTTTTTGAGAATACGGAATCGGGTGCCTTTTCTATCGACTATGTTCTGTCGCATGATGATGGCAATTCCTGGGGACAGCGAGCGCGTCTATATACGGCACGCAATGGGAAGAACGCAGGGGCTCCCCAGGTGGTCAATGTTGGTGGCACTCTTGTTACAAGCTTTATGACAAACGAGGATGTGGACGGCATTGGCCCCAATGGTATCGATGGAGCCCAGATGAAAGTTGTTACTAGCACCAACGGAGGCTCTACGTGGAGCGGAGCCACTGTCACAGGTAATGCGAGCTCGCACTGGCCCGGGCTGTATACCCTTGATCAAACGCATTTCCTTGCACTCTATTCCAAAGATGGCTTGGGAGTAGTCAGTCAAGAGTATCAACTAGTCAATTGAGTACAACCTAAATGGATCCGGCAAACTGTATGTGCTATGAAGGGTTGAAATACACCCAGAGTTGCACCTTTAGTAACGCGACTATAGCGCTATCTAGGTTTATGTTATAACAGTAATTGTGTCATTAATAGGAAGGTCATGCGGCGCAATCACGGCATTTAACATTCAGTTTTCGGTAGACAATGACAATGCTTAGAAAATACCACACAAATATCGACGATGAATACAAAACCATTTATTGTTGCGTCAGCCCGTGAAGATTCTCCCCAGTCTACCGGTTTCAGTGGTGATTGAGCTTGCACTTGAGCAAAAGGCGAAACCATGGAGCCGAATTTCTCAATCGCACTGCGCAGAGTTACGTGAATCTTATCAGTCTTCTGTTCTTTTGCATGTTTCATCGCAATGTTTGCTTGTCTAAGGGGGCGACATCCAGCCGTATGATGCTCTATTTCCCTCCCTAACGACCTCCATGTGGGAGTCTTCATCTCGAGATCGTCGTGCAAGAGTGACGCTAGTCTCGTTGTTCCTTGATCTTTGTACATAGCTGCCAATAGGCCAAAAACATCCAGAGGGTCACAACGCAGGAAGATACAAGGATGTGAATGTTCAACTTACGTTAATGGTAGCTTTATGCAGTGATCCAATGCTCAGCAATATCACAAGCCTAGCATCAAAGATAGGATCACATCATGTTCTTAATTTCAGCCTCAACCAAATCTGGATTCTGATCCTTTCGTGCTTCAGATGATTGGTCGCTTGATTGACGCCGCAACGCCTCCCGCAGCAACAGCCTGCGCCGGATGGGAGCACCGCTCTAGTTGCCGCGACGCACCTCGTAGTAGGTATTTTATCCACTGCGAAGGCATCGTTTACGTGCAGAGGAATCACCATCGATGTACTTTTCCGTCTGATACAACATGGAACAGCAGCTAATGGCATTCTTTCTAGAGTGATATATGGAGTTATTCTATACAATTTCCCTACATATAATTGAAGCGATCAGCAATTTTAATATTAATGTAAGTTACGCGGGCCGGTTGAAATCTGTGATTCGGGTCTGTTTAAGTGGACCGAGTTGCCGAATTACCATGTTTTCCGTGTTTTCCGCTGTGCACTGATAAGAGTTTTCTTGTCTCTATCTTTACGCGAGTCGAGTTTCAACACCTTTCTTGTCTGTCTATGATGTCTTTCCTTCCTTTCTCCTGTTTCCCCATTTCTCTGTTTATTTTATGTTTGTCTCCCCTCTTTTGGTCTTGCGCGAATGAGTCTCGTTTTCTCCATCCAACACCACACCGATGGAGAAGGTCGAGAATGACGCTGCAACTGATGGCTCCAAGCCCACGTTGGAGAGCCAGATCTCAGAAGGCGCAGTGGCGCTCTCTAGCGGATTCTTCGCTCGCGTAAACCAGCGACTTCTCACCTCTAAGCACTTCGAGGCTCGCGGCATCGAGCGAGTGCCAGTGACGGAGCGGTTAGAGAAAGTTGGTGCCTCTAGCTACATGCAAATGACGATGCTGTGGTTCAGTTCCAACATAACCGCCAACAACATGGCGGTTGGCATGCTTGGACCTCTTGACTATTCTCTAGGTGTCACGGATGCAGCGCTATGCGCGACATTTGGCGCCATCTTGGGAGCCATGGGAGTTGCCTACATCAGCACGTTTGGCCCAGTTAGCGGGAATCGCACGATGGTATGAAAGAGTGTCTCCCCTTTTCTGTTCTTTTTTTAGAAAAAAAATTAAGTCTTGCGTGGGTAAACCCAATAATGTCCCTGTATCTCTAATGGTTAATATTCCAAGGTTTTGGCAAGGTATTTCATGGGCTATTGGCCTAGCAAGATTTGCACCATCCTGAACATTGTGATTATGCTGGGTTATGGCATGATCGATTGTCTTGTTGGGGGACAGATCCTGTCCGCAGTCGCTGATGGCCAACTCACCGTCATTGTCGGCATCGTCATAATTGCCGTTATCTCTTGGATTATCGTACTTTTTGGGATGTCAATCTTTCAGACATACGAAAGGTAGGCAGGCCGACTTCCCTTTCCATCGCTTGCGTGTCGAGTGTCTTGTAGGTTGACCGAAATGATGCAACTCTAGATGGGCATGGCTTCCGCAGCTCATTGCAGCCTTTATCTTGGTCGGTTCTGCTGGCCCTAAATTTGACACTTCCATCCAGTCAACTGGGAGTACTTCGACCATTAATGGCAACCGTCTCTCTTTTTTCTCCCTTTGCCTGGCCTCGGCCGTGGCCTGGGCCCCCGCAGGAGCGGACTTTTACGTCTACTACCCGGAAAACACCAAGAAATGGAAGACGTTCGCTATGACGACCGCGGGCATCGGTCTGGCGATAGCTTTTGCCAACCTCTTAGGTGTTGGCCTTGCGTCTGGCACCTTCACTGAGGCATCATGGAGCGATGCTAACCATGTGTCATCTGGAGCCCTTGTCGTTGCGGGCTACCAAGGGCTAGGAGGGTTTGGAAAAGTTCTAGGCGTTATTGTGGCCCTCGGCCTTGTGGCGAACAACATCCCCGGTACATATTCTGCCGCTTTGTGTTTCCAAGTGCTGGGTCGATACGGTGCGCGAATACCCAGGTGGATCCTTTCATGTGTTGGTGTAATCATCTACACTGTATGTGCTTTGGGTGGGCGCAACAACCTCTATGACATCTTTGAGAATTTTTTAGCTCTGATGGGCTACTGGGTTACCATCTTCCTAGTAATCACTCTGGAAGAACATTTGATATTCCGCAGAACCCGCGGGTTTGACTGGACAGCTTGGTCTGACCCGAAACGGCTGCCGCTGGGTCTTGCCGCGTTCACAGCGTTTGTTATTGGATGGATCGGAGCAATCCTTTGCATGTACCAGATTTATTATGTTGGTCCTATTGCTAAGCTTGCCAGCCCAACTGGCGCTGATCTTGGCATTTGGGTTGGCTGTTCATGGGCTATGATAGTATTTCCCCCTTTGCGCTGGCTAGAGATTCGTAATATTGGTCGGTAATGAATGCTACCTACTACCTTCATAGACAATGACACGGCAAAACTATGATGAATTATGATCTAGTCATTCTACACTCTTTATCCGTTGCCTCCCGTAATTAATATAGCTAGGTAAATTAATTGATGAAGACTTTCGTTCCGGATGTCTCCTTATCTCCGAACCAATCCCAGATATCTTGAAGCAAAAGATCAGGCACTTCATAGGCCGCAAAGTGGCCGCCATGGCTGTGTACATTTCGCCTTTTAACGTTTCCTCCACGCTTGGCCCACTCTAAAGGCATCCGATAAGTGATATCATAAGGAAACTGACTGATCGCCGCCGGCACCTCCACCAGTGGGAGAGTGCCAAAGTCAGCCGCCTCCAAACCCCCATCATTGGCAACCTCCTTGTAGAAACGCATACCGCCATAAGGGCCCTGTATGTAGTACATCATCGACCAGGTGATGATCTCTTCGGGAGTCCAAGATTTGACTGTTGGGTCGATGACCTCATTCATCAAAGCAAAGATCCACATTGCATAACCCAGCGGAGAATCCGACATGGCAAAAGCCGCTGTAAGAGGCTGTGTTTCTTGCATAGCACGATATCCAGATGCCTGGTTGATATATGTTTCCAAAATGTTAATGTAGGTGACCTCATCCGGAGTTGATAACCCCTGCGCAAGCCTGCGGAGGTCATTGTCCCCTGGCTGGATGATCCAAAAGTTGCTAAGCACGGAGACGACATTCTTCGGAAAAAGATGGGCCTGGAAACGAAGAATAACACCCCCGAAATCGCCGCCCTGAATGACATATTTCTGATAACCCAATTGATTCATTAATGCGTTAAAGGCATGAGAGGTTTCCACCGGACCAAACCCAGGGCGCTGAGGTGCCGGAGAAAATCCAAATCCAGGTATTGACGGAGCGACTATATGAAACGCCGGCACAGATCTGTTAGGAGGGTTTGTTAAGGCATCGATGATATTGCTGACTTCGAGAAACGAGCCTGGCCAGCCATGGATAAAGAGCAACGGAATGGCATCGTCGCGCGGCGAACGGTGGTGAACAAAGTGTAATGGAACTCGATTTGAGCTATTCCCCATAATGGGTGCAACAACCGTCGTGAATTGTTTCAGCCTTGTCAATTTTCGTTAGTACAGTCGCCAAGACACGCTCATAGCTATGTACTCCGGCTCACTTTCTATTAATGGACGCCTCGGCAATGTTCCAGTCATATTCATTGGCCCAGTAGTCTCGAACGTTGGTGTAATTTTCAGGGCTTGGGCCTTCGCCCATCGCTCCCAAAAATACCGGAGCCCTGGCATGTGCGACTCGAAGTCGTGTGTCCTCAATGAACTTTCGGTCAACACGGATCTCAAACGGCTTGGGAGACTTGCTGAACGTCGCGTTCACGTTTGGGACGGAAAACGCGCCCACTGCGGTGCAGAGGGTAATGAGGAGGGCAATGTTGATTGGCTCAATCATTTTGACACTACTAAATGATTGTTGTATAGGAAACAACGACTGTGTTGTTTATAAGGGCCGGTATTCATAATATATATGGAAGTTGAGACGGCCGTCCCAGTGATTTAAACACCGGCAGTACCAGTCAAGCCCACATAAAGGCGGTCTTGGAATAATACATACGTCTCTCAGTATCCACCTATTCTATTCACTTACTAATGGTAATCCAAATGATCATGCAATAATCTCCTAAAGCCACAGGGTGCAGTAATAGGGTGAATGTGGATTGTATTTCTAAGTATGACTGTTTTTTTTACTACTCCTGAGGCTAGATGAACGCGAAGGAGCCTGATAGACCTCAGACTCAGGAAATCTTACCCTCGCGCTATATCCGCGAAAGATCGGATATAAAACATTCTGTTTTAGCGTGGTTCCTACGAGTAAAATGTCTCAGTTGAAAACTGGTCTATAATATTCTCTGCATAATCGATCTTACTCATCTGGAACAATCCCCTTGTTTGTAAAGATGAATAATTACTACAATTTACAGCAATCTCTCGTAACTTGCAAAATCGAAATCCCAAAATTTTTCGTCAGCGGTGAGTCCCTCGTCCCATGTCTGCCATTCCATAGGATTGAATGCCATAACGGATTCTAATTTATTAAATTCATCAATATCTCCCCCAATATCTAACGCAACGTGGTTGAACTCTGGGGAATCGATCGGAATATGAGTATTCACTGATTGGCTCTCCGGGGCCTTTGAAGCCTCACCGAGGCTCTCCTTCGTATCGATGAAGCCGGCTTTATATGGTTCATTTTGGGGGCGCATTTGTAATGTCGCCGATGCTGAATACCTCTCTCGATGAGCTTCGGCGGCGATAATAAGCTTATTTAGTCTATTCCACGATGGACTTGTTTTTATCCTGTCTTGGGTTTCTTCCAAAATTAGGCGCGTTAGCGCCCACCCCTTTTCAGAAATCGCCGACCAGGGAGACTGGCAGAGCTGAATGAACACCACGCCCATCGAAGTCCAAGGAAAGACTCCTTGTAGATGCCATCTCCATCTCTTCCAAGAAGGCTCCGTTCGTAGGCTATGGGTTGTTTTGAGAATATCTATTGATAAGCCTAAACGATGCTGCATCATTTCCTGAGATGGCATTTGAGGGAGCTCTTTCAAATTGTGAAAATGCTGCAGATATATCGTGTGCTCGACTCTGGAAACAGCAAGTGATGTCATGGTCTTGGTTAGAGACGTTAGAGCATGGTTTGAAGATACTCTTGGCATGGATATATTCTCTAATCTTGATCTCGTCCGATTGAAAGCTTCGAGTTTCTGCTCCAAAGTATTTGGCGCATTTGCGTTCAAGAAACGACACAATTGCCATATTTCACATCGCATGATGCAAATAATGGATAGATTTTGTGCGTCGGGAGGATCCAAGAATGTTCTTATCCCATCTTCCAATATATGACTCGGAGTTTTAGTGTCAAACATAGTGTCTGATGCCGACAGTCCTACGGCATGTTTTGATCGGGATCTTGAGTCGAGAAAGATTATCTGCCACCATAGTCGGCGACGTATCTCAACCTCAACTTGGGTCAGAGCAGGCGTTTTGAAGTTATCAGCGTCTCTGTGCAGCTGTAGGGATGTCGCAATCCTCAGCAACAGACCTATAAATGGCGATGATAATTCTTGGCCTCCAATGTATGGTAGAAGAGAGAGATAGATTACGAATGCTTGGATAGTCTCAACATCCTTCGTAGTCAAAAGCCCGGCATTCGCGAGTGCCCTCTCTGTTCCAAGGCGAAATCGAGCAAGTAGCTGAATTCTGGGAGTATCAAAACAAGCCATAGTCTCTTCTTCATCCAACGATACGATTGCTGCCAAAGATTCCGCAAATAGTAGGGCCTGTTGGCTAGGCTCTAGAGAATCGAACTTGTCTCTCAGATTAGTTACCACCTCTTCCAGAGCTGCAATATCAATGACGTTAATGAATGGGACGATGTTCTCCACATATGTCCGCCAGAGAAAAAACATCTGAGATGGTAAGGGGTATAAATCATGGAGGCTTTGAGGGGTTCCTCTTGTATACTGATTCCCTAAATAAAAATCCGAACAGATGATATTCGATGTCACTTGGCTGTTCGATGAAGTAGCCTCGAGGTTTGAGCCTGATATCTCGGACGCCACATCTTGAATACCCTGAAATATGTTCTCGACCTAATTAATTTCCATTAGCCTCTCAGCTGTGGACAAGTATAAGAAGTTCAGTCACACTTCACTGCAGAAAATAGTCCAGAAACCCTTTCCGATTTGCAGACCAGCTTCTTTTCCAACCACCAATCTGCCAAAGTCTTCATTCATGTCTCCTTGAAATGAAGACCTCATGGCAGATATTAATTCACCAGCCGCCATGGGCGATTCCATATTTGATAGTCCCCGTTTCCCGACATCAGCGTTGACTGACTCTGCGGAATGGATGCTACCCGTGGCACTGGTCAATGTCGCCGGGAACAGGGAGTGGATCTTGTCTGGACCATCTTCCACTTGTGCTGCAAGTTCTGTAACAAGTGATTCAAGGCGCCTCAATCGGTCTAGTAGCTCAGCTTGCTTCTCAGTTGGCGACTTCCATGCCGCGGGATCTCGTCGGCGTGGAAGACGACCAGTGACTGGGAAGTGGCATTCGATCTGATTCTTGACGCAATTGAAGCAAGGGTCTCTTCTATCGCACTTTACTTTGCGACGCCTACATGTAATGCAGCTCCATATTCTTAAACTGTCATCGGCGATGGCGGTCTCTCCGGCTCCAAAATGATTGGCAGACATGGTGGCGGCAGAAGCAGAATCTATCAATATGGCTTAGACAGGCTCTGTCAGCACAGCGGACAACGGCAGCGTATCGGACGGTAACGTTGCGACAGAAGAAGAATTCTCGGCGATGAATTGAGCGAAGCGGATTTCTTCGAGAGCAGAAGTACTGGGTCGAGCACAGTCGAAGAGGTTGCGAAATGAGATGCCACAAAGTAGCCACATCTCGGACACGGAGCTCGGTCCGAAATCCTCTGTCGCCGCTCAGCCCCACTCCATCGACGTCTGAATCTCAATAACAGGCCCTCTGTACGGAGTACACTAACTTCAACGCCGTTGTTAAAACAATTGGGCCAGACCCCCATGTCGACTCTCGGTATCGGATTGGCAGCGAAGCGAGGTCTTGCGACCGATGGCCGAGGCCGGTGTGGCAACCAGATGTATTAATAACTCTTTGGACATTACCTTGGACGACATTGATGCCCTCATTCTTCCAGGGACTTGTGCTCTCTTGACATTATCGTGGCCATGACTGACCAAAAAACTGTTGTTATTCTTGGTGCAGGATGGGCCGGCGTGCCGCTCGCCCACAAGTTACTTAAATATATTACTTCCAAGACACCACCCCTCAAAGTCATCTTAGTATCGCCAAACAGCCATTTCTTCTGGAACGTGGCGGCTACTAGAGGCCTTATTCCTGGGATGATTCCAGATGAATCGATGTTTATCCCGATCGCTACTGGATTTGAGCATTACGCGGTCGACATATTCGAATTCATACTTGGCAGAGCCACTGACATCCAATCATCATCTAATTCAGTTACTATCCTTACCAGCACTGGCGGGAGTAGGACTTTGCATTACCATCAATTAGTGATAGCGACGGGCTCGAGATTGGCTAGTGGTCTGCCACTAAAACCCATCGGTACGCATGCGGAGACCCTCGCTGCGTGGCATGAGCTGCAAACAAATATCGGCCGCGCCAGAGACATTGTCGTTGCTGGTGCAGGTCCAACTGGCGTTGAGATTGCTGGAGAGTTAGCCGCTAAGTTTGGAAAACTCAAAACAATTACGCTTATTATACGTGGGGATCTCCTATTGGAGAGCTCCAGCGGCGTACTCTCTTCTGTTCGAACAACTCTGGACAAAGACTTGCAAAAGCTCGGTGTCAAACTAATCCGCAAAACTTGCGTGAAAGCCGTCGAGGCTGGCGATGATGGCAAGACACAAGTTTTAATTCTAGACAATGGGTCAAGAATGGTTACCGAGTTTTATCTTCCATGTCATGGAATTCGACTGAATAACAGCTTCCTTTCCGACAGCTTCCTTGATCCGAATGGTAATGTGAATATCGATGGTAATATGCGCATAGTGGGCATAGAGAATATCTGGGCTATTGGTGATGTGAGCAATGCTGGTCCAAAGCAGCTCACGGTGACGGATAACCAGATTATCTACTTGGCTGGCGCATTGGAAGCTGCGTTGATGGGGAAGGAGTTTATCGCACCTTACCAGCCTGGCAAAAAAACGATGATCTTTCTCTCGCTAGGAAGAAAGTACGCGACCGGGCAGATTGGTAGCTGGAAGCTATGGGGAGTATTGGTGTCATACGTGAAAGGCAGGAACTTGTTTGTTGATACCGCAGAGGGTTACGTTAGTGGAAAGCATCTTAGACATTCGTCGATGTAGAATATATTAGAAAAAGCCATATAGCCACCTATCTATGAGAATCGCTGCGGCGTCTCTGACAGCTACCCTAAGCGAGTCAAGCTATCGTTTCTGCCACTTAATCTCCAATTGCGACACTTGTATTTTGCCGCCACAAATACAAGCCAAGCTACCACAGCGATGGTTTGCCCGAGATGTGCCGAGAACAATATTGCACCAACCGCTAATGGTGGTGACTTTACATCCAATGTCAGTACTTCATCAGCAGAGATCGGAAGCAGAGGCAATGGTGGTGATCCTTTGGCTGCTGGAACGCCTATCTAGCCAATGCATTGAGCCAGGCAACTCTCTCAAGCGACCAAGAGGGCTTTTGTCTTTTGCTTGCCGGTAACAATCCATCACCTATGATGCTATTCAAAACGGAGGCTCGGCAGTATAGGTTAAAAGAAAGTGTGAATTGATCCCCACGTCATGGCACTATACAATACAAAAAAGTCGAATAAAATACACGGCGGTGAATCTTTAGAAATACAAAAGATTTTTTGTTTGTAAGTATCATCTTTTCATTAATGAAAAATCTAAATCCCATTCGAAATGTAAGCAAGTCTTGACTGCTAATTCAACACTGAATGGAAGACCGTCTCCATCAATACCTGCGAATAAGGGCCAACATTTGTCGGTAGTGATCTATGTGCCACTCATCAAGACCTTGACGTTATTTTGACGATTATTGAATCAAACGCCATACCTAACAATTGGATGGACGACCAGGCAATGGTTCGTACGCCATAATGCTTTTATCCTAACGTTTGGAGCTTCGTTCAAAGCCCCAATATACATTCCGAAGAAAAGAGTGTCGTTATACTACAGGAAAATCAGCTCAGGAACCCTCGTTTATGCTCCAGTATAATTGACTCGTACCTGCATTCAACACTCAACAATCTATTATCTCTGCAAACATCTTCATAGCCTTTGACCTCTTAAACCGATCCATATGCAAACTTTCCAGTGAAACAACCAACTCAATGTCAACGCAATGGCCGTCCTTTGATTCAAATCCCGCTCGTCGTGGCAATATTACGCACATTGGCGCCAAGGCTATCTGGGCAACTCGGAGAGCGTCGCACTTCCCAATTTGAGGGCCCCAATCGGCATTATAAATGCATTGATTTGCCCAGCTGGAGATGTAGAAATCATTCAGCTTCTTCGGTCGCCATTGTAACTTTGTCGGATCGTCTTGACCGTCGACATAGTTTAATATTTCTTTCATTTTCTCGTTGGTTATTCCATCTACACCGTGGCGTATGGCAGCGGCTACGCGAGCTATAGACTCATAAGATGCCACCTCCGCGGCCGCACATAGGTTTGTTCTTGCCATATCAATGTAGGCAACTCCAAATGCGCAGCCAATGAAGTCATCTGGAAGGCGTGGCTGAATCTTTGACCGGATATTGACCGATACGCCGGTCGAGCAATAGCTCATCAGATTCCAACGCTGGAATGAAGTGCTCATTGCCATTGTTGCACAGCTCCATATCAGAGCACTCACTACATCGTTTGTAGATAGAAACCGCACACCAAGTTTGGGAGCAAACTGGTTCATAGTTTGTTTGAGACCTTGTAGTTTATCATGTGGTAAACGGTATAAAGTTATAGGCCAAGTGGGTGACAGAGGTTTTGGTAGGATTGGGTTGAATGTGCGCTTGATGAGTGATATTGTTTGAGATAAAAAAGACTGTTTGTTAACGATCTTAAAGATGTCCGCCGGCGGAAAGTTCTCCTGTTTCGACTCTTCCCCTTGAAGTACCGTTCGGTTCAGACGAACTTGACTGATTTCCGGTGGCTGCGCTGAATCATGACAGGCACAACAAGTGGCCCACATTTTGAGCAGCTCAGATAAGGCGACTCCATCAAAAACGCAGTGGTGAACTAAAACTACAAGCACGAATCCTCCACGCACACGGGTGACTTCGGCTCGCATGACAGGCCATGGGGCTGCCCAGGGTACATTTGGGACGTTAGGATAGAAGAGAGATGATCGAGGGAAGATGGGGAATGAGGTCCTTTTCAGGCTTTGATAATCAGGCATCTTCTCTAATGGATCGTTACTGTTTACCAAAATGTTGTCGATGTTATCGCGGCCGCGTTCGAGTCGAATCCTCCCAGGTCGGGCATCGTCGTGGACAACAAAGGATGTCAAATGCGGTACGCTGGCCGCAACTTTGCTCAGCCCTTGCTGTAGAATTGGGAACAAATTTGTGTCCGCAGAAGGGAAGCAGAGAATCTCCCCAAAGTACATACGAGGAAGAATCTGGTCGAGAGGGGATAGGTACTCCCAGTCCATGCTGAATAAGAACCTTTTTGGGGTGATGAATGCAGACGAGTTCTCCGTGTAGAAATAAGACTTTGTGAGATCTTCAGCTTGAATTAGGTTTTATCTTTGTTCGTCACAGTACGTAGTATGTTGCCCGACACAGGGGTTGCTCAGAGAAGCCGTAGCCCCTGTTTTAAACGATTTCTTGCTTCTATATTTGGACCGAGCCATCAGCTTGCGCCACCTAGAATAACTTCTGACCTAAATTGGCCGCTGTGTTTTTGGCCAGTGCTGCCCCACAAATCCAACAATGAGCTTCCACAATATCATTGATCTCTAAGCCCAATCCGGCCATTACTCTCTGCCCACCTCGGAGCACAAATTACGTCGTTCTAGAGGATTGTAAAACCGTTGAAGATAGCAGAAAATAATCCCCAGCCTTGTTATGGAAAACATCACAATAATATCTAAGCAAGCAAGTATTTTTACCCAAAATGTGCTCTATATTGTTGGTATCTTCCTCTATCCCAAAGCTTTTCCTACCCTAAGATTCATTATTTCTTGTATCGACTCTAAGATACCATATCATGCGTTCATCATGATTTACTACCAGTTTGTATGGTTCTGAACCATTTCTTCCATTCGGGATACCAATCGGGTGGGCAAGAATGGTTGGCGCAGGTACAGCTCCTTCGCAAATTTAAAATACAGACAAATAAGCAGCACAACCCATTGCCAAACAAGAACTCGCAAGACAAATACGGTTCCTCGGGGAAATGCAGATGGTATCTTGTACCCAACAACAGCTTCTTCTGAAGTAGATTCAGATTCATCTGAGAAATCATTCGGTCGGCGGTCTCCTCGACACAGTTTGGCTTCAATGCTGTAGAATCGTAGCAGCCACCGCCACTGTAAGTAGCACTCGAATGTCTCCCAGATGATGGGTAGCGGAGCAGCCAGACCGAAGTACTCGTAGGCTGCGTCCCATGTGTGTAAAAAGTAGAGGACATTGAGGTAGCAGCTCAGCACCGTAGTAACCGTCAAACCCGCGACACAAATCGCGAAATACTTGTATAGCGTGCCACGTTCCAAGTATCTCTTCCCAACGCGAAGAAGGAAGACTCCAGCACTGGCGAAAACGCCTCCTGTGGCCGCACCGAAGAATATGAACATCATCAAGCTCCGAGATACCAATGCATCGGCCGAGGTGAACGAAGAGAAACACAGCCTCGTCCAGACTAATAGCGCAGGACCCATGCAGTGATGGAGAATTCCGAAGAAGTCCTCTCTGTATATCATCAAGTCAAAGAGGTAGGCGCCTGTCATTAACGAGCTGGATTTTCATTTATTAGCAGATAGGCCAAGGCCAACAAGAAGACGTGTAAAACAAACCAGGCAATCAGTGAACGCTGGGTATCATAGGCGGTCCAGTTGGACGATGGTGTAAAGGCCAAGAGAACGGATGGCAGAGAAAAGTAGATGAGGCCTATTCGGACAGGAATGCAGGCAATCTCGATGCACATCCGGTTACGTAGAGTTTGTGGGAAACAGTCCCATTTCGAGAGCTTTCGTTCCAAGTAACTGTGTGTATATTCATATAGAAGGCCGGTAGCAATGAACGACGACGATGCAATTTGAATGTCCATGTCGGTGAGCCTGGCACCTGCCATGACTTCAGGTCGCCAAAGTGAGCAAAAACGTTAACTGAACGCAGATGAAATGCAGATGCAACGCGGACGAAGCAAGAGGGAAAAGCAAAACAAGAAATCTATATGGTCAGACGAGAGTCTCACTAGAGATGAAGTTTACGTATCTGTCGAAGTGTCGAGACTGTCACTAATCCATGGACGAAAATCCTCAAAATATGGCTTATACCTATTGTGGTATGAGTACCTAAATTGAATATATCACAATAGGCAACTTTGACCACGGCTAGAGACGAAGACTCATGCAAGCGGGCGCCCATTGAGGGACCACAGTGGAACTGTGCTGCTGACCCCATCGTGGTTTGCTCCTTGCGAAAACTTCACTTCCAAGATGATCATCCTAAGTCCGCGGTAGGGGTATTAGTAAAATGGCACGCTATACTCAAGGTAGTAGGATGTTGATGCGGGCAATTGAACCCCTACTTGTTTCAGACGCAAACTTCATTGTGGTATAAGATTTTAGGAAATCAATGGCGAAAGATCCACAAGCTTGTGAAAATATAAAAATGCAATATGCAATATACCGAGGTATGGAGTGCGCCACATGTAACTAGTATTATCACTGTATCAACTGACTGGTGCTACAAGACTGAGAGGATCTTCTGGTGGATTCAGTAAGCTGCAGCTTACGTCTTGGTAGGTACGCTATACTAGAGTATTACCCAAAACCTCTTGATGAACATGCTTATTGACCCCCTCTTACTCATGATATATACAGCCGCGATTCTAGAGCATTATACCTTATCATTGACATTAGAGCGTTCCTAAGTTATATTGGAGGGCGAATATACTATATATAGGTTATCGGAGAGAGACAATATCCCCACTTGTATCACCGCCAGGAACCGGCACCATTAGGACCAGCTAAAGCCATTTTGTGACGTCTCCCAAGCAAACAGAGACCCAACTCTAACACTTGAGGGATAATACATAAAAATAGACACAACAACGTTTTTACCTACCTTGGAATAGCCCTAACCCTTTTCTCTCGCCTTGTTTTGCTAGAGTGGCTTGTGCGTTGCGTGAATTAATCAAGAGCACAGGTAGTCTGACAATGTCAATAAGCGCGCGTGCGAGGACAATACCTAAATGCGCTCCACCTTGGTGCAAAACTAGGAGAAGGAATATCATGTTGCTGTATACTTGTATGTAAGTCAGCCTGAACTATCTTTACTAATCTGGCAAAAATCACGGTAGGAATTGACATACCCCCTTTACCATAGATGCATAGTAATAACAAGGTATAAAGGCAATATCAGATACATGTAAATGGAAAGGCTACTGTTACTAGTCATAACTTGTGACAAACTATCTACATAATAACCTGTGGCTGGCTTAGAATACATGATTGCCCTTTGAATGTATACCTTGTTCCATTTATCCCTTTCTTCGTTGCCTACAATTCATCGTCATACCTAGGCCTCAAGAATGGCTTCAACGACGACCTGGATTCATGACCTGGGTGTCGTCAGCGTGGTAGCCCTTATTACGTCTGTGGTACGCACCAGCGCAAGAAAGTATTTTGAGCGATCGATATCAGATTGGTCCAAGCTTGATGAAGCAGTCAAGAGCAGGTTGGCTGTTGAAGTGGGCGTTATACCGTCTCGAATCGTCCTGTTCTACCTCACTCTGCCGGTTGTACTGAATGGATTCTCCCCTATGGAGGCATGGAAAGCCAGTGATACGGCGAATTCTCTGATGTCCTGGTATGTAGGAAATGAGAAGCCCTTCTTCTCTCTTGGCATTGGCTGACGGTTTCTTTCCAGTGCTATTTTGACTGGAGCCTATATCATTGATCTTACCGTTACAAGGAGTGACAAGGCTGCCACTTTGCATCATATCATGGGACCAGCCTTACTATTATGGATCCGTCTCTGCTTCTCGTCATTTGCCTCTTCGGATGCACTATTATGTCGGCTGCTCATCCAATTTGTGTTTTTTGGAGCAACAATCTCAGGCGCCACAACAACCACACTGGTATTTCTATACCAGTTCAGAAAGACATGGTTCAGATCCAGTACTGGCAACGCGTACCTCTATTTCACATTGCTTCTTCCGGTATTGGCTTTATCCACTATTGCCAGCACGTTTTACTGCACTGCCTATCTATTGGTCTGGTTCGACGAAGTTTTCGCCTATTTTGGACATTGGGGCTACCTTCCGCTTGGATGGGTTTTGGTCGAGTGTGGCATGCAGTGGAAATGGCTAATGTGGTTCTATAACTTTGACGAGTGGTACCGCAACACCACATATGAGGACCCAAAGGAGTCGCATGAAACCAAGGCACATATGGCGAAGGTAGCCTCTACCGCATGGTGGCTTCCGAAGTGGCGGTTTGCAGTTATAAAACTCTTGGCTGGGACATGGTTTCTTACTGTACTGGGAGTCGTTTGGAAGACAGGCGATGTTCAAGTTCTGGGGAGAAAGGTTGCCAGAATTACTGTAAATGCTTGGAACGGGGGGCTAAACGCTCATTACGATGTATTGGGTGTCCAGAAACACGTGGACTTGTGAATAGAGTGGATATCACTTGACGTATCTAACATATATTCTGACCATAACTCGTAAACTTACATACATCTGGCTACCTATATCAAACAGTGAGGCAAGATGACGGAAACCTTTGAGATACCGATATCTCGGTGGTGCTGAGGTTGGAGAACGCAACGAATCAACTAGTGGGACGAGAGAGACATTGAAACAAGGGCCTGAAAGGCCGTTCTCCATCTGGAAGAATATCGTATTATTTGTCAGATAGTATATGGCGTGACCAATCATGGAGTACATTTGACTTATTCTCGTATCAATACACCAAGGCAGCACAGATCTACCGTTGGCTTCACCTAGGTTTGTGGGACATTTGGCTGCGTACTAGTTAGAAGAAAAACTTTCAGGGGTCAGTCTGAGTGTTGGGGCTTGATTGGCTAGCCCTATACAAAAGCGAAAGTCTGGAACCTGGTCCTGTGAGAAATTCGACGGTAGATCCCGATTGCTGACTAGGCTTCTGGAAAGCTGCTTCTGAAACTCGTTTATTGCATACATTACAATGCCGTCAGCGCGCTGGTGCCAAGCTGAGGGCCTCTTAAGGCTTACAGCAGAAGTAGCCCCACGGCAATGACCGTTCGAATACCTAGCGGCCGCGTTCGGTGGCGACAACTCTTGTAGCTTAGTTGGGTAATCTTGCTCCTCCGGTTCGGGCTAGAGTAGACTGCCGAATTAGCAGATGTTGCTGCACTGGAGAATTGCTATTTTGAACGTGGCTGGGTTGGGATTCTCACGGATATCCGGTTGCGCCAGCTGCACCGGCTACCTCTCTTCTTGGCACGATCCTTTGCGTATTACTTACAAGTCCCCTGAAGTTTACTTGGTGACCAAGCAGCAGCACTGACATCATTATGCCGGCGAGGTATTACGACCATTAGTCTCGATCTTGCGCTCTATGTTCGACTGTGTACAAGACTGTTTCTCCCGAAACGGGACTTTCTTTATCACTCAAACCCCTTTCCTCCCCGTCCTCTCACTGTGATCTCTATCGTGATCGAGACCCGTAGCCCAGTTCAAGACACTGGGCTAGCTTCTCCTGCTAGAAATGAATTCCAGTGATGCCCCTGGATTAGGCCGACAATTGCTTGGTGCTGGGAAACAAGGTCAGCAACGGCCATTTACTATACGAAGGCTGTGGGCGCTCAAAGACCTTGTCAACAAAGGAGAGCCCACCGAAGACTTGGACATTCCTCTTGCAGCTTGGAGAAAGGGCACAATCACCTTCGCCCTTGCTCTTGCGGGGTTTATGGTAACTCATGACCCTGGTTTATTTACTCGCTTGGGACAACGCTCATTTATTGCCTCGATAGGTCGGCATAGATCAATCCATTATTGGCAAGTAAAGGATCATGCCTTTTGCCTCAACCTTCGACTAATATATAATCTTCAGAACCAGCATTACCCACAATAGTTGCTCAATTCTCTTCTCTGCACGATGTCGGCGCCTACACTTCGGCGTACCTTATTCCGCAGTGTGTTCTGCAACCAGTGTGCAATAGGTTGTATTCGATATGCTCGTTCAGCTCGGTGTACCTTAGCTCGGTGCTGCTCTTTATCCGTAACGCTCCTTAAATTCACTATGCTTCATTATACACACTAACATTCATATTTCAGTTGGTTCTATCGTCTGTGCGGTATCTGAGAGTTCGCCATCTTTCATATGCGGCCGAGCTCTCTCAGGGCTGGGGGCTGTAGGTTTGAGCGTAGGAGGCTTTCGTATGCTAGCTTTGATGCCAGCAGAAAAAGAGCAAAACGTATCGATGGGTGCTTTTTCTCTCATCCTGGGATCCAGCGTGGTGATAGGGCCGATTATCGGTGGTGCCATCACTCAATCACATCTTGGATGGCACTGGCTATTCTGGATCAACATCCCCATAATAGGTCTCGTACTACTATTGGTTGTCGGAGTAACTTACACGGGCGGCCCTGACCTCAGAGGAGAAAAATATGGCTTGAAGTTTTGGGAGAAATTGAGGCTGCTTGACTGGCTTGGCACAAGTTTACTTGCCTTGACCCTTGTACCTCTGATCCTGGCCCTTGACTTTGGCCAGACATATGGGTGGAAAAACCCTCGAAGTGTAGTCATGTTTGCTGTGTTTGGGGTGTGTCTTGTATTGCTGTTGCTACATCAAAGAATAGCAAAGGAGGCAATATTCGAACGCACCATTCTTTTCAACAGGAGCGTGTGGACTACTACAGGCATCTTTTTCTGCGCCTTATCGTCGGTATCCGTGATTATACTATTCCTTCCATTTCTTTTCCAGGTATGTGCAATTCTCTTCCCAATATTGTATCACATCATACTGACACATTTCCCTCCTCAGGTCATCAAAGATCTTAATCCACGTACCAGTGGATTCCTCTCGTTCCCTCTCGCAGGCACGCTGGCCATCAGCACTTTCGCCTTCTCCATTATATCTACCAAAATTCCCTATTTTAACCCCCTCGCGATCGGTGGAACCGTCATATTTTTGGTCTCAAATGTCCTATTTATTACTATGAAGTCCAATTTTTCAGTTGCGGAGGTGGTTGGCTATGAAATAGTGGCTGGCTTTGGGGTGGGAATGGCCTGGCTGGCAGAAATTATTTATCCAAGAGCAGTTCTTGATAAACACCAGCTGGCGACCTCGCTAGGATATTCTCGCATGTTACAGCAGATTGGGGCGTGAGTATATAGCCCTTTGCTTGTGTACTGACTGCTCATTGCCGTGCTGACCGTCTATCTACAGGGCCGTGGCTGTTCAAATCTCAGCAGTTGCTTTCACCACTACCTTGACCCATAGCCTCGCTGGCCTCTCGCTTACACCTGATGAGATTTCATCCCTCAAAGGAGGCAGCGGAATAAATAGCCAATTATCTCCCGGCGCAAAAGCTGTAGTCGTTGATGCCTACAGTAAGGCTATAAGAATAGGCCTAGCGCCTTCGTTGGCATGGGCAGGGTTAGCGCTGTTGTTTGCATTGGCTTTGCCCTGGCCAAGACTAAACGACCATAAGAACAGCAGCGAACAGAAGGACCAAAGTGTTGGTGATAATGACAGTGGCAGTGGTGTTGGGGATGTTGCACTGTCGGTCCTGGTGCCCTCTACAGAAACCAGCTCTGTGAAAAACGATTACTCGGCGGTCAGTGCGCCTGAGAGAAATTTACTCGTCAGCCGACTCAGTTTCGACTCTTTGCACATGGTGGATCGGTATGATGAGAACGGTCGCTGGACGGGCGTTGCTTGAGATTTGCAAAGATGGGTAGCAGTCATATGTAGGAAATATATGCAGTATCTTGAATTAGTATAAATAGTTGAGTGTGTTCCAACTGCAGTACTAGCTAACCTCATATGTTGTGTCTCTCCGTGCCATTTATGAAGAACCCAGTCGCTAGTGCAGCCAGCTGTATTTACAGATTATGGTAGGATTCCGTACCCCCCGCCATACCCAGTATTTAAAGAGAGTGCATATTACAACTACCTTCCTATGGACAGATATAAAATTTTGTCGCGGACGCTATGTTCGTTTAACAACCCGGAACCACGAGAGCAAATGCTTCTGTTCATGAACCTTTCTATCCCCTTGCTCCCACGAAACAGATTCCTCGCGTAGTAGGATGGCTGGGTCAAAGAGCAGAAAGACAGTCACAGTGATTACCATGAGAGTCGCATCGAGCCCAATAAAGTACCCCTCGTGGGTAATCAAAAACCCTGTCCATCCCTCAGCCAATTCGATCGTGCGGTAGATGGACCTGATGTATATCATCAAGAACGCCACGAAGAGACTTATCAGAACGAGCTTCGTGGGTCTCTTTATCACCAAGCCCCTAGCCCGACGGAGGAAGTCAACGACGAGTAGAGCAAAAACGCTCATGGTAAACAATTGAAATGCGATCCCAGCGACCATGATGTGAGTTCCAGTCGACGAGTCGCCATTAATCTCAACGGTAGCTCTGGCTGCCAAAGCCCCGCCAACGGCTTGCACGACAAGAGAGATGACGTCGCATGTGCAAAATATTATAGCATAGTGGCTGGGTGAGAGGCTGCTTGTTTGAGGGCCAAGTTGGTTGATTAGAATGCCAAGAAGGACATAGAGGCCGGCAGCAAAAAATGTTGGCGCAATAATGAGAGTGGTTATTTGCATCAAAAATGCGTCGTGATTGTATGGGCACTTGGCGTTCCATGTTCGGCCAGCCCAACCTATCGCTTCGGCTATAAAAGATGGCATGGTTAGCACCACAGTTAATGGCACAATAAGAGATGGGAGAGAAGGAAAAGTGTACTGAGAGCTCCGATAGCGAAGAGAATAGACGTCCAGCGTCTAAAACGGATCGCCTGAATAGCATGACCGATCAGTGCCAATCCAAAGAGGACATCGAAGGCGATGCCAGCCCCGAGACTTGGCCGATATCCATAATCATTCTTTATCTGAGGAAGAAGATTTGGAAAACAGCCGGTACGTATATGGAGAATTTGGTTCCAGAGATTTGGATCAATACCCGCGGGTGGAGGAGGAAGAGAGCTCATGCCGAATATCTGTGTTGGGTCAACTGAAGAAAGAAGAGATTCGATATGATAGTTTTCACAGGGTAATTGAAAATTGGTATACACCAAGAGAGAGATATGAAGAGTCAGAGCAAGAAACTCGTCGCGTAAAAGAAAATGTCGAATAACAAAGTACAAGACTCTCCATAGTGAGACTGGATTAGTCTACTGCCTGAAGGAATGTTACCAAAAATATCACAGATGGCCCAACGCTGCCGATGACGCCTATGAGCCACCGAGATAATGACAATGGGGACACTAGCAATCTAATTCTACCCACTGGAACTGTTTTGGTACACAATAAGCAATGTGCGCGCGCTGCCTCGTTGCTATCTTGCTCTCCACTGACCATCCACTGTTTCTGCACTATCAGGGGCTTGCGGGTCAATTGTTCTTGAGTCAATGAATTTTGGCGGAGTTCCATCGTCTCCATTACACTAAATTACAGTGCTGACGGTGTGCAATTGATGATGGCGGGGAGTGAATTGGTCAAAACTGGCACACATCATGGGGGTGGGGTGAAACACACATGCCTGCAGACTAGGCGGCAGTCTCCAAACTGTCGGATTCAAAGGGCCAGCACGGGGAGCCGCTGGACATGTGCGAGGCTAATATCGGCATGCATACATCCATTCTGACCGGTTATTTCTTGATATTTCTTTGCTTTAGCAATATTGTCACGGCATACTATACTACCATGATGTATTACTACTACTACTATCTGTTGCTCTTGGGATTGTCTTATTGGGTTGTCAAGAGATCAATCTTGTCACTTGAGCAGCGTAAATTCGCCAGGAAAAAAGGATGCCAGCCTTGCCAGCGTATACCACAGAGAGAAAGGCTCATTGGCTACGACCTATACCGGCAAGAAGTCAGTCTGGCTCGGGAGGGCCGATCTCTACAGGCAGCGCAGAATCGCTTTCGACTGTTTGGCGACACATTTTCTGGAGTTGTCATGGGACAATTTTTCATTACTACAATAGATCCGGAAAATGTCAAGGCTTTGTTGTCGAGCCAATTCAGTGACTTTGACAGTGGCAAGAAAAGTCTTTTTGGACCTTTCATAGGGGATAGTATGTTAACCACGGATGGATCTTTATGGAAGCATTCAAGGGTTCGAAGCAGCCTCCTCAATTTTACTTTGAAGATGTTTCATTTCTGATGCATTTCATATAGGCACTGGTTCGCCCACATTTGGGCAAGAGCCAAGTGGAAGACCTCAGCAGGCTGGAAGGTCACGTACAAAACTTATTTACATGCCTCCCCAAGGATGGTTCTACAGTAGATCTACAGCAGTTATTCTTCCGGCTTACGTTCGACAATGTTGTTGAGCTTCTTCTCGATAAAAAAGTGTCTACTTTGAATTGCCAACCAGGATCCCATCTGTACAAGGTCGTTGAGGCTTTTGATAACGTTGGTAACTTGGTCAACCGACGTGCCGCTCTAGGCCCTCTGCTGCGTTTTTACCGGGACACTGAGATGAATGCTACGTGCAAGATCTTGCATGACTTCGTGGACGATATTATTGAAAAAGCTTACCTGAAACGGAAAACACAAAAGGATCGCAAACCGCCTACTTCATTCTTGGACAGTATTCTTGACAGCACGGATGACCTCGGGAAAATTCGGTTTGAAGTTTTAGGCTTGCTTCTCGCTGGACGTGACACAGCAGCTAGTGTAATGAGCAACTTGTTTTTCGTCTTGGCAAGGCGACCAGATATTTGGCAGAAACTTCAAACCGAAATAGAACACCTTCAAGAGCGGAAGCCAACATATGAGGACCTTAAAGGACTAAAATACTTGCGACAGGTAATCGATGAGAGTCAGTATAACCTGGTTTAAGTCAATATTTTGATGGATATGCTGACCAACACGGCGTCTTCATAGCTATGCGATTATATCCTCCAGTTCCAGGCCTCTTCCGCGCTGCAAATCGCACTACTATACTCCCCCGTGGTGGAGGTCACGATGGTCAGTCTCCTGTTCTCGTTCCTAAAGGGACTGTGATAAGCTGTTCCGTATTCAGCCTCCAACGTCGCGACGATGTATTTGGACCCGATGCGCAGGAATTCCGACCCGAGCGGTGGGATAGTCTGAGTCCGCACTGGGAGTTTTTGCCATTTAGCGCTGGCCCGAGGGTCTGTATGGGCCAGACATATGCATATGCAGAGATGATATACATATTGAGCCGGATATTACAAGAATTTCAGCATGTAGAGAAGCGGGGTGATGAACCTTGGGTGGAAAAGTGGTCTATTACTTTGTTGAATGGATCTGGTACTAAGGCTGGGCTGATTCCGAAGACAAGCGGGATGGAACAGATGTGAGAATAACTGCAGTATCCGGAGGCTTGTACACACATTTTATGTTCTATTACTTTTTTTTAAAGTGAAATCCACAGATGCCTAACGACAATCTTGCCATCAATCTGGTGTTTTCTGAAAATATAACCAATTATCATTTATACAATATGTTATTTACTGATATATGTCTATTAAAGTAGCGTCACTTTCACTTTTAGCCCTTGAGGCTTAAGACTCGTTCCTTTTTGTATGATGGGGTGCCAACCAGGAATCGCCTCTTCAAATCGGAACCTTGACACCAAAACCGTCAAGAATACTTTTAGGCTCAGTGTGGCAAAGTCTTTGCCAATGCAGATACGTGGGCCGCTGGAAAACGTCAAAAAGGCCTGAGAGCTCTTCGCTCCGCCACTGTACGACTCCTCCCAGCGTTCGACTCTGAACTCCTCTGCATCGTCTCCCCACAGCTCCTGTGATCGATTGACGGCATAAGGGCTAACCATGATTTGTTTTCCCTTCGGAATATGGAGATCACCGACCAGAGTTCCGTTGCCTGCCTCCCTCATCATCGCTGGAAAAGCTGGATAAAGTCTGAAGACCTCCATCAGAAAGCATCGCAAGTACGTTAGAGAGTTGATATCGTCAAGTGTCATCCCTTCATCTTTCCGGTTTCTGGTTGCTGCTAGTAGTTCGGCCCGCAACTTGTCTTGGACAATCGGGTGTTGTGCGAGTTTGAAGATGGCCCATGCTAACGTTATGGCTGTAGATTCATGTCCGGCGGCGAGAATTGTCAAAATATGACTAAGAATCTCGCCTTCGTCTTCAAGGCCAGAAGCTATTATAGCAGAGAGAATATCTGTCTCAAATTGTGAGTGTTGGCGCAAGAGTGTGTGCCGTTGACTGAATTGTTGGCGTACCTTTTTCCCGTACATCTATGTTGTCATTTTTATCCTCCTCGATTTCCTGCTTTTTCTGCCTAATCTGAGATAAGCAGAAATCCTGCAAGAATTTCATCCCTTGATGAAACTCCTGGATTGGTTTCAATGGCAATTTAAAGAGCAGATGCGGTGAGATTATCGCTGGGAGAGTGGCGCCGAAAAACTTTTCGATTGTGCTCTGATTCTCAAATGATGGAAAGACGCGTTGATATGCCTTTAAGATGGGTTGATTCGGCCGTGTCACGGAGTCGAAGTCAACACCCAGAGTGGTTACACCAATGACATCCAGAGTCGCTGCCATAGTCAGAGGATGCATATAAACTATCTCCGAGTTGCCATCAGATTTGGTAACAAGCTCTTGCATCTTGTCTGCCAGGATGAGTGCTTTGGCCCACATCTGAGGAACGAGGCGCCTGTTACGACTCATCCCAAATATGGGCGTAAGAAGTTTCTTTTGTCGCTATGGGAAAGGTTAAAGCCAAGCATGAGATTTTGAGAGGCAAGTTGAGACCACGTACTTTATGGACAGAACCCTCCGCAGCAACAAGGCCAACCCCTAGGCTTTCAACAAGTCCATCTCGAACCGCAGCTGGTTTATGAAACAAATACGGTTGGGTCATGACCGTCGTCACTGCCTGCGAACTCTTGGGGATCAAATAGTCGAATGGGCCCAGAAACACACGATAGAAGCCACTAGCAGTGGTCGGCACTGTACGCTGCCAGCGAACCAGTGGAAATCCCCATGGTTCGCTCAGGAATGGAATCAAGTTGCCCAATACAAAGGGTGTATCCTAGTAAAAGTGAGCCATATTTCATACCCAAGAATCTCATAGTAATCGTAGCTCATACCCTAGGATGGGGCAGACTTTTCGTTGGCGATAAAAACCAGCGGTAGATCAAACTTGAGAAAACCAATGATATAGCTAGCTGGGCGACTGTAGATACTAGAAGACCAAGTAGAATTGTAGTGTATGAGGCGCCATGGAGCTTGAGATACGAGGTAACGCCAACCACGACAGCCAGTGCAAGCATTGACTGGACACCCATCTCTGCTAATATTCAAGAGTATGCAATGGGGAGTATTAACGAAACAGTATAGGAGCCAATACCTGAAAAGTGAGAACTTATAATGAGCATGAAAGACACATGCCAGAAAATACCGTCAAGTGGTGTGGTTGACTGCTTCTCTCGAGTTCTAGATGCGCAAGCACCGAGTGAGTTCTGCCGTGAGATTGAGTTCCAAGAGCCCCATTAAATTGCCCATATCATGAAGTCTCAAACTGAAAGCGGACTTGCAATTGTGAGCTGATAAGGTTGGATACTGGTGCTGATGGGGTGTGTGTGATAAAGAATCCGCCACTAGGGCATGATGACATGGACCGAGTTTCTAGCACGCGATTGTTACCAATCGCCTCTCTTTCAACACCAATTTCCCTCAATAAATCTGATTTATCGCACCATCCTGTTGGATTGGCGATGGGTCACTTGGGTCGCGATGGGGTCTGTGATGACGCCCCAGCCGTATTGTCTTTTAGGCAAGCTGTTGTTGCTTGATTCCATTTTGTGGACCTGTCACAGCCACCAGGCACCGGCCTCAAACATCCACAGTTTATTGCTATAGCCGAGTCTTAATCTAGCACCAGACATCTCCATTTAACACCGCCGTTGGTCTAACAAGAACACGGGCATGATTCCCCGTCCCTCCTGCGTAAGCCCGTACGAACTGTAAGATCCTATGTTGCATTAAAAGATCTTGCTGATCACATTGCTAACCTAATAGAGGATGTAAGAGATGCACTTGCATATGGGAACCTTAATCAGTCAATATTATGCAGAAGAATGCCGTCGTGGCCTATTTTTAGAGGTTCTGCTCAGGGAATTGTGTTGTAGGTGATTGGCTGAAGTGTCATATGCTACTAGTTCGTGGATCCAAAATCGCGCGCCCGTTGCACACTCCCCGATGTAGTCACATATTAAGGGCAAGTCCGCGTCGGATCAAGGATGAAACAAAAATCTTCTAAGCAGTGGTGAGATTCATGATAAGCGGCGTAATCCACAGGGAGCTTCCTGCAGGTTAGTAATGAGCTTTTGTTAATATCCCCTCCATATGTTTGCATTCCCTACATCCCCTAACACCCACCCGAAAAGAAAATACATAAGTGGGATCCGAAGTCGTCATTCATGCCCATAGCGAGATCATATTGAGCGTGAGCCCTACCAGTAGTGGTCTACTCACAGACAGGGAGTAATCATAGCTACCAACAATGGATATTCACACGAGCCCTTCTTCCCTGGCCTTTGACAACTTCACCGGGGAGGTTACCAGGCATTCATCTGTATACGTTGGTCTCGGTTTCTGTGCTCTTCTAGCTCTCTGGCACTATTTTGACGTCTCGGGGCACGATCCTAGAGAGCCACCTATCGTGAAGCCGTCTATACCACTCATTGGCCATTTTGTAGGGTTTTATAGATATGGAGTCAGCTATATGGACCGTATGAGGTAAGAACAGCTAATATCTCTCGAACATGGGCGTTTTTGCATACTAAATTGACAAGGCATCACACCTCATGGCCTGCTTACACACTCAGTGTCATGGGCCACAAGACCTACGTCGTCACAACGCCGGGACTATCCCATGCCGCTCTGAAGTCCAAATCAATGTCTATGGAGCCTCTAATCGCATATGTGGCGCCCAAGATGTTGGGTCTCAGCAAAGATGCAGGCCACCACTTTGGTATCGACCACACAGGCTTTTACAACGGTTCCCCAGCGCTGAGAGAACGACGTGAAGAGTTCAGCCACGCACTTGCCCCTGGCCCGGGTGTTAATCTACCAGGCCAAATGTGCTCAGATGTAGTAACAGACGCTGTTAATGCGTTTGGTGCAGAATGGGCAACAAGAGACTTGTACCAATGGCTACGGGATGTCATCACACTAGGCACAGCTAATGGTCTATACGGGCCAAAAAGCCCAGTCGCTGTTGATAAAAGCCTTATTGAAGATATCTGGTAAGAAATTCTAAAGCTTTCTCAGACATTCTATTGCTAATAGAAATACAATTACAGGGCATTTGATGAGAACCAACTACGGCTTAGCTGGGGTCTCCTCCCCAATCTCATCGCACCCACTGGTGTTCGTACTCTCAACAAAATCTCCAATGCTTTCCAACAATTCTTTCAAAGTGGAAACGCAAGTCTTGCCAGTGATGCTGTGAAATTGGGCATTGCCACGGCACGCAAGATGGACGTCAGCATTGAGGACTACTCTCGTATCGAAGTGTTTAATGTATCTGTTGCTACAGTCAACACCGTGCCCACAGCTGTTGCCATGATACAAAATATCCTTGCCAACTCAAATTTGTTACAAGCCCTACGCAAAGAGCTTGAATCCGTTCTCATTATCAAAGAAACTCCCAACGGCCGCCAAGCGGAGCTTGACATTGGGCACGCGGAGATTGAGTGCCCACTACTCCATGCTTGTTATCAGGAGGCTCTCCGCATTGGTTCTACACCAACTTGCAACCGTGCGGTTCTCGAAGACGTCGTACTCACCGACCCGGACACGGGACGTGAGGTTTTATTTAAAAAGGGCTGGAGAGTGTCTATACCCACATTCCTCCTACATAACCGGGATACCTTTTGGGGCGGAGACGCTGAATCTTTTGGACCTGAAAAGTTTCTACCAGGGGGCATTGCAACTGACGGTAAAGGCAAAGTCAAGACTCAGGGATTTGTACCATATGGTGGTGGGGCTCACTTGTGTCCCGGTCGCCACCTCGCCAAGATGGAGATCCTCGCTTCTAGCGCTCTAGTTGTCATGGCTTTAGACTGTGAAGCCCAGAATGGGTTTGTTACGCAAAACTATGCGTCGAATTCAGGAGCAAAGAAGCCAATAGGATTAGATAATGTCAAGATAAGGCGGCGCATGGGATGGGAGGATATAGAGTGGAAAGTGAAAATTTAAAGCTGTACGTCTTGCTACGTTCGATATCCGGATTACATTAATAGGCAATAAACACTTTTCTCTATATCTTTGTCTCTCTCCCTCTCTTTTCCTACCTCTTCTACTAAAACCATAATCCCGGCTCACAAACACGACCTTGTATGACATCCACTGCTCAATATGGCCTATAGTCTGTCAAAATACTCAAGGATTCGAGATGGAGGACCGACTAATGCTAGCATCTCCAGCATTCCAGTCATTGTTTAGGAGCCTTCCATTGTAGTTTACAGGAATAAATGTGATCTTACATCGCTTATCCAAAGTCAACATGGAAAGAACGAAATTGTCGTCGTTCTACTGATCCACTAATTGAGAAATATCGTCCTCAATGAAGACGCTAAAGATCCCTAAAGTTTCAGTCACCGCGCATTAAAGATGCCGGCCCATTATACATCACTATCAATTATTTGCAAAAGTTCTACTTGTTGTCTCTACCTGACATACCGCTAGATCTCACATATCCCTGCTCTGATGATTGGAAGACTTTCTTGTAGACATACCATCGATTTGATAGCAATGGCAGCGAATTTCATCACATGGCCTTTTTACTAGCACAAATGTATGTCTATAGGAAACAGTCAAACAATCACATTCAATGAGTAAAAGCAGAATGTGGACTGGAGACATAACATAAAGGCCACAAATGATCGCGTTGATACATGACTAGTATGTCCACAGTGATTGTTATAGAGATACCATTGAACGACATTATCGAGTAGGGTTTTGATCACGTCGACCAGTAAAGGATGTTTCCATGATAGCAATCTATCACGGGGCAAGATAGCGCCCAAAAGAAGGTCAACTCTATAATAGAAAACGGGAAACATATGTGTCTCTCGAACTCTCTCTTCTAGTAACTATACAATTTGATCTTAGAATCTATGAAACTAGATTTCGAGCATTGAATCGTTGTAAATGGCCTGCTTTTGAAGGAGAGGGCTCATTTCTCCGGGATATTTCCAAAGAAACCAAGCCACAACCAAGAACATTGGTAGCGCATCCAGACAATAGACAAAAACCTCTGTTGTCAGCAGGTATCCATTGCTGCCCTGACAATACTCGATAAGACGGAAGATGTTTCGAATGATAATAAGCGCACTCGCAACATAGAGTGCGTGGAGATAACTTGTCCATTTTATATCGGCGTGGTGACTTCGTGCTGTCGGAGCTAGTATCATTCGACGGTGGAATATAAGTGCTATGACAACAAAGAATCCGAACCAGAGAAGCTGAAGCACCAGACCTCCAATGATAATATTGTTGCCCGCATCGAATTCTGCCTTGTTGGTTTTTGCAGAAGCCAGCATACCGCCTCCTATCCCGCAGTTAGATATGTCTCGCAAACGGTGCGCAATATGCCTTGACGCTGAAACCTACCACCAGCAAGAAGAAGAAAACATATCACATCGCCACAAACAAAAATCTTCGTAAGCCATGTCCTCCTTATAATCGAATGCTTTTCTCCATCCACAAGCTCAATAATGCGTCCCAGCGACATATAGACCGATGCCGCAAATAATGCTGGGGCGAGTAATATAAATAATGTCTGGATAAGGTATGGCGTCTCAGTCCAACATCCAGGCTTCTGCTCTGCCGAAACAGCTCTGCCAACGAAGCCAATAAACTCAACTATTAGAAGCGGTCAGTTACTTGCAGCTTCATCGAGCCCCATCATGTCTCTCGGGTTATGTACATAAGCAACCGATGACCAATGGCATTAAAAACCATGCTCTTGCTTTGATCATCCGAAAAGAATGGCCGGCTAATGATAAAAAGAAGAGTGCGCTGAAAATCCCTGCAGCCGCAAGAGATGGGACATATTTATAGTAGGAATATGTTACGTGCTGCCAGTCCGCAATACAATTATCACCGGAACTCATTTTTGATGTGTCGAAAAAGGAATATTATGAATGAAAATAGATTATGGAACAAGAGAAATGAAGATGACTGAGACGTAACGAAGCGAATGTTGGCACGCAATATAATTGGGAATAATGAATGACACGCATGATGTTTTTAGACTCTTAAATATCTTACAATGGAAGGCTTTCCCCCTTTTCAAAAAAGGCTGTGCTCTCAGAATTTTGAGTCTTGAAACGCGCGTCATCCAGAGTATCACCTAGTCGCGACAGAACACGTCGGGATTCGGGGCAAATCGATACTGCGTGTCGCCTATGGACAGCTCAAGAATCCCGGGATACATTTTTACGCGTTTCCAATATTTAAGGACAACCTATGGCAGCTCGTTCCTAGCTCAAAATACTGCTAAGGTTTAGGTATTAGGTGCATCTGTTGTTTATCTGTCCCTTGGAATGGAAATAAAGGCTGACATCTGGATAGAGGCGCAGTCAATCTGTCTCCACATAGACGCATCAATACGAAGTAAACTGTAGTGTCTATTGCAAAGCCACATAAATTAATATGAGCTGTAATCTTCCGCGCTTGCAATGAGTTATGGCAGCAACATTTCCGAGGTTTAGTGTTGAAAGATATTCGAATTTGTGACATGCAGAGAGAGCGTTTGTCAGCAATTCTCGAAGTCTCCGATGAGAGAAGGCACTTTGCCTTTGGATCACGAGCCAATTTTCTTTGAGACAGACTTACTTAACCTGTAGAATCTTTCTATTTTTCTCGTATTCCACATTCGATAGCCGAATGAATCAATAAATATCCGTAATCTGAGGAAGGGTGCAGAGGGTCGGCTCTCCCTAATCTTCAAGATCTGCCTAATCAGGTAAAACCTCTGCGTGCCGGTGCACGGGTTTCGCTTAAGCGGAATTCCTAAAACCAGTTGCTCTCAAAGACTATAGGGTATCGGAGGCCTCGAATCATCGCGTTTGTTAACAGTGCTGTTTGCTCTCAAGCAGCCTAGACAATATATGTATGGCCGATAAGAAGAAGCAAAAGGCAGTTTCAGAAGCATCAGTTTGGAAAGAATGGCTTACAGCTTACTCATTCTCAAATAGCTCTCTAAAAATAGTCTCTTAGCAAATACTCTGCATTGGAGGGGACGGTGCACTATGGCTTTGCCCTCATTATTCACATCAGCAGTTGAAGCAATTGGATACTTAATTGCAGATCAAGTGACCATGAAGATAAAAACATTGTGAAGAAAAGAAGTCCATAATTGCAAATACTTTATTTTAAATACTTAGTAATATATGTGTAATCATGAGATCCATATGTTACTATTGTACCACAATAGCCGGCCAAGGCTACTGGGGAGAATACAAGTGTAGTTATCTGCTTACAATGTCGCCACCCCATCAGCTATCTGACAGCTCATGGTCTTGGCTGTGAGCCTAGAAGTTTGATTTGTATATTAAACATTTGGTTTATATGGAGTAGTGAACGCCTATTGTGACTCCTGGTTAATCCGTTAACTCGCTGGCCTCTTTATAAACACAGTTCTATTGTCTTGCTATTTATGAAGACTCGAGGGATATCTCTACGTGATGAAGCTATTGTTAGAAGGTCCTATTTAAAGAGATGAGTCAGTTCTCTGTTTTCACCACGTATAATCCCCAGTCAGGCTTTGTAGTAGGTAACCTGTATGCAACATTCATAATAAGGTTACCTGATAGGCATTTATGTTTGGCCCCAACTACATAAAGCCAGTCAACCTCTCAAAGCCCAGATATTTTGATCAATGTCTTACTAATTCTTCTGCAGCTCTTAGCTTGGTACTAACACACACCACGCCTACCCATTGGTACGACTTATTACCTGTATTTGAGTTTTTGTATTAGCTCGGGTCTGTCCACAGGTCGAGACTCGCTGACTAAAGAAACTAAGCTCGTTTCAACAACTTTACTAATTTATTGTTCGACATTTACATGACTTGTACCATTTTAACATGTCCATGATTCATGCCATTTCCCTCCCCTGTGTCATTTCGAAAGAATTTAATTGGAATTCATGGCAAATTCAGAAATCCTGAAGGAGTATTAAGCATTCAGTAGTCCTAACAAATAGCTTGGAAGGAAGTGGCGCAGTAGGTTAACTTTACTACTAGTATGCACCAGTGCAGCCAGCATTACTGTTACTACCATGTTCTTCTAATGGGCTGCAGCTTAATCATCATAGCCATTATTCGCCAAGGAAATCGCCTTCCGTCTTTCAATATTATTATGGTTCTATCATAACACTGCTCCAGTATCCCTGAACCCATGGATCTACAACCATTTATTATTTAAGTACGTGCGCTCTCCCACGTAGGTTTTTACTATTCGCATTTGTTCAAGATCCAGCCAAAAACAAGTCAACATTTCATTACACAATGCTAAGCCTTGCCTCACAGATCGAAGCTGTCGCCAGTTCCCCGCCTAATGATGTTGGGGAACGACGCGCTCTTTATGACGCTGCTAGGAAACTACTAAACGTTATCGAGGATCCTTTTGATACCATCTACCGAGTGAACAATTCAGTAAGTCCAACATATCAATACGGTGCTTCACTCCGTATCTAGTAGGGCACACTGACCTCTTCTTCGGCAGCCCATGATCCTTACTTTCTCTCATATCGCTTGTGAGCTCGGAATATTTAACTCGCTCGCCAATTCTACGCTTCCAGTCACAACTACGGCACTTGCCCAGTCCTCCGAAGCTGATCCATTGCTACTTAGTATGCTCAGTACCTTTGCTTTCAACAATGTTAATTATATTTTATATAATTTATCACGTACTAATTGAGATCTCAAGGCCGTATTCTTCGATTCTTAGCCTCTCATGATCTTATTTTGGAGGCCGATGAGAACAGCTATGTTGCCACTACAATTACTCGGACCTTAGCTCGCCCAGGCTTTAAGGCAGGAATCGCGCATTCGTAAGTCTAATTCTCTTACACAGCGCTCTTATTTCCGCACTAACTCGTTAATCAATAGTTTCATGGCCATTATGCCGTGTCTTTTGGCTGCACCTCAATTCTTAGCTGATACGAAGTATGCCAACCCAGATGACTTGGTGCATAGTCCCTTCCAGTCTGCCCACAACACCAAAGAACCAGCATTCGCATGGGCCATGAGGCAGCCAAGAATCATGGACGATTTCAACCTATGGATGTCTGAGCTTCATGATGGCCGGAAATCTTGGTTGGACGTTTTTGATTTCGCCGAACACGCTTCAAACGCCTCTGAAGACACTCTTCTATTTGTGGACATTGGTGGTGGCATTGGTCAGCAATGCGCTTTGCTAAAAAATGTCCATCCTAAGTTGTTAGGCCGTGTTGTGTTACAAGACCAGCTTTTTGTTATTCCACAAGCTATTCCAGTTGAAGGAGTCGAGAAACAAAGCTATGATATCTGGACCGAGCAGCCACTTAAAGGTAGTCCCACAGTAAGCTATTCGCGCCTACGATTATACTGAACAGAATAACAGGTGCCAAGGTCTACTACCTCCGTAACATATTACATGATTACCCAGACGAAAAGAGTATCGCCATCATTCAGAATACTCTACCCGCGATGTCTTCAGAATCGGTCCTCGTTATCGACGAGATTATTATTCCTAACAAAGGCGCCCACTCGCGATCAACAGAAATTGACATGACCATGATGGTTAGCTTTGCCTCAACCGAGAGAACGGAAAAGCAGTGGAGTAGTCTGCTTGAAAACGCTGGCCTAAAAGTCTTGAGCAAAAATGTATACAATGATGCCACAGGGCAGAGCGCCATTATAGCAGTTCCCAAATAAGCACGCATATGGAAGTTGATGTAATTACAATGGATATAGCTAGGAAAAGTTAGCTTGTAAAGAAAACCAGTGCATCATTGACCATCATTATTAGAAACCAAGCGCCGTGCTGTGTAATATTCCCGAGACGTATGGGTCATATATCTGTTGCGTCTTTGTCGCCTTATTAAGCATTTTGCTCTGCTTGTATTCGACCTTAGGTAAGGTGCTCTACTCATTCAGTTTTCTCAAATCACACATCATGTAATTAATCTACCGTAAGTAAACGCATATCTCTCTTACGCCGTATTAGAACGGCGTGAATTGCCTTGGAAGGGGGCGTTTTTTGCGTTTTGACAGATCAAAACTTCCTACCTGCGGGAAAATATATATTGAGGACCTGGTATTACTTCGCAGCGCAAGATCAATCCTGCTGCTGGCCTTTACAAATTGCTCCAAATGGACTGCATTGCTTTTTGTCAATACCATGAAGGTTACTTCAATTAGCTGGTTGAGGACTCGCTTAACCAAGATTTTCCCATTGTTACGGCTCCTATGCAAGAGTATGTGTGACATGCATGTCTAAACTTTAGCTTTTCAGACCAAGTCACTTGAAATGCGGTATTCAATAACTTGGCAATTTTGTAGCAGACAAATTGCAAGCATAATCATATACTTGTGTTGGATGCTTCTTTCGAAAACAATTGATATATCGGTCTACTACTAGGGTGTTTCCTGCTTCTTGAGCTTGCCATTTACAATTGTGTAGTTGACACCAATCTCTCTCTTTTCGTGCTGACCTCTATTAGATAGTGGTAAGTAAACAAACCTCAATGGAATAAAAGAAAATCCCACTACTCTGAATTGCAACTTACAAATTACTTGCAATAGGTAGGGAATACTGATCAAATTGACCCATGCAGGGCGGGCCTTTGCAAACGCTCGTTGTTCGCTTTGTCAGGTTATATCGAACATGAGCCAAAGTTGTCTGAGCACCCTTGTATGGATAATCTGGTACGTTCTTGACTGTGCAATCTTCCATGTGTTGACAGACAGATGAAGGTAGTGACAAATGATCGCAGAACGCTTCGGTTATTTTCTCTTCCGTTAACTGTTTGTTATTCGATGGTCGGACTCTTTGTGCAACTCTGACGGCGCGGAACCAACTGCTGCCACCGGGGTAACGATCGTTCCATTGACTTGCCTGGAAAGATTCGCTGGTGAAATGATTCGATGCTACCACGAAGTTATCTCCGCTGGAAGGGTATCCGAGATGGACAGCGCTTGGCGTAATCTCCATAGACATGATGAAATTGTCTGCGGTTCCAACAATAAGCTTGTTTGATAAATGTCTCGGGGCGTTCTTGACGTTTATAAGTGCGTTGGCAAAATTGGTGTTGTGCAGGAACTGTCGGCGGACCAGCGACATTGGTAGGAGGGGTTCCTGTGGACTACTGGGAGACACAGAGAGATCCAATGGGAAGTAATCTTCAGTTGACATGAGAGAGCTCGCGCAGACGCCAAGTCCTGCGGAGTTAAAGCCAGAGCGACCCAGCTGACCCGCTTCAGTCATTACAAACATGGCGGGTAAATCTTCAGATGCATCCGGGTAGATCTCTAGGTATACAGCCGTATCTTTAAGGTAAACATTGGCGGACATGTCCCAGTTTTGGGCCAAGATAATGTCACCATTGCTCATGGACTCAGCAAGGAATCCAGCAGTGGTGCACTCTTGAAGCTCTTGCAAATCTGAGATATCATCGCCCAAAGCCGCGGTTTGGCTTCGTTCAACACCATTTTGAGTTCCATGACCATTTACGGTCACTTTGGAGGAGCTTGAATTTGAGCTCGGAGGACATGGTCGAATAGTTGATCCTCGAACTCTGGCAAGATCGTAGCGGGCATTGAGGAACAAAATCTCATCCAAATCCACACCGGCTCCATCTGCGATACCTTGAAGCTCTGGGAGTGCTTCGGGAAAGTATTTCTCTATACCTGGGAGATAGACCTCCTTGATGATGCGCAGAGATGTCTCCCTGGAGATGGTCAGTGAATGCGAAGTTGCGAACTACAGATCCTAAATAGGGCAATATGTAATAGACCAGAAAAGGACCTGGAAAATACAAGAGTCAATCCATACCATGGAAGTAATTTTCCCGGGGCATGATAGTGAGCAAGGCTATCAAGAATCTTCTGCCGGGCCTGTTCTCCGTGCGTATGACCACGTTCATATGGTAGTCCCTTGAGAACAATATGCTGATAATTCGACGGCGGCATCATGGTGGGTTGGCGCTAGGCAACTTAGCCTGTGTTGGTGAGCAGATTCTGGACGCTGGCGATTGGCCAAAGAAACTTAACAGCCATTGGGAATCAGCAGGAATAGATGGCCTTAATGTAGTGGCGCAGGAATTGGCTATCCAAGGTGGTAATCGGACATAGAACGGCATAACAGTCTCTTCCGAAGATATCGCTGAGTGTATCGCCATCTCGGCATGGCAACCAGGAACGAGTTTAGCTTGTCTGGCCGTGGGTTTGCGGGGTCGTCATGATAACCCTTCTTGGTAGTCATGGCGAGATGCCTATCTTCCCCACTGTCGGCAGCTGTATAGCAACCTCACACCACACCTCTTGGCAAAGACCGAGATAAGCAGCGGCCAAGGCATTTTGATGGATGGGAAAAGTGTTTAAGAGGGCACTGATCACCGGGAGACTGGGGCTGGCAAGTGTAGGTAATTACAAATCTTACAATTTTGCAAAACTTAGCCGTCTTTTCATGCGGAAGCACCAATGGCCTCAGACAAGAATGCAACCAACTCAACCCAACACGATGAACTTATTGTAGATCAGGGTGATGTTCATCAGATTGGGGAAAGCCTCTTCGACAAGAAGTTGAACAAACATCACGATGATGCTCTTGACTTTCTCCAAGCTACAGAGGATCAAAACTTCACCTACACAGACCAGGAAGCGAGTAGTGTGCGGTGGAAAATCGATTTAATGCTAATGCCACTGGTGAGTATATTTTACATCATCCATGGAGCGTTCTATAAGCTATATAGCCCTGAAGAAAAGCGTGCTGACAGGCTACCTCTCCAGCTGCTCGGGACGTATACCTTGAATTTTCTCGACAAAGGGATTCTGTCCAACGCGTCCGTCTTTGGACTCAAAGGTGACACGGTAAGTATGTTTCCAGTCAAAACTTCCAAATACAACACTAATGTTATTTTAGCATCTGGTTGGTCAACAGTACAGCTGGGTTGCTAGTATCTTCTACTTTGGGTATGACGGTCCCGCCGATGCGAACGACGGTAGATGCATAATAACTAACACTCATTCCTTAGCTACATGCTTGGGCAGCCAGTCAACGCATACTTGCTTCACAAGGTCCCTATGGGTAGATGGTTGGCTGGTAATGTGTTTGGCTGGGGTGCCTGCATTTTGTTAGGCATCACTGCCAAGAATTTTGCCGGCATTGCTACTTCACGCTTCTTTCTTGGCCTTTTTGAATCCGTCACGAACCCTGCATTTGTGCTGATTACCAGCCAATATTATACTCGCAAGGAACACTCTCTTCGTTCGTGTATATGGTGGGCGGGCAACTCTGTCGGGTCCTTTTTTGGTGACCTTATTGCCTACGGTATTGGCCATGGCCATGGCTCGCTTTCGCCGTGGAAGTACATGTTTATCACCTTTGGCGGATTCACAGTCCTCTGGTCGATGATACTCATGCTTTTCTTGCCCGATTCTCCGTGGAAGATGAAATTTCTAAATGAACGAGAGAAAAGAATCGCTGTGTTGCGTGTAATGTCGAATCATACGGGGATAAGTTCTTCTCACTGGCAATGGAAACAGGCGGTCTCTGTTCTTGTCGACCCCCAAGCGTGGATATTCTTTTGTATTGCATTTATTCAATGCCTCCCGGGTGGCGGACTGACAGCAGTAAGTACAATTCATCCCCTTCATCTCCCCCTTTCCTTATCCGAGGTGTCGAGCAATTGCTTCCTACACTTCCAGTCTATACTACCCCATAGTTTCGCCGTCAGGTCGATGCTTTCAACGCCCATCTTTCCTTCATAACTCTGTCTAATCAATTATAGACCTAATGGGTTGCTAATACTGTTAATCTTTTAGTTCAACAAGCTTATCTTAACGGGACTCGGATACACCAACCTCGAGGCGACTATATACTCTATGCCCGAGCATGCCATTCAGCTTTTCAGTGTCATTGTTGCGTAGGTTATTCTTATCCTGTTTTATAGCTACAGTAGGCTAATGGTTATAGGGGCGTCATCGGTTCTTATATAAAAAATGCCCGATGCGTCGTCATTGTATTATCCAACATACCTCCTTTGGTTGGCAGCTTGATTGTGTATTATGTGCCCGCGTCTGACAAACTTACCCGTTTGGCCGGCGTGTACATTCTCTTCACGAACACCATTAGCTATATAATGGTCTTAAGCCTCGTCGCTTCGAATTTCGCTGGAATGTCGCGCAAGACGGCCGTCTCTGCAGGAATATTTCTTGCTTATTCGGCCGGAAATCTTGTCGCACCACAGCTCTTCATTGACTCAGAGGCACCCCTTTACCCAACAGGATTTCGGGGAATGATCGCCTCGTTCCTAGCTTTGATTGTGTTGGCTTTCATCCTTATGACCTACCTGGTTTTACAAAATAAGCAACGTGACAAGAAGTATGGCAAAGTCGATCCAAATGTCATACAAGAGGATGATTTCCTTGACCTGACTGACAAAGAGCTGCATTATTTTCGATATGCTTGGTAGCTCTTTGACATATCACGAAAATGGTCTTTGGGGGAAGCAGGATCAAATAAGCAACAAGGAATGGAGTTAGGAAGAGTAGCAATCTGAATGTTCTGATTAAGCGCGGTGAGAAACTCACCACGTCGTCAAGAAACCTTTGCCCATTGATTCAACGTGTGAGTGATTTGCTGTCGGTGCTATATAATAGAATCTCTTCATCACTGAGGCAGATTGATAGGCATCTAGCTGAGTACGTTTGCAAAAGTTATCCATTCGCAACGGTAAAATGCTCCACAACGTCTTAGAATATTTGAATCGTTACCCGGCCTCGTACTTTCATCCGGAATTGGGACTTTCTAGCCCGTAGCCACTATCGCCACATATGACATTTGCGCCCACAGTAGATTGCTCCAATACCGCACTGCTGAGGGGGACCTGAATTAATAGTGGCGTCTTCGTATATAGCCTATATTTCTTCAACGCGCGCTAATGTGGACAGGCCACCAACAATCTTCCTATGTTCCCGCGGCTGAGCTCGCATCCATCCTTTATTGACCCCATCCAACTGACCAGATGCCTGAGTAATTGTTTTTACAATGGATCGCACACAACGCCGAAGCTTTCATGGTAAGTAAACAATCGTCAGCAGGGATTGATAGACGGATTGAAAGGGGAAACTTATGGAACAGTAGCCACGATCAAAAACCAGAAAACTAATCACGGGAGCAGGATGCATGACCTGCAGAAAGCGAAAAGTCCGCTGTACGGGAGGCAATCCGTGTCAAAACTGCGTCCGACTAAAAGCAACCTGTATTTCATCGTTTGATAGCAACATGAGAATCTCTTTAGCCGCATCCCCAGACAATCCAAGGCAGCAACTCCCTAAGACGCCGAACTTAGCATCACATCCCAAGACGAAGCCGGATGTTGCTGAGGATGCCGAAGGCCATCAACCACCAAGCGTGACAGAGTTAGACATGAGAGAAAACCAATCCCCGGACTTAGCTGCCATGATATATAACGAATTTGGAGATAAGTGGCCGTCTGAATCCAACGCACGGCCAACCAAATGGAATTTTGAGCCGACGTCATCTACACATGATGCCACGAACCTTGACAGCCAACGGCCAGAGGGAGAGCTTGTTGGATTAACCGGCTTTCAATTCTCAGATATCTCGGATTTTAACTTTTCTTTCGAGTCATTCTTTGACAAAGACATTGAATTTCCAAGCTGGCCAGATTCCACATTCTCAATGAACGGGCTAGAGTACCAGCTTGACGATATCGGGGAGGGCAGTCGCCGGAGACAGCCGATGGAAGAACCAGCACCATACGGAAAGAAGCGCGTCAAAGTAACAGACTCCCCACTGCAGCTAGAGGAAATCTCCCGGCCACATGTCAATCAGGACACTGCTTATCTAACTCATTTTGAGCGGTGGATTGCCAGCTGTGGCTACTCTCTCAAAGAGGATGGTAAAGGAAACTACCTGAGATTTGTTCTAGACTACGTTCAGAGTAATCACTGTAGTCCCGATTCTCCATTCCGGTGTGCAGTCCTAGCTTGGGCCGCAAAGCACTTAGCAGCAACTTCTATATCCCACGACGAATCATGGAAGATTTACTATGCTCAGGCGGCTCAAGGTCTTGAGCGTTTGTCATGCTGCGGTGACTCAAATGATCACTTCTTGGAGCCCAACTCAGCTGCACCGACCGGCCAATATGTCATTTCTTCAAAGGCCGAAATCACAATCTCGTCTGTGTTGTTTCTCTGCAGATGCGACGTTTTAAACGGCGACGCTACGTCCATCCTCAGCCGGTTGGACAATCTAAAAGAGCATCTAGCCTGCCATCTAGATGATACATCTCTTTCGGCTTTGGCATGCAAATTTCTCTTATGGTTATGCTACATCGATGTCCGCCTAAGGATATTCTCCTCACCATTGTCATCCAGCAAGAGTGGAGAAAACATCGCCATGACTACGCTGCTCGACGCACTTATACGCCATCCCAGTTACAAACGCATTCTATCGCATTCGCATTCATACCTGTCAGAAATCTTTGGCCAAACGTATCCTGCCGACGAGCTAGTTCAAGACGAGAAGAAAGTGCCTGTATCGGTTCGAACGCATGAAACATTTTGCCTCATATCTAATATGCTTCAGTATCGCTCGTGGAAACATGTATTGGATCAAAACTCCAATCTCCTGGAACATTGTGAGCTCGCGGAAGCCAAGGAGACCGCTATAAATCTCGATATACGGCGCATGGATACAGAATTTGACCTTGCAATAGCGACAAATCCTGCGGCGAATGCACTCCGCCACGTTGTCACACACTTGGGGAAAAGCGGTGGCAACAGAGGTTCCAGTAATCGCAGTGCCAACGGTAGCCTATCTCCGCATTTACCTCTGCCCGCAAATACATCACGGGACATTGATCGGGCATCATTGCAGTGGTTATCTTGCTATGCGGCATTTCTATCTGCCAAAGTTTTATGGTCACGATTTTTGTACCCAGATATCCGCAGTGATTCGACCGCAGCAATGGCAACCAGCGGTATACTGAAAATCGCTTTACAACTTCGACAGATACACCGCAAGAGCAGGTTGGCGTCTCTAATGAAGGTGCCTCGCTCAATGCTATGGCCTCTGCCAATCTTTATTGCAGGAATTGAAACAACGGACGAGATTTATGCGGACTGGATTTCGGAATTTATGAATGAAATGGCATCAGCTATGAACGGCTCTACAAAAGGGCGTAGCCATGGCACCGGAGAGTACATGGATGCTTCGATTGGCGATAAGAGAGGGAGTTTGGCTGACCACAGGCTTATCCTAATACTAATGATGCGTGTACGAGAGAAACAAGATCTGCTGGGTCGCCGTATGGATGTCCAGGGTGTCATGAGGGAGATGGATGGTACGAATGATATATTCTTGCTATGATTGAGATATATACTTTATCATATACTTTTTACTGACCTTATTCATGCACAAATATGTTCCCGTGATTAGACTTTGGATTGCCTTTCAAACCCAAAGTTCCAAACTTCAGCCCTGCGGGTTCCGTCGGAAGACTCCTTGAACCCAACATGCTGGAACACACTCGGCTCCAGCGCCCATTTGACAAGGCCGCGAGCTTCTGCATAATCTTCCAATATCATGTCTCCAGGGAAGTTGTACGGCGGATCTCTAAGCAGTGCCTGGAAATCCTCCAGGTGTCGCTGAGGAAGGACAAGTCCCTGAGCACAGCACCCATAGTGTGGCATCTCACGTGCTCCGTGCAATGTGCTCAGGCTTAAGGGGTTCAGTCTGCCGGTGAATAGACGACCAGAAAGGAAGTACAAAGCAATAAGAGCAGGCAACCAGAGACCAAAGACGAGCGCCGCGAGGTAACGCTGCGCGTGCGGCGAAACGCCGCTCGAAGCGCCGACGCGCACGTATTTCCGCCCAACGAGAAACACAGCCAGCACGGCGGTGTATACCAGGCAGATAAATTTGGAATAGGCTAACCATTCCTCATTGTTCCATCCCATTAATATTTCCGAGTAAAACAACCGTAGGTATATCCATTCCCTCGTGGTCTCGTTGGTCTTTTGCTCCACGTATGTCAGCCCTTTTATGAAGCGAGGAAACCAGTCCCTAGTGGTAACAATGTCGTCTTCCACCAGCGCAAAGTATGGGTATTCTTGCTCTCTGCACGCTTCGACAAGCGCCGAGTGGTCAAGTCTCATGTTCTCAACCCGGCCATCGCCACGAACATTCCCCTCCTTCAGGTCGAGCGGTATGCGACGATACTTGGTGCTTCCTTGAGGCGGCTCGCCATATAGGAGGACCTCATCAACAAGCGGCTCGAGCCAACCCTGTCCATAGGCAAAGTGCTCCGAGGGCGATTAACCACGATACGGATAGACGCACGCTCTTCCGGCGTGAGTGTATCGGACAATGTAGCGATCGTGGAGGAAAGGAACGACTCGGTCGTGCGATTAATGCTAGGAATGCCGATGCAGAGCAGCTTGTCGACAGGTTTGATCGGTATGACTCTCTCGGGTAGATTGCGGATGTATTCGTCCGCCTCAGCCGCTCTCACACTGGAAAAGCGCTGTTCGTAGGCTCTATTGGCGTTGAAAAAGATGGATGACGGGTCATCGTATGAGAAAATAGAGGAAGATATGAAGAGGAGAATCCAAAACAAGCAAAATGCTGCGTTAATGCGAGAGACGGACATGGCTGTGGTCGCGTGACGCGGACTACACGCTACATATCACCTCCGACTACTAAGGATCGTTCGCTTTATACGGAGTAATAAGCATCAATTGCTCACGGAGAATATTCTCCCTCCAAGAAATGTTATTCCAATGTCTCCATAAAAATACAACGTCTGTGCCGGGGTATGGATTCGTGGGATGACTGTTGCTTACGAGGTGATCCATTCGAACATGCTCCGTACTTGTTTGCGCACATACGAAGTATACCTTTCTATATACACATATCAAAGCATCATAGGCTCTATCAGGTTATCTATTCGACACTACTGTTCATGTCTATTACTTGACAGTAACAACCCATATGCTTGCGGTTATTTGTACAGGGCAGTGGCATCTTTCTGCCACTCCATCTGTCACTTTCCATCCTGACAACACCCACGAATCAGGGGACAGTAGGTGCCCCACCATTTCCCCAACGTTATTACCATCGTTTATTTCTTGGCAACTTAGCGGAAGCATTACCCTACACACTGAATTTTGAGTTCAATCTGAAAGTGATTAGTGTTTACCTAACATTGGCGAGGTTCATAGGCAGTATAGGAAAACGCAAAAGACCTAGAGAACACTCAAATGCTGGTGCGCATAGTGGGGCAAATGTTGAACTTAGGCCTTAAAGGATTACTTGGAGAAGTAGGTTTATTTGTCTGCGAATATACATGCTAATAATAGCTATAATATATGTACTTGAATGGTGAGACACATCGATGCTGTCGCTCCATTTAACATTGGTTGAATTTAGAGTTAGAGTAAAGCCAGCCAGTCATCCGGTTGGCAATATCATTGACGTAGGATGCCGTAGCTCCTTGGCCATCATTCAAGTTTCCAGCGTTGACTGAACCCGAATTATAACAGCGAGCAGCCTAAATAAAAGACGGATGTTAGAATCGCCAAATTAATCTCGTGGTCTTTGACTTGCCTCATAAATGTTGCCGTATTGGTTAATGCACTGAACCAGTCCATCACCCAAGGCTGTCCCCTGTGTACCATCAATGACCATCTGGGTAATACTAGATTGTTGAGCCGAATTGCTGGCCGAATTACCAACAAATGTTACTCCACCATCAGACTGCATCAAGCCAGGGTTGTCTGGCTGCGAGGGATCCGGGTTGGTAGTCGGGCAGACGTTGACACAACCGATGGACTTTGTAAATGTCAGCCTATACATACACACCATGACAGCTTGATGGTCGGAATTTGAAATCTTACTTCTTGTAAAATTGTAGCGAGAATGAATCGATGATCAACTAAAGAGGTTTGGGCAACTTGCTGGATAGCATTCCAGATCAAGCCGGTCTGCTCTCCGCTGTTGCCAGCTCCAAAAGCACCGGCGCCATTCGAGCAAGATCCTATGCCGAGGTCGGCGCAAGCCTCGGCCATGGCATTCTTTGAGTAATTCCACATGGCGTCAAATTCAATCCATTCAGATACGGGGGGAAAGCTCTCCCAACCACCATAATAACACCCTACAACTGTTAGAAAACATGCATGCTGAAAGCACAATTTTATATTGGATGCAATATGCATTTGTGAACTTACTATACGTGTCTGATCCAGCATTTCCGGTCCCGTCATAAATATTGGCATTGTTATTATTGCCTGCTCCGCTGCTGAATGCTGACGAACTGGTCACCTTCTGGCCTGAAGGGTTGGAAACAGCCGCAGCACGAGGCTTTTCAATCTATGGTTAGCAATAATCTTCTTATTATCAAGAGGCAAAACTAACAGTACGAGCCCCCAAGGCCAGGCCTGCCATCGCCAACTGTATAGCCGCTGTGAACAACATTTCGATTTCTTTGTCCTGCCGAGTTGATTTAAAGATTGTAATACAGAATATGGCGGATACAAGTTAATTCTTTGGATTCCAAGACATATGGAAAAGCCATTCTTATATAGATAATTGGGATTGTATGAACGTTTCTAAGCCAACAGAAGATACGGAGTAGGTGGACCGATCTAAAACCTTCGAGGAAGGCGAATGTGAAATTTCTCATTCGTATGGGATTTCACGATGCAGCCTGCGTTGGGACTACAGAAGATTCCCAATCTGGAAACATAAGATATGAGGTTGAGAGGCCTTTGAATATTTAATCCACCATACAATTCGTGTTGCGAAGCTAATGAACGCTTGCCGTCTTTGCCGTGAACGACAGACTAATACGAAGAATCCCTAAAGTAGAAGGAGCTGAAAGATTCTCGGCAACTCGGTCCTTTTACGGCTTATCTAGGGTAGGTCTACGGAATTTCTAAGGTGAGTAGTTGCTATGAGGTTTATCCTCCTGCCGTAGAAGGAGCTTTATTTTGCGATACGTTTTATCCAACTGGGAATTGGCTTTGAGCCATGAACCATACTAATACAAGATACATAAATCATATGGGCGGTTGGTGTTTTATTTGGAACAAATTAGTCAAGACATCATACGGCAAGCGATTAAAATAACATACCATCGATTGCGACTCGATGTTGCCATTGTTCCGGGATCTTGTGCTGGCAAAGCCCTTAATCAGCCGCATTATCTCTTGTTCATATCGAAATCGCCTGGCGACATGAGACTTCCGAAAGATATAACACGTCATTAGGCAACGTCAAAGATTTGCATAATACATCGCTAAGCCTCTCACGTGTGAGGTCCAGCAAGGTTAAATACAAGGTAGTCGGCACTCTCTCAGGTTCTGGTCAGCCTGTTGTAGCGCCTTGTAATACTACCATTGCCGCCCACGCTGTGCGTTGTTCAGTAATGACTGGCGGGGCTGTCTCCCAATATTTGATGTCTTAATCTTCATTGCTTCAACGCAGGCACTGACATCAGCAGGCAACTATTACTCATTCTCTACACACCAAACGGGCAAACACAAATGTTGCAGTCATTTCTCTTTGCTATCAGGGCCGATGGCGGAATACTTGATCACGTGTAGGGGGTGCACAGCGTGCTGTGACTAATAAGCACTGGACTTTAAATAGGAATTGTAATTTGAATCATCGGCCTCGTGAGGTTCCTGCAAACATCTTAAGCCGCATAATTGACATCTTGTATTATCAAAAAACCTCATTCAATGTCTGAGCAACAGAATATTACAAAAGGTTTCTTGCAAGGCGCATTGCAAAAATGCCTTCAAGATGGCGTTGAGATTGGCGTTCCTGGTATAACGGCTGCGGTCGCCTCCTCTGAGGGGCTTCTCTGGTCAGGAACGGCAGGGGTGTCGAATGTAGAAACCAAAGCCCCGTTTACTTTGAATCACATCTCTGGAATTGGAAGCATCACAAAAGTTTTCATGAGTGTGGTTATTTTGCAACTCATTGACGAAAAGAGACTCAGCATTGGTGATACTCTTCAACAGTATGTCTCTGCAGAAATTCTTCGGGGGATCCCTCATGCTTCCGGAGCTACGATTGGCCAGCTTCTTAGCCATAGTTCAGGCATTCCAAGCTGGGAAGATGATCCTCGATGGATCCGACAGGGACGTGGGTCAGATCTTGATCCTGATAAGATTTGGACAAGCACGGAAACTTTGGATTACATCCGCTATGATAGTAATCCGGATGTACAAGCGCCGGATCCCCAGCCAACTCCGGGTAAATACTCTTATTCGAACACCAACTTTACGTTCCTAGGTCTGGTTGCAGAATTTATTTCCTCAGAAACTATGCCCTCCGAAATTCGTGTATCAGTAGGGCATTCAAGCGTCACAGCCGCAAGTCTGATTCGCTCGCGAGTGCTTGAACCTCTGGGTTTGAGCTATACCTACCTTGAGGGGTTTGAATCGCCCCAAGCCGGCCAAATGCCCAATAGATACCACTGGGTGACCCCTACGTACTTGTCGACAGCTGGTGCCTGTCCTGCTTTCTCATATCCTAAATCTCGCCCGGATCTCATAGACGCAAGCAAATCGAACATGTCGACGGAATGGGTGGCCGGCGGAAAATTATCGCATCCAAAAGATCTTTGTACTCTGTCACTTGCCATTCGAAACGCTAAGATTCTGTCACCATCCTCGCTGAAGCTCATGATGGACCTCATACCAATTATGGAGAGAGTATGGGTAGGCCATGGTATCTTCAAGATGCGAACCACTGATGGTAATGCATGGTTTGGTCACAACGGAAGTACTCTGGGTTTCAATGGAAGTATGTTTTGGAATGAGGAAACAGATGTAGCCGTTGCAGTGCTGGGAAATATCGGAACAATGCATGCTGGGAAAGTCCCAGGTGCTGCATCGGTTGCTCTTGAGAGTAAATTCCTTGCATTGGCAGTAAAACTTGCAGGGTTATATTCTGGGGAGAAATCCTGAAGCACTGGGAAGCCGTTTAGATGTTCTGGTATGACTACCTCGAATGCATGATTTGTTATTTGCCAAAGCCATACTGGTTTCCTACATTTCTTCTAGGGGTTTGTCTTAGATTCTGGCTTCCTCTTATCGTACAAATTGTTCTTCTAAATGTATTCTAGCATCTTCTTGGCTTATACCATGTCAGTGTTACTTCACTTATATCAATTATACAACAACGCTGTTTTCAAACTTTTACTCACCGGCTCAGGAGAATTCCAAGTGCAAATGAAGGCATATAAGACAACGAAAACCATGACTAAAGTAATATTTTTCTAGTAGTCTTCTATACTGTATATGTATTTTGTCGGAAAGTCAAAGACGTGTGCTTTCCTCATCACACAATACTTTTAGTGTAGAGTTCCTAGCCAGACGGGCCTTTAAGTCGAAAGGAACCCTTTTGCCTTCTCTAGATTCGACTTTACCATATTAGCAATACCCCATACATCCAGCATGACCATAATAGCTCTATGACCAGATTCTATTAACATTGGGACCATATCGAGATTCATAGCTGCGCTATATCATGTATCAGGTTAGTTTCGGCCTGAATAGCATCATATATGGATAGAAGATCCACATACCCGAAGAGTGGAACATTATGTTTCTTGCTAGCTTTGGACATGCTTTCCATGGCAGCAGCGAGAGTAGGGTGAGGTTGTCCCAGAGTCAACTCCAGTCCCGCGTCTGCCATGAAGTCTCCAGGCCCGAACATCAGTGCTGAGATTCCGGGTATGGACGCAATATCATCCACGTTTGCAATACCTTTGACGCTCTCTATTTGTGCGATGACGGCGACATGGTTGTTCGAAGTTTTCATATTGAACGCATCATTTGCATATAAGGACGCATCCGAGATGCCGGGAGTGAAGACCCATGGGCTGAATGAGCGACCACCAAGAGGAGCTAATTATCCCGTCAATGGTTAGCTAACGCGTCTTTTTCTATGTCTGCTATTTCAAATCAATCGTACTCACGGTAGTAGATTTTTTTCATAAATTCTTCAACCTCTTCTTTGCTTTCGCAGTGTGGAATGATAATGCCAGCAGCGCCCGCGTCCAATGCCGTAGTCAAAGAAATCTCATCTTCCTTTGGCACTCTGACAATAGCCATGGTCTGACCTTCGGAGTGGTGTTGGGCTGCATGAATAACGCTATGATAGTTAGCTAACCCAGTTGATTAAAGGGGGAAATAGATCTGGTTCGTAGGACGCCATACTCATGAAGCACCAAACGATCAAACATGCCATGTTCAACATCAAACCATACAAAGTCCGGTCTAGTGGAGGCATACACTTTCGTTAAAAATGGGCTCGGAATCCCCTGAGCGACACCGAACAATGTCTTTTTTGAATCCTTCTGAGCATCTCGTAAAGCCTCCTTTAGGTTTCCAGGATATGTTAAGAGCGCCGATCTCCATTTTGCCTGTGAGTGCAAACTGGTTTGCTCGAGATACCCTTTGCCGGACATGCTGGATAAATGACGTTTTGTTTTGTTTCAACAGATGACAAACGTTAATAGTTTTGTTGCTACACGGAAGAGAAGATTCATGAGGAATTGGAACAACTCGCTCCTACCCCTTATATAAATATGAAAATTATGGAGATGTGAGCATTTAGTTGAAATGAGAAAGCAGAGAGGTGTAAGATGGATCTTTATTCCAGAATATAAAGTTTTGTGGCTGCAACCAAAGGGGATTCCAGGCGTACAAGTAATACATTCAGCAACGCTTCTAATTAGTGCTTATCTAATTCTTACTATTGCCATGTTCTCTTTCTGTACAATATTATTCAACTCTTGATAGCTTTTCGCGTCTCAATCGTATATGAAAAGTTAATATCCTAGCGCTTAGCTCTGAGTATTGAGGATAAATTTAGTAAAACAAGTTGTCATCTATCAGCAGAGATGAGGAAGCCTCCGGCCATACGAAGTAAACCAATTCATTTCCGAATAACAACAGCTAGACGGAATATACTACTACGCCAATGTCATCTCAAGACATATAACTAGAATCCTCTCAAATTGTAGTTAGCTTAAGGGGAGAAGGTAAACAGATGGAGACCGCAACATGAATATTCACAAAAGCTTACAATACGTGCATTATTAATTTAAACTAGATTACATTTTGAGCGGCCATAATGCTAACATATTTGCGCGTGGATAATGTGCAGTTATGTAGTTTGGCATGCTTGGGCTGTGATGCTGTTCTTCGTTCGCCTAATGTCGGCGGCAAGTCAGCATCTCTCTACCTTGGGATATAAGTGGCTGCCCGAGTCACTTTATGGGTGAGTAACCTCATCGTACGGAAGTATACCCACTAGAAACAGAAATACAAATCAGAGGAAGAATATGTCAGTGTGCTATATTCATTTGTTGCAGCTGTGTAGCATTCGCTTCCAGTTTAAAAAAGTTAGAAACCATCTTTAGGGTGATTTCCAACCATAAAGCTATTGAAGGGAAAAAACTGATAATATTTACTCTGGGAGGGAAGAAGGTGCAGTGGGTGGTTCGAATAGCCTTCTACATACAGAGTAGAGAGACCCACGAAGGGAAACTGTACCGATCTAGCGGGTTATTTTTGAAACAATTGATTGATGACAGCTTTCACATTTTTTCTTGGCATGAGAACTCCGAAATCTCCTCAAAGTTATTATATTCCATTAGTAATTCTAACAGCGGTCTCTTTGCACAGTAGCAAAACACCTGATGTCTTGGGTACTAGTGTGCTAGAGGAATTAGAATGCTCTCAATTCCAAGCCGCATCATCGAATCTCTCCGCCGGGTTCAGATCAAAACCGGTCATCATGAGATTCCCAGACTGGAGCTTTTATCTCGTAAATTTTGAGCGAGGGCCTTTGATCGGTGCCGACGCTTACCAAACCTGCATGTGTGCCTTATCCCCGCACGGGAGCTGGGAACTCCCCATGTTTAGGCTGGTCATCTCCACAGGTTGGGCTCATCTACGATTGCGGGGTGAATAATGGGAATATTTTCTTTAACAACACAAACTAGCATCCCTGAATAAGAATCTCAGGTCTTGCTTATCATTGTGCTGCTCTTGCATCCTGAAACGAGTGTCAACATTACTTTTCAGGGGAATTGAAAATGGCCCAAGGCTCAAACCCAACCGCGGCGAGCTTGTTAGGCTCAACCTCAACCAATTTTCCTCAATCTCATGAGAAAATATCCGAACCGAAGGACACGCCATACTTTATCGACAATGAATTCCGGCAGTCTCAGTCAAAGAATTTTATCCTGGTCCATGATCCTGCGACAAATAACCTGGTCACTAGAGTACCGATGATGACCAGCGACGAATTACAGCTCGCAATTGAATCAGCGCAGAATGCCTTCAGCTGCTGGAGCAAAACCTCGATAATTGCCCGACAACAGATCATGTTTCGTTATGTCAGTTTGATTAAAGAGAACTGGGATAGACTCGCTTCTTCCATTACCTTGGAGCAAGGCAAAACATTTGCAGATGCGCGAGGCGATGTGCTGCGCGGGCTGCAGGTTGCAGAGGCCGCATGCGCCGGCCCAGAATATATGAAGGGAGAAATTTTGGAGGTCGCCAAGGACATGGAGACCCGGACTTATAGGGAGCCTCTTGGTGTTGTCGCCGCAATCTGCCCGTTTAGTATGGTCTTCCACATGCCATCCAAAACCTAGTATGATTCTAACGAAGATCGCGTGTAGATTTCCCGGCAATGATACCTCTTTGGTGCATACCGATTGCTACCATTACTGGAAATACAATGGTATTAAAGCCTTCTGAGAGAGATCCCGGCGCTGCGATGATTCTTGCCGAGTTAGCCGAAAAGGCTGGGTTTCCAAAGGGCGTCATCAACGTTGTACATGGCGCACATGATACCGTTAACTTTCTCATTGATTCTCCTGTCATTAAAGCCATTAGCTTCGTTGGAAGCAACAAAGCTGGAGAGTATATCTTCACACGTGGCTCGGCAAATGGGAAGAGGGTCCAGGCAAACTTGGGCGCAAAGAATCATGCATTGATCATGCCTGACAGTGACAAAGAAGCGGCCCTGGATGCCATTGTCAGTGCTGCTTTTGGAGCCGCAGGACAGCGTTGTATGGCTCTATCTGTAGCAGTATTTGTTGGGGAAACCCAACAATGGCTTGACGAACTTGTTCAGAAAGCTAAAACTCTGCGAGTTGATGCGGGCTTTGAGCATGGTGCTGATCTTGGTCCTGTTGTTACACCTGAGAGTAAAGCGAGGATTGAATCACTAATTGCGAGTGCGCAAGTGGAAGGTGCTCATATCCTTCTTGACGGTCGTGGTTATAAGCCAGAGAAGTATCCGAATGGCAACTGGGTTGCTCCAACGATAATCACCAACGTCAAGCAATCGATGCAATGCTATAAAGAGGAGATATTCGGTCCGGTACTAGTGTGTGTTAATGTTGACACTCTTGAGGCGGGTATCGATCTCATTAACGCAAATGACTACGGAAATGGTGCTGCTATCTTCACATCCTCAGGCGCAGTTGCAGAGAAATTCCGACGGAACATTGAGGCAGGCCAGTTGGGCATAAACGTGCCAATCCCGGTGCCTCTTCCAATGTTCTCATTTACAGGAAATAAAAAGAGCGTGGCTGGAGGGGGGGCCAGCACTTTTTATGGGAAACCGGGAGTGAACTTTTACACTCAGCTCAAAACTGTCACATCCAAGTGGTCGAGTGCAAGTATTGTACCGACCAAGGCGGTTCTATCGATGCCAACTGGATCATAGAACAATTGTTGCGTAGACATACAACGTTTAGTGAATAAGAGAATATGAGATGCACCTGCCCACACTACGCTAAATGGTAATTTAGTCAAAGTAAAGATATAATGCGCAACAATGTCCTGTTTTTAAACCGATAAATGTCATATCGATATTTCGTTACATCGCTGAGATTTTTTATCGGTATTCGTATGTGATGCGCAAATGCGTTCCAGAATTTATGATGTAGCCCTACAGGGAACGACTGCCGTTGTACCTTTTTGTGACGATGGCGTTGGTGAAACCGCCTACTGCAAGGGCCCGGACAAGGATTTTTGGTTGAGCCCAATCCCAGCTTAGGTCTTTACGCTCTGTTTATAGGCGGGACTGAATGATAGCTCCCGCAAGCCAAGTATCCTCACCCATAAGCAGTTCTCGATGAGGTTCCGTATACTCAGACTATGTAATTGGCGGAGGCTTTGGTAACGTCTTACCAATGGCCATTGTACTGAAGTAATTCCATATCTGCGCACTTCGATTAGATACGACTTCTATTTGAAGGATATAACGAACGCATAATAAACGTAAATTACAACCTCGCATGAAATAGATTCCATTGGAAATAGGGCTAAGCTTACCTCGATATTGCCGCTGTCGGACTTCGCCAGTTTGGCTATACCGATGGCGCCTAGGTATCTGCTGGAGATACCGCGCTCTCAGCTTTAGTTTCTTATGAGGTATTTCCGGATTGAAGAGCAGTGGTTTTATAGCCACTGAGAGATGAGATCCAGTCAATAGTAGTAAGGATTTTCAATATTGTTGCATTCTAAGACTTTGCACCAATATTTAATTAGAACGTCAGCTTCCCTCGATTTTCCAACCCTATGATGGCTAGTTTATTACTTCTTCAAATAGTAATAAAGGGAGAATGTGAGCTAGGAACAGGCGTCGTTTTGGCAAGTGACGAAAATATCCAAACGACGAATTGCGCTGCCTCAAAGTCTAGTCAGAGCATTGTGAAGCTAAAAGTAGACAGGAGGAGCCTTGGCAAATCTCGTATAGCATCAGCGATTCTCTCATCTAACTTGTCAGGTATTATGATACTACCGTACACAAGTGCGCTCCTTGTTATATACTCCATGTGCTCCTCTATTTATAACCTACCTTTAATTTCAGTTGCCGCGGCGGAGCACATTTCCTTTCGTGGGCTTGGATGGGCAAATATGTAATCTACCGACAACGCTAGTATTATACTGGTCAATTCAGTCAACATCAGGTTTCCGTTTACCATCTAGTTTTACTTCGCCCCACCCGACCTCGAGTCACTGTATTCGTTGTCCGATTTGAACCGGCATCGTCTTCAAAGTAAAGGATTATGTTGCGTATGCTATCAACATCCAAATCATGATGAGACACAAACCTGAGAGATTATTTCACATATTAGTAGTTGAGATTGATAAAGACTAAGATAACAAAATAAATCTGCGATGAATGATTAGAGATAACCTTAAAAAGAGGTTCCCTATCATCATAAAGGCCACCTGTAATCGTGTTGGCAGTACCGATGCATCGATAGGGGCAAATAGTTTTCCCAATTGCCTTATGCCATCTGACCTCGATAGTTAGGTTTGGCTGGGCCATTCGCGTTATGAGATTCATCATGTTAGTTGTCGCTTTCTCTCCCCAAACACCGTCTACCTGCCGACAAGCGCCGTATTCTTATAGACTTCAAGTCGCTTACTCAAATCAAATTTGAGCCTCTATTGCTAAAGTAGGGGGGGGGGGGGGTGCGGTTTCTTCATCTTTTATATCTTCATCGCATCGTGGGTTATTGCAACTTAGCTCAATGCTGAAGGTGTAGCACCACACTATATCCTTACTGTTACTAAAGCATCGAGCAGCCTTGGACAAATCCTGCCAAATTATATGGCTGATCAGATCGGCTTCTCAGTATTTAATTTCCTGCAGGCTCTGTTATGGCTATCGCAATACTACATGGCTTTTTTTCAGAATCCCTGTCTCTACGCCTCCATCTTCTATTGCTTATATGACAGCAGATTTTAATGACGAATACATATGTGCTTTCTTAGAATGGCCTTCAGGTCGTTTATCGGAAGCCCTGTTACAGGTGCTATTGTACAATTTGATGGGTATGATAGCGCTAGGATTTATGCCAGCATCATGATGCTAGCTGGCGAAACCACGATGGCGATGGCAAGATTTGTCAAGACTTTTGTTATGCTTCGCATCAAAGCTTAAACAATGTTGCTAATTACTCTTACCCAGTGAATTCAATTGATGGAGCGGAATTGGGAAGGAAAATGATTTAAATGAAATGTTTCTTGAAAAACTATGTTTACTATTGCGAAGAGCTGAAGCTGTATAATTTTGGAAGAGTACGTACTCAAAATATAGCGCGCTGTGGTCCTTTACAGAGACTCAACTCAGAATACAGCAAGATTTGTATTGACATATGGTAGTAATGACCAGCTTCGTTGGTCTCGATGAAATCAAATGATGACATTTTCCGCGCAATTATCGTAAAAATAATCCGTACTACGCAATCCCATGAGCTTTCCATTTGCAGTGAATCGCGAATTGCCGTTTACAGCATTTGCTGGAAGTGTTCGGCATCCAATATTGTCTTAGTTAGTCCACTTGAGAGCAGAATTCTCGGCAACGGGGCACAGGTCGCGAGCAGGAGGCTAGAAATTAGGCGGTTAACTTTTCCACATTGAGCAAGGCGACGTCATTCATGTATTGGCTCTAACCCTACGTAGCGAAATGATATCCCATGAAACTGCTACTTACTGAGGTGCATCACAGCTAAGCACATTATAAATTTAATACTTAATTGCTCTTTCATTTGTAAAGCAGAGCATACATGATGTATTACCTGTTTACAAAGGACGTTCGTAGAACACACAGGAATAAAGGAATTGTCTTAAATAGCGGTCGAGCATCCATAGTTCTTTTCCAGGGCATCAAGCTACTATCAAGGTAGAAAACAACATACAAAGTTCTTTAAATTTTATTGGAATATCCACACGACGCGAAATGTCTTCCCCAAAGTCAATTCTCATAGTTGGCGGCTCTCGTGGCATCGGGCTGGGCATTGTAAAGCAGGCCGCAAGTTTAGCCAATCCTGTGAAAAATGTCCAGCAAAAGTAATTAACCCTGTTGATAGTTATCTGTTTTCCCAGAAGCAACTATCTTTGCCACCGCGAGATTTCCAAGCAAGGCAAATGAGCCGCAAGACGTTATTAACGCAAGCAGTGGTCGCGTTCAAGTTGTTTCGGCTGATGCCAATGACTCAAACTCACTTCATTTAGCTGCGGAAGAGATTGGTCGATTAGCCGACTCTTTGGATATTGTGATATATAACACCGGCATCTTGAATGGTTTTGGAAACCTCTTGGAAGTGGGTGTCCAGCCATTGATCGAAAACATCACGACAAATGTCTACGGAGCATACTATACTGCAACTGCGTTTCTGCCTCTCTTGTTAAAGTCCAAGTACGAAAAGAAGACTCTAGTTCTGCTTTCTTCTTCTTTTGCATCCATGCAATTGAGCGACAAAATCTCAGCGGTTCACGAATCACTGTTCGGGAATGGATATGATGCGACAGCGATGTATAATATCTCGAAGGTGGGCAAACCCAAAACGACAGCGAGAGACATCTTTGCTGAGAAAATGATTTAGACGGCTCTTAATCGTCTAGGAAAAGAACTCGATATTGTGCTAAGCCGACAGGGTCTACCGGTTGTCCTTATTCACCCAGGATTGGTGAAGACAGATATGAATCCATGGGGAGATATTGACATCTCTGAGAGTGCCTCAGGCGTGTAAGTTATTCAGGATCATTTTATATCTACATGCCGGTGCTAATTCTTCCACTTAGTGTCAAGGTTATACAGTCATTCAAGGCAGGAAAGAAGAATTTCTATGACTGGAGTGGTAATGAGCTGCCGTGGTAGCTTACAGTTGATATTAGACAAATAGCCTCTGAATAGTAAGCAAGTTGTGTTTTAAATAGATAATTATCTAATATTTTATGAGGGAAATCTGATGGAGGGCATAAAAAAACGGGAAAAGGTGTCTCCACAGAAGATAAGAATCGGGATCTGTCGAGTTACAACTATGCTCATCCACCAGCGAGCCGATGATGCGAAGGGTTCAACATGCTGAGGCTTAGTCCAGTTTCTGTTGTGAGAAATCTTTTAAATAGACGAGATATAATTTTATTTTTAGTGGTATTCTTTGGTAGGCTGTTTCGACTACTTCGGACTCGTGGGAGAGCAATCCATGGGCTACTCTTGATGTCGGAAACACACCAAGCTAGGATTGGATTGGACACAATAAGTTCAGTAGCGAGTAATCGATTGTTATAGAATCTAGGAGTTAATAGAAGATAAGTTGTATAGGTTCTAATCCACAGCTGACCATAACCAACCACATACACGAGGCTTCGCTCAAGGAATCTCAATTACTACCTTCCCAGTATGTTTTCGAGCTTCCTGCACGTTTTATTAGCATCATAGCATCATAAACGGTCCATAATCCAAAATACTTACCATGTATTCAAGACCTTCCGGCAGTTCCTCTAACTTGAACACTCTCTTGTCCAAAACAGGCTGAATCTTGTTGGCATCTATTGCTGCCATCATGTCATCCATCTGGTCTTTAGAACCAATATGAATGCCACGAAAAGTGCAAGTGTTCAACAATGCGTCTAAAATACTAGCATTTGCAGTCTCCACGCCTGTCAAGATTCCAATTACAGTAACGATGCCTTCAGGCTTAATCGCCTTCACGCTATGAGGCAGCGTTTCTTGGCCTCCAACGTCGAGGATGTGGTCAAACCCTTCTTCATTTGGGGTGAAGTTCCGTGCCGTTAGTCCCCAGTCTTTATCTCCCGCGTAATTGATAATATGGTCAACACCAAGGCGTTGGAGTAGATCGTATTTGCTAGTAGATGACGTTGTAGCGACAACTTTAGCCCCTCCTGCTTTTGCAAACTAGTATTCTTGTTAGATTTACCACCCATCGATAAAATAGGGTCATGGAGAGTTACCTGAATAGCAAACAGGCTAACACCGCCGGTTCCTTGAACTAAAACCCAATCGCCTGGTTTGACAGCCTTTAATCCATAAAGTGCATTCCACGCTGTTAATCCGCAATCTGAGAGAGAGGCCCCTTCCAGATACGACAGATTAGAAGCAAGGCGTACCAACCATGTCTCTTCGTATACTCCATATTGCTGCCAGGTACCGTCAAAAGAGCCGCCGATACTTCCATTGCGCATTATAGCCCTGGTCATGGGTCCAGATTGGTGCCCCGGGTTGAAGAGCGTGGTAACTCTGTCACCCTTCTTCCACTTGGTAACCTTAGATCCCACTTCAATAATTTCCCCGGCCCCATCAGACCCGCCAACAACAGGAAGATGAAGATGAAATATATAAGTGCCCTAATCCACGAGTAAATAAAGGAATAATCTACTTCGTGTAGCCAACGGAAGATATTCAGAGTGACCTCACCTTTGTAATCATATGATCGCGATAATTCAATGATGCTGCATGCAACTTGACTAAGACTCCGTAGTCTCCAACTGTCGGAATAGGTCCATCGGTAAAGTTTAGTTCATCATAGCCTTTCTCTTGTCCCATAATGACCCATTTTTTCTGTGTTGCAGGAAGAGCCATCTTGAAACGGTATAAAAATCTAATTAGCGAAATATCTGTCAAAGAACAGATACCAGGAGTAATTAATGAGTATACAATTTCTCTGTTGTTGAACATCTACAAAATCGAAAGTGAGAGAAGTTGATGATTATTATAGCCGCTTGCAGAGGAGGAACCGAGTTCATTTATAATTCCTCAGCACTGACAAACCAGCTGGATCATCTGGTACTACGCTGTTGCAAACTATCATCCTAGTGATTTTTGTAATTTTTAGATGTATAGAGGGATTCGCATATGCCATATGACGTTGTAGAGGAGCTTACCGGGCAAGCAAACTACGATGTGCTGGGGTGGCGAAGCGTCTGCCGAGGACTCCGTCGGCATCACAATAAAGATGCGAGACGAATGGACACAAAAAGGGCAGTATTCTCCTGAAAATAAGCTCTTCCACTGATAGTATCTAATAAGGTCTTTAATGTTAATCTTCATTATCTGATCAAGGCTAGACTGGGGCAATCGTGGATCATCTACAGTGGGGGTAGTTCAGTAATGGTTGCCCCTCCGCAATGGTTGGCGGCGATGAAAATGAGAATAGTATGAGAAACACATTTACAATCATCATCAATATTCTCGTTTAGCCAACTAAAACTCTTGCTCTGGAATTCTTTGTGATGTCACGTACAAACCCGGGGCAAGTAATTACCTTCACCAAGCAACTCTCTAGCCATATACGGCGCTTCCTATTATGAGAATATTGCCTAGAACAGCAAACACATCCGCCGCGACCCCACACTACTGGCCTTGGTCCCTGGTGCACTGTACATGTGACGTTATACCACATGAGCCAACCTATACGCGTCTCTCACGTTCTATCGTGCCGTTTCTAATCGTGGTTAACAGGGTCGTAATCCCTTTGTTCTTTCAAACTATATTTATGGTATATGCAACATATATCATCAATAGAAAGACATAGGTTCAATCATAATGCCAAGTCTTGGCTTCATACACCATCCGGAGATACGACACTTGCGAGGTGGCTCATACCTTCCGAAATGTCCTACAAAACATTTAGCATCACCGATGCAGCGAGACTCATACCGGGATAATTAACTATATTCGACTTTGGAACGAACATAAGTGCGTTGATTCCAGTATGTGGAGGCTTGGTGGGAGCATTAACCCTCTGTGTAATCCCCCTTGCCTTTCAGTCGAGTCGAACTGATCAATATCTGGAGTATTACACTGCCTCTTCTTATAAGAAAACATTCCAGCTTCCATGCACGGGGAAAGTACCTAGCTTGGATTCTTTCAAGCACATTGAACACAATTCATTAACATGATATTACTGCATAGCAGATCATTGCCATAAACTGGCTCTAAAATCTCTATTGACGTGGACATAAAAAAAGGTGTTTAGATAAATTCAACATCATCCCAGGAGTTGAAGACACTAGAAACTGTTTTTGTCGCTCCCTGGGCAACGAGATCGAAAGGGTGCGAAGAGGTTGCTGTCAATGGACCACTGCTTTGCCATATGCCCCTGTAGAGTGTAAAATTTGTGCCAGAAATCTTGCTCAAAGGCTCCATATGAACTATTTCCTGAGTCCATGGGCTAATTGGAGCGGTTTTATTTGAGGGTTGCGGAACAATGAGCGAAATGTTGGTATACATCTCGGCATTTAGAACCTTATCGTTGTGAAATGGTTAGTTGTGTGAAAATGAACTACCGCATGAATCATGGGTTGCACTTACTGCTGCGGTCAAGTTGAGTTGCAATTGGGCACTATCATTGACAGTTATCGTGCTCTGACTTGAAAGGCTAAACATTGGCAGAATAGCATCAGACACGGGAAATCCACCCCCGCCATTGTTATAACTTGTAGCCTTTCCAGTGACCCCGTCGATAATTTCAACGGTAAAAGACGATACGCCCTGTGTAGTGGGAATTGTAGAGTTGAATCTAAAATAGGTGTAGCTTGGACCGCAATTAGGGTAGCCGCAACGTGCAGTCAGCCCTTGTGATGTCGTTCCGATGGCCGCAGGCAATGCTTCACCAGATCGTGAGGATAAATGGATTATGACCTGTGTTCCATTTGCACTAATTAGGTCATCAACAATCTTTAGTTGCTAGTTAGCCATTCAAGATCTCAAACTTCTGCGGCGGGTGGAAGGGCAGCCAGCACTTACCCGTATAAATCCAGTTATTGAGAGCGTTTCGTCATCGTTAACTGTAACAGACAACTTTCGAGGCTTTATCTTAAGAGGTTCAATAACATCTGTCAGTTGAACATCTCTCGGCACCGTGTTAAGCATGCGCTCAAACATAGTGTTGCAGGTGCTCAGGAAAAAGTCATTGGACGACGCCATCTGTGAAATCATATCGCCGCCATCTGCGTTAAAAATACGGAAGTCTGATCGTGTTGTTTCATTTTGTCCAAACGCAAGTGGGTTTTGGGAAACATTGCCAACGAACTCTTTGGCACTGATGGTAAGCTAGACGTTAGTTTGGTGGAGCAAAGACTTTATGGCAGGGCGACGCCAGAGCAAAACTAACACGAGGTTGTCAAAGTTGTCTGTCGTTGTATCAAAAGTAACCGTATTATCGTTCGTTGCCTAAAATAAATCCCCAAGTTAGCCAATTGAGTCTTGGTAGTTTGCCAACTTGCCGTCGGTTGGAGACGTAGAATTACGAACATCAGTCGTAGGCATAGGATTAGGAACAATTTCTGGAAAGTCCACGCCATGCACACCTCCAACACTATGCCCACAGGCAACAAGTGCGATCATTTCAGATGTGTCAAATCCTTGTTTCGCAAAACTCAGAGTATGCGTAGGTAGGTCTTGCTGAGGCTCCGGAACACCTGAAGGACCTGGGCCAGCTGCGTCCACACGACCTCCCCTGAATGGAACAATGACCCTTCCATCTGAACACGCGCCAACAGCCATCACAGCGCCTATAGCAAATAAATCAGCCATAGACGCTCGAGTATTATAGCTGCCCTTGAAAATGCCAAGTGTTTCCCTAAATGCATCTCCAACATTCTCAGAACGATCCATCTCGAAAACAATTGAGGCGTCAAGGCCACCGGTTCCAGCAGACACATCTGCTGTCGCCATGTCGTGATAGGCGTTTCTGATCCATTCAGCACCAAAACTACGCCCTATACCAAGCGCACGCTCAGCTGGCCCACTGCATCCATCCACAAAAGACACAGTGCTACCGGGGCCGTCAAACGGGTTTTCTTGTTCGTATAACTCTCTCTCAAGTTCATCGATTCGCGCATTTGGCCATATGTAGTCAGCCTTGGTAGGAAGCCAGAAGTGCGAGCTTAAAACAGCATAAGTAATCGCTCGAGTCCAGGCCATGATTCTTTTGATCCAGGGATGGTTATGGCAGTCAATCTTTCAGAGTAAACAAGTATGGGCACAAGGGATATTAAAGATTCATTCAGAGTGGCTTATTTGATGTAATATATAAGGAAGAGTTGAATGGTTACTCATAGCATCCTGTAACATGAAAGGGGCTACTGCTGTGTGGGATGGTTACTTCTCATCAACGCTTGTAGCGGTCAGGCGTGGCAGTGAATGTCGGAGATGGACCTTCCTATCGGAGTCCGCTATTTACAAACGAACCGCATGCCAGCATAAAGGCCGTTGATAATTCAGTTGCAGTTGCAGTAGGTGGTCGCATAAGTGAATTGCGTGAGACGCTATTGGTCAGGTTGAATTCTGATTTAACCCTAATTTTGTCCATTATGACAAATTAATCCTTGAGCAAAACCAATTCAGCTGGGACGCGTATGCGAACTTTTTTGGCGCATCAAAAAACGCGTAACCCTAGGGCTCATTAAGCTTACAAGAATGCATACATCCTTGATGTAGTTCGTATTAAGCTTACAGGAACGCGTAGACCCTGGCCAAAGAATCGTGAGGCCGCGTATGCGCACCGTGTACGGGTATACGAACGTCTCCAAATGCTTTGGTGCAAGTCGCCAAGGTCATTACAACCGGTGAAGAATCTCAGTTCGTAGAATAGTTGCGAAGTACTGATTTAGAAGAATGCGTAGTGATATTTCCGCTTCCTCGTAAACAATACTAAGTAAAAAGCGGCAGGTTAATGGTTATGGTGCTTGGGTAACAAAGTAACATTACTACAAGATTAATGTTATCCTTGGTTAAATACCAAATGTAGCTTTAAAACAACATAACTACCCAAGAATTGCACTTTTTCTATTCGCTGTTGTATTAAATCGGTCTATATTGAACGGCCTATGGTAGACTCCCATAAATCACTAATTTGGCATGATCGCAGAGGAACACCTTCATTATGATGCGCAATACTACCAAGAATTGTGATCACAATCCCTAGAACTCAAAAGATTGCAGAATAGGGCAAGGTTTAGACACCGATTGAAACCAATAATAAGTTGTCTTGTTGTCCCGCTCTAGCCAAATTCTAGAGAGAAAGCGCTTTGCAGCTCGTTGAACCGTTGGGGTGAATTTGTCAACATACTTGTCCACGTTCTCCAGCGCCTTGAGCCGTGACGCAAGATCCTGAATTTCTATTGCCGCGAATATATATGGCATTGTTACACATCGAGTGGTTTGTTTGGTAGCCCAGTCCGCAAGTTCAAATTCTTTCATAATCTCGTTTGACCAGATGTTTGCCTGGCAATCTTGCTGGCCAAACGGGTATTGTAGGCGATGAATGATGAGCAACGCCGCTAGTCGATATACTCTTGCTTGCGCAAGGAGATTAACCATGTCTACTGTTTTGACCTGATAAGTTATATCTCCCAGGGGTGGCGGTTGCCATGATTCCACGGCAACTCGTACTTCATCAAGTTTCTTGTAAAGGTAAACAAGGGATGCTGTCTCAGTATTATCAACCATTGAATGGCTGATGACACAGATATCGTAATAGCAAGGTAGCAAGGATAAACAAAGTCCAAGATAGCGGTCTATATTTCCGATTTGTCGTGGTGGAAATCTCTGTGCAGGCTTTCGGCAGTGAACCAGGCAATCCATAGTTTCCATAAGTATAAGGAAGCTATGCTGCGATACTAGGTCTTGGTCCCATGATATGGCGATACTTGTAAATGCCGTCGTAGCGTTAAGGCAGTATTGACAAATTTCAGCGGCGCCGATCCCTATCAAGGAATACACTGCTAGAACTAAGACTTTCCCGATGGTAAGGCATAATACTGCCTCTTGTACATTGGTAACATTTAACGATCGCAATATTTCGATAGCAGATGATGCGTAGCGATGGCTAGCAGTTGCATATGTATCCGCCGCCACACTTGTCTGAGCAAACTTCAGCCCACTTGCATAGGATAGAAGCGCGTCTTTGAGGAACGGCATGGCTGTGGGAAGAAGAGCGACGAGCGATCGATGCTCGGTAAGTTCAAAGCCAGGGCTCACGAGGTGGTGCCCGAAGTTTTTGGGCTCGCTTAAGAGGAGCTTTAACAGTCGTCTTTCCCTGAAGTCGACGCTGATTTCGTTTTGAAACCATGAATCCATGTCCGTTTGATCCTCCTTATTTGTGCCATATATGATTGACTCAGATGACGCGGTGCCATTGACGGAGTTGTTCCAATTGTTTGGTCTCCGACCTGCCGGCCGTACAGGGCGAATAATGGAGCAAACAAGCCTTAATCGATCACACCTTGTGCAGGCAAGGCCAATAGCTGAGCGAGCGCATCGCTCTTTTAGCTCATAACATCGATCACATGCCGTTCTGGAAGTTTGGCCTTTGCGTCTAAATGTCGCCATATATCCGGTCTATTTCAGTGTGGCTGCAAGATGCAATGTTCACCGAACTGTATCATGAGTAGTTGAAGATAAAAGTTTAATTGATGAGCTGTTAGATTCTCGGCAATGATTCTACCAAGGCTCGGCGACCCGCAAAGAAAACTGTTGGCGCTCATTTGCTGCTGACTGTTCAAGTAAGTTAACCGCCGGAAGGTTGACCGGAAGGTTATGATAAGGTATGACTGAAATTGGAGACGTTGCGGGGCACCTTGGATTCCATTGGTCATTTAAAAGATCTGGCGAATTGCGCTGTTTAATTTAGGAGTGCTACTTATAGATGGGCAACCTCAGCATCTGCAACCATGAGCAGGATTGGCGCGGGCATCGTGGAACCGGAACCGGAGAATTTATTAGCGGCGGTTAGCAATATGATTCACATCCGGTCGATTGGTGAATATGGCTAGTTGATGAAAAGATTGTGGGATCGCAAATCCAGTATAGCAGATAGATTGATAGATGTATATATATGCGCATGAATGCGTCTTTCATGAGAGAGAAAGAGTATCATTCGGCCATCTTACGTTAGAAGACATCTATCTCTCGACGATAAACATGACTGAAAAGGGCTACAGAGCTATTGCCCATGAAAAAAGGCTGCGGAGGAGTCAAAAGATTCCTACCGCGTGGAGGCTCGACGAAGAAAATCCTCATGAGTCTATTAATCCTTTGGATGTACCGATTACTTGTGGTATTTTAAGCAATACTGAGATCGATATCACGTCCAAATATGACGCAACAAGCTTGCTAATGGGCATCAAGAATGGTACATGGTCTGTTGAGCAAGTCACGACAGCGTTTTGCAAGCGGGCAGCTATCGCTCACCAGATGGTAAGTTTGATCGAGTTTGGTCTCAACTAGTCCCATCACTGACCAGAATATGTGAATAGATAAATTGTTTGACGGAAATCTTTTTCGACGAGGCAATCGAGCGTGCTCGCCAACTTGATAACCAGCGACAAGATTTCATAGGCGGCAAGGGATTCCCTCCGCTGTTCGGCTTGCCTATCTCGATCAAAGATACTTTCCAAATTCAAGGCCATGATACATCAACTGGTTTAGCTTGCTACGTTAATGCACCGGCAAAAGAACATAGTGCTATCGCCGCCATGTTGCTTGACCTCGGTGCCGTCCTTTATTGCAAGACAAATGTTCCGCAGACTGTCATGACCGGGGATAGTGATAACAATGTGTTTGGTAGGACACTCAACCCCAGAAATACCTCAATGACTGCAGGTGGTAGCACAGGTGGCGAGGGCGCCCTACTTGCTCTTAGAGGAAGCATCCTTGGGGTTGGTACTGATATCGGTGGAAGCATACGTGTGCCATCTGTTTGTAACGGAATTTATGGAATGAAACCAAGTGCAGGCCTGATTCCTCACGGTGGTACTCGAGAGCTTACAGTGCCGGGCACAGATGGAGTGCGATCGAGTGTTGGGCCAATGGCAACCACGTTCCGGGACTGTGCTCTCTTTCTTAAGTCCATCATGCAGGCTGACACGTGGAAATATGATAGCAATGTCGTCTCATTGCCATGGAGGGATCTAAAGCCCAGCAAAAGCTTACGAATTGGCCTGGTCGAAGACGATGGTTTCTATACACCAGTGCCCCCCGTGAGAAGGGGCTTGAAGAAGGCAGTTGACAAGCTTCAACTAAGCAACGACGTGGAAATTGTTTCCTTGACTCTACCGAAGAGCGATGGTTGGTATGATGATTTGCTTTCTTATTTTTCTTTGCTGGGCAATGAGGTACGTCGCTCAGAGCTCTTCGCTTTTTAAATGACATACTAATATTGGCTGTCAAAAGCACTACCTTGAACAGCTTAACAGAACAGGAGAGCCATTGGTGCCATCGGTCAAAGCACTTGGCCTCTTGTCCGGGGAGAAATCATCCTTCTTGTCGGGACAGAAAACAACTCTCCAAGGATTCTTCGACTTGAATGTCCGTCGGGCAGAAGCCGCAAGCACCTATCGTCGATTCTTTCGTGACAACAATTTGGATGCTATTCTAATGCCCCCTGCACCTCATACTGCGCTGCCTTTGGATACTTGGGCCACGGTGACTTCCACAGGCTTGTGGAACTACCTGGACTACCCGGCAGTAGTGATTCCTGTAGATTTTGTGGCGGATTCAGATTCCATTGACGATGCCAGTAATGCGAAATACGGCCATCAGGATACCCAACTTTACAAGCTCTGTAAGCGAATGCTCTCAAGCTATAATATCTACTGAATGACTAAAGCTGACGTTCTAATTCTGTCTTTTTTAGATACTGGACCCAAATTTTACAAAGGGCTTCCAATCGCTGTTCAGTTGGTCGGCTACCGGCATCAAGACGAGGCGCTGGCTGCTACAGCTGGGGTATTGGATTCAATCATCAATGGCGAGTAATTATAAGGCCCATGTCTTGAGATTTGAGAGTACATTGAAGCAGAATATCAGAGTACTGAGCTGTAAAACACCTAATCATACAAATTCTTCCGCTGTGAAAGTAGCTCCTATGGATGTGATAATTTCCTACATACAGAGAAACTGACGCTCCGTGTCAGCCATTCATGGTGACGGGGGTGAGACTACAGCCGTTGCCTAAATAGGCGCTGGTATTGGAAAATTTTGAGGACTGGCATACACGGACATTGCGTACAAATTTTCCAAGCGGAGTTTCTGCGTCCCCATGAAACACAACATTTACCAAGAAATTCTGCGACTTGTGGTTGTGCACTCAACTTCATGTTTAATCAAGCTGTTGCTCAAGGTATTTAAATGTAGAGACGCTACATACATGCTGCAAAAGGTCCTCCTCCCAGCTAATCTACCTTACCTACCTATGTCAAAACGGTTACACGAGAGAATTCACTACGGGAGTGAACGAGGCACAGTAAAACTAACAATGTAAAGAATTTCCAGAAGATCAATTGAACGGAATATAGAATAGTTGTTAATAACATCATAAAATTGCCATTGGTGGTGACCTTTGATGCTTTAAAGACCTTCCCAACTTCGATACTGTTTGTCTCTATTGCATGCCTTTACAATGACCGCTGTAAGCCCTTGGTGCATGCTGTAGCTCAGCTTGATATAGCGGGTATCACGTGTTAATTCGCTATTAGGTATGGATTCAATTGCACCGACGAAATCACTTGCTGTCAACCACCTTCAGCTTTCCAATTCTTCTACCACTCAACTATCAATGGACCCAGATGGATCTCGCGCGGTTATACCCCGAACAAAAAACGGTCGCCTAGTTGCATGTGAACCATGCCAGCGCCGAAAATATGCTTGCGATCGCGCATTTCCGACATGTCAGCGGTGCCAGCGAAGCCGGACAAAGACACCTTGTAGATATCTCAACCAAATTTCGCAGAATCGCGAAACGTCCGCCGTCTATTCCAGCAACTCAGCCATAATCTTTCCCCGCTTGAGATTTAGTAAAGATCCACAACATGCATTAAATTTCCAAGATATCGCTGAATCAACTCAAACCGAGATGACTATCATGTGCGAAGTCAACACATGCCTTAACAATACCAAGCTTGTTTCTGAACGCCAGAGATCTAGAGCAAGTCAGCAAAAGGCCTAACATTCCAACTGAGCAGGCCATGACAGACGTATACATCATCATGTGGGATTGAAACATGAGCTGGTCCATTAATCCCGGCGCCACAGTGAGCTCTCTTTTGTCTCGTGGTAGCATTAGGAACCAACTGATGACTCTCGCCTCCAAGTCGCCACACAAAATTTCAGCTTCAGTGATGTCCTGGTACTGGGTAGAAGCACTTAATGCGGCGATGAAGATTTCTGTGGCATCGATAAGATATGCAAAAGAAGAAAAGGGTCTATCATCCAACGCGAATTCACGACTGCGATAATCGAGTAACGTGGCTGTCTGAAGGGGAGTGTCCTATGACACGAATTAACACACGATCCCACTAACGAAATGACGTGAAATAATTTAGCATTCGTTCATATAATTCATCTTCGTACGGAAGGTCGACGCCCTGGGTAGATGTTGTGATGAGAGGTACAAAATCACGTCTTGTGACAGAGAAATTGGCATCGGTCAAATATAACATCCACCAAGTGCGTCTCCAGCTTTCCGCGAGGATGGGATCGCCATCGGTAACTGTGTCAGCAAAGCTTTTCTCATACATACCAATAAGACTTACGTGTTAAATAACACGAGCCAATAATACTTCCGAGCCAGATTTATCGTCACACATGCTCAGAGCCATTGCACGTAAGAGAGTGTTCTGCACAACAAATCCATCCATTTCAATGCTAGCGTCATTACCAGGAAACAGTTCGGTTGCAATCGGAATGTGCCGATAAAACGACCCAACATATTCCATTGTAGTGGTCAGCTGTTGAAGGGTCGGAGATGGAGGCCCAGCTCTTCGCCTCATATCAAGAGTCCTGCGCGGCAACAGAAATGGATGACTTGGGTGGAAATACTCATAATAAAGATCTAAAAGATGGCTATTCACGGAAACAGTAGTAGATCCGCTAGCAGGTTCGGCAAGATGCGCTGTGACGGAGAGCATAGAAGGGGAGATGCATAGTTCAGGATTAGCTGACAGCTCTTCCTCTTGAGAAATTGAGACCGACGGGCTGGGAAGAGTCGAAGAACTTGGATCGATGCGATGAAGTCCGGTTTTCCATAAAGCCGGGTTTCGATGCCTGGCACTTCTGCGGGATTCCGGGTATGAACATGATCTATCCAGTGACTGACAGCGCGCACAGGTTGGATGACTCGCGTCGCACTTCAGATGTTGGTTGCGACAGGGCAGACATGCTACGGAAACTCTGGGCTTCGCATAGCGCTCCATGGCAGTCACCCCGAGCTCAATGGGTGTTTTTATCTTGCAGTGATCATAACAGAGTCGTAAAGAGCGCCTCCGGGCATGATGCGAAATATGCAGAAAGTGAAGAAGTCTTGGGACGTGAAAGGCTCTAAGTAAATCGAAGTGTTTGTATGGCACGGAGTACGTTACGGGGAAATGTTATTCCCAGCTGAGTAGTGTCCTACACTACCTAATGGATCAAGATTCCTCACATGAATACAGTATCTGATTATGATATACACTGTATTTCCAACCTAAATGAACTTGAATTGATGTACTAATATTTACTTCGTCTTACTTGGGCAGACAGGATTCATACAAATGAAGTTATGATTGAGATCCACTATGAATATTGTAGGATGGAATATTTCCACAGACGAGGCAACAGAATAATATTATCCCTGTGAGGAGATGTTATTATTCCGAAATCAATACAATAACTGCAAAACATCTTCGAGTCTTTCACCGTACCACCTCATTTCTTTTATAAATCCACCAAATAATCTATATCTTTGTCTATCAACGCGATATTAGACTCGAGATTACTTACTACTCTGTTTCAAGGAGCATACCTTAGCATCCAGGGAAGCAAAGTGCCGCATCTCCGGAAACGCAGCACTCCTGACCGGCAACACAACCGCATTGGCGTTTGTCGAAGACTATGCCATCACGCTCAAAAATTTCAGAAGGAGCAGCTGCAGCGGTCATCGCCAAAGCAAAGGTAACGGCGAGGGTAAAAAGGTTCTTCATTCTGAGGGTGGTCGAGGTAAGTTGTTGGTGGGTGGCTTGTAATATTGCAGTCCTCTGGGAGCTGAATGGTAGAAGAAACTCTTTGTCGGTGATTGTGTGAATTCTTAATTGCTGGGACATGTGCTCCTATTTATACCTCCATCTGTCATGAATATCATCAATCCACGGAGTTCGGGAATTGATTATCTTCATGACATATTTACCTGTGAACAATGGCCATCATCATCAAGTTTACTTGTACGTACATTCATGATTCTCACTGTTCACATGAAATCATCCCACCAATCAAGTCCAATATTAGTTACAATTCCTAAGACAGCACTAGTATTTATGTGAGTTAGTATTCTGCATATCTTGCTCGATTGTCACTAGTTAGATTAGAAGCACATCAAAGATCAAGATTATAGATCAATCACTCACCAGTGGCTTTATTAATAAGACATTGCACATACCCAAAGTAGAATGTATTTACAGCCTAAAGTAAGGTTGATCTACTGTTTGATGCGGGGTACGTACTTGAGAAGCTCATCCTTCCGATTTTCCATGAATAAGGGATCGATTTCCAGGGATACGAGATCCTCATATGGAAATATCGGGTAAGCTGACGATGTGATTGTTATGCAGCTTCCTATTTCGTTCAAGGACCTGAAGCAGGATTCATTGTCATGCTTGACAAAGGAACTAGAGGCCTTTGTTTAGCCAGGTTGAAATATATTGATATCCATTCAACTACGATAATTTGCTGATTTTCTTGAATAAGTCTCCGTTCTATTTGCTAATGGTGGGTTGATCTTGTAATACAAGATGAAGTAATTAGTCCGTCGGGATCCTATGGTTATCATCATTATTAAATACACGTACAAACCTAGCTCCCTAAGCCGTCCTGAAATTATAAAATCTCCTACTCACGATACTCCCCATACGTCCAGATGTGGTATTATCTCGGTTTCTTTGAACATGTTCACATGGTCCAGCAGATTGTACAAACCCCTCCAAGATGATGATGGAAGCGAAGACTCTGGTCCGTACAAGGCCCGAAGTTCAAGGTTTTGGCCTTTTTGCTCTGCAATTTTGCTGAGCATTTGTTTATTCTTACTATTCTTGCTGCTGCAGAAATCCTCCTGTGTGGGTAGTACGGACGTACAATCTGTTTCATCCAAAACAGATTTCGGTATGCCTACTCCATTTCACTCATTCTTTAAAAATAGAGTCCCTTACTTGTAGTAGAGCCGGCGATTCCAGACATACAATATCACCAAGTACAATTTGGAGGGATAGTATCGGCTGAAGGCACATTTAAAATCACGGGTGGCGCTGCCACTCGTCCGTATGTAGGAACCTCGTATCGCGAGATAGACGAGGCGTGGAATGAGATATTAGAAAGTAAGTTGACATGGCCATTCTTCGATCTAGTTGCGTCCAAATGAGTTAACAGCTTAAAGAAAGATGGTTTAACCTCACAACCGAGGAAAAACAAGGTGCTTTCGGTGAGAAAGCTGAAGATTATCTCGATTTTGTGCAGTAAGTATTCAGCGATTCATTGACGCAACAAGGATTAATAATTTATAGATTAGATATCTTTCATCTGCTACATTGCATAAACCACCTTAGAAAAGTCATCGACGCAGACTTCTACTACCCAAAAGGGCTCCCTCCTCTTCGCATCCACACCGGTACGACTCTAGTCTCTGAATACGCAAATGAGCTTCGTGCATTGCTAACTTTTAGACCATTGCCTCGATGTCCTCCGGGAATCCGTGCAATGCCATGGCGACCTCACCCCGATTCCATACCGGCCAGACAAGAAAAGCTCCTTGTATTATAGCGACTCAATCCAGGTCCATACTTGTCGCAATTTTGACACGCTGCGCAATTGGTTAGCAAACAAGCGGGAGTCATTTTCGATCGACCCTTTCAAGCTTGAATAGTCATAATTTTAGTTAGACATAGTCACCAACATCATAGGCAAGCTGTCTGAGCCCACATTAGATGACATGGTCGATATGAGAACTCTCGCAAGAGGATTGAACAAGCCCCCAAATCTTTACCCGTACAATATGCGCCATATCCATCCAGCCCCACGCCTGGCGACAGGCCGGGCGACTTCCGGGAAACAAACAGATGTATCTTCCCCGCACAAGATCGCGGGGAGAATCACTGCCCGGGGAGTTAAACAACTCACCCGGTTGGCCCCGGGCCGGGGGAGGAGGGCGGGTAGGAGACGATAGTTTGCCAGAAGGCTCCCTGTAAAATGTTGAATTACGAGGGCGCCAAGAAATAAATAATGCCAATACCAAAGGAATGAAAACGCTTCAGTATTGCTGTTGTAGAGTAACCATAATTCGCCCAAACATGCCAAGCCAAAAGCTCCCGTTCCATATCGCCATTGTTGGCGGCGGCATTGGCGGCCTTTGCGCTGCTCTCTCCATTTACCATCACTGCCCCAAAGATGGAAGTGTCATCATCGATGTATACGAGCAAGCACCAGAATACAAGGAGATTGGGGCTGGCCTGGGCATTGGGGTAAATGCTGCAAAGCTTCTTCATCGCATCGGTGTGGGGGAAGACCTCAATAAAATATCTGGCCATCGGAATGGCATCTGGATTTCGTTCCGCCGTTACGACACTGGCAGTGAGATTGTTACTGTTCCAGTTGACGACCGACAAGAGATTAGGCAAAGCCCTGTCCATCGAGCTGAATTCTTGTCTCTTTTGTTTGACCATGTGAAGCAACGGAACGCGGCTACTCTTCACATCAATAAGAAGTGCTTCGAGCTCAAGGTAGATGCCACAGCGCTCCAGTGAACACAAGAAGACAATGATTTAACATCTTTTAGGACCAAGGAAACTTTGTCGAGCTATGTTTTGCCGATGGGACGACCGCAACAGCGGATTTGGTCGTTGGATGTGATGGAATCCATTCCAATATTCGCTCTCAGTTTCGCTCTGACAACCCGAAATACAGTGGCCGTATGTGCTACCGTGGTCTAGTCCCAATTAAAGATCTCGAATCGTGGTGGCCATTCAATTCGTATTCTGTGAGCTGGCTGGGTCCAGACAAGCACTTTCTGGCCTTTCCTATCAGCAAAAATACACTATTGAACATTGTGGCTTTCGTCTACTCTGATGATGACCGCACCAAGGAGAGCTGGACTGCTACAGGTCACAGAAGCGAAGTTCAGAGAGAGTTTGAATCTTTCGATACTACTGTTCGCAAGACTATATCATTTATGAACGAGAACCCTTCAAAGTGGATTTTGAACGACCGCGAGCTTTTAGACCAGTGGGTATACGGGGATGGCAAAATAGTGTTGATGGGAGACGCAGCGCACGCAGTAAGTCCATGCCACATATGAAACGTATCACTTGGGCATCTACTGATATTGTAATAATTTTAGATGCTTCCACATCAAGGTGAGTGCCGACACTCTTTTCTCGTGATTTTCTAAAAGTTCAATGCATCTTTGGCTAACATAAGATAGGAGCCGGTGCTGGTCAAGCCATCGAGGATGGGTACATCCTGGGGAGAGCCATTGCGGACTATCTTGCCGCGTCTCCCGACAGAGACACCCATGCGCTTCAAAGATGGATGCAGCTCTACCAAGACGTCCGTCTTCCTCGCGCCCAGAAGGCTCAGGCAACTGCTCGCCAAGCTGGAGAAGTCTACGAGATGCAGACACCAGAGATGAAGGGGAAAGCCTACGAAGAATGTCTACCACTTGTGCGCGACAGCTTGAAGGATCGCATGCAGTGGATATGGACTGGAGACATTGAAGCTGAATATGCAGCGAAGCAACAACTTGTAGTGGATCAAAACAACAGTGAAAGGTATATAGATACCAAGATGATAAACTCTCTAACGGAGCGTGCCGTGTTGGTTGGGCAAGAATAGTGTTCTCTCAGGGTAGATACATAAAGACAAACTTCCGTGTATGTAACTAAACTAAGTCATCCGTTATAATAGTATCATGTACAGAAATGAACTTGATGGAAATCGTTGATAGCTAATCCCGAATCACCCATGGCCGGAACGGCAGCAGTCTCGTTGAAGCTCGTGAAACTATCTCAGTGAAATGGGCCTTCGTGGACGCGCTGGTATGCCGTCCTTGTAATCTCCCCGCTGTGGCGCTCCCTGCTTATTATACCGCCATGGATATATCTGAATAGCTTTTCAGCTAGTTGGATTAGGCTTTAAGCTAGCTGAGCAATCTGAATTGCTGTATGACAGCTCAGCAGCTCCGCTATATCTACCATTTCGTTGAGAAACGGACAGATTCGCGCCGACTTGAGCCGACTGGTAGACTCTAGACCTGGCACTACCTAGTAGTGGCGTCTCCTGGTGTTACCTCGTAATGCCCCAGATATGCACCCCAGATGAATATTCCATCCAACTGGGGGTGGCTGCTCTGGGGGCTCTGGGGGTGGCAATTTGGAATAAGCCCTGTCACTGCAGACGAAGCGTTGCGCAGGCCCCTCGCTATCTCGGACTGTCCAAATTCGATTCCCATTCTGTCACCGATACCGTTTGGAAGCACTAGCTCACTGCAACCATAGCTGAGGACAGCTGTGTGCACATGTGCTATTGGCAGCTTCAGCGCCTCGGTCCGTGACGGTTCCAACATTCTGAGCACCGCCTTTCGCCGTGAGCGCACGAGAATTCGTCGTAACCTGACGTCTGCCTTGATTCACACATCAGCGCGATACAATGGAAAGTCCTTCTATTACACAATCAACAGCGCAAGTTGATGTTGTAACCGACCGCAAGGACGGGCCCAGGAAGCGTCGGCGAGCGACGGTGGCCTGCCGCAGCTGCCGGCAACGCAAGACAAAATGCGATCATATTGTCCCGGCGCAAGCATCCGACGAGATGCTTCGGGGCATGACCAAATCTGCACAAGTGTACGGTTTGAATTCTTTTATTGTTTGGCGTCCGTCCCAGTCCGGAAAATACTGACCGGCCTCCAGATATATCCGATCCTTGGAACGGCGTGTACGCAACTTTGAAGATATTCAACGAGATGCGAAAAAATATCACCAAAATCAGCAGATGCAACAACAGCCAGCACCTGCTGTTCAGACTATATCCCCTGTACCATCGACTAGTCAGTATGAGGCGACAAAGATGCCGCCAACACAGCGACCTATTCGGCCAACCGGGTGGTCTGCCAGTCACTCCCAGCAGCAGCAGCAGCAACAGCAACCTCAGCATCAAAACATTCTTCCAACAACTCCAGATATATTCCTCAGTGGCAAAGCTGGCGAATCCTTCACCCAGCTCATACTCACTGCTATGAACAATCCGTCAGTCAAGCTCGACGCCCAGTCCTTCTCTTCTCCCCGAGATGGCTCCGTCGATGTGAGAGGCTCAGATAATCTCTTTTCGCCGCCTGCCAATGCCCGAGAATTGCTCCAGATATACTTCGACTTCCACCATGAGCTTACCCCGATATTCCACGTTCCCTCCATTATGGCCCAATTTGAACAAGTTCTCAGCAATCGTGCTTCTTCCGGAAATAGCGATCATGTCTATATTCTAGCCATCCTCAACATGATATGTGCACTGGCCGAGGCTCATAGTCGACAAGGTCACGGAGATTCCGATATTACCTCTCGCAAATACTACAATACGGCAATGCAGCTGATGCAGCCCAATCTGTTGTCAGACTGGAAGATCGAAAAGGTCCAGGCTCTTCTCCTCGGTGCCCGCTACCTACAGAGCTCTAGCTACAGTGACGAATGCTGGACGGTCTTGGGACTTGCGATCCGTATAGCCTATGATCTCGAGTTACACCGGCCACCCGACCCAGATCAATTTGATTGCATAGATCAAGAAGTTCGTAAACGTGTGTGGTATGCGTGCTTCGGCTTGGATAAATTACTCAGCATGATGTACGGCCGTCCTGCTGCAACTTCCACGACTACATTCACAACCCCTCCCCCAGAGGATTTAGACGACGATTGCATTCGGCCAAACAGGCTATTATTTCCCTCCGTTCACACCACTTCAAGCATTTCATTCTTTTTACAGGTCTCCAAACTATACCGCCTATTAGAAGCTATAACAGTGCTAGGTGACCAACCGGCATTGGCAGACTTGGTCAGACTTGACGAAGAATTTGAGACTTGGCAAGCCGAAGTGCCTAATAGGCTCCGGATTCGGGAAGCCTCTCTACGAGGAGATGAGGCAGCGCTGATTCTTGCGCTCCGTGCCAACATGGTTTGCATTTTGATACACAGACAGTCGTTGGTGTCAGGTCTTAGTGCATTGTCCTCGGTATCCAGTTCTTCAGTCCCATCTACCAAAGGATGGGAAGGCGGCCGACTACGAACCAGCATGCTGCAACGGAGTCGGCAGATCTGTGTGAGTACAGCTGAAGAAACGATTCGGCTGGTGGCCGAACGACATGAACAGACCAAGAGTGCAATGGGACCAAGTTGGTTCAACTTGTATTATCGTAAGTTGAATGGAATTACCTGTGTAAAATGACCTTGGCTTACAGAGTGACCTAGTGTTCACTTCCATCCTCATCATCGTGTCTCACGTCGTTGACCCCGATTTTCAGGATGACCGGAGTGCTTTGGTGCATCTAGACCAAGCGGTCAATATGATCCGGCAAATGTCTGTCAACCATCTCTGCGCACAGAGAGCTTATGCGTTTCTGCAGCAATTACTTGGAGTACTAGATAGAACTATGCCAGAAGACAGACGAAGGTCACTTGAGCGATACAGCACACCCCCAACCGTCATGACAGGTAGCAATCGGGGGGCAACAGAGACCGCAATCTACAGTAACTGCACAACAATGACAGCAGATGAGGCGATGGAAGATGGCGACGTCGACCTGTGGTCTCTTTGGGATACCACACAGGATCTTACAATGGATCTAGGCTCTCAACTAGAGCTCCATTCATCTCTAGGTTCGGCCACGTGGTCGTGGGGTGTGGAGAATCCCAGTGCTGAGTCGCTGATGCAATCTCCAACGGCTCTTAGCGGAATCCCCGGATAACTATCTTCATTGAGATGGATGATGGGGATTAGAGCTTCACATTGGCAAGCCGGCCTTGTATTTCTTTGGTTCAGCATAATATGAAAGCTATACTAGTTAGTCACTGTAAATTCTTTCATATTGTACGATATGATGTGTATATGCGTATAATTGCGGCCTACCGTGTCGTTGGTAGCAGCAGAACAGCGTTCTTACAAACGCAGAATAGCATCAATATCAGTTCCGCGAAGCATCTCCGCGTCGACTGCCCGGCTGATAACCCCAGACCAAGCTCTCTCTACCGCTTGTTTTAGTGACATTCTACCCCACAGTTCGCTGTCCGCTAGTTAGCAAACTACTGTTGCATAGCCTCTCATTCAGGTATTATCTGCCGTAGATTGGTGGCGTCTGAGAGTGTGGGGGATACATCTAAACTCCCCCCGAAAAGCCGTCCGCCATCACGACCAACATACCGTTTCATCACAGGGCCAGGCGCGCTGCAGATGATAAATACCACACGTAGCAACGTTGCATGGAGACAGATTTCAACAAGAGAATGGCCAGACTTAGTTCTCGATTATGCATAGCTGGAATTTTTCCCACTCTTCATTTTCTTCAACCCACTTCAAGACACTTTCGGTTTTCACTCTGTGATTTCTTACCCGGATAACAATGTCGCTAGATAAAGCGGAGGCATCCGCTGCCGAAGATCATTCCCAGAATAGCGGCACTGCTAAACATGAGGAAGAAGCTCCCGGGCCATTGAAGCTGGACCCTCGCGGTCTGCCTCTCTCTCCACAGCCTACGGACGACCCGAAAGACCCGCTCAATTGGAATCGTTGGCTGAAGCTGATGGTTCTTGCCGAGGTCTCCCTTTTTTCGTTTCTTGCCTTGTTCAGTGCCTCTTTAATTGTGCGTGTTTCCACATCTCCAACTCGAACATCTGCTCGTGAGCTTTACTAACGAGATGTTGGCCTACTTCAGACGCCAGCGTTTGTTCCTCTATCGGAATTCCTTCACAAGGACCTTGTTACAACTGCCTATGTGACGAGCACATTCATCTTGCTGGGCGGTTTCTCCTCAATCTTTTGGAACCCAATCGCCAACGTCTATGGGCGTCGGCCTGTGTATATCGGCACTGTCGCCGTCGCCGTCGCCATGTGCGGATCGTCTGGAGCGGCCAAAAACTACGGGACTCTTATAGCTCTTCGATGCCTCAACGGTTTCTTTGGCTGTGTGCCACTGGGTTTGGGAAGTGCCAGTGTTTGCGACATGTATTTTGCTCATGAGAGAGGCCTCTATATGGGCGTCTATACTATCAGTTTCCTGACCGGTGGACACATCGCGCCTCTTATCGGTGGTTATATCGAGAAGAATCTGAGCTGGCACTGGTGCTTCTACGTTCCAGCCATTATCACAGGAGGCGTCCTCGTCATCTTCATCTTAACCGTTCCCGAAACGCTATACTCTCGCACTCCTGAGGCTCTGGCGCGTCCGTCTCAATCATGGAGGTCGAACATGCTCATGAAGAGGCGGGCACATCCCACGCGCAAGGTGCGCCCTGTGGACTTTTTCCGGCCATTCCAGATGATGATGTATCCAAGCGTCGTGATACCTACTTGGTGCTACTCGCTGTGCTTCGCCTATGGTAGCATCCTGTTCATCATCACTAGTGCAAATCTCTTTGGCAAAATTTATCACTTCAAACCACAACAAACCGGTCTCTTGTTGGGTATTCCGATTACGGTTGGCAGTCTTATTGGCGAATTGTTTGCTGGAGGCGTATCAGACTGGATCAGTGAAAGGCGCGCACTGAGGCGTGGCGGCGAGCGCAGCCCGGAGGATCGACTGTTGGGCATCATTCCCTCTGCATTCATAACCCCTCTTGGCATTATCATCGAGGGTGTCTGCCTTCAGAATAAAACCCATTGGATCGGAGTCGCTATGGGAATTGCCATCGCCAGTTTTGGCTTGCAGGTTATTACTACCGGTGTTTATACTTACACCGCAGAAGTGAGGGTCATTCAAGTCCTTCAGTCATGTTTATAACAAACTAACCTTTTGTGCTATCAAGTGCTACAAACCGCAATCCCCCGAACTCGGCTCGTTGATCAATTTCGGAAGGCAAGTGTACAGTTTCACCATTGGATTTTATGCCATTCCTTTTGCAAACTTGATTGGGATTGAGGATGCCTGGATCACGCTGGCAATGATTACTTTTGCATTCTTCTTGCCGCTCATTCCTCTCTATTATAAGGGTGCGGAGTGGAGGAAGCGCCTTGGCAAGCCGACTTTTCATCAAGACTTGTAGTAACTGGCAAGGCTACTTTATTATTATTTTCCATTAGCAAAGGAGGCTATGTTATTGCATGTAATTTGGTAGTAATTTTATACGCAATACCTCTCTCCACAATATCTGGTAATGTTCATATCTTTAAACGCTCATGTGCATATTAAATGACCATATAATCGATGTGAAGCGTACTTGTAAGCATGCCAAAAAGAAAAAAGAAAACTTATAACAATTCCATTCTCTTTCGGAGTGCCAGAGTTATGCTACTCTAAAGACTTAAGCTACTTTATCATATAAACGTTTATTAAGAAGGCACAATCTTAATCTCCCGCTTGTTCCAAGATTTGTTGTAAAGACCATAGCATACCTCCCCCTGATTGACGGCTAGTCCCCCTACTCTACATTCCTGTGGTGTCATGGCTTTCAAGTTGTGCGGCTCTTCTGTTAATCTTGGGATAATCTTCAGCACGTTGTTACGGCCCATGTTCGTGTAGTCGTGTTGATTAACGCTTGCCGACACATGTTCGTCCCACCATGCTGTAAAATATTGTCAGAGGAGTGTATTTCAAGGCACTTGGTGCAAGGGGTGAACATACCGCAAGCATTTGGGATGCTTTCGAAGGGGTAATCTATGGAAAACATGATGGATTGTACGCCAACTTCACCCATGGCGCACATTAACGCAGGTGTAGAGAAATGGCCAGAAGTTGTAATGAAAAGCTGTTCGCCAAAATAATCACGAACAAGTTTATCCTTACGCATAGGCATATTGGGGAACCGGCTGCGATCAAGCTTATGATCAATGCGGTAGATGTCATACGGACTTGAGTCAGGTCAGCATCAGCGTAGAATCTAGGACTGAGAATGACCATGAAACTTACATATGCTCACCCATATGTCCAAAAATCATCTTGACCTTTGGAAATCGGTCCAATACACCGTTTGTGACGATACCCAGAATATGCATATTGAGACGATCCGCGTATCCCAAGGCAGAAAAGTCGAGCCAAGGACGGCCGTCCCACATCAACTTGTGAATCAGCTTATTTGAGGGGCGTGGATGCATGTATACAGGAGCTTCAAGGTCATTAGCCGCCTGCCAGAATACATCGTACTCTGGCTGATCGTAATACAGCATGCCGTTGCCATCCTCTCCACAGCTTTGATAATCGTTGAGCAGTACCCCAACAAAGCCCTTCTTCTCCGTCATGCAACGGCGGAGCTCTGCTGCTGCCTGCGCTGGGTCATGCATACTCAGTGCTGCAAAGGCCGCGAACCGATTTGGTGCTTTCATCACCTCAGCTTCCATGCGATCGTTTGCCAAAGTGGCTTGGGCCTCGGCTTGAGGCTTGTCAGAGATGCCCTGGCACCCTGGAGAGTTGAATGAGAGAACCATGAAATCAACATTATTCTCGTCCATCTGCTTCAATCGCGTGCCATGAATGTCAAGCAGCTCGTTTGTCAAACGAGATCCTGTCCCGGCTGCAACGAATTTACCAGGATCATTGTTGGCCAATTCTTCTTGAATCGTCCAGCACTCTTCGAGAGCGATCTTGCCAAACATGATGATGAAAAAAAAAGAAATTACAGTAATTCTTTATAACGATGAGAATAAAATGAAGGTTATAGCAACTAATAAAAGAAAAGAAAAACAGTGCGACTCAATAGCTGCCACCACTATTTAACATGACTGCGCCGCTACAATCGCCATCCCACCCTACACAGTCTCGGGGAGTTAAAGCGCCTCCCGTGATGGCAGTCGTCGCGTCAAATTGCCAGCCAGTGGGGGTGAATGGAAGTTCTAGCGCAGGCGAGCAGCCGAGAGAATTCAGCCGGAATTCATACGCCGAGAGGAGAATTTCTGAGGGAGCAGACTCGTAAGAGAACTATGAATTGGATGCGATTGACGGTATCAAGTAATTGGCGCGGAGTCGGTGAGCCCAATGCAGACCGTGGATATTCGTGGATATTTGGAAATCTCTCATAGATTCAGCACATGATTCATTTAAATGAGATATTTCGCGCAAAAATGCCAAGCGATAATAATTGTCAAAAATCTTGTTTTTGGGATGCTAAAGGGCGTTGCTTTTGGTCATGCGTGCACGTATTTAATGCTATTTGCGCGCCTTTTGCATCGCGTCTTGACATAGCTCCTGCTAGGCAGAGAACGCGTTGTAGGAGAATGGCTCTAGAAGAGAGAGTGATTTACAGGCCATGGAAACGAATCCCACAGCGTCATTAGCGCCCTTGTTTCAGCAAAGGCTCTAAACATAATGAAGCTCGATGCCAGGAACACGCGATGCGTCGTAAGTTACAGAACAAGAGAAGAGTATATAAGCATCGCAGTGGCTGACTCGAAGAATAGGATTCAATCACCATCTTTTCAGCAAAGCTACAGCGCAAATCACGAATCTAGACCAACTTTATCGTCTTGTCTCCTCTCGGCAGCGACAACATGGCCTCCAGCAACCTCCGATTCCGCCCAGCAACTGTTGAAGACGCGGGGCAAATTCAGCAACTTGTCGAGTCCGCGTTTCGCGCGGTGGATAGCAGGCCGGATTGGACTGGAATTGCGGAACTCGCGTCGACCTTTCGAATCAGTGTTGAAGAGGTGATGCCCAGGATTGTGAACCCCGACAATGCGGTTCTCATGGCCTTGGATGACACCGATACCCTAGTCGCGTCCATCGAGGTCGCTAAGCGCGGCATTGACTGTGGTCGCATTTCCATGATTGCAGTCAACGAACGTTATCAACAAGGCGGTGTTGGACGCTCGGTCCTTGCTTATGCCGAAGCTTATTGTCGACAGACCTGGAACGTGGAAAAGTTCTCGCTCAACGCCCTTTCGACGCGCAAGACACTGATTGAGTGGTATATGCGCCAGGGATATCAGAAGACGGGAGAAACGATGCCGTTTCCACGAGAAAGGTTCGCCAGCGTGGCCTTGCCTGATGACATTTGCTTTATCGAGATGGAGAAGGGTTTCAGCAGCACTGGTGAGAAGGGACAATCGGTCTAGTGCTACACTGCGAGCAACCTGCGAGTTTTGAACTTGGTCAATCTGTTGCGAGTATTCCCGTTGACGCTGCTCTTCGCAGAGGCCATGGTGATTTGCGTTTGATTTATTCGTAGACGTCATATACAGAGGCAGCATTGTGGCAATCTTCATTTGCCGGCCTTTTGATGTCTACGAAGAAAAGTCAGTACCTTGTGGTTTTACAGCCACTGGTGATGCAGTTGCTCCATGGTCCCCTTCTGTACGGAGTACGGTGATCCGGACTACTCTTACCTTATTTTCAGCTGTATATAGTAATACAAGTGCCTCGGGCCGTTGTGGGGGTCTATTATACCGTTGATAGTAGCGCAACATGTGAAGTGAAAATCGCTTTCGTTAGATTAGCAATCGGGCTCTCTGGTACCAAACATAATCAGCTGTTAAGATCACTATTGCAGGATATGCCAAGTGAGGGAGGGATAAGCGCGTATGAACTAATTAGTGTTATTATGGTCTTGAAATTCTAAAGCTAATTTCCCATCCCTTCACGCTCCCAATTTGACCAACTGCACATTTTTGGACCCAGAACTGCCCTTAATCAAATGCTCATTCAAGAGAACGGTATGATGGATTTCATGACGGCTACCACTGAAATGCGAGATACGGTGGCGGGGCGTCGTAGGTTGTACGAATCAGAACGGTGCCTCTAACACTCTCCAGCAAGTACAGTACCAAACGCACACGCTCTCCTGGTGGTAGCATTTCGGAGCTGCCTCCACTCCATCTGATTGGACAGCCGCACGTGTCGAAAGACCATGCCATCTCGGACTCGATGGCTGTGACCCTGGTCAAACCATGCTGCTCTCAATGGCAGGAGTCACTCTCCGTGCTGATTATTCTTCACCACCTCGTTCGCGAGTAGGGAGCTTCATACATTTCCCGGCCTCGCAATGCCTCAAAGTACATCTCGCGCGGCAGCATCGGGTCCTCGTCGGATTGCCCCAGGCCCCGTCTCCGAATCCGCTCCTGCTGCTGCCCAACGCCGAGGCCGTCTACCATCTCGCCGGATTGGCGTGAGTGTCGCCTGTGAATCTTGTCGGAAACGGAAAACACGAGTATGTCTAGGGGCTCCAGGTAATCAAAAAATCAGAGAGTTGAAAGCTAAGCGTGTGTACAATTCAGTGTAGTGGAAGTCGGCCGAAATGTATCTCGTGCGTGCAGAAAGGGATAGACTGTCACTACACATCAGCCAACGCGACCGAAACGAACTCAGGAGTACTGAAGCGGAAATTCCAAGAAGTGAAACAAAAGACCAGCGATTATGAGGAATTCTACGATGCCCTCCAAAGGATGCCACCCAGTGACTCTCAGGCAATCTTTCGTTTGATCCGGCGAGGTGCAGACATCAAAACAGTAATGGGGCAGATTACGGAAGGGAACCTTCTTCTCCAGCTCTCTCTGACTCCCGAGACACAACGTCGATACGAATTTCCTTTTGTCACAACAATGCCAGCGGCCCTCCAGACTGGTGACAACCTATATCTCAGGTCCTTAATCTTCGAGGCAACCTTCCACGACCAAAACCAGCAACAGCTTACCGTACCCCTAAATCAGGTAAATACCAGATCAGGATCGCCACAGTACATCTACACACAACCTTATCACAGCGCCGAGATTGTAAACACGCGACTCTCTTCCGTCGACGTATCACGCTGGACGGCCGTTTCCGCTGATAATGAGCTCATGAGGGCCTTGCTACACGCGTATTTTCTTCATGAGTATTCGTCATATACGATATTTCAAAAAGACATTTTCATCCAGGCTCTTACAGACGGCGATGAGCGATTCTGCTCTTCGCTTCTCGTAAATGCCCTCTTGGCCCAGGCTTCGGTGTTTCCCCCCTTTGAAGTATTCAAGCAACGTTGGAAGCAAGCTAACCGTTACAGCATTGCTATTCGGGGATCCAAAATCGCGAACAGTTCTGGAACCCTGAAAATATCGGCTATCGCTTTCTTGCAGAAGCTCGGCGACTTTGGGAATTACGGTCCGAAAGAGCAGATCTTCCAACTCTACAAGCCGCCGTGGTTTTTAATGGCATATACGTCAACGATGGCGTAGACAAGCTGGGGTTGACGTACCTAAACAGAGCAATGGAAATAGCAGAACACCTGGAGCTATTTAGCGATAATAGCTACATTGGCGACAAGACCCTAAGGCACGCAAGAGACTTCACCGCTTGGTGCCTTTACAAGTATCAGACGTATGTCAATGATGTCTTTTGTGGCTTATCAATGACTGACTTGAATAACAGCATAATGGGCTATTACTACTTCAAAAGTCCTATGATTACGATCCCGCCCAAATTTCCTCTTCCCGACCCATATGCAGAACCGTCGTGGTACGGTGACTTCATTCTAAAATATCCTGCAAATAACACCTTCACCTCGCTCTATTTCCCGCATTTCTTCTGTGCAGACACAAAGTTGAAGATTATTCTCAACGCCATTGCAGTTTCACTATTCAAGCCAGAAAATGTTGGGAGGACTCTCCCAGCCAATGTGAAGTCGAATCTTCGAGCCCAACTGGAATCGTGGCTAGCCTGCCTGTCGGTACCGCTACATCCCAGCAATATTGTCTTTCCAGCACAATTAAGGTTGCAGTGAGTGCCCCTTGATTCCACCATACTACATGTAGTTTTTATATATTGGCTTGCTGACACTTCACGAAAGTATGGAATACCACGCCACCATTTTGACACTGTTGCAGACGCCTGTTAATAACGACAGATCCTTCGCGTCCATCATTATGTCTAACGAAAATGACGATGAATTATTACAAGAGGCTATTTCAGCAGCTATGATTCGACTAGAAACCATCGTCCGCATCTACTATCTACGACACAGTTACGAGTCTTGCAACACATATCTTACGTTTTTCCTCTCGAACGTAGGCTTTGCCGCGCTGGAGAGATTAAGGTCTTCTGAAGTTGATCACGAGCGTTTCAAGCACATGATGTCAACATTAATTCCCTGCATCAAGGGTCTGTATGATCAAGGACAGCATGTACACGTGGCCTCCGCCGTATATCGGCTGCTACGTAATCGCTTATTGCCTCAAGATTTGAGGTTCTTGCAAGGGTATATCCATTGGAACATTACAGAAGATGATGATCCTCTGATTATATCACATGTCCAATCCGAATGGCCAATACCTATTGTTGGCCGAGAGAAAGACCCAGAGGCGGCAAAATTGGAGAATCTTGCACGACGACTCAACGAAATGTCGGTAGACTCTTCAAGAGAGACAAGTGAAGAAAACGAATTAGAAACGAGATAGAACGTTATGAAACAAGCCCCTGTTGCTGGACTGGAAGGATACTAGGGAGGAATTGAAATTGAATCGGTGGATTATAGAAGGACAATCTGGGAGAGCCGACTAACTGAGCACACATCAAATTGCATCCCCATATCTAATTAAAGAATCACCACAATGCGAGCGTTTGTTTCAGTTTCCGAGCATAGATCATAACAAGTTTCCTCGTATGGTTGTTTGTTATTATAGTTAGAATGTGCCCCTATACCGCTGTTATCTTGTTATCCTCGCTCTGATCAACTACATGAACTTCTTTAGTGTTAATATCAGGACCACCAAGTATCTGAGCACCCTTATCAACGTGATTAGCACCGCCAAAAAGAACGTCGATTTCTTCCAGCGGAATTTGCTTCGTCTCGGGAATGAAGAAATAGACGAATACAACGAGGAGGAAATTCGTCGCCATAAAGAAATACAGGCATTTGAGACCTTCGTTCTTCAAAAATGTTGGAAAGAATTGTTGGAAGATCGTATTGGCGACATTTTGCATCTGACTACACATGCCGATTGCCTGGGCACGAACGTTCATACTGGTATGAGATGGTTAGAACAACTGAGTTGGTTGCTAGCGGACGTGGCTGTGTTACCTGAAGATCTCAGATGTCCAAATCCAAGTGGTTGCGCCCCAAGAGGGCTTATAAAAGAAAATGAAGAAAAATAAAAGGAACACAATCGCGATTCCGACAGGCTTCGATTTGGTACCGTTAATGTCGGGAGTAGTCTGGCCGATTACAGGAACCAACACTATCGGCAGTTAATATTATTGTGCAAACGACAACCATTCAAGACGACCGACTCACGCATGCAAATACCCATGCCGATGCCTCCGATGATGAACAGCCACCGGCGGCCAAAACGGTCGGCCGTCCATGTCGCGTTAAGAGTGAACCTGCCCAAGATTAGATTTTAGATGCAATAGACTGTGATTGGATAGTGAGGATTCTCACAGGATGCCAAATGTTGCATTTAGAGCGTTGATCAGATTGATGGTTTGGGTCGATGTCCACACTTTCTTGTAAATGGCGGTGGAATAGGTGTTGAGTGTGCCTTGGCCACTGAGCTGCTGTCCAACATTAATTATAAAGGCGAGATAAAGTCGTTTGCGAATAGAAGGATCCTTGAACAGCGCGGTGTAATTATTGCTGATGGCTTCTTTTTCGTATTCAAGCGCTTCGCGGATAGCCAAAACCTCATCCTCAACTTCCTGCTCGGTGTCACGAATCTTACGAAGGGCAGACTTGGCAGCTTCGATATTGCCATTCTTCTTTATATGCCAACGTGGGGATTCTGGCTGGAATGGTAATAAAATCATGATGATGATGGGAACCATGATCTGGAAAATTACCACCATTTTCCAGTCCCACTCGCCCAGCTTACTGCGATGGAGAGAGCAAGCGTAGTTGATCCAATAGGCAATGAATGATCCCACAGAATAGAATAGCTGCCAGAAAGCCATAATAAGACCGCGGATAGGAGGTGGTGCCATTTCGCCGATATAGACTGGCCCAGACGTCAAAGCAATGCCTTGCCCAAGACCGACAAGGACACGCCCAGCAATGAAGCAGCCCAAGTTATGTCGGGGAGCAAATGTTTGCATAAAGGTGGCGATAACTGTAAGAAGGCATCCAGTCCACATGCCCCATCGTCGTCCTAAATAGTCTGCCTATACACCTTGTCGGTTTATGTATGGTTGGATAAGACTGCACGCGACAGGACTCACAAGAGGACCGCCAAAGAAGAAGCCTGCAACAATTGCACCGATAGTGTATGATGTGTTTATCAGGCCAATCATATATGTGTCCCGTTCCTGTGCAACATGTTAATATCGAGTCCGAGCCAGTCATTGCGACCTACACATCACCCACGGTATCAAGATCAAAATATGCCAACCAGTTCTGTGAGCCTTGAACAGAATTGTACACTGAAGCATCATATCCGTAGAGAACCATGCACATTGCCGCCACCATGGATATATACCTGGAAATCAAACTTAGATGGGCTATTGTCTGTAGAGCAATAAAGTCATGTCTTACCAATTGTACGCCCTTTTTGAGGACGCCATGATGAGAAACTACAAGGCTGTTTTCCGACTTATATCATATGGATGAAATGACACATAAAGATGGACTACTAGGGAACTTTGAACATATACCTACGAGAAAGCCTCAGTTGAGACTTAAATAAATAAACAGAGACGCAGAAGTTCCGCAAAGTCACCACGTTGGCTCCAACACCCAGCTCCTACTCCAAGGTGCCAAGGCCAATTTTATGCACAGTATGACCATAGTGCAGGTTACTTGCTTCCTTCAGTAACCGATTCCCTGAGAGGTTAGGCTTTATTTTTGGGATGTTTTCATACGCGTAATCCATATAGGCCGTTACGGCTAATTCTTCGTGAATATTGTGTGAAGGCTATGACTCCAGGAGGTATGCGGCATCCAGCTGTTAAAACATGCACTGGCTTGCACCCGCCAAGTCTCGCCATTGCGCGCTGGATGCATCCTACGAATATACTAGTGCCGGAAATTGGAATTTTCCATCCATACCGTGAAATGAGAAAGCAGATCAGATGGAAATGTGGCCAATATGCACATGGGTGAAAGGAAAGGTCGGATAGGCAACTGTAGCTGAGATGGCCACGAGTTGGCCACATGTACGCGCTTGATCAGTAGTCATAATGCACAGTACATGTATATTGATTTAGTTTACTACCCCAGTGCCATCCAATCGTCGTAAGGGTAGGCAACCTCAATTCAGATATGTGCAGGTCGTATCGCCATATTTGGCAAGCTCAGTCACACCCAGATGTTGGTGAGTATTTGGGGTAATAGCCATAGGGCTCTTGGCTGAGTAAATACCATTGAGAAACATGTTAATTGATACATGGCGATTGGGTATAGAGAGACGCCATTCACATGTCGTGCGCTTCTGAACTAAAAGTGCTACTACATATTGGCAGCTGAAGCGACTGTTGAGCCACACTCGCTCTACATGGACTAATCAGCGCTTTCTGAACATATATGAGACCAAAGATTGCGGGGGAGTTTTAGTTTGTCGGACAAACAGTTGAACATCCTCAGGCGGCTCGGAAGCGGAGAAACCGACACAGAGATCGCCTTTAACCTCCCCGATGAGGCTTCGACCGATGAATACTTTACTAACCTTATTATAAAACATGGATAATCGAAGTTACTACTACAGGGTATAGTGCTGGGTGAGAATGAGGGCACAGGTAAGAGGCACTCCTGGTCGGCTTCTGCTCGGCCGTAAATACCCCGAGCCGTTACTCGTTCTCATGATCAAGAAGAGCACGTCGGGAAATGGTCGGTATTGGGGATTGATCAATACAATTCCTGCTTTAGTTATAGCCCAACTAAGCTAATAGTTGGATGTAACATGATTCTTTTTGTAACCCGAACCGCGTTCACATCCTTCCCATCCTACCACTTCATTCGTTCGGATAAGCCTTTCCGCATGCATTAGCCAATATGATAGCCGCTCCATTCAAGGTCATCAGTACGGTCCCATTCAAAGCCGTAAGATCCACCGCCAATGTATGTATGTACGGGATCCAGGCCACGAGCACATCTGTACGATGCGTCAAGAGTGGTTCTAAGATTGGCCTTGTACGGGCATCCACCCCCGCATCCGAAGATGAGATTTTCATCCCCATGCTTTTGCGGGGGAAGAATCACATGGACTTGTCATACTCTTATTGGTGGAATATCCTGACTGCTTTGAATAGTGTACCTGTTACTCATTTACATGCCCCGAGGGACGAAGTAAGTGGCGCCTAATATTGGGTATATCAAACGCCGGTACAATATATATGTTATGATTGATCTTCATCTTTGCTTTTCGCGATTCGGGCAGCAAATAGGCAAATTTCCGGATGAATTGAAGTAGTTGTACATAAATCATCTCTCAAACGCATGGAACGTGAGCGAATTGTAGTATCTTAGGCTCACCACAATCTGGTTTACCTAGACATATACCGTTTCTCCCGAAGCAAAAGAGTCACAATGACTATTCTTAGTATTCTCACATTTGGGGTGACAGTTCTATCCTTTTTTGATCCCATCAGCGCCCACAAGACCGTGATTAGCAGGCCCAACCTCCATTGGGGACCCAAGACGCCCGGACATCAATTTCCTCACTCTCCGAAACGCCACAAGACCTGTTATGTCCCTAGCTGCCATGGTTTTGGCCGTCACGGCAAGACTGACGATGCCCCTGAGATTCTCAAAGCTTTCAAGAAGTGTAATAAGGGTGGCGTCGTGATCTTGAATGAGGACTATACTATTGCCTCTCCACTTGATCTCACGTTCCTAGAGGCTGTAGATGTGGCTATTACCGGCATTATCAAATTCACCAATGACATTGACTATTGGGTGAAGAACTCGTTCAAGTATGACTTCCAAAATTCGTCCGCTTTTTGGCGCTTCGGAGGGAAAGATGTCAACATCTATGGCGGGGGACAGGGCTTGATCGATGGGAATGGCCAAGCTTGGTACGATGCGTTTGCGGCCGAGCCTACACTCTTACGGCCAATTTTGTTCGTCCTAGACGGACTTGAACGCGGGTCCGTCACGGGTCTCAAAATGCGGAATTCTCCTGATGTGAGTAATCATTAGGCCCTTAGAATGAAGCAAATACTGACACTTCCAGTGGTTTAACCTCATCGCTAATAGTAGTGATATCCTGGTTAGCAATATTGACATTGCTGTGAAGAGTGAGAGCAAAAACCCTGCCAAGAACGGCGATGGATGGGACACGTTTAGAAGCGACTCAGTTGTCATCCAAGATTCGCATGTCAATAATAGCGACGACTGCGTGTCCTTCAAGCCCAATAGCACAAACATAATTGTGCAAGGCATGCAATGCAACGGCTCACATGGAATATCGGTCGGCTCACTGGGCCAATATCCGGCAGAGTATGATATAGTTGAGAACATTTACGTCTACAACATCTCGATGTCGAATGCGAGCGATGGTGCCCGGATTAAAGTGTGGCCTGGTACTGACACCCCATTCGAACCCGGCCTATCAGGAGGCGGGGGAGCTGGTTACGTCAAGAACGTTACTTACGATACGATTTACAATAACAACAACGACTGGGCGATTGAGATCAACCAATGTTATGGACAAAGCAACCAAACTATCTGCGACAAGTATCCCTCCAACATGACCATAAGCGATGTCGTTTTTAAGAACATGTGGGGGACGACGTCAACCAAATATGACCCCAAGGTTGGGACTCTAACATGCTCCTCAACTGAGGTAAGTAAAGGTATACGAAGTGTGCCGCCTGTATTGACAAAGAGGTTTATAGAAGTGTTTAAACATTGCCGCGCACAACATATCCGTGACTGATCCAAGCGGCAAGACTCCCCAATGGATCTGCACCAACATGGATGAGAGCCTCTTGGACATAAATTGCGTATCGGCGGATTCTTGAACTTGTTGAACATTTTGGGATGTGGCGATGGTAGTATGTATGGTGATTTGCTGTAAACATTCTTAAGAAAGATCCATGCAGTGGAAGGGACGAAAAGGGCAAAATATACACTAATTTCAAGGAAACTTGACATATTCTCTACCCCTCCTCCTCCAGCTTCTTTTTCATACTACGATAAACGTGTAGCTTGCACTGACCAATGACGGAATGCTGTGCGACTCGAGTTCGCGGCCATCTGCGGGGTATGTAGGATGGACACAATCAACAACAACTGCGATCCCCCGCTTCTTATCAGGAAATGGCAATCTTCACTGGCTTTAGATTGACATTGATGACGCTTCAGTAAGCAGCTGGCTATCATACACCATGTCGCAAAACTTCGAGACCATCGCCGAGAGTAAGGCGAAGGCAATTTTGGATGGTATCCCAGAACATTGGCGGTTGAATATTGCCATCCCAGCTGCCGAGAAACAACGTGATATCACTGGCAAATATATCCAGCAATTCTTAACCGCAAGTGAGGTTGAAATCACCGAAACCGATGCCGTCGGGATCTTGGAACATACGACAACTGGAAAATGGTCGGCTCGAGACGTTACAGAAGCCTTTTGCCACCGAGCGACAATCGCCCATCAACTGGTTAGTTGATCGATTTGCTATTCCGATATCCTCTCTTTCTTCTTGAGCTTGGAAGCTGAGCAACTTATTAGACAAATTGCTTGCTTGATATCTTCATCGATGTTGCCTTGGAACATGCCGACACGCTTGACGCATACTACCATGAACATAAGGAACCCATCGGCCCGCTGCATGGATTACCAATAAGCCTGAAAGACCAGTTTCACGTCAGAGGCGCTGAAACCACGATGGGATACGTTGGATGGATAGGCACCTTTGAAGGCCAAAAAGGTACTGGTAAAGAGCGACACTTTGAAAGCCAGTTGGTTACGGATTTGCGGCAACTCGGAGCCGTTTTCTACTGCAAGACCAGTGTGCCGCCATCGTTGATGTCACCGGAGACGCAAAACCACATTGTCGGATACTTATTCAACCCTAAAAACCGTCATCTAAGTGCTGGTGGCAGCAGTGGTGGTGAAGGCGCACTACTGAGTCTTCGGGGTAGTCCCGTGGGCATGGGAACCGACATTGGGGGGTCAATTCGTATTCCCGCCAGTTTCAACGGTGTTTACGGCCTGCGGTCATCCACTAGTCGATTGCCTTATGAAAGAACTCCAAACAGCATGGATGGTCAAGAGAGCATTCTCTCTGTCGTGGGACCCATGGCTACAACCCTTCGGTCTTTGACCTTTGTAATGAAGGCTCTGCTGAGCATGCAGCCTTGGTTACATGACCCAATGGTCATTGAACTCCCATGGAGAGATGAACACGCTAGTCGGCTACAAGCTATGATTGAGAAGCTCAAAAGCTCTGAAAAGTTGTCATTCGGTATATTGAGAAGAGACGACGTTGTCATACCTAGTCCACCAGTCCGAAGGGCTATTGAGATTGTGGTGAAAGCTTTGGAAAATGCTGGTCACGAGGTTTGTGTCTCATCTCAGTCAAGGACAAACACAAGGATGTTGACAGAATCGTCTCAAGGTTATCGAATGGAAGCCACCACCTCATTCTAGAGGGTTGGACATTGCGGTAAATCTCATACTACCTGCGAATATTTACTATACTAAATGTGCCTATACAGGTGGAAGCCTGGATGTATGACGGAGGAGAAGACATTCATAACTCGTTTGGCCTCTCGGGTGAACCAGTCATTTCACACATCTCGAGACGATATGGCAACAAGCCGGTGGAGCAGAAAATGGCTAGTGATATTGCGGCAAACAATATTGCCAGGCGCAAATACCGAAAAGAGTACCTCGACTACTGGAACAGTACTGCTGACCTCACACGCTCGGGACAGCCTGTGGAGGCTTTCATTTCACCGGTGTCTCCCTATGGAGGAACTAGGCCTAACCAATATCGTTATGTCACATATTCGACGATTTTTAACGTCCTGGACTATTCTTCGGTGGCTTTTCCAGTCACTTACGTTGACAAGGATGTCGATGTTGTCGACACTGACTACACTCGCGCTAATCCTGCTGATCAGCAGGTGTTCGAATCATGTAAGTACTTTCCCAAGGAAAAGATTTCACTTGATGGAAGCTGAGAATAGCTACAGACGATCCGGAAATACACGACGGAAGCCCTATAGGACTCCAGGTTGTTGGCAGAAGGCTTCAGGAGGAAAAGACATTGGCACTAGCAAAGGTGATCGCAGATCTGTTAGCTTAGCTAGGCTACCCAAGATTCAATCTAGACACCGATTATCCAATTAAGACGTTGACTCAGATATGTCGTCATCTTTATTTATCGTCTGTATTAAGACTACTAAATGGAGCATGGAGCACATTGCCCACGACCCTCTCTCTAGGTATCATACCCTCCAACGTAAAAAAGCAACGCTATCGTATATACAGATCGGCTATTTCTTTACCGTCCGAAAAACTTCAATTCCAGATATCTGGCCGGTGCATAGGTCAATGCCGTTACCACAAACGTAAACTCGTTGGCAACATCACCGCCGTAGTCTCCAATAAGTTTCGCAAGAGGTCCGATGTACCAAGTTTCATCCATGCCCATAACCCAGGATACAATGCCGAGGCCGAATGCAACCGAGGCTCCAATGCCGAGGGGTAGTCTTGCGGGGTCATTCCAGCCTTCAAGGTCGTAGTTGTTGAAATTGCCCTTGCGAAAGATGAAATGCTCTTGGAACAAAATAATGGCGTAGCTAGTGCACCAGTATCCAAGAAGACTCAAAAAGTTCTGCAAGTAAGCATTCAGCTGTTCTCTGCCACCGAGAGCCAGAGCAAGAATGCAAAGAAAGCAAAAAATCGTCCAGATGAATCGGGGGATTTGAGCAAAGGGTCGCGAGAGCTGCTGAAATGAAATAGCGGCGCTGTAAATACTGATGACATTGGTGTTGATACCGGATAGAACGAGCAATGTAAGTAAAAACTTTGCGAATCCGCGCGGATACAACATTGTTTGGATCAGATAACCCAGTCCCTCGTCATACGCATCGCTCCATTCGGGTTTCGTGTTCAACGCCGAGGCAACAACGCAGCCGGCAACCATGCCAATTGAGGTAGGGATCGCAATGCCAAGGGAGGTCATCAGAAAGACTTTGACGCGACTGACATTGGCCGGATAGTGAACGTAGTAATCACTGACCATGGTGCACCAGGAGGCGCTTGAACCGTACACGATGGCCAGCAAACTGAGAATAGCACCACTAAGGGTAGCTCCTGTGGCAGCCGGCGGTGAAGCGTTGTCTGCAAAGCGACCGGTTTCGCCAAAGATGATGAGGAAGATGACGAAAAAGATGATCCAGGCATATCGTTCGTAAACCAGAATAGCGTTCAGTCCGACGAACGAGATGGCCAATGCCACCGCAGCCAAAATGACGATACCAAGGATCAGTGAGACGTGACCGTCGGATACGGCCGTCAAGGCAAGACCACCTGTGATACATGACACAGCCGCCCAGCCCATCTGCTGGATGCTGTTGAGTAGGGCAATGAGTTTGTTGGGCCACCAGCCAAAGCTGTAGCGGCTGACACTGATTTGTCGTAATCCAGTCGCAGCTCCAAAGGTTGCACAGTAGCCGGTAACAGCGCCACCAAGAAGCGAGCCAAAGATTGTGACAAGAATGGCCTGCTTGAGGCTCAGTCCGAACTCGGCGCCTAGAAAGCCTGTTGCGAAGCAAGATGTGTTCATGGTTCCGCTAGCCCATAGTAAGGCCATCGTCAACTGCTCAATCCACGGAACCGGTTTCTTGTCTTCTTCCTGTTTGCGGTTGATGGCTTCGGATTCAATACCAAGCTTCCTATCCATCTGGGCTTCCAAGTTGCGCAGTCGGAACAACAGACCGCTCTTTGGCCCGCTGGGGAAAGACTGTCCCGAGGTATCATCAGATACAACGGCCGTGACATCCTTCTCATTGCCAGGATGGCCAGCCGCCCGGTGGCCGCTTTCAGGGTCGTAATCCATTTGGAAAGATCTGGCTGTGAAAGCCTGGGGAAGAGGTCGGAAAGTCGCACCTTTTTTTTTCTCCTCAGTTGAAACTTGAGTCAGTGCGGAGCAGTTGCTTTTAACATATCATTTTTTTCCTCTTCAGATAAGACGAGTCCCCGAAGCGATACCCCTGCTCAACCAATTTTTCTTAGCGGCCCTCTCACGCGACCCAAAAAGATTGTACGAGGTAGGTTGTTGGTAGGCTTATCTTCGGTACGCTACCAAAGGCCTGAAGCAAGTCGCCTTTCCCGTAGTTAGAAGGTCTGATTGCTGGAGGCCGTCGGCTCACCAAACCCGATTCTTGCCCCATCTGGAGAATGAAGAACGCAAATTATGTACGCTGGTCATTGGATATTGCGGGGTGGAGACTCGATATGAAGGCCGGCTGTTCGTAGTACGAGTATGCATCACGTATCGTTAATGTCTTACTGCTGATCGAGTGAGGGGTCGAGAGGAATGTGAAACGACATCTCGGAGTTATGACAAATCGTTGTCCCTTTCATTGCCGAGCAGCTTACAGCAACTTTTGAACACTGTTCTCGTGCTCAACTATATGAGCTCAATACATAGAGCGACTCTTCCTTTCTATCATCAAACTTGGATTCAAGTCCATCTGTATCAGGGGCATTGTCAGGCTGATAATGGAATGGGCACTAGTGGCCAAAGATGGAGCGTTAGCAACATGATAGCACGACGCTACGGCACCGTCTATCCGACATTCGGTGGGCAATTTGCTCCCCGTTGGCCGGAAGATATTATCTGTCGGCTAAGCTTCCGGGCACTAAGGCTGCGCGTGGTAATCTTGGCCGGATCTTTTGTTAGAGCACGGAGCGCCCCGTATCACCGGATACGTTTGTGCCTGGGGGGCAAGCAAAAGGCTTGATTGTCTGGAGCTCAATAGGAACCAACATCGAGTGTGGCGGAGAGATGGCATGAGTTGAAGTCCATTGCCCTCCGCATTATTGATTGACGCTACAAGGCACTGTTACTACAACTTGTTTTACAAGATACGGAGTAAACATCAAAGTATCTGGGGCATTCCGATGCCATGGTTGACCCGAGCCGAGCTAGAGCGTAAGCATGCGTTTGGCACTTGACGGAGGGGGAAAGATGGCGAGATCTTCTCTGCATCGCCACATGAATCGTTTTTAAAAGAGAGTGATATTTTAGCATCAATCTAAGCAAACGAGCGCCGAGATCCGTTGTCCCCGGAATCACAGCTACAGATCTGCAAACTAGAATGGCCATAGTTCATTTTTAGCTTTGCCTCAGTCTTACCGCCCCTTCCAGTAATGACTTATAGTCGTGTATGACTATACAGAGAATCTTGGAAGGGGTTTCTGTAGAAGGCAGTGCTCTTGATTAACGGACGGCCGATGCCCAAACATATGACTTAGCGCTGTGTTTGCCATGTGGAGGTGTTTGCATCCCATCTGAGCATCAAGTTTCATGCCTAAATGAAGTTTATCAACTTATATGCTTCCAACCAAGTCGTGATGAATTTCCCTATGCCCTTTTCTGCGACCAATTGTTTTGCGCGCAGATAGCTCATGTGACAATGTTGCCAGTTGATCCAATGACTAGCACACGCTCGGGCATTGTGTATAGAATTTGGTTAACGACAGAGTCAAAAAAAATATCATACCGCAGTCCTGTAGACCATTTAGCCTGAGGTTGTAGGGCGCAAAGATGAATTGAGCGTCATGGAGCGAGGAGCGGATGCCAATGTACCTGTTGCATGTCCCAGTTCTGTTCCAGACGCACAAATCACCTAGTGGCTAGGAAATCGATTCCAATACTAAACACTGTGGATTCTTTCGCTTTACTAAGTGCCGAACATTTTAGGAATCATCAGCCGCCGTAGTGTTGTGAGGGAGCAAGCATAATTGAATCCGACCAAGCTGGAGCACAATATTCACATCTGCTACGACGGTCATGATCAACTGTATAGTATAGGCATCTACCATAAACTTCAGAGGACACATAATAAATAAGTAGCATACATCTCATCTCAAAGTACTCGGTTTATAGTCCTTGAATCCGGCGCACCATCGAGTTAGATGGCAGATGTACGTGATACGCCGCGCAGAATCGTGTGTCGCGATGTCGACAGCTTCTAACCAGGGCAACCAATAATCGCCGGGTGCCAAGGTTTGGTGGGCCAAAACTGCACGATTACAGCGCTAAAACGCTGAAGAACGCAGGTTTGCAGCTACGGAATGTGCAGATAGTGCGGTTCACACAGGGAAGTGAAAACTCAAAAGCGTTAAAATTCTCTTCTCTCTCTTCAACAAAACACCTACGTGCAATCAGGCGTTCAGTCCGGAACTACAACACCAGACTCGCCATTTAATATCTTTAATAATTCAAGTTCAACTGCTTCGCATCATGGGCATCATCCGCAAGGCTGCTGTGGGAGTGACTGTTGGCACAGCTGCAGCACTAGGCTATCTCCATGTGGCAACAAGCATCATCGCGCCGATTCCTCTCAACGACGCGCTCTACAGCTCCAGTGCTTACAAGAAGTATAATCCGCATAAGAACGCAGCTACCAACGATATCTGCGTCAAGACAATTCCTCTGAATCGCATACGTCCGGAATTGTTGCAGAAAGAGGGAGATCTTGCCTTGGAGCTCTGCCGTGGCGTATGGCATGGCTGGGGTGAGTCTTTTTTTTTTTCCTTTTGCTAACCGCAGCATCCCCTCAGCCTCACCAGTGGTCTCAGCTCTCGTATTAGTATAGTGACTTGTGCTAACAAAAGACAGGCTATGCCATACAGCGACGGCACTTGCATCGCAAATGGTACGGCCCTGAGACATCCTCACAGCTGTGGACGCGAGACCAGCTCGCTGCCTCAACGTATGAGGTCGGCACAGCTGTGACAGATCACTTTGAAGTGGTTGATCGCTCGCCAAATGAAATTCTAGTCCGCGCCGGTGGCTCTCCTCGGGAGCAGGGCGGACGGCCTGCAGATGGTTTGTTCGCCATTGGCGCCGTTGTTGACCACGACGCTCAAGTGGCGCGATTAACACTCAAGAGCTGCCTTTTCCCCAGCCATTGCAAGATAGAAAGCGACAAGGGACCGATGCACGCGCCAGTGGAACTTCTGCACCAGTGGTACTCGCGCGTTCTACTGGTGAGCGCTGCCTCTCGGTTGACGCGGTGAGCGACTCACAGACATGATCGAAACGAACAACATGTTGGCTGAGAAACCACGCTGAGACTGCGATGCTTTCAGGGCAGAGGAAAAGCAGCATTTTAACAGCTACCGAGGTACTTAGCTACAATAATATACATGCTATTCGCGGTATACTCAAAATTGAGGGGGCGTGAATGAATAGTATAGAATTACCGTCATCAGGATGGAACAATATTTGCATGGCCATATTCCTCTATAGTGACCCATGTGATAGTAACCCATAGCATTCGCATCTTGTGTTTCGGTTTGTCTAAGATTACTGAACTCTCAACGTTTGACTTGCACGAGGCGACATAATTTATGGCACATACAACCGTAAAGTACCTACATATACAAAACGTACCTGGCGTGGCATTTTAGCATACACAGCGTTTCTAAAACTTGTCTAAATTCCTGAAGGAAAATATATGACCCCTTATCTTGACAACGTTGAACCGTGCCCCTAACATTACACCTATTACGCCATATTCAAGCATTCACAAACACAGATTTCCCTCAGCCGCGTTACTAGAGTATAGTCATGATGCTTTGAGACGCATCCCACAACGCACGACCTCGCGAAGAATGTACCGAATCAATCCAGAAGATATTCTGAAGAATCGCCATCGCGGCTGCCCAAGATTCAACTTGAAGTTGAGTTGCCAGTATCGAGATGCCAGTAGCAAACCAGGACCAATCCTCAAGGTCAGTCGCTTCCATGCCTCCCATGAAGAGCTGCCAAAACAATATGATCCCGATGCCTTTTTCATGACAAAGAACCGTAGGGAAGTGAAAGTTTAGGAGATCCTTTAATTTTGTGAGGTGAATGTCAGTAAAAACTTGAAAGGCTAAGAATCGTCTTCGGACTGCTGCTAGACCCAGAAGAGCGGAAATCCTGGTAGCATCTCTTAGACTCTTTGTGACCATGGAATCGCCGAATGATTGTGACTGAATTGAAAGCAGTTTGTGTAGTAAAACACAGATACGAAAGCCAGATATACGTGCGTCTGTCCAGAGTTTATCCCCCATGGTCCGATAATATTCGTTCAATGTTTCTCCCAGTCTCTTCATATCGCACAGTATTTGGGCAAACGAGTCCATGCCATCTGGGAAAAGCGTTCTAAGCGGGGTTATCATGACGAGATCCATATGAACCACATCCTCAATATTGGTGAGGCTGATTTGGAAGGATTCCAAGAGGTCAGTTGGCAGGGGAAATAACGGAAGGCTGTCATTCCGAGCGCGAGCATTCACTTCGACAAAGAGTAGCAGAAGGCGAGTATAAGGCTCCAATGTCATACTGTCAAGGCCTCCACCGATTTGTACGACTTTTTGGAGAGCCGCAAAGTGCACTTCGAATTTTGTAGTGTCGCGGTACATGTTGGCATGCTGGGCAAGAGCAAGGATGGGAAGAACAAGGTTGGCCGCCTGCTCCTTACCAGTAACTCTTAGACGACTCAAGACGTTGGCTATTGCTGCATTATGGTGAACAACTGACTCTTCCCTGGCTTTTTCTGGAGATCCTGTGAATGTTGCGGCTGCTAATGTTACATTACAAAGCAGCTGATGGAATGCAGCAGGGTCTCCTAAGGCCATTGGAAGCCAGAAGTAACGAAAGCCGCAAAAGTGCTTTTTAGGGTCGACGTAAACTAACTGAAACGTAAGTCTTTTTGAAAGAGTTCAGAAAACGATCGTTATCCGCTTCTTATTGTAAGTACCCACGCTGCTCAATAATTTCGTGCATGCGAGAAGACATTTGCACAGGATAAGCGGTAAAAGGGTCTCGGCGACCTGATCCTGGATCTTTATAAAGTAACTGCGGTTGCTGAGTTCCAAGAAACATTGGATGAATAGGTAAAGAGACAATAGGGTTGCGTGGCAAAGGTCGATTGCGTGCAGTCTTAATTTTTCTGGCCCTCCCGGCTTTGATCATCGCGACCTGCCGAATGAGTTGCCGCCGTTCTCGATCGACCGGTTTGACATCTTCTTTTCCATGGATCTGAATAAATGAATACATGAGTATTGCCGTAGTCCTGTTAATATTCCAAGAAACTATTCGGAACAGAAGCAACGGAGAAAGGCACCGCGAAATGCCCCATGGAAAACTCTCCGAGTTGCTAGGGGAGCGTAAGTCTTATACTATCACCCGGCGAAATTGGCCAATAGTTCATCCGTACCAACAAGGGCCACTAGCAAGGTTAATACCGGTACCAAGGGAGTAGACAAGGGTGTGTGTGCCTCCTATTGCGAGACAAATCTTTCTCAGGTAGATTATACAGTATTTATTTATTTAATATTTTATTTCTATTTATACATAATAGCCTTTGTAAAATATTCTTTTGCCAAACACGCTCTTGCAAACTGTGCCTTCATAACGATTTTTTGACTAGTAGCCCGTAAGCACCAAAACTCTCTGGGTTACCTCCAAGGAGCACCAGTAAATTCTTGGTAGCGATGCTGATTAATGCCCATCCAGATCGACTAATCAAAATTACGCAACCTTAAACCTTTTTGCCATTTCTTCTTTAGTCTTCCACGTATTCCCATAGTGTTCAGCCAAGTTCATAAGTCAACCTGTGATTGATTCGTAAGGATGTCGTAAACTAGGCACCTAACCACTCCTGTGGTAAATGAGAATTAGAGGGACTGTCAGCAATTCAACTAAATAGCCATATAAATCTACGTCGGCACAACATCTAGATGTGCAAAAGTAAGTCTGTATTTCGCTTCACAAATAGAAGAATGAAGTCCCTTATCTTGAGAGCCGGTAAGATATGTTCCTGCTGGACACCAACACAACTTCGGTGCTTGAATATAGTAGGCACTGGCAGTCAAGTATGCAAATAACGGCACTGGCCAGGCGGGCTTTTCCACTTTGAGAAAAATGAAGAATATCGGTCAAACCTAGGTCTTATCTCTTGTGTTCCAATTGTGCCCCCTTGACCAGACTTCGCTAGACGGGTGGGGCTTTCAAGGACGAGGTTGACATTGAGTGTACATCCCACCGCAATTCTTGCACGCTTGCACCCTAAAGAAACCAGCATGGATAAAGTAAGACTCTCTATCGTCCTTGAAGAAAAGGCACTTGAGTCTAACGTAAGATATTGAAAAATATCGTTAAATTTGGAGTGGCTTTCTCTCATACCACCTCACCTTCATGTCTTGATTCAAGCTCTTCAAAGTTTATGATGACAGTCTTTTTACGAATGATTCGATGGTACTCGATTGGAGTATCCAACAAGCATGCTCATGACATTTTTGTAGTCAGCGCCTCATTCAGTATACTTTGTAGCTTTCTGTTCTTTCCGAAGAAAAATGTCGATAACATAGGATAGTCCAAACCCACGTTCGTGTATGTAGGGAGTCAAGTTGGTGTAAATTGCAATGAACTCAGTGACGCAAGCTGGTACCAATGCTAATATAGCTCAACAAAACGATAAGCTCTTGTACAATCTATGGGGGTTAACCATGTTCATCATTCACAAAGCAGACTTAGATTAGAACAGCAAAGGGCAAGACATAACACTGAGATTTCTCTGCTCTAATTACCCATCCAGGATCAGCCCAAAATAGTAGAGTCGGAATATCTGCTTCCAGAAGCCAATCATGAGATTTTGTGAGCCTTTCGTTCACATCTAACGGCATGCCTTCAATTGGAGCTTCATTAGGCCACCTATACGGCGGCTTGCGTTCGAATGGTTGTAAATATGGCCTTGAATAGTAATCCATTTCTGCATCAGATAACGATCGGGCAATTCCATCAACCAATACTTTCTTGATAAACGCATTCTCCTCATTCAAGAGTTTTCTTCCTGTCTGCTCCACTCTGAATGACCGAAAGGCTTGTTGAATATCCCCTTACTATGCATCCTCCCATGTTGGAAATGGCCTCACAAACTCGAAGAACGCGAGTCCTGCAATTCGACTTTTATTGTTGAAAGCCCAATCAAAACCTAAAGCTGAGCCCCAGTCTTGTGTTACTAGGATAACTTTGCCAGAGGGAGCGACTTTCCCCAAAAATCCATTCAAGTATTCCGCGTGCTCGTGAAAGTGATATAAATATTCGGCTTTGATAATGAACCCATACCGACTAAATCAAGGGCGACACATCGAGCTTTGGGCATAATATGAGGGATGATATTGCGCCAGATGTACGACGAGACATCGATAACATGGAGCTTGAAAGGGAATTCGCTGGAAATGTTAGTTTCAGGTTCTGCTGGAGTACTTAGCGTCATGGTCATCTGTACAGGTTGCAGATGAGGTTTTCTTTATGCTCATGACGTTGAGAGAAAGTTTATGACTGCCAAATTGATGCCAGAGTAGACGTGTCTTATATGCAGTACGATTTAACAGTCATCAACTTGCAACAACAGAATAATATACAGCTTTAGCTTGAGGGTGGTGTCTTCTGAAAGAAAGGGTTAAGCCAGCCTAAGCTAAATGTCCGCTTATGCGATTAAGGTAAGGCGTGTGTGACAACCGTAGTGGATTCTATGCAGATTTGGGCAACAGACTCAACTAGCTTGCATAGAAGTTGCCCCTCAACTTATCTAGTTGGGGCAGTCCACGGGCATCTAAATTGTTCGTTTGGTACTTTTCTCGATGCGTAAGCCAACTTTATGATGATCAGCACCAAGATAACAACCGAGATGCCTGTAGGGTGTATGTTTTGATGTATGTGACTATCATGAGATGCAGTCAGAAACTCTCCGGCCGTGAATACTCTCCGTCGGAGTAATCTGTGACCCCGGCGTGGCTACTCTCATGCTTGATCACTAGCCATTATGCCTATATCTACAGTTACAGCCCTTCTGGATATTCTATTCGGACCCCCACCCCCCTCCACTTCTAATCTGCAAGACAAAAACACCATTTGCCTCATCAGGTTACTCTTTTGCAGAAGTCTTGCTAACAATCAGCTTACTATACTCTAATAGCCCTCTTGTTAGCTTAATAAACTGGGTACTTTATATAAAATGTGATTTTTGTATTGAATAGTCTGGTAAGAGGTCAAGCCTATATTGATCTTAGGAGAGCACGGTTCCTCCTTCGGTTGTCGCATGTTCCCCGATTGTCAATCACGATGAGATTCATAATCACGATTTTCTAATCGAGATACTTTTGCAACACCACATACAGCTAGTAGAGTACGGGTAACTCTTGCTACTCGGTTTGTAAAGTCACTGTAGAGTACAGAAACTGCAACTAAAAAAAGACTGTTGCCTGTTATAGGTAATACGTTCAGATTCTAGTAGTAGAGGCTTTGGAATCACAAAGTTTCATAGGTCTGAAGTAATGTACTTCTGTAAAGTAACTCCATACATTATGTTCTAAACATGCAACCGTGAACGAATAAGATCTACTATATAAGAAGCGTGTACTCACTCTCTTCACAATTTCCCTACAGTTCAAATCCACACGACAGAATCATCACAGCAACATCTCAACTTCTTCAAGATGGCGGTAGAAGGTCCTCTCGCAAACAAGATTGCAATAATCACTGGTTCGGGGAAAGAGAATGGAATCGGGGCTGCCATCGCGCTCACGCTAGCTCGTGCCGGAGCCCGAGTCACAATTAACCATGTGTCCGACGCATCTGCAGCAAGGGCTGTGGAGGTTGTCTCTACTATCGAGGCTGCTGCTGGTAAAGGAAGCGTTATTTGCATACAGGCGGACGTTTCTACTCCAGAAGGAACCAAAAAGATTGTCGAGGGCACCTTAAGCGGATTCAAGGTCGATCATATTGACATTATTGGTAAGAATCCTTCTCGTTTGTTGTAGCCAGGTGTCCCTTTCTCTTAGGGACAACACCCGCAGTTACTCAACTATGATTGAATGCTAATTCTGCTATTATTCAAAGTAAACAATGCTGCCATAGCAACATACACGCCGACTCTTCAAACCCCAGGGGAAGACATTCTCAAGGTGTTTGGGGTAGTAGTGGTCGGACCGGTCCTCCTTCTGCAAGCTGCATACCCACATATACCCCAAGGGGGCCGTGTTATCAACATCGGAACTGTCGCTTCGAAAATGGGCTTTTACAAATTGCCAATTTATGGCGCTGCTAAAGCAGCCATGGATCAGCTAACCTTTGCTCTATCGCGAGAAGTAAGTTTGCTCTTTAATGGTGAAACCCGACACGATATATATGGAGCCAATAGTTGGAATCGAAACAGGATGGGTTTGCTAATATGCCGATAGATTGGTCGTGACGGCAAAGGCATCACCATTAACACTATAGCACCAGGGCCAGTGGATACAGATTCGGTACCGGCCGGTGACCCCAACTCACAAGCTATGAAGCAGTGGCTTATTTCTCTCACAAGAGCTGAAGAGAGAGTTGGAACGGTGAATGACATCGCCGATGCGGTTCTACTTCTAGCAGACGAGAAGAGTCGTTGGATTACAGGCCAGTACATTTCCGCTAGCGGCGGAATTGTGTAAAACACTCTTCATGGTAGCAGAAGATGGAAACTGCATCATGATGGTCTGGCAGATCCTGTTTCTCAGTAAATAGCACTGGTATGAGGGCTATCGCAAAGAAGGAATACATAGAAGTCTCTCATAGTGGTATTATATTACGCATTACAATAATTGAGCTTCTGATTCGAAATCCACCAAGTCTTCCAAGCTGCGAGCTATTTCCTATGGAGCTGGTTGGGACCCATCTACTCTCATAACATATTTTCAACTTGTATGCTTGTATTGTTTGAGAACTAAGCCAGACGTATCCCCTTGAACTGATTTACATTACGGGAATTCGTCAACTTTTAGACAACAGATGCCATCAATGCTTCTTTGGATTGTAAGATGGACAGATATATGCCTATATGAACACTGTTAGCGATTCCCACTGACTCTTGTTATGTTTACACTTACTTGCCACCCGCCATCTGGACTGTAGGTGCTGGATCAGCCATTTGAATATTGCCACTCTTTCCTTGATTTCTTCGTTTGGGTTGCCTTGACCCATCTCAATTGTGCTCAATGCTCCCTGATACACTATTTGCATGAGAAACACAGGAAACTCTTTATCCAAGCATAACCCCTCTTCTGCGTCCTTACGAAGACAGAATGCCATGCGTGTCAGGTTTTCCAAGGCACGTTCCGATTCTGCAAACAAGTGTTTGTAAGCGTCTTCTGTTGAACTGATGCGCACGCGCCGCCAATGAGCATCTTGAAGTAACAATATGGCACTAAACACGGGTCAATGGTGATCATGGACTTCTACGCCAGCATGACATACCAATAGGAAATCGCAGTTTGACAGCAGGTTGCGAGATCGTGGGCGTCAAATTCCGACTTAGTTACAGAGAGCAATGCCGTAATTGTGCGTCGTAGTTGCGCGGTATCCTTTGCAATATCGACGGTGTCCTTCGGGTCTCCCGGTGGCGGAAGAGATGACAAGAACTTGAGAGCCTGATTTACTAAATAGGTTGTTTGGGCTAATCGTGCAAATACGCCCATTTTAAGATTGAAAGCAGCAGATATTCTCAGGTTATCTTGAGGCTTCGCAGTCTAAGCAGTAGTGAGCCCATTAGTGGTGTCGCCCATTGTTAGTCAAGGAAGAACAGTTCTCACCGCGTTCAGAAATGTCTCATCATCCACCGGAAGATAATCATCGTACTCTGGATCTCTTGTTGTCAGGCCTCTCAGTGGGTTACCAAGGTTCAGGAATCTGTATCCCAGGTTAGTCAATCATCTCACAGAGAGAGTGAAGAAGTTTCACTCTTCAAAACGAAATTACGCCATGAAACGTACCGATCTAATATGAGTATCCCCCACCAAACTCTTCTCATCTCTTCCACTTCCATCCAAGGTCTTCCCGCGTTATTCTCTCCCGTCAAATCCACGAGCAGCTTGTCTAAGCCCAGTGCAACGCCATACCTGGCACAGGCTCCAACAGTCAAATAGGCAGCAGGATAGATGGCGTGTCCGATCTCATAGACGGCAATCAAGATTGCTGATTGCAAAATACAGATGGACAGGATTCCAGCGGATTCTACCTCGCAGTAGAACTGTTTTGTTGCCTTGTAGAGTGCTGTTCTTCCATCTGGCCCATCTTTGGCAGTTGGCATGCAGTACAACTTCATGCATAGCGAGAGGAGGATGCCTTCAGTTCGTCGGGGAGATAATGGATTCAGGGCAATGTTGAAGAAATTCTTTCGAAAGATGACGGGGGTCCATATAACAACTTGTGAGAAGAATGTTGCAGATATGTCGCGAATTTGCTCGAATTCTCCTGTGAGGGCGGCAACATGGCTAGGAATCGTGATATTGATGCGCGGGATCTCTAAATGCGCTTCGCGGAAAAGTATAGGTGCAATAAACTGAATGGCTGTAGCCGTGCCGAATGATTGAATGGCGCTCGCTGTAGGACCTGAGGTCCCCAACGGTGCTTGTTGCTCCCAATCGCTCGAGGGGTCACTATCAGCTGCTTTGTTTACCAATGCATCATGTCTTCCTGTTATGGCGTCTTCGTTCGTTTCATCTCCCTCCAGTAGAACAACATATTTCTGGGCTCGGCGCTTAGGATAACAACAATCCACTCCCCTACGAATGCAAAGCTGGCATGTCGGTAGAGTTTTATCGCAGCGCCTTTTGCTGTGACGGCACGAGAAGCAGGAAATGCTGGCTAATGACTGCTGAGATTCCATTTTTGCAACGAGGAGGACTGATTGAAAGCCAACGCGTTGCGGTATATTGCGGTAGTTGCGGTGATTTATCATCTGATGACCGCCAGGCTCCGACATTATCGCCGAAAAGCCGACACGAATCGCGTAATGTTGAGACTAGACCAAGCTGTTTACTCATCGTAAATCCACCCTTCATTAGCCATTAACACAATTGCACTTCGTCATAGGGCAGGCGGAACATACCGAAGACTGATCCTGACGACATCATAATGTTTCTACTCGGAGGATTGGAATCAAGGGCTTTAATCCTTGGCAAACAAAGACGGACTGTCATATTAGCGTATCATTCCGTGTGCGTATTGGGATAGTAAGGATAGTAATCGCGGACTTGGAAGCATGTAATCCAGCGATGCTTCATCAGCAGCGGACCTTTCGTCATTTGTATACGAAACATTAAGTTATGCTTAATGTAACAGACATTGCAATATATAAAGTCTTGAGTTATCTTGTGTTTTTAACCTCTTCTCATGCAATAACAAACATCTCAACAATCAGTTAAGAGATCCTCCACTCTACCTTACGAAACACCCTCATTACGATCAATCAGCATAAACATGGCCGCTATTAGAAAGGTTGCGGTTTTGGGCGTAAGTTGATCTATTCTAGAAGAATACTCGTCCACACAATGTTTCAGTCTTGCTAATGATCAGTTCATAGGGATCTGGAAACCTTGGTCCCCATGTCGTCAACGGACTATTAGATGCCGGGTTTGAAGTCACAGTTATTACTCGACTCGAGTCACAAGCAACCTTTACCGATAGAGTCACTGTCAAAAGAATTGATATAACTTCAAAAGAAGCGGTCGAAAGTGTTCTCCAAGGCCATGATGCTCTTGTTTCTACAATCTCACCCGCAGCGGTGGGCGACCAGAGAACAATCATCGATGCCGCTGTCGCCGCCAAGGTTCGACGATTTATGCCATCCGAGTTTGGTGTCGATACGCGACGCACCGAGAAAAAGAGTCTCGGTTGGGTCCTGGCTAACAAACTCAGCGTGACCGATTATCTTTCCGAAGTTGTCAAGAAGAACCCTTGGTTCAGTTGGACAGGATTGGCAGTTGGGCTGTTCTTTGACTGGGTAAGATCCCAGTTACCCGTTGAAACGCGCACCGCATATTTATCTTACAAATACAACAGGGCATCAAAACTCAGTTTCTACTCGGAATCAATGCCAAGGACAAGACTGCAACGATTGTCGACTCTGGTGATAAGCCATACGCAGCGACACATGTCTCTTTTATCGGAGAAGCCGTTGCCGCCATCTTGAAGAAGCCGGAAGAGACTGCAAACAAGTATCTATCTATATTCTCCTTCGCCATCACTCAAAACGAGGTTTTGAAGATTTTCGAAGAAGAGACTGGTTCCAAGTTCCAGGTTACCCATCAGAAGGGTAGTGACTTGATAAAAGCGGCAAACGACAGTGTAGCAAAAGGCGACTACTACAAATCTGTGGTCCCTTTTGTCCAGTATACATTCCTGGCGGACGAGTCTCAGCACCCAGTCGACATCGAAAATAACGATGCCGACTTATTGGGAATCAAGGATAACCTGAGTCTGCGAGAAAGTATCAAGAAGGAGCTCAGTGAGATTCAGTAGTCTACCATGGTTTCTACTGCTGAGAGTATCTCACAGTTTTACCCGAGGATGGTATATCGAATATTATATTTAGAACTATTGAATCAATTACAATAAATACATAACTGTGGCTTATTCAATCCCCTCGTCACTGCGAATAATTCGTTCCCCAGCTTGTGGGAGGTCCCTCTGCCATACCATCTTTTCGGCATCAAATTTGGTTAATTGAAGTCTCAAATGAGCAGGGCACTCGCATCAAGAACTCTGAAACATCTCGTAAAATCTCAAGCATCGGTATCCATCTGTCCTCGCATCTGCCACACTTTTCGAAGCAAACAAAGCGCATTCTTGAATTTGCCAAACGCTCGCAGTGGGCCTAAACTGGATGCGATTTCTCTAAAGGCGTCCTCTTGTCTCCTAGAAGCCAGGCAGCCAGTGACACAAAACGGCCAAGCAAGATTGTGCAGCATTGCTGAAAGACGAAACCCCCCGCAGAAGAAGGGCTAGATCATTATCAAGGTGGCAAAGAAATCGCCTAGCAAGGAACGCCGCGTAGTTTCCAGTCTGGTTAAGCACCTTCTGATTACACTCGTCGGCTTTCATCGTGTCTTATTGATTTGAACTGTGTAGGTTCCAAATATAGTTAGAATTTGGCTTCTCGTCAAAGGGATTGATCCCGCTCTCACTCCAAATCAGGGCTCCGAGCGGTTTCCTAGAGAAGCTAGTGGCCTCTCTCAGGTTCCTGACTAGACAGATTGGAGGTAAGTGAGCCTACTTGCTATACGAGTACACCCTCTACACAGTCACTCCGCAGACATAAAACGAAAGAATCGTCCATTCAAGTATTCATAGATTCCGTAAGATTTATTCTCTTCTGTGTTATTCCTGAGCTTGGAAATCCGTCGCAAATGGCTGGAGATAAGATTCTCGTCCTCGGTGGAACCGGTCTGGCTGGCGTTTGTCTCATCCGGGAACTCCTCCATCGCCATCATGGGACGGTTGTTTTCGCCAGAAATCCAGCAAAACTCCCCGAAGAATTTATATCAAACAAGTTATTTGAAGTAATCCTCTCCCCCGGTTGCGTGCTGTCCATTCTAGAACCCAAAGTTTAAGCTATTCTCAGGTTGTCAAGGGAGAAATGACCGACACGAATGCGCTTTCGACAGCCATTTCGAAATGCCACACTGTCATTTCGTTCCTCGGCCCCGTCAACATGCGCCAGCCGGCCAACACCGAGTACGCCGACTACTACCGCGCAATATTCCCACTCATGCGTCAACACGGTGTCCGGCGTATTTTTGCTATGGCAACTCTCTCCATCTACGCGCCCGAGGACAAAGGATCCGTGACACGAGCCTTCTTTGCAATGATGGTACACCTTCTTGCTTCCGGTCCATACCACAATATTCTCTCTATCGGTGAAGCATTTGAGGACAAGGAAATCACCCAAAACATTGACTGGACACTATTCCGTATCGGAATCATATCGGGAGGGTCGGATCTCGCCAGTTGGGAGCAGGACAGGGAACAGACGGATGTGTACGTTGGTCCATTGGGAGGAGCCGGATGGACGAGTTCACAGAAGAGAGCATCTTTGACCAGATGGCTAGTTGACGCTTCAGAAACTGGCGCGTCTGAGTGGATTGGCCAGATGCCTGCTGTCAGCCGACGAGCTTGACAGTAACTTTGACTCAATCTCGTCACACTCTTCCTACTTTGACTTCATTTACCCATCTCAAGTCAACCAATTTGAGAAAGTACTTGACAGACTTAACTACCTAGTCATATAATGTTGCTACTTTGCATCTACCTGTAACTTATCGTATCCTGCCTACATATCGTGCCAGCCAGGAGTATACAGGCCCTTTGAACTTACTAGGGCCTGGATCAAACAGTCTAGCCAACTCAGGCATTACTCAGATTACACCCAGGGGCTTCCTCATGTTAAAGCAGCGTCAGCTTAGGCATCTGAATAACGGGAAGGGGTTAAGAAAGTAGAATATTGATATTATATTGAGCTTTTATGCGTATTAAAACCTATTGTTGGTAATATTCCAGAAGAAGTCGGCGCTCAGAAGTTGATCCATATCGTTATATTGTAGGCCGAAAAATTGGTCCGAAAAATTATTCGTGCCGGTTGTATCATCCAGTACATGGCAATCGTCTGTGACATCTCCAATGGGACTCATTGGGCGGCTCTTCAATATCTCACTCAAAGCCGAAGCAAACATCTCTTTGCCTCTTTGATGTAGTAAGACGAGTGAGCGTGCCGTTCTTAATGCCTCCTGCGTTGCCTCCGTATTGTAGACGGCGCATACATCTTGAAGACATTGCATTGCGTCTCGTAGCTGAGAGATTGACGAAACCGTATCTATAGCAAGCAACACACACACAATCTGAAACGGCACATAGGTCATCTGATGCCAAGGGGAGCGAGCAGTCAATACTGCTTGGACAGCTCGAATCCCATTTGATGTCAGCGTGAGCACCTGCTGGAGCACAGAATCCGTCAGCGCAACGTCCATCGACCGCAGTCGGCGACAGAGACAGAGCGCCAAGTTACACTGAGCAAGAACCGACGGTGGGCTGGAATGCGTGCGGCCGAGCACTACTTGCAGCGCATATTCCAGCTCAAATGCGGTGGGTTTCCTTTGGGGGTCGAGCTCTATTGATAATGGAAGCAACTCTATTAGCTCGCTGGTGAAGTCCCCCTCTCGCACCAAAGGGACTGTCGTGATTGTGTCGGGTAGAGCGACGCGGGTCAGCCCCATGTCAAACGACATCCATATGTTGAGATGCTGAGCAATAGACACTATCCTCTTCCTTAGCTCTAGACTGATCTCTTGGTGAGGGGCCGGATCCATGGCTTCCTCCGGGGCTTCTATATTGAGACCAGCAGCATCTATCATGTGCATCACCGTACAGCTCGCCATCCAAGCAGCATAATGCGTGTCCGCAATCCTAAGATAGATGACACGGAGCAGCCATGCTGTAATGCTATCGGCGGACGAGAGGGTTGATAAGGTCTTCTCAAGCAAGACTCTTGCCAACTCTACCAACGAGACCTCGGCCGTGTCAGCGTTTATCTGCGAGAACAAACATCCCAGGGCAGCGATGCCACAAAGCACAGCATCTTGTACATGAGTAGCATTCCGGGAGGCCCATCTCTGCTGTATACGCTGAAGAACTTGTTCGCGATCGATGAATCCATAAACCGGGTCAACCTTTCCAAGATATACGGCTGCTAGCTCTTGTAGCCTCTTTTGGGATACCACATCCGTAATCGATTGGACGGCCGGAGTATGCACATGTAAAGTCCGCCGTGATCCAAGAAAGGCGTTCCAGGCAAAGCTGTGCATCCTCGGGTTTCTTTTGGGATCCAGCCGCAGAGCCATGCTCCTGACAAATGCAGGACATGAATTCGCCTCCACTGAGCGAGCCTGGGCATGCGAACTCGCCGTCGATGATGCGACATCGTCAAGGGGAGACTGCAAACTCGGCAGCGCCGGCGCCGGATCTCCGGTCGGGCCCGGGTTACGATCCGGTTCTCTTCTTCTCCTGGCCACCTGGTAATTGCAATGATACTCGAATCGAACGCATGTCCCACATGGATGAGCGCCGTCACACCTCCGCTTGAGGTCGCGACACGTCTGGCATGCGAGCTTTGATCGTTTGCGCCCTTCCAGTCGAGTCATGACGCCACAATCAACTGTCACAGAAATTATGCAAGGTGAACAATTTTTTTTTAATTTTAATTCTCTTCTCTTGGCTGTATTCAGCAGCTTGAGAGATTGGCCAAGAGACATTGAACGGAGTTCCGTTTGCGGGAGCCGGGCTGACTTACGGGGACTTCTACTAAAACAAGAAACAGCGCTGGCGGGAATAACGGGAGTCAACGGCTATCACGCATAAAGCGGGTAGAGGGTACGTGTATTATTGGGGGGCGGAGATCAGCTTTAGGCAGTTGATAACAAGGCGGTATGAAGGAAACCCTTCACTGCTTTAAATGCAATGAAGAACTTGGATCTTCGTTGTCTTCCTGGCTAGGAGAAGAGATTTGGCTCGGCTTCATACGTTCAATTTTGCAGTATGCCTACACCAAGTCGTCAATCTTAGCACGAGGGATCATATACATGTACACGGCAGCTGATAAGACCACAACCACAAGGCTCTGTCATATCGAATAATGGGGTTCGAAAAGGAAGAAGAAGAAGCCGATGGAAATGTTTCATGCAATACAGACCAGACAGCTCTGGGCAGCCAAGAGCTCCAAGATAAGCCTAGTGATCCTCCCGATGGCGGCTTCACGGCGTGGATGCATGTTCTGCTCATGCACATCATCTTCTTCAACACCTGGGGCGTAGCAAACGGCTATGGCGTCTTTCAAGAGTATTACACGCAGACTCTCGGCAAATCTCAGTCTTCCATCTCCTGGATAGGCAGTGTCCAAGTCTTCTTCCTCTTTTCCATTGGCGCTTTCTCAGGGCGTCTGACCGACGCTGGCCATTTTCGAATCACATTCGCGTGCGGGGTGTTCCTCCAACTCTTGGGCATCTTCATGACATCGCTTTGCACGGCTTACTGGCAGATTTTTCTGGCGCAGTCTGTTTGTCTTGGTATCGGAAACGGCTTGACCTTTTGCCCAGCCATAGCCGTTCTCTCCCAGTACTTTAAGAAATATCGAGCCTTTGCCGTCGGCGTTTCTGCTGCTGGCGCCGCTGTGGGCGGGCTCGTGTACCCAGTCCTGATTAACCAGCTCATTTTCCACAACAACTTTGGGTTTCCCTGGACTCTAAGAATCATGGGCTTCATCATGCTTGCGACCTATATCCCTTGCTTGATCTGGTTCAGGCCTCGTCTCCCACCGCAGAAGACGGGGGGGTGGACAGACACATCCGCCTTCAGCGATGTGCCATTCCTACTCTTCTCTCTAAGCATGTTTCTCAATTTTTGGGGTCTCTATTTTGCATTCTTTTATCTCGGAACCTACGCTCGAGACAAGATCGGGATCAAGGAACCGATCAACCTAGTCATGGTTCTCAACGGTGTTGGCATCCTCGGACGCGTTCTGCCAACAATTGTGGCCGATAAACGGGTCGGAATACTCAATATGCTAATTCCAATGAGCTTTGGTGCCAGCTTGCTTGTATTTTGCTGGGCAGCAGTATCATCGGCCGTTGGGCTGTATGCTTTTGCCATTGTATATGGACTGATTGCCGCAGCATTGCAGGCGCTCTTCCCAGCTGTCGCCACAACCATGACTCCCGATCCCAGCAAAACCGGTACACGTGTCGGCATGATTCTTGGATTCGTTAGTTTCTCAACTCTCACGGGTCCAGCTATTTGCGGCGCCATAATAGAGAGACAAGGGGGGAGCTATTTAGGGGCGCAAATGTTTGCTGCTTCGTGCATTCTGCTTGGAGCCCTGATGGCTTTGGCGGCAAGGATTGCCAAAGCTGGGTCCAAGCTCATGGTAAAGGTGTAGATGAGGATAATTTATTCACTTAGAACCTTTGGAGTGTAGGCACTCCTGTAGCATCATGTTCATCTCTGTCTTTGCATGGGAGATGTTGAAGCATCCAATAATAGAACAGTCGTATATTATATTTCTTGTAAAGCCATGTCACTACCTCTTGTTGGAAGGAACAGAGACACACAGGTAGAAGGTTGTTCGGAAGCTTATTTATGGTGGCGTTGGTATATCTATATAAACAACAACGAACATACAGTGTATCTAATATAACTTACGTTAATCAATACATTCGTTTCCTACGTTAAATAACAGGTTATGAGCCCGGCGCTCCGCTGGCCTCGTTCTTTCATACGTTTAATCGTTTTGGAACGCACCACTTTTGAGATATCTACAAAGCAGTCACACGAACGCACAACGTATCTGACACACGCTTCTGCACTTCTGCACACACGGACAAACCCCGCGGAGACACTGACGTGATTGACACATCACCAACCAGTCCCTCGAAAAAAACGCGCAGACCGCCTGTGAACGCGTTATCAGACAAGTTGTCGGCAAACATTGACTGTTTATCAACACTATCACGAATCACTATCATACCCATTCTCTCTGGCCGTCCATCTTTTCCCCTACTGTCTATTTCTGCTGAACAAACGGCTAACCTTGACGATGGCTACCGCCGGCTTCTCCTTCAAACTGGACCCTTCGAGTCTGCCACGGCTCAACAGCAGAGGTGACAACTACGCCGAATGGCGTGCGGCTTGGACCATCGCGTTCCGCTACGCTGAACTGTGGGATGTTGTTTCTGATGGGAAGGCACCCACTGTTTCCTCGCCGCCTACAGACGCTGAAACGGCTCTACAGACGAAATGGAAGAAGGACGACAACAAAGCAATGGTTATGCTGATGTCGGCAGTGCACGAAGACATCGTTATGCTTGTCACAACAGCCTCGACAGCCAGTCAGGCATGGACAGCACTGGCGGATAGATATGACCGAGATACGGCACACTCCACCATCCAACAGTTCAGACGATTAACGTCTATGCGTTTTGATGAGAACGAAGACCTCGTCCAACACCTTGACGCGTTTCATCAGACCTGGGTTAACATGGAACGACGCTGCCGTACATCTGAACACGAACTGGCCAAAAACCTCCTGGCCGTTTTCTCTTCCCAGTCTATCAAAGGCTTATTCTTTCTGTCAACGTTGCCTGAGTCAATGGACAACGTGGTTGACAATCTGTCTACTCGCGGCGTCAACAAGTTCGTTGACATTGAACCGAAGATGTTTGACATCGCGTACAGACGTCAACAGCCAATGGATGAAAAGGCCTTGTACACCAAGACTGCAGGAAAACGCACAAACCCTCGATCAGCAACCAACAATGACGAATGCACATGGTGCAGGAAACACAACCTTGCCTTCGTTGGCCACGTATACACGAACTGTCACAAACTGGCGGACTTCAAGAAACAGAAAGACAAGAACAAAAACAAGACGAATGTGCCAAACAAATCGAAGAAAGGCAAACACAATGCCTGTCAGGCAACCACATCTGACTCCGGTGATGACGACGATGAGACCTCTGATACTGACGAAGTACAAGCCTTTGTGGCTACGTACGCAGCATCAAGCCCATCACATACAGCATCTGTTGTACCAGAAACACGTTCAACTACACTGGGCACACGATCTGCCACGCTGGAAAGTCAACACATCGTGGACCTGACTGATGACGACGCTATCCATGCGTTTGCGGTAAACGTTACCCCCAATCTCTTTCTGTCGCTTCAACGTCTGCATGGATCTTTGATTCCGGTGCCTCCAGACACATGTCAGGCCATCAGACGGGTTTCTTTGACCTACGACCGCGCAAAGGAACTATATCCATCGCTGGCGGCGCCAAACTGCCAGTCGAAGGGATTGGATCCGTTCGCCTGTTGTTGCGACTCCCTGACGGGGCCACCAAACTAACGATCTTTACTAACATACTCTACAGTCGGTATCTGACCAACACCAGACTGTTCAGCTGGTCTCACGTTCGTCATCGCTTTCGTCTGACGGGACACGCGGACAACATCACCGTCTACACAAACGGAGGAAAGTGCGCCATGTGGGCGAAATTCCATGACGGAGGTTTCAAAATACAAGCAGAGGATGACATACACACAGCCGACGACTTTGGCTATATCATTTATCAGCCTGACGAAACCCACACGGATAACGCTGCTTTTCCCATTACAAAGACTTCCATCGTTCTGTTGGTCATGTCCCGTATGTCTCGCAACACAGCACAGCGTCTGTACGCCGACGGAAACACAGTTCCGACAAAGCCTCCTGACTGGCATTGTTATGACTGTGAAATGGCTAAATCTACCTCCAGAAAACTTACCACACTTGCTGTGTTGGACGGACATGAACGAGCCCAATGGCCCTTTGATGTCATACACACTGACCTCTCCGGCAAATTCAGTACGCCCTCCCTCTCGAAGTCTTATTACTTTATACTGTTTCTTAATGAACAGACTTGTTTTATTTAGATGCGTTTTTTTTTTAATAAAAGACGGATATTTCCTAAGTTCTTAACGACTTTATATACATAATCTAGATGCACTTTAAGGTCACTGTTAAGTTCTTTTACACAGATGGAGGAGGAGAGTTCACAGGTCTAGCGATAATAAACATACTCCGCCTGACAGGCACACGTTATAAACAATTGCTACCTTATTACTATAAATCCAACGGCTGCATTAAACGATATATATACTGTTGTGATAAACGCGTGAATGATAATAATGGACGACAATTACCTCTTTCTGTGGCCGGAGGCTATCTCCCATGCCGCGTACGTTAAGAATATTAAACTGCACCGCGGCTTAACGAATAGTATTACACCGTTCGAAGCCCTATATAGTACAAAACTGACAATCAGTTACCTTAAACCGTACATGTCAGACTGTTACCTACATATTCCTCGTAAGGCCCGCCAACCGGGAACCAAATTGCACGATCGGGCTGAGCGTGCGTTCCTTGTGGGATTTGAGAGCCCGTCTGTGATGCGCCTGTACGTGCCAACGAGACGAGCCATTACAACAGCCACGCTGTCAAACGTACGATTTCTCTCCGCGGCAAACAAGGTGCATTGGGACCTTGAAGACGTTCAGCCGCCTGGGGAGCCGGCCGTATCCCTACAGCCTGGGAACAAACGTTCTACATCCGCGGAAATACCCATGATTCAACTACCACACATGCAAAGTACCACAAGAACGAACACACCAGCTGCCCAACAGACGGGACAAACGACACCAACAACGCCCACAACACCTGGAATGAACAGATCACCGTGGTCACCTCCTTCCCGAGTTATTAACACTGTTCGGCAGTCGACCCCTTTGTTAACATCCCAAGCCTCGTCCACCAACACACCATCTCCACCAGCTACAAGAAGAGGTCCACGATACGGCAAAACGTATACGGCAAAACCGGCTGCTGAGGATAATGATTGTGTGATTGCTTTCGCAATGATTGCGGTGGACGATGATATACCTACCACACTTACACAAGCACTTCGTTCGTCTGAGTTAACACACTGGCAACGTGCTGCAGACGCTGAACTGTCTGCCCTTACGACGAAAGGCGTATGGGTTGAAACACCATTGCCAAAAGGACAACCAATTATGACTCCACGTTAGGTTTTCGCAAAGAAATATAACGCACGGGGCCATCTATTGCGACACAAAGCCCGACTAGTCGCCCGCGGCTTCACACAAATACACGGACTAAACTACGATGAAACGTATAGTCCGGTTGCCCGCTACGACTCCCTTTGGTTTGTTATCCGACTTGGCTTTGCGGGCCGAAACTGCTTACCTCTATTCTAACCTATCCCACGAAGTGTACATGTCCGTACCTGATGGCTACAAATGCCAGACAGACAAACCAATCGCTCTGCGCCTTGCCAAGGCACTATACGGTCTCAAACAATCAGGACGTAAGTGGTTTGGCACACTTAAACGAACTATAAAGAACATGAAGATGGTGTCTTTGCCTTCTAACCCGTGTGTTTTCCAACGTCATGATCTGATTGTTGCGGTGTACGTCGACGACATCGTCATTACCGGGACAGACGAACAGGTGGTCTCTTTCAAAACACTCTTGTCAACCAGATACAAATGCAAAGACCTTGGACCTTGCCGTTACCTTTTGGGCTTGGAAGTTACACAAACGTCCCAACAAATCACCATCAGCCAGTCCGGATACGTCAAACGCATTCTCCAGCGGTTTGGAATGGCGAACAGCAAGGGTCGCGACACACCACTTGATACAGGCACTTTGTACCCACGTTCGTCCGGCGACGATGAACGGGCAGATGTTGTGGAATACCAACAGTTGTCTGGATTAATTAACTTTCTCGTGACGGGTACACGCCCTGACCTAGCTTTTCTAATTTCCATACTGTCATCCTACAATACAGATCCCAGCTAACAGCACATGAACGGCATGAAACAGGTCTTGCGGTATCTCCGTCGTACAGCTGAACGCGCATTGGTCTACCGACGATTGCATGATGACGGCATGACACCAACGAACAAGTCTGCGCTGTCAGTTCATTTGGAAGTTTACGCTGATGCATCATACAACTCCGACCCCGACACAGCCAAGTCCGTTAGGGCTTACGTTGTTCAGTTGAACGGCAGTACTATTGCATGGTCTGCAAAGAAACAGAAGACTGTTGCCCGCTCTACGTGTGAGGCTGAATGCATGGCATGCTCCGACGCTGCTTCGCAGTTATTGTGGATAAGATAATTACTGACAGACCTGAATGTTCCTATTTGTCAGTCCGTGTTGTGGTGTATCTAATATAACTTACGTTAATCAATACATTCGTTTCCTACGTTAAATAACACCTCTCACTTCCCAAAAAACACATGTGAGTCGCAAATGTCATCCACTAGTAAATAAACAACTAGATGGGCAGTCAATGACTATTGCTGAAAACAAATACTCTGGAAGTTGCAATATGCTTCAATATGCTTATGATTGTATTTACTCTAACCCGTAGATCAGTCGAATCACTCGATATTAGCAGTCAACCAGTTTGATCTCCAGTTGTTATTGGCGGGAAAATATAACGGGACCAGCGTCGTAAGTCATCGGTTGTAAGCGGGTACTGTCTCGGCCGAGGCTCAACACTAAGCGCTAGACTTTGGGTTATGAGACAGACATAGGAGATTGTTGCAGTACCCTAGCTTCGCGATAAATCACTACAGTACGGCAAACTTGTCTCTACACACTTCATGTATGCTTATTCTCTCTTCAATCAGATCAGATTCAACCAGGGGATTCAACATATCTCAAAATCGACTTGTGCCCCCCTTCCCTTTACAATCGCCGCCACTGACGCTGCAGCATGCCCGTCAGAAGAGTCAAGAGGGAGATCCGCACATGCAGTCGCTGCCGGCTGCTCAAGCTTCAATGCAATCAATCGAAACCGTCATGTCAGAGATGTACCAGGGCAGATGTCACCTGTTCACTTGGTGTTTGTCCGCTCACGCATGGGTCTGACTCTGGGTCATCCATTTCGATAATCGATACACTTCCACAGTCTGCGGCACAACTCTCACTCTCTTCAGTCTCACATCCTGAACTTGATGTGAGTCCGGGAAACAACAGTGACAAGCAACCTGGCCTTGTAAGAAACCGGCAACGAGCCCAGCTCTCTTGCATACGATGCCATCGACTCAAGGTCAAGTGTGACAAGGAACTACCCTGCTCACGATGCCGCATGTCTGGCTGGGGCAAGTCGTGCGCATATCACCACAGGGCAGAAAAGATCAACCCGTCAAACGCCAGTCCACAACAAGTTGCAAAAGACCCCGACAGCATTATCGAGGCATGGCATTCACAGAGTCGGAGCGCTACCCACTGGACCGAAGTATTATCGACGGTAGGTATTCGGAGCACAGAGTGATTCAGTTGGGCCAAACTAACTAAATGCAATTACAGTTAAAACTGCAAGCTGGGCGTAATGGTCTTCAGGTCCGTGACCTGATCCCCGACTTTATTCGCCAACAAAAGATGGGAGCTCAAGACGACTCTATAGTACCAGAGAACTTTCCATTTAACAGTCCGGCAGCTGCCAAATTTGCATCCATGGACACTGTCCAAGACCTCCTCCAGCGCCATAGAGAGAAGTATCAATCTTATATAGATGGCTACTTAGTCCTCTACCAGACAAGTCATCCCATTATTGACACCTCCACGTTTCTGCCTGTGATCGACGCATTTTGGAATGACCCCAGGGCGGCAGATATGGCCTGGCTAGCCAGCTTCTTGATGGTATTAGCACTGGGATGCTTCGCCGTGACGAGGGACCAGCATTCAACAATCGAACTCTGCATAGCAGCAGAGGCTTGTCTGAGCAAGACACCCTTCATGGTTCAACCAGACATGTTGGCCATAAGGACTCTCTGTCTCATGGTTCTTGCTAAGCAAACGGTTAGTACGACATGTCGTACGTTCGATTCGTGTTGGACATTACTGGGTATTGTCACGCGTGCCGCCGTTGGAATGGAATTGCACAAACAGCGAGCGCCACTGGATGAGTCGCGTGAGGGGATTCGTGCTTGGCAGTCTAGCCAGGCGCTGTGGTCCATCATCGTATACTTTTGCGTACAAGTCGCCACGATGACGGGAAAGCCATTGCTTGTATCGGCCGACATGTTCACCAAACATCCACCACCATCCACCTTCCAGACAAATGACCCATGGGTAATGTTAATCAGCATCTACCCGTCAATATGTCATATAATCTGCAGAATCACTAGTGATAGTGAGAAGCCATTGTACGACGAGGTGGTGAAGCATCATGACCATGTGCGCCAACTCATGGATGCTTTATTGGGTAGCATACATGGCAAGCCGAGGCTTTACATGACGTTGGACATGTTTTTCCGCCGTATTCTCCTCGTGCTGCACCGTTCTCACGCATTGCAGCTCGCCGCCCCGTTAGAGTATCAAGTTTCGTACTGGGTTTCTCTGGAATGCAGCCTGGCAATTCTGGTGCATCACCGAGATCTGGAAGAGCAAAACCGGCCGGATAACACAAACCTCCTCGCCCGTCTCTTCAAACTCGATATTCTTTCCGCAATGCTGACTGTGTGCCTGCATCTTCTCCGCCGCGAGGCGCCTCTCTCAACGGGGCTCACAATCCCACCACGTCGAATAATCTTGAGTACACTGCAAGCCTGTGTCGTAATTTGGGAGAAGGAAACACATTACTCTCTTTGTTTTAAGATAGGGCATTTCCTGCTAGTCTCAGTTCTGAAACTTTTACCAGATATAGATTTTCTCGAGAATTGATCTGCTAGCTTCTTTGTTCGTAGCCTGCCGCGAGCTTAAGGTTTACCTTTTTTGATCTCTTGATGAGCGCAGTATGTATGTTGTTTTGAAGCATGGGGTGTCTTCTTTGTATTTTCGATTGATAAACAATGTAACGTGATATTTAGAATCCGTTTTGTCAAACCGCGTTTTCGAACGAGGTAGTATTGAAAGCATGATGGATAAAGGTGGAATCATTATGTTTGTGGCTGTAAACGTACGACGGATTTTAACTGCGCCGCCCTGATGCTGTCGGCCGAGCATACAACCTATTAATAACCGATTTCTTACGGTAGGTTCCAACAGACTAGCGATGTAACGGATTACGACAGTACAGGTTACGGCGATACAGATTACGACGATGCTCTGAGCTTTCCTCCGCGTCTACAGTAATAACTTCCGTGCCAGTTACTATACACTCAATATATATATACCTTTTGACAATTAAACTGTAACGGGTATTTCCAATTCGATAGGACAGTTATCCCATCTGCTAATACACAACGGCACTTCTAAAATACGAGCAAGCAGTACAGCATATTGTAGTCCAAAATGGCTCTAAAGTACTACTTAGTATCACTCTTATTCGCAGTATGCGGATTTGTCCTTCTTCACTACAAATGCGAGAATCTGCCGCTTCCGATTGTAGGTTATCGACTGGCGACAGGCTGGGCATTCCCTCCACACTGCATGCTATTCACAGTTGCCTTGGCCGTGAACTGGCTAAACGTTGAGGCGGAGATTGAGTCTAGTATAGTAAGTAGCAACTATCAAAGTGCATTGGTGCGATAGGTTGCTAATTCGAGTCTCTAGTCACCCAGTTTATCGGATTAAGGCAGGGTTTGACGCTATTCACGATGGTAAAAGCGTTACACTGGGCAACACATGGATGGAGATGAAGACATATAGACTTGGCAGCATCAGGGTGAATATCGGATTGGCTACTAAGAGGAAGCAGCCATAAGGTCTAGGCAATGCTATGCAGCTTCAATACCACAATTACTTGCTCACCGAACGGATTTTACATACCAGTTCTCCGTGGTAAGAACCACGATACTCGTAATTGTAACAGTGTTTAAGCAATGATTATGAACTACAGCTTGCCGTATCTTATGCATGAAACGCACTAGGTGCATCAAATAAAGATCAAGGCTTGGGCAACAGTTGTACAGATTCACTTTGTTGCTTAATATGCTTGATTCCAGGGCAGTGTTAAAAATTGCGATTTTCCTTCTGCCCATGTACTCGGCCGAGTCCCACACCCGTCTAAGACCGGCAGCTTACGCAGTCGACGCGCCAGACTCAGTGGCTATTTTTTTCTATACGTCTATTGTATCAAAAGATGTTGATTGTAGTCTAGAATCAGCCTATGCTGCTTAAATTATAGTATAATTGCTTAAAAACCCGTGTATTTAACTTATGGCCATGTCGCTGTTCCTGAATGTGTACTGATCGACAATCGTTTAGACACGTTCAAAATGACTAACAAGCTCTTTATCTTCACTCTCTTTATCCAACTTTTTTCTGCTCCTTTCGTAAATGCGGGATCAAAACATGGATCATCGTCAGATCATGACCCATCGGACAAATCATCAGTGTCACCACCATACAATTACGCTTTCCAATTTCCTGTCCCTATACCGCCAGTTATTAAGCCACTTCGGTACGTCTCTGTCAACGCATGTTCTTTTCTATAAGTGTTTTGACTTTGTCATTTCTTTAGGTCGAATCAAACTAATCATCTTAAATAGCTCCTATAATGATACCAGTGCAAACGTAACCATTGATTTTTATCAACTCAACATCACATCGTTTCAAGCCCAGATATATCCAAACCTCGCCAAGACTAGCCTTGTAGGATATAACGGAATATCTCCAGGCCCAATCTTTAGAGTACAACGCGGTGTACAAAGTGTAGTACGCGTTGTCAATCACAATGGTAACCCAAACCCTCCTCGAGTCACGCTGGGCCAAATCTGACATGATTCACCACCTTAGATCAACCGTCTGTACTGCATCTTCATGGCTCAAACTCCCGCGCAGTCTGGGATGGCTGGGCCGAGGATTTGATTCAGCCAGGCGAGTACAAGGACTACTACTTTCCAAACTCGAATACCGCCAGAACTCTTTGGTACCACGGTGCATACCATCCTCGCCCAATCCGTCTATCCAGTTCTAACAAGAAGAAGACCACGCAAATATGATCACCTCTGTCAACCTGTTTAGTGGTCTAGCGGGCTTCTATATCATCGAAGACGCCGAGGTGGAGGCCCGACTTGGCCTTCCTCAAGGCAAATACGACATTCCGCTCGCCCTCAACTCAAAGCAATACACTTCCACCGGCAATCTTACTTCGGTAGCTCAAGAGACTAGCAGCGTCTACGGTGATATCATCGAAGTGAACGGCCAACCTTGGCCGTTCCTATCTGTCGAGCCCAGAAAATACCGATTTCGATTTCTAAACTCAGCTCTTAGTCGAACCTTTATCCTCAGTATAATGGATAGCAGCAGCGGAAACACATTGCCCCTCCAAGTTGTCGCATCGGACTCTGGATTTTTGAGTACCACAGCGACGACCACTGAGTTGACGACCGCCATGGCAGAGAGATGGGAAGTGGTTGTCGACTTTTCGGGTTTTGAGAACCGCAATCTGACTCTTATGAACCAGCGAAATGTTTTTGACTCTCAGGACTTTTCAGAGACTAATCTCGTCATGCAATTCAACGTGGGATCAACAGTTTCTTCCGGCGCCAACAATAACTCGCCTCCGTCATCCTTAATCTCAATAAGCTCCCCACCAACTGGCACGCTGGTTCACCGGACATTCAAGTTTGACAAATCGTAAGTCTGTATCCTCTATGAAGAGAGTCACCACTAACAGCGAATAGGGACGACGAGTGGGTAATTAATGGTGTGCCATTTACCGATGTCAAGAACAGAGTCCTTGCAGCACCTCAATCAGGAGCCTCGGAAGTTTGGGTCCTGGAGAATCATAACCCCTACTGGAGCCATCCGGTATGTAACCTATTCAACACCACATGCTGATATACTGACCAACATATGCTGGCAGATCCACGTCCACCTGGTGGATTTCCAGCTCATCTCCCGCTCGGGCGGCCGCAACACCGTCGAGCCTTACGAGAAAGCAGCCCTCAAAGACATCGCCGTGCTCGGCCCAGAAGAAACAGTCACAATCGCAGTCTCCTTTGCCCCGTTTTCTGGCGTGTACATGTTCCACTGCCACAACGCCATCCACGAAGATCACGCCATGATGGACGCTTTTAACCTCACGGCCGTTCAGGGGCTGGGTTACAATGCGTCAGACCTGATGCTTGCTGACCCATTGGATGCCGAGTGGCGCGCAAAGAGCTATTCTGACGCAGTTGCTCAGTCGAGCGTAGACGATGTGTTGTCATCTTTTGCCGCAACCGGGGCGTATAATGAAGATGTGTCAACGGAAGCAGTTGACCAAACTTCTGGAGGTGACTTTGCTTATCCTCAGTCTGCGACTTTGTATGCAGTCGGTCTTTTGCTTTGGGTTTTCATTTGAAGCAATGTACGATAAGGCGTCAAACTATTACCAGTATTTCTTAGTATAGTCATTTCCATAAAGTGCTCTTGAGATTGCAAAAAGCCAGCATTATAAAAAATTGCAACTAGTTTTAGTCATATGCTACTCGAGTCAATTCCAAACGCCCTCAGTATTCTAGCCATGGCATAGTCATCGTCTTTTTGAAAGCAAAACACACCCATAGATCCCCTTATCCCCATTATCATGCCAAATGCCCTTACATCCTTGGTCAAATTGATTAAGCCATCACAGCTTCTGGCCGCCTCTGCGATGCATTCGCTCCTTTCTTGGCACCTGGCCGAGCAAGCGTGTACTTGGCAAAGGCGCGTGCCAGGGCCTTCTTGCAGCTGACCTTTTGACTGCCAACAAAACTCTCCACCGTTACCGCAATGGCACGGTCAATATCCTGCGCTGAGCAATACTCAGAAAGACGCATCCTGCAGAATGCTTCGCTGATTCGAATGATGGCTTCAAGATGACGGACCTAAGAACACCTCACATTAGTATCACATTGTGGCGGCCAGAGATGTATAACTCTCAGACGGAAATGGGCTCGGACTTACAGTAATTGGATACGCGCCCGTGGCAAGGGACTCTCTTCGCATGTCTGCAAACAGACGGGCTACCTTGTCTTCATCCATGTGGTAGAGCTTGGGGCTGCAGCGTTCTCGAGCATACAAGATGTATTTACGCAAAAGTCCCTGGGAAATCTCGCCGTCGCGCTGGCCTCTGGATGCAGTTGTCTGCTGGGTATCCATGGCGGTGTCCTGGGTAGCAGCATTGGTGTCTGGGCGGGCCTGCGACAAGGGATGGCTCCGACCGTGAGAGCCAACGATAAACCTCGCCAGCCGCTCGTCCTCAGATGGTTCGACCAAATCCCGCACAACGCACAGAATGTCGAAACGCGACAAGATGGGCTCTGTCAGCTCCACGTTGGCCGAGAAGGGAATCATTGAGTTGTAACGGCCTCCCAACGGGTTAGCCGCGGCAATGATACCGCAGCGGGCTTGCAAAGTCGTCACGATACCAGCCTTGGAGATGGAGATGGTTTGCTGTTCCATGGCCTCGTGAATCGAGGTTCTGTCTTGGTCGTTCATCTTGTCGAACTCGTCAATGAGACAAGTGCCTCTATCGGCCAAAACAAGAGCACCGCCCTCGAGTGTCCATTCGCTCGTCAGGGGGTCTCGACGGACACTAGCCGTCAGACCGACGGCGCTGGCACCCTGACCAGTCGCAAAGACGGCTCTGTGTGCTGTTTTCTCGACATATTTGAGGACTTGCGACTTGGCAGTTCCAGGGTCACCGAGAAGGAGCACGTTGATGTCACCACGAACATGATGGGCTCCCCTACCAGTCTTGGCAACACCACCAAACAGAGACAGAGCAACTGCAGTCTTGATGTCTGTGTGTCCGTAAATGCTGGGGGCGATGGAGTTGACGATTCTGTCCACAATGTTAGGGTCGCGGGCCAGCTTGCGAATCTCTTGCTCATCCTCTTCAGTCAAGCGGAATCCAGCGAGTTGATCGTGAGACTTGACGACGTTGTTAGCCTCAAGGATGGTTGCAAAAACGGGGAAACCGTTGCGGTTGTTCAGCTGTGCGTCGTAGTTGTTTCGGTAAATGCCCGTCACCTCAATCTCTTCGCCGGGCTTGGCCTTGTCAATGAGATCCCACAGCAGGATGACTTCTCGGTGACGGGGAAGACGTCCGGCAGGAACAGTTCCTGGAGACTCCTGCAGAGTAAGTCTCTGGTAGTTTCGGTAGACGGTCTTCTCCGAGTTCAAGGTAAAAGGTCCGCGAGACTGGCAGCTCTGGCAGAACGTAACCTTGACCTCCACATGGGACTCTTGCTGGAAGGGACCCAGCGTCTCGCCACACTTGCCACAGTCGAATTTGACATATTTGAGCTGGGGGAAGACACCGCTTCGGCGCGTGACGACTCCGCTGACGCGCACAAGGCAGTTGAGGTGTGACTGACGCAGCTGTCGAAGCGTGTAGTGAACGGGTAGGTCGAAGATGCGAACATGGATTTCGGAGTGAATTCGCTCGTAATCGGGGTAGTGAAGGAGCACAACATCCATGGCCACTTGGTCAAACAGCTTGAGCATCTCAGCAGGGGCATTGGCAAGGAAGTAGGCAAGGATGGCCTTGCTTTCAGCCAGATGCTCATAAGAGACCTCCAACGACTCTGCGTTGACCTCACCGAGTGTGCGAATACGATTACCGTAGACGGAAGATCCAGATGCATCAATGTATGATGTCAAGAAGGCCTTGAATTCGCGCTTGATGGTTCGCTGGACTGGAGGCTGAGACACCCACTCGGTCAGATTGGAGGCCTTGACATCGCCCAGAGCTTCTAGGGAGAGCTCCTCGTCCATGATGTCGGCATCCATGGCAACATCTGGATCTTCATCGTAGTGATGTCTCCGTCTGCGAGGCTGCGCCGTCAGGTCAATGTCGCCGTCATCGTCATCGCCGGGAAGATAGGCGGCTGGAATCCTTTGCCGGCGGGCAACTTCTCTGTCTCGTCGGTTGAGCTGAGCCTCCAGCCGTCGTCTCTCGCCCAGGTCCATAGAATCAAAATCGCCCTCGTCATCCAGTCCTGCGCCCTCGTAGACGTCGTCTTCTCTGTCTCTGTAATCGGCCTCGAAGCCTTCACGGAACAGGTCAACGTCGTCGTCGGCCATCTCGTCAATGTCGTCGATGTCGTCCTGAATCTCCGCCTCCTCTTCAATTTCCTCGTCTTCGTCGACTCCATGGGCAATGTTAAACGGCCCAGGCGGAGACGATGGCAATGGGCTGGAGCTCAGCCCACCGGGCGTGGAAACATCGTCGCCATCGGGGCGTGAGCGCTTGCGGCCTGATCGCGGGGCAGAGCCGACATTGGCAGATGCGGGATGATCACGAAGGGGAGAGCTGCGTTGATGAAAGTGTTAGGAGAATCATTGTGTAGAGAACACAACACAGTCACAATCGACGTACCTCATGGCGGCGGCTGTTCAATGGGCTCCCGCTGGTGGTCGGTGGTTTCGGCTGCTCTGCTTGGAGAAGCTGAAAATTCAAGGATGCAGCGTCTTGGTTTGTGGGGGGCGGCGAGATTAGGGAGCAATTGGCCAGAGCTCAGGTGCTGGACGCGCTGAAGACGCGTTAATGGGCGTGCGCTAATCCCGTTTGGCACCGACGCGTAAAGTGGTTTTTATTCGTTCTCGAGGTGATGCGACAAAATTAGATAAGCATGAGGCCAGTATTTTCTTACTAATCTCGCGTCCAGCTTAATATGTCTACCAAACAGGTCTTGAGTTTCAAAGCTATACAGTGCCGTCGTCCTTATCTCCAGGCTACCTTCAGCTTCTTCTAAACTTTAATCATCCATCGCATCTTTCGCTGCTGCTGGTTCCATCCCATCAACTTGTTCACCGCCAGCAACCATGTCTGGCGATTCGCCTCCACCGACCGCGATGGACACGCCGTCCATTGCAGAGACGAAAGCAGCGCCTGTCACTGGTCGCAGCAACAGCTTCTCCCAGCAGTCACGGGCGTCGGACGACTCTCAAACTGCCGCCGAGTAGGTTGCGGCTGGGAATTGGATCTTGCTACTGAATGCAATCGTCTGACCTGTTTCATAGCTTTCTCCGCGATCAGCAAATCCTCGAGGCCGATGCTCGCGAAGCTTTACCTTACGTATGTACCTGTCCCATCTTTACGGACCATCAGCGTCATCCGTGTACAAACAGCTGATGTCGATACTGTCCAGAGCATCGAGACATGCACCAAGATCCTCGGACCGCTACGACAGAATGTCTTCGCCTGCTTGACCTGCAACCCTGCGCCGACCAAAGCGGGAGACAGCTGGACTCCTGCGGGCATGTGCTACGCGTGCTCCGTCTCATGCCATGGCGAACACACTCTTGTCGAGATCTTCCAGAAGAGAAACTTTACCTGCGATTGCGGAACGACGCGCATCCCGTCTACCAGCCCATGCACCCTGCGCATCAATAGCGAGACCAATACCAAGGGCAACGTCCATTCCGAAGAGCCGGATGCCAATAACAAGTACAACCACAATTTCAAAAACCGTTTCTGCGGCTGCGAATGCGACTATGACCCATTCCAGCAGAAGGGAACCATGTTCCAATGCCTTGGGCTAGGGACTCAAGAGACTGGAGGCTGTGGAGAGGACTGGTATCACCCTGGTTGCCTGGTGGGCACGGGACCCAAGTGGTACGAACAGATGGACAAGGGCAAATCAAAGCCGGTACCAATGAAGATAGACCATCATACCAACGGGGGTGCCCTTGCGACAATCACAGAGAAGGACGAGGGGCAGTCAAACAATGGCGCAGTCGAAACCAGTGGCGATGTTGCGGTCGAAGACGAAGATGACGAGCCACCGATGCCTCCCGGATTTCCAAGCGAAGACGACTTTGAAGGCTTCTTATGTTACAAATGTTTGGACGCAAACCCGTGGATCAAACAGTATGCAGGAACATCGGGCTTTCTACCAGCCATATTTCTAGAGGTACGCGAAGCTGGTACTGCGTCGTCGCCATCCAACGACAGCACGGCCACAGCTGCGTCCAAGAAGCGCAAGGCCGAAGACGACGGAGATGAAGAGCAATCAGACGCAAAGCGCATTAAGAGCGAGAGCGAGGCGCCAGTGATCGAATCTACTACTGCTGGAGTTAACACAGCTCAACCCGCCGTGGACGGAGATGACGCCAAGCCAGCAGTTCAGGTCGCGGAAGAAGCCGCCAAGACAGATGGCCCAACTTCATGCAAGCTGCCCAATCTACCTGCCGCGCCCAAGGGCCGCTTCTCTCTCTTCTTCAAAGAGGACTTTCGCGAAAAGCTCTGCCATTGCTCAGACTGCTACGGTAAACTGAACGCCCACCCCCAGTTACTGGAAGAGGAGGAAGTCTACGAACCCCCTCTGTCCGACGACGGCGCTTCTGAACACGGAGGCTCGACGCACGGAAGCGGCAGCTTGCTTGACCGTGGCGAGAGCGCCCTGCGCAACATGGATCGCGTCAGAGCCATCGAGGGCGTCATGGCGTACAACCACCTCAAGGAGCAGCTGACGCCATTCTTCAAGCAGTTTGCGGAGAGCGGCAAGGCCGTGGGCGCGGAGGATATCAAGGCGTACTTTGCAAAGCTGCGAGGCGATGAGCAGGGGATCAAGGAGGCGGGCGAGGCCGCCGCTTCTTCCAAGGAGAACGGGGATAAGGATGGTGACGGCAGAAGAGAGCAAAGCGGCTACTAGACTGTCATACGTTATGAGGAGTGCTTGCTCGCCGTTGTCTTATTGGACGATGTAATATTCTCTTGCATGTATTATTAGGTTTTGAGAGACCACAAAGGGCTTGGAAAGCGGGATCACTGAAACGGACTTAATGCAAATAAGAACAAGGGCCTAGGGCTGCCCTGAAATCGGACTGTAAAATGTTTGTGTCATGTTCGTTATATTTCATTTGGGTTTAACAATAGTAATTGTCAGCTGCCTAAACACTGATCGCGCCATTACATGTATCTACATTTCGTAGTCCAGCCCAGCCCAGCCATCACTTGTGGCATCGTGATGAGGATCTCGCCGGCCTTTCGTTTCTCATTCCCCCCCTTTTCTCCAAGTATCATTTTGGTGCATGAGGGAAAACTCCATTAAACAGTTCATGCCTCGTTCTTGGGAAATAGCTATCCGTTGCTGTCCGTTTTGATTCGTCCCAGGTCATCTACCGGTTGACCCCGTGCTAGACGCCGCACTGAGCGGCCGAGGAGGTGGTATAGGCAAGATCTGTCCAGAAGACTCCTCCCTCACCATGGCGATGCCGCCCATCATGCCCATGGACGACAAGTGGTGCTGCTCGTCACTGTCTTCGCCCTGGCTATCGACCATATGTTGCTCCTGGGCGGCGCGGAGCTCCAGCTCCCGCAGCCTCTCCTTCTCAGCCTCGTCAATGATGTCGTCATCCCCGCTCCAGTAGGGATCGTCGTCCTCGAGCTCCGGCATGGCCATGCGCTTCCAGAAGCGCACCTCCTGCCTGAGGGCGGTGTCGTCGACGCGCTTGGCGAACCTCTCCTCGTCCTCATCGTACCTGCGGCGGAACTTGCGCAGCGACTCGTTGGCGCGGGCGGCGTGCGTCTGCATCTCCCAGATCTGCTCACGCAGGCGGCTGTTCTCGCGGCGGGCCTCGTCGAGCTGCGCGCGGTAGGAGCGGTGCCAGGCGGCGACGTCGGCGACGTGCTTGGACTTGTAGTCGTGGAACTGCTTGAGCATGAGGGAGAGGGCGTTGGCGTACTGGGTGAGGAGGGCGGCGTTTGCGTCGCGGCTGTGCTTGGCTCTGTCGAAGGATTCCGATAGTTCGGAGATGATGCTGTCGAGGTTGGATTCTTGGGCTGCCAGAGAGAGAGAGGTGTTGGCAAATCGCAAAAGCATTCAAGCGCAGTCGCGGCAAAAAGACAAAAGGACATTCAGAAAACACACGCACCGTTGATGTCGTCGGCGGCAGAGGAAATCACGTCGCCGTTGGCCAGGCCCTGGGCCTTTGCCTTGTTCCGCACTCTGCCCAGCCCGCTGACAATGTCCTCGGTGACCCTTCTGTTGTCAGCCAGCTGTCGACTCAGCTCCTCGACCATGCCGTAGATGTAGTTGAGCTCGGCCTGGTGGCCGGCGGGCGTGGGCGCGGGCATGACAGCGCCCATGTTGGCGCCGTTCATGCCGTTCATCTGCTGCTGTTGCTGATGGTAGAGGGCCTGCTGTTGGAGCTGCTGCTGCTGCTGTTGATGCTGCTGCTGGAGGTATTGCTGCTGGAGATAGTGTTGTTGGAGTTGCTGCTGGTGGAGAGTCTGTTGGAGTTGCTGTTGCTGTTGGAGCTGCTGCTGCTGCTGCTGCTGTTGATGCCGTGCCTGAGCCTGGGCCTGCGCTTGAGCCTGAGCCTGAGCCTGGATCTGAATCTGAATCTGGATCTGATTCTGCTGCTGCTGTTGGGCAAGAGGATCCAGGTTGAGCGGAGCCGCAAAGCTCATGTCGCGCGTGGCTTGATCTTGGTGCAGGTTAGCGAAGATCTGAGGCTCTGGCGCTTCGGCTGCCATTGTTGGGGCCTTGAACGGGTCAAGGTAACAAATGTTGGCTAGGATCAGTGCAATGCAAGTACCGGGACAGCGAATGGCGGGCGCTGCTATACTTTGGCCGTCGGCAGCATTGAGCCAGTTCCAGCCCAGTTAGTTGAAGTACCTGAACCTGTGGCAGGTAGAGTTAGAGGGGCAAAGCCAGCGCTGGACGGTGATTGAATGCCGATGCTTGACGCTGATGCTGATGCTGATGCCAATGGCAGGTTAAGATAGGTTGCCCAATTCTGCAGCTTCTGCCCTCTCTCTCTGTCTCTCTCTCTTTTGCTCTTCTCTCGACGCAAGGGGGCCGCCAGGTGGCTCACGAGTGATACAGATCCAGGTACAGCCGTTTCTGCGGTGTCGCTGGGCGGATCGCATGTACTCGCCTGGCGGGGACTCTGGACTCTGGCTAACGCGCTGCAATTCGTCGCCTCACAGCGTATCATTTCGATTTGTCTCTCTCCGTAGTGCATGCGTTTTTATGCATTGCGCATTGTATTATGAAATCAATTGATCCATCCATTTTGTCTTTCCGCCGTAGATGCAATCATGTGCTTTGAATCAATTGAAGAGCAAAGAGTCACGTGCAGTCTTCACCTTGGGGCAGTATGAGTCTATACGTACAGCCCTGCAGCAGTGGAAGCTTGAGATGGAGACTTGGCCTTTGTACGTGCATGCATCATACGCGGTCGTGATAATGTCTGGCATCCGGTCCATCTATTTTCTTTCCCTCTTTCATCGTTTTGGTATCTCTTGTTATCCTTATTCAGTGATACACTCCAAAGTACACTGATGTAGCACGGGAGCCTTCGATGGCAAGCCTGTACCTCCGCCATTATTCTCTTCGCGATTAAGCTTATTTTCCTTACCGAGAACATACTAAGCCACGCGCTATGCGTCTTTGCACTTCATCGTGCACATGAACTACCGAATACCTACCTTTCATCAGCTACCTACTAGGTATTTCTCTCTCTCTCTCTCTCTCTTTCTTTGTTTTGCCACTATGAGACCACTATAGGCATCAAATTAAGGCGATGACGGCCAGAATTTCTTCTTGTCTAGGTTAGGTAGTTCTGGTGATGTAAGCGCACATGCCCGGCCCAGTACTCCACAACCACATCACATCCATTGTATTGCTTTGGTCTCAACCCCATTGCATTGTCTGAATAGCAGCCGAGGTTCTTTTGTAGCATTGCTAGCGGTGCGAGTCAAGATTTAGATATGCGATGATATGAATCTCATCACTTTTGTCCCCTCGACAGATCAACATGCGGAGCGAAAATGGAGAATCCACATAGACGCGATTAGTATAGCAGGCTGCAGCGTTACATCGCAGCGCAGCGGCTTCAGCACGTCTAATGTACATAAGAGACCGAGGCAGAGCCGAAGAAATGTGATCTATGGATTCTTTGAAAAAGTTGATGCGCAATCTTGACCTATACAAGAAGGTCAGGCTCCTGTATAGACGGATCCGTAGCTGCTGAAGGGTCGGAAACGGCAAAGTTGTTATACTAAAGTTGTTGTTCACATGGTCCTACCACTTAGACCTGCAGCAATACATGGGAGAAGACTCTAGTCTCGTGGCGAACATGTGGTAGGAATGTGTTGTACGGATCTGGTTGTGGACGTAAAACGATGAACGGATAAATCCAACTCATTACCAATCCCGGTGGAACTGCAAGAGATCTCTCATTTAATGTTTGACCGGGATCCCATGAGCCATGGGTCGTGACACTAACCAAGCCCGCCGGTTGGCAGACGACGAACCACCACACCCCCTTGACACTTCGGAACTTCGCGGTGAAACTACTGGAGACAAGAGTATGTGAAGCTACGGTGGGATTTCCAAGTTTGAAGTCTCGTACGATTGAGCGGGGAAAGCGGAGAGAGTCCGATGATGCTTGTGAAGGCGAAGAAAAGAAGCATACACGACGGAGATGAGTGTGTCACATGCGCACAAACTGCTATGGAGCATATTTGCAGACTCCGGTCCATGATGGATATCTTGAGCTTCAAGCTTTTCAATGCCACCCCAAGATGCTACCCTTTGCACGTTTAGGTCTCGGGATCCGTGCCGTAGCTGGACGCAAGGGGTCTCGCATGATGATAGATCGATGGTAGTGCTGCAACGCTGGCAACGTCGGATGATCTGATTGTAGTACTTTACTACCTGGTATGCTTGGGTGCGGGGGAGAAACTGAGATACATGTATTGATGGAACACACATCAATGTCCATGTAATAATACCTGACAGCCGCTCCAAGGGTCAACTACGAGTGACTCAGAGGGCATGTATCGATCCTACGTACAAGTAGATACATGTACTTTGCTTCCCATACCTTGCTGCTACTACTCACTCAAGTTGGGCGCTGCAGTTGGCGGTCGTGTCATGAATTCATGATTGAATCCACCACAGCCTCAAAAGGTCCCTTGCGCCGTCGATGCGAGCATCCGAGTGCCTCATTTCCAGCTCCATCCCTTTCGTCAATTATAGTAGTAGTTTCCTTGCAATTCGGCCCGTTGCGGCACCTGGATTGGATGGAGCGCCCAAAGCACACACAGTAGCGGCGACCTTTTGCTTTCAGGTTTTCCCCTGAATATCCCAGTGCCCCCCTCCCTGTGGCGGCCAGCGTGCAATAATAATACCGGACATCCATACATATGTACACAGCGATGCAAGTCGGTGATAGCACATGCAGTCGAGGCATCGCACCTATTCCCGACGGCAAAACGCCATTGTCCCAGTGTGTAGTGGGCTCTACTAAGGGCCCAGCCGGCGAAAAAGACCCGCCAGGCGCCCTGCCCGCACTTTGTACTGCCCTTCTCGGCGAGTTTGGTGCGGGGAAGTTGGGGGAGAAGCGCAGGTACAGGCCACCAGGAGCCCGCTGAGAGCCCTGTAGCGTCCGGGGGAGGCCCACCCGCATGGAGCTGTGCTGCTGTGCACCTCGAGAAATGAATCGGACGCCGTGCCTTGTGACCTCGTTGAACCTTGTGCTCCGAGGTTGCATCAAGTGTTGCTCGGATGCATCGAGACAATGAAATTGGATGGCAATGTAATTCTTGCTGTAGGCTCTCTAGCAATGCTACACTCTGGGCTGTGAGCATTGTATCGAATTCCGGTCAACAGAGCTCAACACTCAATGTTTATGTACATACTTGACAACTACTAAACTCGTCGATGCCTGAGGACTCCCACCCCTGCTCGCATTGGCATGGGTCCAACTCTGCCCTTGAACGGGATCGGCACTTGACTTCCACCCACGCTCAACCACCAATTGTCCTTTGATTTGCCTGTCTCACCCTCTCCTGCTTGGCGCCTTGTCTGCCCCCAGCCTCGTCAATCTCTCTCGCCCGACCTTGGCGCCCGTGTCTCGTTTCTCCTCGCGGCCACAGACGCCGTTTCCCCCAGCAACGGCCAATTGCATCGAGTCCAACCATCCCGACTGCCGTATTACCTACCCACGGAGGTACTACTCGTGCCAAGGTACGCAAGGCCTCACTCAATGGCTCCCCGAGGAACGGACGAGCAAATGGTTGAGCTTGAACCCGGCTCGGGGGCCCCATTTGCCGGGGTCCCGTGTCTTGCTCTGGTCTTGTCCTTGTTAGACTCGTATGCATGATATGATGCATGCCCCACGCACCTCCTCGTCTCCTCCCGTCCCACTGCCTGGAATTGCAACTTGGATCTGCCATGTCCAATGTCGCACTCGCTGGAGATGTGACGAGGGTGACAGCTGACGAGCTAGGCGTGCAAGGCAGGAGCAACGGCATTCAGTGTCTTGGACGATTCCGAGCCGAACGAGCACGGCTATTTGTATACAAGATGGGCTCCCCCAAGATGGCCGCCGCCAGGCACGGCGCTCCACGACCCCCAGTCCCAGCCAGAGCATCTTTACCCTCTCCCGCCGTCCTCATCACCGTTGCCATCGTCTTCGCTGCGACAATGGTGTACTGGAAGGCCCTCCTCTATGCAGGGCTTGCCTCTGCCGCGGCCCTCTTCCACAGAGACGACGCGGTTGCGGGCACCGTCGATGCGTGCCCGGGCTACAAGGCCACCAATGTTCGCGTCTCGCCCACCGGCGTCACGGCCGACCTGACGCTGGCCGGTACGGCTTGCAATGTGTACGGGACCGACCTCCCGAATCTCATTCTTCAGGTCACGTACCAGACTGGTAAGTACATGTAAACATGCGCTGCTTCACTGCTCTCCCTGCCAGTTTTGAGGGCATCCTCGGCTGAGTGGGCCATCTATGCTCCTTGAGCCAATCGTTCCCTCACAGCATTGGTTTCAACAGCGAAACTTGATCAATTGAGCCTGTCAAGCTAACGTGTTGCCCAGAGGACCGCCTTCACGTCCTCATCCAGGACAAGGACAACCAGGTCTACCAAGTCCCCGAATCCGTCTTCCCCCGTCCCGGCGGCTCCGTCTGGTCCCAGGCAAGCAACCTCAAATTCAGCTACACGGCCAACCCTTTTTCGTTCAAAGTCACCCGCGCCAAAACCGGCGAGGTCCTCTTTGACACCTCGGCCGCCTCTCTCGTCTTTGAGTCCCAGTACCTCCGCCTCCGGACAAGCCTGCCCGCGAACCCCAACCTGTACGGCTTGGGCGAGCATTCTGACCCTCTTCGCCTCAAGACGTCCAACTACATCCGCACGATGTGGAACCAGGACAGCTATGGCATTCCCAGCAATGCCAATCTCTACGGAACGCACCCCTTCTACCTGGAGCACCGTGCCACGGGCTCCCATGGCGTCTTCTTCCTCAATTCCAACGGCATGGACATCATGATCAACCAGGACGCTTCCGGCAACCAGTATCTTGAATACAATACCATCGGTGGCGTGTTCGACTTTTACTTTGTTGCTGGGCCTACTCCCGTGGCAGCGGTGCAGCAGTATGGTGAATTTGCTGGCTTCCCAACCATGCAGCCGTACTGGGGTCTCGGTTTCCACCAGTGCAGGTAAGACGGAAACACACATCATCCCAAATTGAAGAACAGTCAGCTCACATGAATTGCCCTCTCTCGCAGATATGGTTACCAAGATGCCTACAACGTCGCCGAAGTTGTCCAAAACTACAGCTTGGCGGGCATTCCCTTGGAGACCATGTGGACGGACATTGACTACATGGACCGCCGCCGCGTCTTTTCCGTCGACCCAGACCGTTTCCCCATGCCCATGATGCGTGAGCTCGTTGACCACCTGCACGCAAACGACCAGCACTACGTCGTCATGGTTGACCCAGCCGTCGCCTACCAAGACTATCCGCCTGCCAACCAGGGCCTCGAGGACAACGTGTTCCTGCTGAGGGCCAACGGCTCCGTCTGGATCGGCGTCGTCTGGCCCGGTGTCACCGTCTTCCCCGATTGGTTCTCCGCCAACGCCCAGTCGTACTGGAACGGCCAGTTCCAGACCTTTTTCAACGCCGAGACGGGCCTGGACATTGACGCTCTGTGGATCGACATGAACGAGCCCAGCAACTTCCCGTGCAACTTCCCCTGTGCCGACCCGTATGCCGCCGCCAAGGGCTATCCCCCGGCCCCACCGGCGGTCCGCGCGCCTCCTCGTCCGCTGCCCGGCTGGCCGTGCGATTTCCAGCCTGGCGGTTGCTCCAACAAGCGCGATAGCCAAGTTGAGCCTCTCCAAATCAACACGGGCAGCGGCAGTCCGCCCGTCAACGCCGTCAACGCGGCGGCGAGCAATGGGAACAGTGCAAGCAACCATGGCAAGGGTGATCAGAAGGGTCTTCCCGGCCGTGATCTGCTGTACCCCAAGTACGCCATCCACAACAAGGCCGCCTTCCAGGACTCGTGGAACGCTGACAAGGGTGGCATCTCCAACCACACCGTCAACACCGACCTCATCCACCAGAACGGCCTGGCCATGTACGACACCCACAACCTCTACGGCACCATGATGTCGACGGCCTCGCACGACGCCATGCTGTCTCGTCGACCGGGCCTCCGCCCCCTGGTCATCACGCGCAGCACCTTTGCCGGCGCGGGCTCCAAGGTCGGCCACTGGCTGGGAGACAACATGTCGCAGTGGAGCTACTACACCGTGTCCATCCGCACGATGCTGGCCTTTACCTCCTTGTTCCAGTTCGGCTTCGTGGGCTCCGACGTCTGCGGCTTCGGCGGCAACACCAACGAGGAGCTCTGCGCGCGCTGGGCCTCGCTGGGCGCCTTCAACACCTTCTACCGCAACCACAACGACCTTGGCAACGTTGGCCAGGAGTTCTACCGCTGGCCCTCGGTCGCCAGCAGCGCGAAGAAGGCCATTGACATTCGCTACCGCCTGCTGGACTACATCTACACAGCCCTGTACCGCCAGCATACCGACGGCACGCCGGCCGTGAGCCCCATGTTCTTCCACTACCCGAGCGACGCGGCCACCTGGGCCCTCGAGCTGCAGTACTTCTTCGGCCCCGGCATCATCGTCGCCCCCGTCACGCAGCAAGGGTCTACCAGCGTCAGCGTCTACCTCCCCGACGACATCTTTTACGACTGGTACACCCACGCGCGCATCGACGGCGGCGCCACCAACCACCTCATCAGCAACGTCGACATCACGTCCATCCCGCTCTTCATCCGCGGCGGCGTCATCCTGCCCCTGCGCGTCAAGTCCACCAACACCACCACCGAGCTCCGCAAGCAGAACTTTGAGCTTCAGATCGCCCTCGACGCCTCCGGATCCGCGACGGGCGAGCTGTACCTTGACGACGGCGTCTCCGTCAACCAAAAGGCCACCACCCACGTCACCTTTACCTACAAGAAGGGCATCTTCATCCTGGGCGGCCAGTTCAGCCTCCGAGTGCCCTTTGTCATTTCCAAGGTGACCATCATCGGCGGCAAGACTGCCTCTGCCAAGTCCAGCTCTGGAAGCGCAAACAGCCAGACTTTCAACGTCAACCTGCCGTTTAGCGGTCCTGCCTCTGTCAGAATCGGCTAGAGGTGCTTTTTTTCCTTTTAGGATGTCTTTCTGGTTTCACTCGCTTGGCATAACCTGCGGATATGGTGTTTTTTGTCCCCCCCTTTATGCCCAGCGGGCTTCATGTACATAAAGTATCAGTATCTTAGGAGCAGTAGAGTTTAGTGTATGAACAATTACGACTTTTGGATCAACTTTTCATTATTATTTTCATCTCACTGTGTCTTCCTGAGCCTGTAGCACATGTCGCTCATTGTGCTTTCGAACTGTTCTTCGTTCATACACAGTACCTAGGTAGGTAGGTGGTGTTGGTGGGTGTTGGTGGAAGTAGCAGTATGCCACGTATTCCTTGATGAGGACATCACCACCCCCATCATGTCCATGAAGAAAAGAAGTGAAAAGAAAACATCGTCACACACCAAAACAAAAGGAAAGACTCGCTGATCCGAACGAACTGGAGCGCTCTTACTCTACCATTCTAACCGATAGACGAAGCTTTGGAAAATCGCACATCTCTCCTCCTCCCTTTCCCTCCCCCTTTCAGTTCTGATTTTTTTCTCTCGTCATTTTATTCGGTTTGTATGCCTTTGTATCCTCCCCCTTCCCGCCCATCAATCTCGGATAGGGCCATGCCCCCTCTCCCTCCCGACGTCGTGTAAGAAAACGCTCCTTTGCCTGCTTTGGAAGAGCACTATTCAACAGTAGTAGCATGAGAAACACAGACTCCGTTTTTATCACCGTTTGATGCTTTCCCTACGGTTTCAAACCATACCAACGCCTCCCATGAGAAAAGCAGGACAAATAGAAAGAAAAAATAGGGGGGAAAATGGTACTAGGGCCAGTCAGAATTCAGATGGCGGAAATGAAACAGAAAAGAAAAACAAACGCCCATGGGCAGCAGTAACCTTTGGCCTTGAGAGTACACTATGATAGCAAAGATGAATGCAACGGGAATGACTGACGGGATGGAAGAGAAAAGGGACAACACAAGAACAATGAGATATGCAAACAAGGCTTCCGTATCGTGGCTTTCGTGAGTCATTCTCGGGTTTGTAGACGCAAAGGAAAGATGTCGTGTATACATGCACAGGGAGAGTTCTAATGGAGAGAGTCGGAAATGGCGTCGGCCATGTTAGGCTGGCGGAAGGAGGACATCTTCATCCTTCTGCCATTTCCATGTCGTCCGTCGACTTGACTTCCACGGCTTGGGTCTCATCCGCCGAAGACGCATTTTCCGCCAGAGAGGCATTGGACTCCTTGTGCTCCAGAGCTGGCTGAGAAGAACCAGCAACGCCATTATTCACGCTGCCGTTGCTGCCACCGGCGAGGACGCCGTTTGTGGCGCACAAACGATACTCGCCATCGCCCTTCAGCTCGATGATGCCCTCGTCAAGAGCCCACTCCGCCAGCAGCTTGTCGATGCCCAGCCGCTGGCCCTCGCCCTTCTCCATGTGCCGCCCAACGTGCTCTGTCCACTCGTCCCAAGACGTGGGCCCCTCGAAAAGGGCGTTGCACTCTTTCCGGGGACAGGCCGACTTCTGTGGAGGATGCCGCCTGGTAACTAGGCAGGACTGCTGCATGTCTTTGACGTGCGCATCCCATTCGGCCTGCAGCTTGCTGTCGCCTTTGGCAATGGTCCTCTTGATCTGGAACGGGGCGTGCATTCGGCGGAGATGCTGAGTGAAGAGATCCTTTCGGTTGAATTCATTGCCCTTGCCTTCTTGCGAGCTCTGCGGGCAAGCCGAACAGCAGTAGTACGTCAAGCAGAGGTGCTGGGAAGCGATGTGGCGCTTCCATTCATTCTTGGACCCAAAGGTGCTGGCGCAGCCGGCAAAGGAAAAGGCGCAGGGAAAAGGCCGGGTATGGGCTGCCGCAATGTGCTTCCGAAGAGACGAAGAATCTTTGAAAGGCGCATGAGTACAGTGATCACATCTAGTCTCCTGCTTGGGGAGGGACCGTCGCGGTGCCTTCATACGCAATGGGGTCGAGTCTAGTGCCATGGCATCGCCAACCCCAGAATCATTGACGTCGCGTGGAATGTTTGGCTCAATATGCCTCGACTCAGGAATGCCATCCGGAAGCGTTGTTCGGTGCCGCACGGGGGGAGGCGCAGCGGCAGCGGCAGCGGCAGCAGCAGCAGCTGGGGGAGCTGGAACGGGGGCAGCCGGAGGGCCATCATCACTTCTAGGTCGAACATGACTGAGGGCCTTGAGCTGCTCTGCGGCTTCTTGCATCTCTGCGGAATCTTCCACCTCGTCCTTTGGCTTGATGGGAGCGATGGCTCGAGGGGGCGCTGGAGTGTAGGTCGCTCCGGACGGACTACTTTGCGACCTGTACTCGAGGCCGTCTCGAGCTGCCGCGTGCAGATACGGATCGGGATCCCGCCGAGCCCGCGAAGGCGTTCCCGCCGCCAGCTCCCTGGCTTCCAGCAGGATACGGCCGTCCTCTACTTCTTTGGCAGAGGGGCGGATACCGGCAGGCCCAACCAGCTTTTCATACAGATGAATCATGTTGTGAGAGCTAATGTAGCCCAAGAAGCAGCAGACCTTATCGTGCTGGACGACATTCCATATGGAGTGGGGCATGGAGATGAGAAGCATTGTGGGCGGGCCAAGGAACATGCCCTCGACGGCGATGGTGGCGCCCAGGGTCGGCTTGTTCTGTAGCCACTGGTGAAAGTAAGACATGTCCGGGCTCGCATCCCCGACAAATGTTGTGCAGACCAATATCCGGGGCTCTTCGAATCTGATGTCAGCTACGGAATCCGGGTCGATGAGATGGTCTTCACGTGCGCGACTACTCTGCCCATCCGGCGCATCTACGCCATTCAGGGGAGGCAGGGGCGTCCTGCCGACCATGGACGCCAGCATCAAGTTTTGCCCCTTGCCGGGAGTCAGGGTGAAGAATATGGGCATGACGGGCGAGGCGGAAGCCGTTGCGCTACTTGCGGGAGTTGGGCTCTTGACACGCTGCTGCTGCTTCAGGGCACGGGTCTCGTCGTAAAGCCGCTGGACGTTGAAAGGCTGCTGTCCCGCGCTCAGCTTGCGAAGCGCTTCCACCAGAAAGGAGCTGAATGAGCGCTGGCCAGGTTCCTGTCGGAGCTTGTGCTCTCGGGAGCATGCCGCAATGGCCTGCTTCACACCGTGGCTACCCGCAGCTGCGGGTTCGGGGTCGGCACATGTATCGAGAAGCAGGAGAATGTCGGACTGGGCATCTTCGAACAAGCACCGCACACCATCCCATTTGAGTTTGGCAGCATCCTCGCGCGCATTGCTAGACGGACAAGTGATTAGAGATTATGACGATGACGATGGCGACACGCATGGTGTAGTGAAGCAGTGATGCAGAGGCAGAGAGGTAGGTAGAGAGAGAGGCAGGGGATGGCGAGGGCCCAAGGATGAAACTCACCAGGCCCAATACAGCTGGCCATCGGGACCGGCATATCCGTGGCCAGCGTAGTATATAATGAGGAGGTGGTTGGGCCTTGCGTTTTCGAGAAAGGACGCCATTTGGACGCCGAGCTTGATGCTTGGGTTTGGGACGGTGGGGATCTGCCAGCGCTGCGTGGTGAAGCCGTACTGCTTCTGCATGACCTGCTCTACCGCGGCAACGTCCTCGTCCACTGTACGATCCTCTTCCCAGCTCAGCAGCAGGACGGAGACGTCGCTGTGAGGCGGGCGCTCCGTCTGGCGCTGTATCAGCATGGCCGCATCCTGCAGATGACGCGCAAAGGCCTCGAAGTCTTGTCGTTCGGCAACCGGGGCATCGTGTACGGGGTAAGGCTGTTGCTGTGGCGGCTGGAAATGGGCGACGATCTGTTAGCAACGAATTACGAGAACAGTGTAGTGAGGGCGAAGAAGGCGATGGGAAGGGAGGCGGATGGAAGAGAGATGGTAGCAAACAGGTAGTCGAGAGGTTGGGGGGAGAGACGCAAGGCTAACCGTTTCGTGGGAATACTGCGCAGCAGGCTGAGGGTTGGGAGCCACAGAGGTGTTGACCTTGGGAGCCAGCTTCCGCTTTTTACTGGACGGTTCCATCGACGGGCTCGGCGGCGACAAGAAGAAGAAGAGAAGAGGAAAGGCGACGTGGGACGGCGAGAGACGAGGCGAGACGAGGCGAGACGGCTGTTGTGGTAGCAGGTTTTTTCTTCTTCTTTCTTTTGGAGAGGCACGGATCGACTGAGGCTGGGCGAGGCCAGGCGGAGCAGTCGGCAGCTTTTCGAACCAGACGCCGGAATTGATGCAGCGAGGACGTGCAGAGCAGAGCAGAGCAGAGCAGAGCGTCGGAGGCGGCGAGAGAGAAGCGGCACGCGGCAATTGGGGCGGATTCGAGGCTGGGAGTGAGGAAGCAGGAGCAGGAGCAGGAGCAGGAACAGGAGCAAAACGACGGCCGGCTGGGAGAAGCAGTTTGAGAGAATGAAGGTGAGACAGCAAAGGAGCGAGAAGAGGGTAAGGCTGGGTGTTTTGGGGGGGGGAGGGGAGGTCAGGTTGTGGTTCAAGGCTCTGGGCTGGCGGCGAGGCTGTAAATCGTCAGTGCAGTGGCTGCCAGTTAATCGAGAGGCGGGCGGGTCCCTGTGCCGTACCGGTACTGGCACTGGCACTGGCACTGGCACTGGTACTCTGTAGGCGCTGCGAGATGCGCTACCGAGGGCGGTACCGGGTCCAGCCCAGCCCAGCCCAGCCCAGCCTGAGCGCATCCATTGAGCCCCAGTCCACTGGCCGACGGCTTCCGGCGCTGGGGGCGCTCAGGGAAGGGCAAGCCGCTATATTTTAGTTGGCGGGCCGCCTGGCTGTGCAGGCCCCCGGCGGCGCTGCCATTGGCCGGTAGGCGAGGTTTGACGGAGACTGCTGAGAGAGCCTTTCAGTCCACAGACAGACGGCTGGAGCTCTTTTCATTAGGTCCAGTCAGTCCCCAGTGGATTTGATTTGATCGCTTCCAGTGCTTCGATTTGATTGATTTGACTTGATTTGAGGCTACTGATTGCCACGATTTGATCTGCTGTTCTGCTGTGGCGGCAATTGGCCTGTGCCAGTCCCAGCCTAAACTGACAGTTGAGGTCATTGATCGTGCCTATCGAGGGCCGGTGCGGTGGCGGCCTCAGGTAGGTACATGTAGCGTTGATGACATCCGACATTGATGACATGATCCATCATTGGCTGGACGGCATTGCATGTCACAGGCACAAAATAGCCGGGAGGCACTTGTACGAGTACACGCATGTACCATCGCGCAGTTCGGCACATGCACCAGTACAGCGCGACTGGACAAGGACGGGAGAGAGGAGAGGGGGCCGTTTATTTGGATGAAACGACACAGGGCAAGGGGTGCAGAAGCTCGCGGGTTTTTATTTTTATTTTTATTTTATTTTAATCCGCCAAGGGTCGGGTGCGTGATGCTGCTCTTCTGGGCACCTCGTTTGCCCTTTTTTAAACTGTCTTTGCGGCTTGGGCAAATACAAAAGAGTATTACTCGTCAAGTATACCTGTATGTATGGTGCATACATGCATGCATCTGGTGCAACACACACGTACACGAGGGTGCTTTGCTTTGTGCACGTTGATACAGCTCTCTTGGTGTAGTACCGTTCAGGTAGATGTGCATGTAGGCCTGCTGTATCGTGATTGTTGCAGATGCTTCCGTTGTACCTCTTACCGCCGCAGAGTGAGCTTGTGAGCATCAAGCAGACAAGGCTCGCTCCATCTAGTAGATTCGTACATGTACCTAATACTCAGGTAGTCAATAGCGCCCATATTCCTTCAATATATTGAATCAATGGTCACATAATGATATGGATCACTCCGCAAAGCCGTTACTGCATGTACTAGGGACGGGCTGTTGGTTGCTTCACGCCTCTCAGGTGATTGAATGGCTCATCCACTCTCTCTCTCTCTCTCGACGTTTGACCCTTGCCTTGCAGCTCAACAAAGCCATAGTCCTGATCCTTGACCGGCAGGATGAGCAACGTTCGAGACATGCAATGCAATCGACGTATTCCTGCCCAACCAACCACTGGCTGCCCTGTACGAGTACATGTACTAAACTTGAAGGGTGCCCCTTCACGGCAATACGCAGCTTTGCACCCCGACTCCGAAGGATGCCCGGCCCAGCGGTAATACGATACGGGCATGTGCCCTGAAAATACATGTGCAAGTCGGGATTGATGTCTGGCATTATACTGTGATCCATTGGAATTGAAAGATCCCATGATTGCAGCCGCCTTGTGCCCTAAACTCACCTCACCAGACGTCAACAACCACCTCGACCTTGTCCATCCCAATCTCGTCTCGCGCAAGGGACCGGCAAACATCAACTGTCAAGTCGCTACCTGACATGTCATGTTGAACGCACGTCTGTACGTGTACCTACTTGCACTGATTCCTTCAACAGTACGAGTACACGGTGGTCCGACCTCGCATACCTACAGTACTTGGATGTACATACATGCATGCACGCACATGCACAAATCGAACCAGACGTGTGCCCTTGTTTCCAAACCCAAGCTTTGGAATTTCTTCAGCAGCAAGGCCCGGTTCCCAGGACCGCAGCCCCGGGCACCCGCGCCAACGCCACGCCACTTCGAATCCCGTCCCTCCCTCGTCATACCAACGAGCACTCGTACATGTTCTGTACTGTACTGGACTGGCAGTAACTCGTAGACGCAGCTGACTCGACTCGGCTTAGACCACGCAGCAGCGGATTGTCTCCGCGTGTGGGCTGACGCGTTGCCTGAGAGGGCTGGCTTGATTCGCCATGTGCCCCAGGGCTCTGCTCTCTCGTCCTTTCTAGCCTCGACACATCAGCCCCAGGCGAATCACCTCGCAGCCTCGCCCGAACAACCCCAAAGGCCATGGACCCAGAGGGAACCAGGCCCGTCTGATTGGCGCCCCCTCGCCTGGGCTAGCGGCCTGCCGAAACTCGCTGCCAATTTACCGTTTCGACGTCGCGTCCTGCTTCTAGGCTGTGCCGGGCATAGCTCGCATGGGGTAACAACAAGGTGGCGGCATCAGGGTGTGTCTTGTCTCGGAAGCCGTGAGGCCGTGGGCGAGGCGAGGCGAGGCGAGGCAAGGCAAGGCTCACCCTCACCGTCTGGGTTGATGTGGTTTGCTCTTCATCTCCAATTGATTGATTGATTGATTGATTCCGTGAGCCGAGTCGTCGTTTTTCTTGGGTGGCTCCATCCAACAACGCCTTCGTCCCGTCCGTCCGTCCGTCTGCCGTGCCTGGAGCCAGTGGCGACTTATTGGAATCCAATTCAGCACGACCAGGTACTTGGGAAAAGCTGCAGAAGCTCGGTGCTGTCCGTGGCGTGGCCTCTTGGTTCCTCATCCGCGGCTGAACAGTGCCATCGCTTAACGCCTTGGCTCTCTCGTCCGTCTGTTTGAAGCACAAGTGCTGCTGCTAGTGTCATCCATCAATTCACATGTACACGGCGTCCATCCGTGTATGTACGCGAGCGAGGCCTGTGAGCAACTTGCGGGCACTCGTTTCTGCAGGTGAGTACATTTATCCTCCCAGGATATGGATGTTCTTGTCTCTTTGGGGATGCTACCGTACGAGCACTCGTACATCATCACTCAGCACCTATTGCACGAGTCCTATGCACGTCATTGGATCGTCCCCGGCAAATGGGGTTTCTGCCGTGCCGCCTGAAACCACACACGGGTCTGCGTCCACGACAGAGACGCTGCCGCCTATCATTCGCCGTGCTGCTGCTCACTTGCTTGGCGGCGCTTGCTTCAGCTTATCAACAATATTTGATATCAATATCCTGTACACATATGGAGTACCTACTAATCTCACGGCAGAGAGCTACCTAGTGAGAATTGTGCTCAAAGCCATGAATACATGTACCTTATTACACATACATGGACCTGGCCCGCGGGACGGCACACATGCCCTGGCTCGATGCAATCCGGACAAAACCCGCCGCACAGCTCAGCTTGCCCTGGGTTTCGTTTGATTGCCTCTGAAGCGCCACAGAGTCGGATTGCGCCTGATTCGTGCGGAGGATTCAGGTTTTTACCACATGTAGCTATGGCCTTTGCGGCTGTTGGTATCACCGCAGCTGGCATTGAACCGCCGATGAGGCATTCATGGCACACGGAATGGACTGGAGAAAAGGGGATTGCTCCCGTTACTCGATACATCATATGTACATGTAGATACGATGACCACGCACACAGCAGCCTCGTAGCTCCCATCTACACGTACGTAGTGGTGCTGTGCACTTCATCTCTCAGCCTTGATCCTATTGATAGGTGCACCTCACACATTGCCCCCATTTTTCGTACACACACTGGGTGATCTATCCTAGTATATGAAATCCTTTGGCGTTGTCGACTCATGATGAACACTTTACACGTATGCAAGGCAGCTCACCGACATGCTACAGTACAGGTACGAAAGGGCTGAGGTGCCCGGCAGGGCAGAGATGAATAGGAGTGTCAGCCAAGTCGGCCTTTCAGCCAATGCAATGCACATGCTGCATGTACAGATATGCAGCTCCATCTACTACCTGTAGCACCTTGAAGCTCCAGGCGGCGTAGCCACAAATATACTCAAGACTCCGGGGGCATTACGAGACTTGATTGCATACGCTCGTTTCTTTTTGTCTTCTTCTTTGCCTGATATAGAAACGCTCTCATCAGGGCATTTTGGGATTTTATTGTACATACTGTACATGTACTCCAGAATCGTATACGAGGTGTGATAGGTTGTACAGCGAGGCTGAGTCCGCGGAAGACGGGGGTGGTTCAGGTCTCCCAGAGAAGCGTGGCAATGCAAACAACAACACGCCGCCGAATCAGGAGCCGTAGAACGCCTTTCAAAAATTCATACCTACCTGTGGTTAAAGATCATCTCGCGACTCTCCCATTTTGGTAACACGTCCAGTACATCTGCCGTGACGAAAGTGGGAGCTTCCACCAGAGCTCATGGGTGCTAATCCCGTCAAAGAAACAAGAAACTTGCCACCGCGCCTGCGAATTGCTAGCGGCTACGCGTAATTGACTTTGACTTGATCGTCAGCCACAGGTTTTTAACGTTGCAGCCACATTCTATTTTTGTCTTGCGCGTCTCGTTCTTTGTTTCTGTCGTGCAACCAAGTGCCAGGCTCGTTACATGCTCTCGTACATACATGTACCCATGATTTGAAGTGATCAGCTCCCATCTACAACCTCATCAGCAATGCTTGCTGCAGGTCCACGTACGGATTACACATTCATTCATTCATTTGCTGTAGGTACGAGTGCGGTAGCGATTCCATATACGTGGCGTGCCGTACAAGACAAACCGTCTGCGCCTCGAGCCGCCAGCGCTAGAGAAGCGAAGTCATCCATCCAATACTCACCCTTGCCCTCACCCTCACCGATTCTTCGCCTCTTCAACTCAGCTGTCCGGAATGAAATCAAATCAGATGAATGTCCTCCTACGAGGCCTCATGCTCATCACGTCGACAGGTGGCGAGGGAACTCGCAGTCACATTGAATACGAAATCCTGACGTAAAGGCGCTAACATGCATGTGCTTTTGCCAACGCTCACCTCTATATTGACTTTGGGCCAAGCTGGCGATGCCGTCTTATGTAAGTCGCCATGATGGAATAAACATGCGATGCGGCAGGGAATCAGATTCTCATCCCTAGTACGAGTCGAGTACGAGTGCTCGTAGCCGTGAACCCTTATGGAATACTGTACGGGGCGCAGTCGGTCTGAGAGAGCGATGTGTGTAATCTTTCGATCCTCCTGACAAAGGGCTTTCTCAGCTTACCACTTTGTGCCAACGGGAGACGTATGTACCGTTGACCTCGATATCGGAATCTTACAGTACACCGGCTGAGAGCGAGGTATTGCCCTCTTATCTAACCCATCCTCTGGGCGTTGATTTGGTCCATCTGATCGTAAATACACTCTGGCGATGGTCACCTTGAAATACCTTCAACACGCTGTTCCCATTTGGTATCATGATGTGCAGCCATCACGTGGCTTGGATTCCATCCTCATCCAGTCATATCAACCAGCGTCTCACATTCTCTGTCCCCCCGCCAGGCACCCTTGGGATTAATGCCAACCTGCACAGCCCCCAAAGGCTGGAAAAACTTCAATCCCCACGAAACAAAGCACCCACACGGACAAGGGGGGGTTCGTTAGCGTTGTCTCTAGAGAGAAACAGAAGGAAGATGGGATTTTTGAACAAGGACAAAGAACGAGGGTTCCCAGATCGAAATGGACACGGAGAAGCTGTATCTGTAATGATGCCAGAGGGCTTCCAAAGATGAGAGAGAGAGACAGAGAGTGAAATCACATGTATAGAGTACTGTATCGTCATATCGTATCGTGTTGCAGCCGTCACACCCGGCCTCCTCGTGACGGCAACAAGTGAGACTTGGCAACCGGCGTCGTTTTTTTTTTTTCGCAGCTTCTTGGCTCTCAGCCATTCTCCCGGCCGGCTTCTCTCGCTTATTACATACCTTCCGAAGCATAACAAGAAAAACAAGAAAAACAAGAAATAAAAAGAAAGAAGAAGAAGAAGCAAAAGACCGCATCTCCATTTGCCGTTTATCCCTCTCCTCTTGCAACCAAACGGCAGCTTCGGTACTTGAAGCTTCGCGTATCCCGGGAAGCCCGTTCCTGACCAGCGCACCGGATCATCCCTCAGCAGCGCATGCAAAGCAGAAAAGCCGTTCGTCCATGCTTCGGGCGCTGTAGCTCCACGTCTATAGCGCTTCTGTAGCGGCCCACAGCACCCTGTGACGTTGCTTAGCGGTTCTTCGGCTGCGCCTCTCGCCCCATCGCCTCACCCCTCCGCTTCCATGGATGCTTCAAGCTAGCATTTGAGCCCTTGACTTGGGCTTGGGCATGTCCGGCCGATTGCGTCACGGCACACTTTTGGGGAGTAATGATAAATGATTGCTGTCATTCATCATGACTGCCTGAGGTTCCATGTTTGCATGTGCCCTCTTCGATTCTTACACCTTACACGTACCTTGTCTTTGTCGTATCTTACTGTACCTACCTATCGTTCTAATTCTGTTCTTGCATTCTTCACCTGACAAAGCCGTCATCACCGACCGCGCGACATTTGGACATTTGCCAACCCAGCGCATCCGAATCTGCGACTGCGACTGACTGCGACTTTGGTTTGGCTGCGAATCAGCACCAAAGAATTTAGGAGGCGGTACTGGATATTTGATTGGTCGCATTCCAAGAAACGTTGGTTCCTCTTTGATAAGACGCTTAAAGCGCAAAATCTCGACCCGAACAAGCAGCATCGCTCTCTCTCACATCACATCGCGACAACCTCCATTCTCCGATCCGATCCGAATCTACGCATCTCAGAGCCCGACTGTTTCGCATCGGCAATGATGGACTCGTACGGAGTCCGGAGGTCGGACACCACCAAAGGGCCCCCTCTGCGCATTCTCTCTCTCGGTATGATGATCCACCCATCCTTCATTTTTTCATGTCGTCGAATAGCTTTGCTAATGCCCAACTCGCACAGACGGAGGAGGCGTTCGCGGTTACTCCATGCTCATCATCATCCAGGAACTCATGCACCGCGCATTTGTCGACATCGAAGGCCGCGCGCCTCGCAGGCATGAAATCCCAAAACCCTGCGATCATTTCGACCTGATTGTCGGCACGGGCACGGGCGGGCTGATCGCAATCATGCTGGGCCGGCTGCGTCTGGACTTGGAGACGTGCAAGGAGCTGTACGTTCGCATGACCAAGATGGTGTTCGAGACCGACAAGACGATTGCCGGCATCCCATACCGATCTACGCTTTTCAAGGCCAGCAGGCTGGAAGACGCCATCAAGCAGGGAGTTTGGGAGCACACCGTGTACCACAAGGAGGGCAACGACGCCGAGACGGAAGTGGTCAACCCGCTTGATTCGTCCCGCCGGTCGTCGGGGTCTCCAAAGCGGCATTCTAGCAACGCCAGCACCATCAGCTTCAGTGCACGCGGTCCTTCCAGCCATGTCTCCACGCGGCCGTCCGGCCATTTGAAATTCGGGAATGGAAATGCAAGATTATATGATGCGAGAGAGAATAGGACCAAGACGTAAGAGCCAAGTTTCCTGCCCATTGTTTTTGCGCATACATGGCTGACTTGATAAACGACCTAGTGCCGTGACTGCAATGTACAAAGGATCCGGACGAGGGACGCCCCCCGTCCTGTTACGGTCCTACGATTCGCGCAAAGAGCCACCGCCGGAATTCGACTGCAAGATCTGGCAGGCCGGACGGGCAACTTGCTCTATTGGCCTTGCTTTTAAACCCGTCCAGATTGGTCAGTCCGTCTTCCACGATGACGGAGCCGGCACCTTCAACCCCTCCCCCGAGGCTCTGGACGAGGCCGTCATCAACGAGTGGCCAGGACGAGAGGTCGGGGTGTTTGTCAGTGTCGGCACCGGAAGACGCCCTCGTGGAAGCGATGGAAACCAGCAGGTGTGGTACGAAGGCTTCTTGGGCGAGTTCGCCGAGGCGCGGAGGAAGATGATTTCCAAGATCGAAGGCTGCGAGAAGATTCACGAGTACATGCTCCACGAGCACCTGGCGAAGCGCGGAGTCAATGTCGAAAACTACTACCGCCTCAACGTCGAAGTGGGAGTCGGCGAGTTTGGAATGAACGAGTGGAACCGGCTGAGCGACATCAGCACCGGCACTCGACGATACATGTCCCGCCCAGACGAGCAGCAGATGATCCACGGCATCTCGACCAGGCTGGCCAAGATTCACAGGGCAAAGGTACGGTGGGAACAGCGAAACAACGCCACCGTGCCCGAGCTGGTCAAGTCGACGTCGGAGAACAACTTTGAGCAGCCTTTTGCCGTGGAGCTTCCCGGCGACTCCCCGGTTGGCTTCCTCTCCCACAGCCCGCAGAGCCCCCCGAGTCGGTCGTCTTTCGAATCAGGGGCCGACAGTCTACACCTGCAGGCAAATGCCTTGTCCTCCCCCAGAGTCTCTGGCGACCACATCCGGCCAAGCACCGGACATTCACGCTACGGCAGAACCGTCAGTCCCGCATCTGAGAAGGAGACTGTGGACATGTCGCCGGCGCCGAGCCAGTACAGGGTCGCGTATTCCGACGATCCGATTGCCATTACGAGCCCCGACGAAGAATCCAAGTATCAGCTGCCCGCAGTGCCTCCCAAGGGGTACTCTCGAATCGAGCCGCTGTCGATACCCTCCAAGATGGCGCCGCCTCTGCCACCCAAGACCCCCTTGTCCGAGTACGGCCATCGACCGCGAGATTCGGAGACGTCGATTCCACCTTATCCCGTCGATGACGACGAATGCCCGCCCCCGGTCAACATGGCACGGAAGCCGGATTATCTACAGTATTAGTGGGCGAGGAGCAAGGGAGGAAATTACGGCGGTATGGATGACGATTTGTGATACGATGATGCCATGATTTCTTTCGTCTTCTTCTTCTTCTTCTTCTTCTTCTTCTTCTTCTTCTTCTTCTTCTTCTTCATTGTCTATATTTTTTTTTCTATTCACTTTTCTGGGAGGACGAGGAGCAAGGGTTGGATCTTTTGCTTGTTCTTCACGACTAACATGTTGCTTTTGATCGATACCACGGACGGCGGCGGCTCAAAAACAGTTGCTCTTTTTTGGGAATATGAGATGTGACTGCGGAGGGAGGGAGAGGCGGGCAAGCGGGATATAAAATGGGTGGCCAGTGAGGATCTGGCATGGTGTACACCCGGTGGCTTGCCGTGATCCACGGAGCTGCAAGGGAAAGGCAAAACATTTTGTGACGGATGGGAAAATGATGTGTTGCTTGGATCAGATCGACGAGTCAGCAGTAGTAAGACGGGGCATGTTCATGTTTCTGTTCCGTATTGGACGCCACTTATTAGATGCATGTACTCTAAATTTAGATGGGGGGGCACTTTTTCGCCTTTTTGCCCTCGCATAGTATTCAATATTCTTGACATGTTATTTTGCTATCTTCTCTGATTTGTCCAAGTAGGTGAGGTGGTTCTCATGTCTTTGTTGGTGGTTGACTATGTGAATATGGCGAGATGCTACAGATCTCTGGCATGTGATTTGTCTGGAATGAGTACGTTTGGTGTTTGATTCCGCATACAACACGCATTTAATGGCACTTGGCGTGGTTGACAGGATGGATGAATCCTTTTACTGTAAAGGGCTTTGAAAAGGGCTGCCTGCTCGGAGGCCCATGAACGCGACCAAAAGGGGTCCATCCAGGGTGGCTCACGGCAGGATTGTTACCATGTCGATCTGGCGTGTAGCTTATCGAGGCTATGCTTGCTTTGGCTCTGGCTTTCTTACGTGCGTGAATTTGAGAATCATCTACCTAGGTAGATGGACAGAGCAAGACAGACACGACCATCGGCCGCGCGCCGGTGCTCACGTTAATGTCCGACACGATGCAGGTGCAGGGGCATCTGCCCCATCACCGCCGGTTAGCCGCAAACATGGCCATCAAGGCTAGGGGCAATTCGTGCACCGAGTGTCGACGCCGCAAGCAAAAGGTTAGTAGATGCAAAGTGTTGCTGCTGCTGCTGCTGTTGCTGCTGCCCAGAGCTTTTTTTTTTTTTCCGGGGGGGGGAGCGGTTTTCCATTTTGCATTTCCCGCGGCGCCAGCAGTCCTTAGATATAAGTTCAAAGTCCGAACCCCCTGCGGTTGGAGCTGGCAGGGACGGGCATGTTCCGAATCCTCGTCACCGACCAGTAGCACATGGGCAGCGTGAGAGCGACCGCAAATCCTCTCTAAACCCGGTGTGGTGGTTGTCTGTTTTAGAAGGAGAAAAGGGAAAAAGAAGAGATGATGATCAAGACGAAGAACAAGAGAAGAGAAAAACAAACTGACTCGAGCGTGGCTTGTAGTGCGACCAAGGCCGACCGTGTAGCAACTGCGTCCGTCGATTCCCACAGCCGACGTGCGAATATAACATCAAACGAAGCAACAAGAGGTTAGTATTTGCTTCCCGCCTCCCATCAAACCACAACCAAACCACAACGACAACCGATCCCTCTCCACTCGTCTGCCACCATCCCACGTCCCTCCCACCCTTATCCATCTCCTTGGGGGGGCCAGACAGGACAGGGACTTCGGAGGACAGCTCCTGTGGGGAATGGACAGACTACGGCTTCAGCTCCCCCACAAGGCCGAACAGCCCAACCCACTCCCCTGGTTTGGAGCTTCGCCGGCAGATGCCTCGAGTCTCTCTCCCAATCGGGTGCCAATGCACGCACCCAGACAGAAAAGGGAAGAGAGAGAAAAGACCGGGGAAGAAGGACATGGGAAGAGGCGGGAAAAAAGAAAGGAAGGGGGGAGGAAATTGGCTTATAATGCCGTTTGCCTCTTACAGCACACTGACGCACGCGCACTACTGCCCGGTCTTGTCTTTTTCAAAAGGTTTAGAACGATAAGCTGACATCACCGCCAAATTCTCATAGGCCTGCGAGTGCCGGATCTCCAGGGAGCACCTCGAAAAACGTCAAGGTTGTGCTGGAAGGAGGCTACGCCCATCTCAACCTGTCCGACATCCAGGATGCCATTCTCCAGGTCGAGGGCGTCGTCGCCGCCAGCGGCATTGCGGACGGGCTCTCGGCTGCGCCGGTAGTTGCCCAAGGCGAGGTGGTTTCTCGCTCTTCGCACGACCAGGATGCCTCTTCTTCGCACAGGTCGTCGTCGGCCTCGGACCCGTTCCGCGTCGTAGTCACGGACGAGACGGGCACGCTCAAGCCAAAGTCTGTCTTTGCCATGCTGCGCCTAATCCTGCAGGCTCGCTTGAAGGTCACTAACCGCATCGTCAACGACGAATGGAGCATCGACGGCCCTCAACTCATGCGCGCCTTACAGCAGGCTGCTCAACCGCCCGTCATGATTGGAGGCTTGGACGATCAACTGCGGAACCTGCCTATGGAGCCAACCAGGTTAAACATTGAGCTCGTCCGAATACGTACGTGACAAAATTCCCATCCCATCCCATCGCCTCCCCTCCCCTCCCCCCTCGTCTCTTTCCTATTATCGTAAGTATGTGCATGCATGCGCGTGTGCATGGAGTGATAGAAAATCGCCTTTGATTCCTCGTCAGGGTGGCGCAAAGACGAGCATTGCTGCTAGTGCTGTCTTGAAGCGTGCTGCATTTTCAAAGAGCTTGGTAGGGGGGCCGCCAGCCAGCTTAGAGTCGAGCAGGGGGGGAAGCAAGGTAATGAAATTCTGGCCACTAACACTAACACGTATCTTGTCCTTCACAGATCTCCAACTTCTATCTCGCTTCAAGGCTTCCATAGACGGAAACCCGGATCCTGAAAGTCGATTTATGAAACACTGGGTTCCGCTGTCCATCAAGGACCCTCTTCTGCTTCAGATAGTGCTCTACACGGCGGTATGCTTCCTCAAGGAGACGGGCCGAGTGCCCAAGATGCTCGTCTGGGCCTACAAAGGCGTCGTTCACCGTATGCTCAACGAGCACCTAAGCTCGACTAGGACGCAGACCGGCGATGCCGCCATCATGGGAGCCGCCCAGATGGTCATGGACTCCTGGTACTGGGGCACCACTGAAGAACTGCGTGCCCACATGGCGGGCCTCAAGACCATGATTAGAATGAGGGGCGGTCTCCAGGACCTTGGGATGGGTGGTTTCTTAGCCAAAACCGTGCTCATGTGAGTGTTGCCCTCCCGCTAGTTGTTGTAGTACCATCATGGCCCTTTTCCCCCGTTGCATACCATACCCACCCCCTTGATTTCTGAAAGCGTGGCCTGTCAGTCGCCGTGCTACTTGCTGCATGTGCGAGAGCTAACGTGCAGTTTCATCTCGTCTCCCGTCTCTCCCCCGTCGTTCCATTTTCACTGCTACGTAGCCATTGAGCCTGTCCTCTTTGGTTGATTTCTTTGTTTTTGTGGTGCTAACTATTCAAACCCCATCTAGTCACGATATTGCCATTGCCATTGCTCATGATATCGAGCCTGACATTTACGGTCAGGGTGAATTTGAATTTCGTGATGATTTCATGGTCCCCTATCAAACCGCCTTCAACTCCCCCTTTTTATCTGGCTGGCCACACTTTGTCGACCCGGGATCGGCATTGAAGCTTCATCGAAGCTCTGCCCAGATCCTGGACGACGTAAGACTCATTATCCAAACCGTGCAATCCTTGCCTCCATCGCCAACCGCGCAAGACCTGCAGAATGTGACAGACGCGGCCCTGTGGGCGCTAAACAGGCTGGATCGGATGCCGGAGAACATCCCACTCTACGAGGAAGAGGAGGCGACGGGGCATCCGGCCGACGAGGGTGACGACTGCATGTGGGAGACTACCGGATACGAGGGGGCGGGGACTTCCCCAGCGAGCAGCTCCGACTACGACACATCCTCGCCAAGGAGCCACGATGCCGCGTCCTCCAACGGCTCGCCGCCCGCCCCCGTGGAAGAGAGCGCGAGTGCTCGCCTGGCCAGGACCAAGAATGACGCCATGTATCGCTGCATCCGTGTGACTGCCTCGGTCTACTACCGCGCCATCATTGCTCGAGTCCCCACCACCGAGATCCTGGGAGAGACTGATTTCTTGAAGCTCTGGGAGCTGGTGTGGGAGGTGACGGTGCCCTTTTGGAAGACGGCCGTCGGCGTCTTCATCTGGGTCATGGCGGCGGCCGTGCCGAGCTGCCACAATTCGCCGCCTGCACGATTCATCAAGACTTTGTCCGTCGTCGGCTGGATGACGATTGGGCTGGAAAACTGGCACGTCGCCATCAACGCGGCAAATACTGCCCTGAGCCTGCAGCGCTGGCTGCGGGGAGGGCACGTCCAGCAGGGAGGCATGGTGTACGAGAGAGGGCCTCTTGGGGGAGAGATTGTGGTGGAGAAGCATGGGTTTATTCTGCGTGAGGCGAGCATCCCGGAAGTGGTTGCCAACGTACGGTGCAACGACGATCATGAGCTGATTGAATAGATCGGAGCCGCTCTTCGACTGGGGCCTTTGATGGAGGGTAGTATCTTCTGGTGTATCATCATGCAGTGGCGCACTGAGAGAGGACGACTGAACGATTTGATCTCCGCGGTAAGAGGAGGCGTGATATATATATATGCATGTGCTCCATGCAGGAGTTTTCCTTTGATATTCGAAGCATGCGGCTGCTCCCGGCGGGTTTCCAATCGGCACGCAAGGTGGCCAATGATTGGAAGCGACTCGACTTACACGGAAGTGGTGTGGCCAGATTTGCATACCGAGTTGCGAGTTTGTTTCGGGACTAGGATGGTACAGGGGCTGAATGCATCACGGTGGTGGGGGGAAACGGGCAAGCGGGACGACTTTACCCAACGGCCTCTGACGCGAACCAGCTTGATTTTCTTTTTATTTTGGAGTGGTGAATTACTATTTTCGGGGACCATCTTCATAGGCGATGTGTTTGTTTTCTTCGGGGTTAACCTCGTGAGGCCAGTTTTTTGGGGTTACAAAAAAACAACAAGAGAGGTGGATATGTCGGGAGTAAAGGGGGGGGGGAACAAATCTGGCGAATCAAGGTTTTCTGCTGCTGGGATCTATCTACCTTGCCTTCTTAGGTGGAAACACAGTATCGAGGGGGGTTGTTACTATTACTATTATTATTAGTTGTTGGTGTTTTTTTTAACCTAGTTTTAATGCAAGCAATACGAACATTCTAATGAGCTGTTGAGACAGAAAAACAACTTGTTGATTTGATAATTCCATCCATGACGTCGTTCTTTTATGGTACAAATAAGAAACCAGCAAAATATCAAACAGTGAATGGTATTATTTCCCACACAATATCATGTGGATCTCTTTATAGACCAGACCACCAGTACGACTCCTCCACTGTAAACGACGCCTTGAGCGCAACCCCGTCCGTCACGACACTGCTGTCACTAACAATGATTTCGTACTCGCCCCTTTCGACACACCACTCGCCGCGTTCCTCGTCGTAGTACGAGGCCAGGTACTTTTCCTGCTCGGCAATCGTCACCGTCTTGGTCTCGCCGGGCTGCAGGTCGACCTTTGCGAAGCCCTTGAGCTCCTTGACGGGGCGGTTGATCTTGGCGGGCTGCAGGGGCCGGACGTACAGCTGGGCGACCTGCGCGCCGGGGACGGAGCCCGTGTTTGTGACGGCGAGCGAGACGCTGAGCTTGTCGCCGTCGGCAGCGCGGGAGACGGCCAGCTTGGAAAAGGCAAAGGTTGTGTAGGAGAGGCCGTGGCCAAAGGGGAAGTTGACGTCCCTGTCGGCGAACTCGTAGTAGCGGTAGCCGACGTAGACGTCCTCGCCGTAGAGGGTGCGGCCGGCCTCGGTGCGGTAGTTGAGGAAGGCCGGGTTGTCCCGCAGGCGCTTGGGGAAGCTGAGGGGCAGCTTGCCCGAGGGGTTGTAGTCGCCAAAGATGACGTCGGCGATGGAGTTGCCCGTCTCGTTGCCGCCGTACCAGGCCTGGAGGACGGCGGGCGTGGCGGCCAGCCAGGGCATCTCCTCGGGGGTGCCCGTCTGCATGACGACGACGGTGTTGGCGTTGGCGGCGGCGACCTCGGCGATGAGCTGGTCCAGCACGCCGGGGAGCTTCATGCTGGCGCGGTCGGCGCCCTCCGTCTCCCAGTCGGCGTTGAGCCCGGCGCAGATGATGACCTGGTCGTGCTCCTTGGCCAGCGCAACGGACTTGTTGATCTCGGCCTGGTCGTCGATGACCTTGCAGCCGCCGACGCGCAGCGACCCGTGGCCCGGCACGATGGTGTCGCCCTTGAGCGTGTACGTCGGCGCCGAGCCGAACTCGACCTTGAACTTGTACGTCTTGCCCTTGGCGAGGTTGACGCGGCCCGTCTCCTCGCGCGTGGCCGAGCCGAAGAAGGCGTCGCCGGCGACCTGGTGCGTGGCGTTGTCGACGACGAGCTTGTCGTCGACGTAGGCCTTTGCCGTGCCGCACACGACGAGGCCGATCTCGTACGTGCAGTCCTCGTCGGCGGTGTAAGTGCCCTCCATGTCGGCGTACCACGTGTCCGCGGCGTCGGGGTTGTAGTAGTCCACCAGGTGCATGTCCGTCTTGGTGAAGAAGAGCTCGTCGATGTGCTGCCGGCCAGGGGTTCCGGGGGGCTGGTTGAAGACTCGCCAGCGCATGCCCTGGGCTCCGTCGTCGCCCGGCGTTGAGCACTGCTCGCCCAGCACGGGGAGGAAGCGGTGCGTGTAGGCGCCAACGGTGTACGAGGGCGGTGTCGCGAGCTGCTTGCTGAGGCCGTCAAAGGGGGTGACTGCGTAGTAGGCCTTGAGGGCGGCAGAACCTCCGCCGTGGTACGTTGCCTGCTTGGCGTTGGGGCCGAGGATCAGCGTCTTCTTGTCCTTCTTCAGGGGCAAGACGTTGTTGTCGTTCTTGAGCAGGACGATGCCCTCGTTGCCAATCTTTCGGAGCAGGGCCGCCGTCTCGGGGGTGTTGTTGACGGTTGTCTCGGGGCCGTTCTCCTTGACGCCAGAGGCAGCACACGTCTTGACGAACTGGAGCACTTCTCTGGCGCGCTGGTCGATGACGTGGACAAAGGGCTTTCCGTTGGAGACGTTGAACTTGAGCGTGTCTCCTCGGAATCGTGGGGGGCCGGGCATCTCGAGGTCGAGCCCTGCCACGACGGCAGCGGTGGTGCTGTAAGTCCCGTACCAGTCGCTCATGACCAGGCCCTTCCAGCCCCATTCCTTCCGGAGCATCTCGTCGAGGTACTTGGGGTTCTCGCTGCACGGCACGCCATTGATGCCGTTGTACGCCGTCATAAACGCACCCGGTTGGGCGTCTCGGACGGCAATCTGAAAGGGCAGCGCGTAAATCTCCCGCAGCGCCCGCTCGGTGACGATGCTCTGCACCGTCATGCGCCTGTCCTCCTGATCATTGCACAGGAAGTGCTTGATGGTGGCCTGGACTCCGGTGCTCTGGATGCCGCGGACGAGAGCCGCGGCACCAAGGCCAGCGAGGAAGGGATCTTCGCCAATGGACTCGAATCCTCGTCCACCGAGAGGGGAGCGTTGCATGTTGATAGTCGGCCCGAGGATCACATGGGCGCTCTTGGCGATGGCCTCCTTGCCCATCATTTTACCTGCCTCTTCGAGCAGCGGCTGGTTGAATGTGGAACCGAGCGAAGTGCCGCATGGGAAGCAAGCCGCAGGCACTCCGTTGAAGAACTTGGTGCCTCTTACACCGTTGGGGCCGTCTGTGAAGCGCAGTGACGGGACGCCATGCTTGGGGAGGGCCTTTGTGTGCCAGAAGTCGATGCCTTGAAGGGGTTGTCAATCACTCGTTGATTCGGTGAATATGGAATATGATGGTATGTCTCTGTAGACAATATAGCTCACCTGCCAGCAGCTCGACCTTTTCGGCCAAGGTCAGCTTTTTCAGCACGGCTTCAACGTCGATATCAGCCATGTTGGGAGATGTGAGGGGGTGATGAAGAGTGGTTTGGGAGGAGTCGTGTCAGACGGGGTTTCTGACGAGGCAATTCTTCCTCGACACACAACAGAACACGGCCGTGTTACCGCTCTATGTCAAAACAAAGATGCTCAATAACAGCAACAATATAATTCACACCGACTGCAGGGTAGCCTCTAGCACGCCGCAGCAATCAAGTCATAAGAGAAAGAAGAGCAGAGAGAAAACCAGAGTCTATCACGGAGACACTGGAATGGGATGAAGACAAGCAAGTCAACGAAAAACGAACCAGCAAGACGAACAGCCCGGGCAACTTATATAGCCGTCGGTCACAAAGATGGGAATCCCCATGTTGGCCGTGGGGAATTGGATTCGTCGCGAGAACTTCGGAGAAACGTAAAAAGAATCAGCAAGCAAGCAGCTCCTCCTGCCACTAACGGGCTTACTCGCCCAGCTTGGCAGATTCGTATCGATGGAAAAGCAGCAGCAGGATTCTCCGAAGCCGCGCCATCATCCCAACCTTCTTATCACGAGGAGGATATTGGACGAGTTTCCCCGCGATGCTCCCCGCCATTAGCTGCGGGCAGGGATGTTCAGCCGTGGTATACCCTTGCTATAGCCGAGCACCCGTGGTTATGCCGAGGATGAGGCTGAATGACAGCCAATCGGTGTCGAGGCTGTCGAGTTTACCCGCGCGAGGCCCGCCGAAATTATTGGACACAGAGTTCGACATCGGACTCCGCCATCCCCAAGCGAAAGCCGGTGCGGAGAGGCTTGGCCGAGTCGGCTCGGTGAGTTACGAGCGACGCTCCCCGACCGACCCTGAAAGATGCTCCAGGTCATGTGGGCGGTGATGATGGTTCGTTGCTTCTGGGCTTCGGGCTTCGGATAAACGCCGTATCGACATCCCAAGGCAACGGGTATCGCGTTTGATCTCGACGAGACTCCACCATCGAATCTACTGACGGTGATGATCGCGGTGGATCTGATCCCGGCTGTCGGATCACAGGGCGTTCCACAACGGGAACGGGGGACGGAGACGGGGACGGAGACGGAGACAGGTGGGCACTTGACTTGTCACGATTGGGGCCTCGTTGGTGTTGACGATGGGAGGCTAACACATTGATTGTTACGCAGTGCTTCCAGCTTGCCGCCGTGACACGCCGGCTCACTCGGACAATGTCTGCTTCTGCTTCATGCTGTCAGGCAAGGGACATTGTTGGCCCTTCGGCACAGGTGGCATAAACACCACGGCTGAATCTGGGGTGCTTCCGCCGTCATACAGCATGGTGTCCTGGCAGTTACAGATTTTCGGCATGCTGCTCCGTACCTTGTGTCCAGCAGCTATCCTCGCACCCCCAGTCGGCTTGGCAGTCAGGGTCCTTGCCTCTGTCAGCACTCCTGCGTGTGAATACCTGGTAGTAAACTGCTGGGTACTCCGTATTGACTCTGCTGTGTGGCGGCAGTACAACTCTTTCGCCGCACTCATTCCGCCGCCTACTGGGAGCATCCGGATGCTTGTCCGTCCCTGGTCAACGCCGCTGTCAGACTGGAAAATATGAGCCGTCACATCATGCCGAATCCTCATCACGCAAGTACCGGTACCACAGAGTAGACCGGTCGGTTTAGCGAACGGTTTCGACCTGGGACGACATTCCCTGTATGCGGCTGACCTCCTGCCATTGACGATGGCGATGGTCAGCCATGCAATGCGCGTTTGCCTGGACGGTGTACACAATGGTCCCAGACGTGGTAATTTGCCAAGAGGACGCCGTGCTTATTCTCCTGACCCTAATAATGTCTCTTGTGGCCGAACCACGGGTCAAAGTGGGAAGAGGTTTGGCACCTAAATGCGACGGCCTTCCCGCTCCACGCTTTCTGCTCCACGCTCTGTCAAATCACTGATTACCACAGATAATCTGGGGTTGGACGGGCTGCATGGCTAGCGGGACTATCATCAAGGGCACCGCGCAGGGGCTTGTGGGGGCCGGTAAGGCTGGACGATGCGTGATCTTACGGTGGGATCCTGGAGATCCCGCCCAATGCTACCTTGGTCTCCTAATCAGGGGACCTGTATGTCGGAGATATTTCAAAAGGGCTAAATCGACACATCGGTGCCTTATCTCCTTTTCCTGCGGCTGAACGGCAGTATCCATGACGCTTTCGACAGGGGAATTCCTCAGCGCGGTGGCTTTCTGCTAAGACTCTTTGCGGGAATTGTTACGACTGGAATTGTGCTTTTCCGACGGTCACCAATTCCAAGTCTGGTCCGCCTTTCTCGCGCATCGATTGGCGTTGCAGCAGCAAGAAATGAGGTGGGAGCAGGATTGGGCAGAGCAAGCCAACGTCGTTTGTCTTTGTATGAGGCTCTGCTAGTCTTTCATCATGGATCGTCGTCATCCATCACATGTGCGATGGTCCGCGTGGGGCGACGGTACCTAGATCCGGGGCCCTGCGATGAGAATCTCACCATTTCAACCGCGTCCTCGGATATCCCACTTGTGAGATCGACCGACAGTATACGTTCAGTTAGCCGACGTTACTCACATAATCTGATTGTGTCGACTGCAAGGGATTTGGTCATGACACCGTTTCGTCTTCTCGCTTCGCACCCCCGCTCGATTACGATTGCATTGCCGTGGGAAAGAAGAAAAGGGTAGATGTGGTCTGAGTTAAATTCCAGTCATGAAGCCACGCGAGTGTCACTGTAAAACAAGCGCACAGGAAAAGCCAGCCACGAAACTTGGCACGAAGAAAAGGGGCCAGATCAAGGATTCGAGGGTTCATTTCAGCAACTTCAGGGAGTATTGATGCTTTGCTTGCGTGAGGACTTGTACTTTGATACATTGCGGCGTGTCTTTTATCTCGCGGCATCAAAACCTCTTACAACATGCGGAGAACCTGGTCCCGTCGCCTCCTTAGTCTTGCACATCATCTTGACCGTGGCGGCATGTACTCCGTAGCGACGGACATAGGCGAATGCCGCTGGATAATCGGGGCGCAAACCTGAGCGGATACACCTTTTACCTTGCGAGCAGAGCATACTATGCTCGTATCGGTTTGAGACCGCTTTCTCTTGTCGCTTCCTCGAAGAATAAGCGTGGTGGTTTTACGGAATCCGAAGAATACGGCCAAGCGTGGCTTCGATGGAATGTCATGTTGAAACGCCTCCCCCCCCGATGCAGAGGCATAAAGACGCCGATTTTGGCATTTGCAAACGCGGCTCATTGGAGGTAGCCAATGGGGATTGGAGTGGTATTGGGGTGGGCACTCTCAGCTGGCGATGCTACCCAATGTCTCAAACCATCTTCACACCTCTGCTATCGCCGCTCAATCGCCTTTGTCGATGAGGCCTGTTGCCGAGTTGACGCACAAATGGCCTGCTCAACGGCCTTTGTGAGAAATTACAGCAGCACACCATAGGCGCGATTCCCGCTCAAGCAAGGGAGCTAATTGGCGTTGATCGACGCGAGAGCCCCTGAACGGCCTGGCACTAGAACGTCTAGTCGAGCAGTCTAGGTTCTGATGGCTTCATCCCACCGTTATCTAGACACGATAGTCTGGATGGATGGGGATGGCACTAAAGGAAACCGATGTTACAGGCTCGGCGGAGCCCCCTTTCTCCATTGGATCGTCGTATCCACAGCTGTTGGTTCAACTGCCGACGCATCTCGCCGTACAGTAGAAGCGGGCAGCTCTACAGGTACAAGCAAGTATGGACAACGAAGCATGCACAGTACAGGTACATTTGCATCGAAAACATGGACGAATGCGCAAGGGGCGTGTATCTGTGTGAGTGATTTGGCGGCCAAGGAAGCCAAGGTGGTTAGGCGGCCTCTTTGGATTGGATCGCTTGATCCCGTCTTTACATAGGTACTGCTCCAAAATCGCAGCAAAGGCTGAGAGTAACAGAGCACAAATGGGAAACGTCAATCCTTGGGCACGTGCGAAGAGCATTTTACGAAGAGGCTCCAATCTCATTTTATTCGTCCAAGCGTCGCCTCTCGGGTCTCCCGACGACCATGACGCTCTCCCTCTTCTTCCGCAATAATGCTTTGGGCGTGAATCGAGGTGCCTCGGGGTTGCTGGTACCCGAGTCTCACGATGCGTCTTTTAAGTGGGCTCACCGACTTCATATTGATTGCAAGTACAAGTACTGTACGAGTACGGAGCACGCATGAGAAGGAGGGGGAGTTTGGGAGCTTACAGCAACTATTCGTGTCATCGATGCGAGTGCCACGATATGCAGTTTAGTGCTCTGTTCTTCCTCTCCGCAGATGCGCATTGATGCATACAAACTAGAGCACTTGGACGGAGACAGCAGGTGGGTTTCGATGGAGTCGCAACCCTTCAGCTCTCAGCAGGCACCAGCAATTTGTGACCCCCATGTCCCAAACCTGAATGGAGGAGGATATTTGTGATCGGAGCTACGGGCAGCGGCGGATTCCAGCCACCAGCTGGTGCCCTCAGCTCAAGCGCTGCTTGATCCACGCGAATCGACAACCGGTTGGCTCATCTGCTTTGTCATCCTTTCTGCTCTCCTTGGGGGAATTTGTTTCTCTTTTCTTCTTCTTCTTCTTCTTCTTCCCTTTTGTCTGGTATTCGGATTTTCGCTTTTCCCTCTCCTCGTGCTTCGTCGTTTCGCCACAACGCTATCCCTTTTCCCTGGCACCCTCTTTTCTCTCAACATATGTCATCATCCAGGCCAAAACTGGCCTAACAGGGTCTCCTCGTGGAAATTTCTACAGCAAAGGGAGGGGTGGGGAGGGGTGTGCATGCTTGCACAAGTACGAGTGCTAGTGCAGTTCTTGTTGGAAGTACAGTACGAGTACACACGAGATGCCAGGCTCTTGTTCAACCCGAGATTCTTACACCCCCCTCCCCCCTGCGGGGCCAGGATTACCAGAGAACAACAGCAAAGCTTCGATAGTCCTTCTAGCGCGCTTCTCCCGCCCTTCCCCCTTGGTCAGCCACCGAAACGGCTCGGTCAACTTCGGCCAATTTCTTCACACTTGATACTCGCTATTTTCGCTGCTCCGCTGCCATAAACCCACCGCATAAGGCCCAGCTGTCCAACCAGCGTCTGGAACGGTCCGGTGGGCTCTTTTATTTTTCAGCCCTTTGGGAGGGGACAGGAGGGTCGTTGCCAGGTTGGTGCATGCAGGAAGCGGATATGCTCTGCTCTCTGGATCAGGAGCCCCGGCGCTTTCTCAGTGGGCTTTCTCTTCCTCAACAAAGCACGCGGCGGATCGAAAGGAGAGTGAGAGCAAAAGAAGATACTTGTACGCCCCTCCCTCTGAGAAATGATGAGACGCTCAAAACTGGGGTCGTTGTGCTTGCTTGTACCGTTTGTACCCTCATGTACCGTGCCGCTTGACATCTCCATACCGCTGTTTAAGTTTTTTCTCTTCATTTTTGACAGCTTTTCCCCTTTTGGGCCAATGCTAGAGCCCTCGGCGTGCTTCTCTATTGGTTCCATCTTCTCCAGCAGATGGAAGCCAGGCAGTGGACGGAAGGCTTATCTCATCAGTCTTTGGGGGCTTAGGGCACGGCATTCGCTTTTCACTGCTATGAGACTGGGGCCCATGTTCGTCGTGCATACGAGTACGCAAGCCACAAATTACGGAATCAACTCAGCCGCCAGTTGCTGCCGTTTCGAATGCTCGCAGAAGCCCGGAATCGGTTCGGTGTTCAGATTAGGAGGCCCTGTCCCGCCTCAAACGCCATCCTGCAGGTGCGGTGGCCATGTCCAACGTCCCGTGCCTGGTGATCCCGTTACATCGGCATCTGCTTCTGGGGCCTGTTTTTGAACCATGTTACTCTGGCAAGTGGTTGTTTGCATATGGCGGCGATAGGGTGTTCATAGCCTCTGATAGGAGGCTGGATTTGATACAACGACACCATCGACAGCTACGCGCACGTCAACTTGTTTACTTATGACAGAGACTCGTGAGCATTCTGTGAAGCCCTTTGCTTTTCTCTGTCCACTGCAAGCATTCCATCGTCTCTTCTTGGAGTTGGCTTCATGCCGTCACTGGTGTTTCAGTTGCTGCAGAGGATAACGCATCTTCCACATCTCCTTTGTGCGAAAGGACTCGGTTTACAACGGGCGCTGGAATGGGATAGACCAGCTGTACGAAACCGAAACACCCTCATGCATTCCCCCTTTCCCCAGGTTATCTCGACACGGTGATGCCGCTATTCCTTTCACGATGCCCCAATCGAAGCGGCCGTGCTAAGAAACGACTCAATTTCTGCAACGAGCTTAGAGTGTTGAGATGATGCACCTTGCTAACTACGTAGGGATTGTAGACGCGCCGCGGCCGTCATAATCCCCGAAACAGCCTGGATACCCCAGACATGAGCACAATGGCATTGAGGAGCACAGATCTAACTGAATTAGACCGGCCGCAGTGAGGCCGATGGGCCACGGAAGGGGTCTGTCGAGAAGAGAGAAGGGAGAAGAGAGAAGAGAGGGGGGAGGAGAACAGACACAAACTTCAGATCGGGGCAGCCGTTGATTAGCACAAGGTACAGCAACGCTGCCACTGCCCTTATTCCCGCCCAGATAAGGACAAGGCCTGGACCCATGTTCTTTGGGGCTCTGAGGTGAATACCGATATAACAGAGCCGCTAGCGTTGGCTTGCAGGTCGGTCATTGCCTTTTTGCTGCATCCTTAGCGTCGTGATATTCCTCCGGCGGTGCCAGTGCCGCGTTCTTTTTTTCTATTTATACATGTTTCTCCGTGCAAGCATACTGTACCTGGCATGGGGGAAATAACATCATGCTCTTTTGACGCATGGTTCACGGGCGGAAGGAGATTGGGAGTGGCAGCTCCTCATCACCTTTCTTTGCCCGGAATCATGCGTTGCGAATGCTTCGGCACTCTCTTCCGAATCTGTCAAATCCCACTTCGGGTACGTCTTCTTTCTTTCTTCTATTTTCCCGCCTGCAGTAGTGTCAAGCACCATGTACTCCATGAATAAGGAGACGGCTCCATCTATGTTGGGGGTCATCTGGACCGCACATCAGACACATGCCGTGTTGGCTAATGCTCCTACTAGCAGATCACTCAGACTCACGCCCATCGTTACGCAAGTATATGCGCTCACCGGGCGTATTCGACGCGAGCCCTTGTTTGATCTCCTAATCCAAGTCAAAAGAGGACACATGATGACTCTCTGCGTGAATAGGATCGGCTTTGACACACAGCGGGCGTCTAAAAATGGAGACTGTACGAGGTACGATACGTGCCTCTTCTTTTTCTATTTCACGTCCATATTACTCATACGGATAGCACAAGGCCAAGTAGATTGGTTGTACTGTACCCATCACCGCCAGGAGTGGAAATGGACGCTCTCTTTTTTTCCCTTCTCGTTCACACGCCCCCCCTTAGACGCCCCTCTTCTCTCCTGTTCCCCTCTTTGTTCCAAACTCCACTTTCTCTCTCTCTCACTCTCTCTCACTCTCACATATCGTACAATCATGTACGAGTATGTACGTATGCATGCATGTACTTGGCCAGAATTCCCCAGCTGCTTGCTCTTTCATTCTCTCAACCCAGCTACATACAGGGAGGGAAGCGCCAAGAAGCGAAAGCTGCCTTGGCGGTGGTCATGGTTTGCTGTGAGAGTGAGGCTGAAGCTGAAGCTGAAAATGGAACATGATGAGCGAATCAAACTACTAGGTTGCTCTTACGAGCACACAACATGAACCAGCCTTCTCCATCGACAGTAGCTCATGAGCCGCCTTCACCCCCGGCTCATCCACCATCTTGGCTCAGCCCAGATCTTGCTCCATTGCTCAGCTCACGCTCTCACGCTCCCCCCCTCGGCCAACCAGATGCTCGAGTGAAGTTAATATAAGCATCCCGCCGCGCCCCCCAACAACAAACAGAGCAGAAAAGAGCTAAATAGCACCAGGTCAATCCTTCCACGCCCCCCAGTCCAAACTATTTTTGCGGCCGGAAAATGCTAAAGCTTTCGCCCGCCATGCACGTCCGCATGGAAAAGGCATGGCTCGAACCCAACAATAGCCTCGAGAAGAGAAGAGGAAGAAGAAAAAAAAAAAAAAAACGGCGCTTACGCCCCCCTAATTGAGCTTCCTGCGTTTTTTTTGCTCTGTTGCTCTGCATATTTTTATTTGGTTGCTAAAATAAAATGAAAAACCCCCGTGCTAGTAGCCTATAGTATGGGCAATAGCCTGTTTATTTTCTCCCCTCCCCCCTGGCTTTTAATTTAGTCTGGTCGAACTAGGAGCGCAGCAAAAACCGCCGGCACTTTGGCTCTTCGTTTCCGGCACGCCATGTGGCAGCTTTTGATGCAGCCGAGGCTGGGGGGGTTCTAGATTTGGCGAAGGCCGATGGAGGCGGTAAGTCGCGGTACAAGTTGAAAGAAGATTCGGTGGTTTGATATCTGGGGTTGGTTGGTTGGTTGGTTGGTTTGGCGGAGGTGAGTGAAATTTGGGGCTTGCTCTTTTCGTAAACCGGTCAATAAACTGCTGACTAGACTACTGTACTACTGCATTTACATATACATTAACAAGGTAGTGAGATGGGTAATAGGCTGTCTAATCCAATGACACAGCATTATCCACATCAAACTTGCACCACATATAAAAGCCTGGCGATAAAATGGCATCTAATTTTTCATAGTCTCATAGTTCCTCTATAGGAAGTTTGTCTAAAATCCGTAGCAACGCGCAAGTCTATAGAAACAAATACATGAACAAGACAAAGAAAAAGACCAAGGAACCTGACAAAATAGTTCGTAAAAAAAAACATTCAAGAGGAGAGCGAAGATGACAAAACCGAGTACAAAAAAAAAAGTATCCAAAAAAGCAAGAAACAGTATATATATCCGTCTATCAGTCCCGTCGACTTGCCGGCCGAGTAAAATCCTCCCCTCATGGTATCTCCCAAGGCGAAGAAACAAAAAAAAAAAAAAAAAAAGCGAAAGAGATGAGATAAAAAAAAAAGATATAGATAAAAAAAAAGGAAAAGAAAAAGAAAATAGAAAATAGACCACCCTTCCCATCTTGAGCCGCCCGAATCCCATTTGCCCCGCTGATGCATCGTGCTGTGTCCGTCGTCCCGTTGTTTGTTTGTGCGCCCAAAGATTGAAATGCATTATGCAAGACCCAAACGCCGATGAATGCTATATGTGTATGGGGTGTCGGCTTTCCTTTTTGTCCCAGAGCAGACCTGAGCACCCTTCTGTAGTCGTAAAAAAACAGGCATCGCAAGTTTTGATCGCCTTGCCTATTCCCCGCCTCTCTCTTCACCCGCCGTCACCGCTCTCAGTGACCTGGCTGCGTTGGTTCTCCATGTCATGATTGTCAAAACCCAATCCGCTTCATCGTAGCCCGTTGTTGCTCTCCCTTCTCATTGATGCCACGTAAATAAAGGCAGCTCCACTCTGCCTTGTCGGCCTTGTCCAACGCAACCCTGCTTTGTGGCTGTTTGGTGCGACAAATGCTGGACTCTTGGTCTGAGTGCCCACCGCTGCGATGCAGTATACAACCGAGATTCGTTTGCCATTTGTCGGAGCTGGTTTTTTTCTCCCTTCCACGATTGTGCCGATTGGCTGCTGCCCCCTCAAGGTTGTACCGTCGTAAGCATGCAGATGGGCCATGGAGGCCGCTGCGGGTTTGTATTCGCCCTTCAGTCATGTCCTGCTTGCGGCATGTCGTGGCCGAAATCCCAAGGTTCGGTGATGTCAAGATTTAGTGTTGCCAATGATGCGAGCTTGGTTGGATGGCGTCTTGCCACAAAAGACGCACGCGGCCAGTTGGTCCCAGGGGAGCCGAATCATCGAGGAATGCCAGGGTTGGCGTGGCTATCGGCCATCTCTGGAGGGTAGTATAAAGAATACGCGGCATTCCACTGCGGAGTTCGCTGCTGTAGCGGCGTGTGAGGCGATGCGCTGTGCGCAGGGTGAGGCGGCGGTTGTTGCTGGTGCTGTTGAGCGTACGCGTGCAGCGGTGGCGGCGGCGGCGCCGCTTGCTGGTGGTGGTGGTGCTGCGGGTGTTGAGGGTGCTGATGCTGGTGCTGGTTCTGTTGCTGGTGCTGGTGTTGCTGCATATATGCCTGTGGCAAATTATGCAGAGTTGAGGTGTTGAGCCTGAGGCCACCTGGAGGGAGAGAAGCAATTCAAGTCAGCCCATGTGCCCCTCGGTGCGTGGCGAAAGGGATAAGGATACATACTGCCGTGGTCCATCTCGTCGTAGTCCTGCTTGATGTCCTTGAGAGTGGCCGGGATCATCGAGGGGACGCTCGTGGGAATGTAGGCTGCGCTGTACTCCTCGCCGTGGGCGGGAGACGAGGGGCTGGAAATGTTGCCCAGGACGGGGTTTGGCGCAACGGACGCTGGCCACGCCTCGCCGCCGGCGCCTGTGATGTGGCCATACGACTGCTGTGCGTAGTCGGGGATCTGGTTGAAGTCACTGGAGGGCAGAGGCGACACCCTCGGGCTCGGCACGGCACCGCTGCCCGAGCTGAGATTGTCGTCGTAGACTGATGGACCTGGAGTTAGCGGCCCAAAGTAAAGGTCATGAGCGTTGTTGGGCATGGTACCTGGCGTACCTGCGGAATTCGAGGAATAGGACGAGTCCGTGGCGGTGTAGCCCATGTGCTCCCGGAGCCGGGCAATCTCCTGTTCGAGGAACTTGTTCCGACGGAGGAGCTCCTGCACCTTTCTGTCGCGGCTCTGGACGCCCTTGAGCTCGGCTAGTTCACGCTCCAGACGCTCAATGTGCTCCTTGGTCCTGGCTCTGATGGCTCTCTGAGCCTCACGATCGTTGGCCCGCTTGCGTGCCAGCTGTGAGGGCGTCAGGGTCGAAACACTTCTGGTGCCTAAGGGGTTCAGAGACATTGAACAATTAGCTTTTTGATTTTTATTCCCAATGACGGCGGTGAAAAGAAACGGCAATTGGGATGAACGGAACCGGCGATTGTCGCCAGCGGAGCGGGCATTGGAGCAAGCAATCGTCGACATGTGGGGGATTTCAACTTACCCTTTCGCTTGGACGGTTTGGTCGGCTCTCCGGAAGATGATCGCGGCATGGTGTGTTCAATTTTGTATATGAGGGACATGCAAACAAAGGGTCGGATGAGGCTGGCCGCAGTCTAGGCGGCTTTTGTTGCGACGAGGGCAGAGGAGCCGTGCAAAGGCGATCGAGTGGGGGAGCTATCGCAATAAATAGGGTATCAAAGGCGATGGAGAAGCAGCAACGATTCGAGGCAGCTTGTCGTGGGTCGCGCTACGAAAAAGAGACGAGGGCCCGCTTCGCTTTGGTTGACGATGGTTTTGTTTCAACGGCGTCAACAGAGCAATCACGACAGAGAAGCCCGTGAGTGCGCCAAACGCTGGAGCCAAGATGAGAGATGCGGATGCCGCCACGTCAAGAAGCAATTGCAGCACGAGCGTGAGCAAAAGACGTTGGACAATGTCTGTAGTAGACGAGGCTTTCAAGTGCTGCTCTGAGACAAACGGAGAGTCAGAAGCAGGCGGGAAATTGCGTCTAGGATGCGAATGGCGAGAGATCCGGACCGTGATTTTTGAATGAGTGGAACAGAAGAAAAAAAACGAGCCCAGAATATGAAGCCGTCAGGTACCGTATTATAATAATATACTGCTACACCTCTGAGGCCATCCATCCTAGAAGGCGGTGGTGTGGACCCCGAACAGCGTCTCCTCTGTTTCCGTACCTTTCGACAGGGATGACAGTACTTTACCTCAGGTAAGTACTTGTACTGGGTGGAGAGGCCGGGGGGTGTCTGCATACAAGGCACCAGACCAAGCACTTGGAGGCGACCAGGGGGCCAAGGGGGGGCGTGGCTGTATATCCAGTGCAGCCAGCGGACGACCGGGTCTCTCGAGACTTGCAGGCTCTCGCGCACGCGGGCTATGGCGTGGCGTCGTATACTAGTACTGGCAGGATACCAGCAGATGGGCGTTGCGAGTTTGGTCCTGGCTGGTACTGGCCCGGTACATGCGTGGACCGGCATGGCCAGCCAGCCTGCGGGGTGAGGGCATCGACGCCACTCGGGACGCTTGGTGCGAAGTACTGTACGAGAAGGCCCAGAGAGCGTCGTCTGCTGCTTCGGACCGCGTTGCCTTAGTGCCAGCCGAAGAAACGCATGCATGTATTCGCACGTACTCCATGTACTCGTACCGCCGCAGGCTGGGGGACGCAAGCAAGCAAGCAGGAAAAGGCGAGCCGTGGACGTGGACGTGGACGTGGACGTTGGGGAGGCGCTGGGCTAGCAGCTGGGTCGTGGCGGGAGGCCAGCCGTTGATGCACCGTACAGGAGGCATCAGACAGACATGACAGCCCGTCGCTGCAAAGCACAGCTCAGATCGTTTTGCCTCTTCAGCAGCTCTCGTCTCTCGGCACTCCAGGCCGCGGCAAGGGAGAGAGCGGAGGGAGACCAAGAGACAGAGAGGGGCCTGCAGGCCGATCTTGCTGTGACGCTATTGTCTCTCGCGTCGGCCTTGACTTTTGACTGATGGAGCTCAACAGCACGTTCCCGTGTGGTTCTGCCGGGCCAGACAGACAGACGGTGCTGGCGGCCCTCGCTGACAAGACGGCACTCGCCTGCTAGGGTGCTTCAGGCATGGTCAGGCGCTCCGGCTGCGTCTCTGTCTCTGTCTCGTCGATACAGTGCCTGGGACATGCTGCAGTGCCGAGCTGGCGGCAATAAACGTCGGGGTTTTGCAGTACTGTCCGCACAGTATTCCACCAGATGGACTGGATCGCGATCTGGGCTGGAGGGTCGCAATGCTAGCAGGCGTAGTCGCTTTAGCTCCTACTCCGACCCTACTCCGTGATGGCCTCTGCCCGCCCCCGGCCATCACACACGTGCTGTATCGTACAGTACGAGTCTTGTCGGATGGGTCAGGTTTGATGATGGGACGCCTATCCTATCGAGCGGACGGAAGCCTATCCACCGATACCTCGTTAGTGTCCCAGCCCAGGTGAAAAAAAAAAAAGAGAGAGCCCTGGACCCCCATCTCGCCATATGGCAATATTCCAGAACACGAATTGGGGGACTCACCACCAGGGGACAAGCAAAAACTCTGCTGTGAAATGCGGTTGACCGACATGGATTCCAAATGGCATAAATCGAGTTGATGGCCTTTGCCGTGCCTCGGCTTGCCCTTGAACCGACATAATAGAAGCGCCTCGGACGAGTTCGCTCTTTGGGCTCTGTTTCTCTTTGTTGCTCCTCTACTCTCGCTTTCGCTTCCCGTCCGTCTCTTTCCGGCTCGTTCTCTCTTCTTCTTCTTCTTGTTTGCTCTTCCTTTCACGTTCAACAGCCTCTTCGTTCTCGTCTGGCGGCGATTTGTGGACCAAAACCCCCGTCGGCGTCGGCGTCTGCGGCATTCTGGCCATTGGCCATGCACTGCAGACGGCAGATGCAGCTAAAACGCCTTGGTGTGCGCCGCTGCCTCTCGACTGTCGCTTCACACGTTTCCATTGAGAGCGAATGGCGTCTGCGGCTGGCGCCCCCGTCTAGCCTGGTGTAGGACTACGTTGGATACCGCTGACGGCAGGCGAAAAGAGGTCAAGAGGCCTAGCAAAATGAAGTTAGTTGGGCCAGGGAGAATTCGATGGAGGTTGAGCGAGCAAAGAGCACCAAGTACAAGTGCAAGTACTAAGACCTACGGACCAGGCCAGCGGCAGGCAAGCAGGGTCCAGGTTGCATGTACATGCCCTGTACTCTGCACGGGTACTCTACTGCACTACGAGTACACAGGCGGCACCTGTACTCGGACTGCACTGTAGCACGCTGCATTTGCAGTTTTAGTGCATTAGCGCGGTGTAGATGGGCACATGGGCAGGTATGTGCGGCCTAGAGCCACTGACCGCCTCGCCAAGACTTCACATCTTTAGCATTGAGCCCAGTCGCTAGCCGCAAGATGGAACCTTGGAACCCCAGAGCCCAGAACCCAGAGCCCAAGGAGAGCAGAGCAACAAGCGCGAGTACCACGCGGCAGAGACTACGGAGTACAGGTACTTGGATCGAGATTTCTAGGGCTTGGGATTGGATGCTCGGGAGTTGCCATCAAGGAATGCATCATCTTCAGCATCTTCAGCATCATCATCATCATTAGCCATCGTGGTGGCGATGCAGAATTTGCTGGCTTCATTCGTCTGTGTCTATCTGTTTGTTTGTTGCTGAAATTCGCAGGTAACAAACAACCCAACTAATGAGTTTACCTAAGGCTGAGGTTCTGCTCTGTCAGCAAAAGCGCTGAACCCGAACCCGGCAAGTACCTGCACCGTACAAGCCAGCGCAACCAGGTACAGGGGCGAGACAAGAAAAAAAGAAACGTTGGGTCACAGACGACGTCATTAGCAAGAATGAGGTAATCCATACGCTCTCTCTCTATCTCAACTCCATCAACTTCCATATCAGCAAATGATCAATTTTTTTCATCTCTCATTGGCAAAAGGTGTGCTTGGGACCACCAGCGAGCTAATCTAGCATCACCACCCTCTCTCTTTATCGCGTCTTCCCCATGCAGCATCGTGCATTTCGCCACTGCAAAATGTCAGCAAATTCGCCAAAGTACCTCGACATCCAAGTCCAGTCCAGTCCAGTCCAGTCCTACGCACCAGCGGAAACGGAAACGAAACGAAACGAAACGCTGGTGATGCCATGCCATGCCATGCCGTTCCGACGTCTTCCGGCGTAGCGCGGCCAAAGATCTAGAGCGAACGGGCTTCCAATCTCATCAGATGGTCACAATCGCAATCACAATCGCGACAGCTACTACACACTCGTATTTGACATTTGACATCCGTCAAATCTGTCAAAATCGGCATTAGCGCCCAACCATAGCCGGAACCGCCGCAAATCCCGGCATCCGGTACGCAGGATTAGTGGGCTGGCGAAGTTTTCGAATCTTTCCAGAAACCGGATCGGTCATCATTGTCCAGCATTCTACCAGCATCCTACGGAGAAGCGTTCCAGCCAAGAGACCCCCCGAACAGCGCACAGCCGATCTTTCACCGAGGGCCCGGCAGGGCAGGCCTGAAGCAATCAATGCGACTTGATGCGATTGGACGCGATGTGATGGCGCTGATGGCGGTACTCGTACAAGTACCTACAGCACAGTACAGTCCCGTACTCGTACATACATGGACAGGCTCCAGAGATTTAGGTTGGTGGCATTACGCTCTAGCACCGGTCGGCATGTCACGCACGCCCCCCCAAGCACTTTGTCTACAGGACGACGATGTCATCATCTTGCAGTTCCGTGTTCTGGCTTTGCTTTGTTTGGTTTTGGTTTTGCTTTGCTTTGCTTTGTCAGGCCGGCCGTATTATTCATCGCTTCGAACCCTGCGTTTCTTTGCTTGCCTCATTAGGGTTTTGCTCGTTCTTAGTGCTGCAAACATGAGAGAAAAAAGAGGCTGCGTGCTAACCAACGCGCGGCGCGTGGCGATTTTCTCGAGCGACTCCAGTGCCTCCACTGGCGGAGATGTTTTGGGCGGGAATATCGAGTGAAGGGGGTGAAATCGAGAATGAAAGAGCCAAAAAAAAAAAGAAAGAAAGAAAGGAAAAGGCGCTTGGCTGGCTCTATTGTTCGTGCGGCTCGTGCGGATTGATTTTGCCGCAAGACGGCTTCATCACGGCTGACCAAGCTTCGATTGCCGCGGACAAAACCTTGACGACGGCAACTCTATCTGTACTTGTAGTCTGCCACAAGATCAGTCACCTGGAGTCAAGATGTGCAAAGCAACACAACATGAAAGGACAATCCAACGGTCCGAGCTGCAAGCGGTCCAACTCGCACAGACAGCCGGCGGCACTTCCCGCAACATCCAACGTTGCGTGCCCACCGCACAAAGGAGGCTGTCTCGTGGCTGGCTTCATGCTAGGTAGTTTGCCAACGCCATTATGCCATGGCATCCAAAACGATCTGCCTAGCTGGCACTAATTGCCCCTGGCATCTGCAACATGACTTTTGACGTCCACGATTGGCGGAAGTGCTGGCTTTTGGGTGGTTTGCATGGGGGCTTCTCAAACATTTTGCAAGACACCAATGCTTATCA